TAGGAAGGTTGAGTATGGATATGCAACCACGAGAACATAAATGTCGACCTTAAGCCTCAACTTATATTTCATTCGTCAAGAAAGTCTCCAGCGCATCACACCACGCCGTTTGATTGGGGGACTGACGAAAGAAAAAGAAGGCGGACGAACTCGAGAAGTCGTAAGTCCACTGCCAGGGAGGGTGCCAGGGGCGCGCATGGAAAAAGCCCGCGACGAAGAAGCTGAAGCGGGGCAGGTGAACAAGGGCAGGCGATGATGGTGATTTCCTCGAAAGCTGTAATATACATGAGATTAATGTTAGAAGAGAAAAAAATGATAACACACCATCAAAAAACACACATGCAACTTTGATGTTACGAGTTCTGCACCCAGTCCCGCACTCCCCATCAGTCCGATGACGTATGGCTGGCATGTTGGCATGACGTAGCGATACAGTCTCTTGAAGGTATGACAGATAGGGCACTATCATGGCCGGAATTATATCATCTGACCACCTGCGCCACTGATTAGCCCTTTTTTGGGAGCTGGTGAGACGACGGGGAGAAGCGTCAATAGAAAAATGTATTGAGTCGCTGAAGGGAAACACAGGTCCATCATCCCTCTGTCCGGGTTCCGTCCTACGTATGGGTGATGAACGACGCGGCCTTTGCTGTGCTAGACGTTGTCGTCCTGGCAGAACTAAGATGGGTGGTGGGCCAGGAAGATAGAGGTCGAGTTTTTTTGTCTCGCGGGGACGTTTCCATCTATTGACCATCCAAGGTTCGCAAATGATAGCAGTCGGCTGATGTATCGACGGTGGTGAAGAATGGTGGGTTGTTGCCTTATGACGTCGAGGTTTTGGACGGCGGACTGCCATAGCGTAATACCTTAAGACTCGAAGTCAACAAGGCAGGAAACAGTGACACGAAGTCAACAAGGGAGGAAACAGTGACACGAAGTCAACTAGGGAACTCAGCCCACGGAGGCGCAGTCTGGGGAAGTTTGATTGTAGTGACCGATGGTGGCGGACGTTGATGGACGAAGTAGGATCACTAGTGAAAAATCAAAATAATCACATTGGGCTGAGAAATCACGAAGCTTAATTCAATTTATTCCAGACTACACCAAAATACTTCGGGATCGTTCAATGGCGCTTAACGATAGGGCCAACTCGAAGATCTTGAAAGCAGATCGAGTCTGATTTGAATGCGGATAAATTGTGGTAAGTGTGTTGGTGAGTCCAAATGTGTTGTTACTCGGATCCTCACGTGGTTATACTATGTTGTTCCAGAAGAAAGGGTGAGCCTTGCTGTCAGAGTAATGTGAAGAACGCAAAGTGAACTCACCGCCCCATCATCGTGATGAGTCTCTTGCTCAATGTCTGAAACATGTACGCAGTGAGTAGGTATCTTGATCTCGTAAAGCCAAAGCTCGTAAATCCAAAGAGGAAAATAAATGTTACAGATCGTAATGCCGGAGTAAGATCATAGTCCGCTGATGGTAACCATACAAAACCGGATAATGGAGCACGAAGGAACACAACAGCATGGATTTGATTGTAAGGTAACGAGAACGGACAACAGAAAATACGTCAGGACAACTATATGGAATCATGATTGCATGGGAAGCGAATGGGGTATGATTGGGGGCCTGCCGAAATGATCAAAAAATGTCTGCACATAAAATGCCGTCGCCACACGCTTGACTTCCCAAGATTTTGTATCTGTGAAGTTGTCTGATGTCAGCGGGGTCGTAAGAAGAGGCGGCACGCCATCCCAATCGCAAAGCAGTAGGCGAAAATTCTCCACGTAAGGAAGACAGCCCTGCAGGGTGTTATCCCACAACCCGTAGTGTTCCGACGGAAACGGCTCTGACCACATCACTAGACCAGCGTCGCCCGGGAAGATGCCATGGAGGAGTTGCTCGCGACCAGCTGGATCATCTTTCCATTCTCTCCGTGCCAAGTGATGGTCAAGATCCCTCAACTCGTATCGAAAGCCGAGTTCAAACAGCTCCCATGTGACCTTCTGAGCTAGAAGTGCGGAAGGATTAGTAAGACTGGCGACAGAAAATTGTTCACCCCGAAATTCCACAACTCCATCTGGGGAAAATACATCGCCCTGAGATTCTAGCACATCATCGCCGAACAACTCCCGCATCACCTGCTTCCGCTTCTCGGTAGCTGTAAGACCCCTTCTGTCAGGATCTTTCTCCCTATGAGATTGTGGGTTGGCAGAAGGCACACTACCAAGGAAGTCGCGCCATAGTTGAGGAGTGGGATAAGTGCGTGGAGGATCGTGGTCGACTCGGCCTACCCACAGCGCACGACATGCAAGCCAATTGGCAAGGTATACTTGCAGACGTTCAGCCAGTTTGGGGCCGATAAGAAGAGCAGGCTCAGGGAATCTATACCCCCGATCAATAACGTAGGGCGTGTGAATGCGAGACTGGTCCTTGATTGCAATTTTCATCGCAGCTTCCCAATGGAGGTTCGGCGGCGGAAGGTAAGGAGTGTCAGGGTCTTGCCACTTGTTCCTGGATTCGCCTGACTGAGCAGGACGTGCAGGGCGAGCTTCAATGGAGTCTAAAATGATGAGTATCCAACGTGCACAAAAGAAAGAGGCGCTTACATGGTTGGTGTTTTGGCTTACTCTTCTGTCGAGATGGCGCCTTGCCAAGACTAGATACTTTAGGACCGGGATTCGAGCTGGACGATGGTTGAGGGATGGCTGCCTCGGGGTCTAGATGTGTTGTGCCTGCGTATAGGCGGCGAATGTGCACATGGCGATCACGACCACCGGGACCACGGTGTATGACTTCGAATGGGCGAACTTTCCTGCCCTCCGCGTACATGCCAATTATTATGTGATCAGGACGGGTAAGTAAGACAGGTTCGACAATCGTCATGCTCGGGGGAATGTACGCGCTTGAACGAACATACCAAACGGGGACGCCGGCGCAGAATAATTTCTCGCAGACGTCGCTACTCTGCACGAAAGCACCCATCCATTCGCCCCGAACATTATGACGAAAGCCTGAAGTTGTGAGAGGTTGAGCTTCAAGTCCCCAGTCGAGGTAAGAGTATATATCGAGAAAGAGACGCTGAGCATCGGTGACGAAAATGAGAAGATCACGGAAAGTGAGGGGGTGGGACTTTAAGCGTGCGACAGCGTGTCGGAGGGACATCAGGCGGCCATATATGACTTGGCCTCTGTCTGGATGAACCTTTCGATAATCGCGGAGTCGTTGTTCCGCCAGTTTGAAGAGGGATTGCAAGCCGTCGACTTTATCTGATGCCAGTGTGCCCACAGGAAACGAATTCCCGGGAATGGGCTGAAGGTCATCCCGGGTAGGGGTGAACCAAGCCCAATGAAGCGGGTGAGGATATGGAAATGCCTCCTTTCGAGGTATGCAAGCGGCATGGCAAAAGGTATCGTCGTAAGCCTGAGGCCATTGGAAGCAGTCGATCACGCCAAAGCGACCATCTGCACGGGCTTGTAAAATTTCTGGCTCGAAGTGATGGAATTCCGGCACGAAATGCATATTGGGAGTCGTGATAACCAGATTGCCCTGCACGGCAACGGTGCGAGCGTCGAAAGCTTGTAACCAAGCTGTTGGAAACTTTGGCGTCAGCACATGAAAGGCAGACAGAGAAACACATACCGTCTGAGATAACGGTATTCGCTTTGAACAATGTCAGGGCATTGGGCATGATGTGTGCTAGAAATCTTAAGCGCGCAACACAACGAACAAGTGAAAAAGTAGACATACCGTGTATCTGGATGCGGAGTATAATCGTGGGAGTTAGAGTCGCTGACCACCAAGAGAGCAATAACGCCAGGATAAGGATGTGAGAGGAAATCAGTAAAAGTTAATGAAAGACAAGTATATACCTCACCAGCTGTGAGACGCTCGATGTAAATGTCAAAGAAAAGACGAGGGGTGCAGATAGATTCCAGACGCAAAGCACTCCCGAGGAAGATCTTCAACCCTACTGGTGCAGCAACAGGTGAGCGACCAGGGCGATCCTCCAGACACGCAGTCTAGGAGTGTTGGACCAGCGACGCGTAGTCAACTGATCGCTTGATGTGAACGGCACGAAGCCAGTTCAGATGGGTAGAAGTCGTAGTCGAGGGAACCTGGGGGGACGAGAGACACAGCGATGAGAATGAAGATAGAGGAACAGCGAGAGTAGTTAGTAGCAAAAGAGAATATCACCAAGTGGGAAAATCCCAAATGAAGTTCCGACTAAACATGAGCGGCAAGTTCAATTGTGGGAAAGTCCCATATCCGAGTCTTTCCACTTACTCAATCCATCGTCTCAATTGTCCTTCGTCGTCTCAATCGTCCCCCATCCATCACCCTACTACCATTATCCTTCGCCCCCGACCACCGCACTGGACTCCCTGGCTCCATATTTTTTTGAACTGGCTTCGTGCCGTTCGCGTCCAGCGATCAGTTGACTACGCGTCGCTGGTCCAACACTCCTAGACTGCGTGTCTGGAGGATCGCCCTGGCTGCTCACCCGTTGTTGCACCATTAGGGTTGAAGATCTTCCTCGGGAGTGCCCTATATGTTCTATCCGCTCGATCGTGCTTGGAACTTAACATCGAGCACTCTCAGTTAAGTGCACACATATTTCTATTCCTCCACTGCTTTCTGATTTCCTTCATGTCTTCTCCGTATTCGCAGCTTCGTGACCCGGTGGTCTTGGGGCACTCTACTTCCTTCCCTGCAACATTAAATTTCGTTTTTATCGGTAAGTCTGGTTCTCTATCCCTCAATGCGTCCATTCGATCCATGAATGCAAACTTGTATAGCAGGCTTCAAGCACAAATCACCGCTGATGGCAATCCCTCATGTGGCTTACATCGTCTTCTCTTCAAGAACTTTTAACTTGGAGCGTAATTGTATCAGAATGGTCAGTCTACCACACATTCTACAGTATGCACTCGTACTCATAGCTATTAATGCAGATCTATAACAGGCTTTTACCGTCTTCCCTTTGGAACTATTAGCTTACAACGTGATTGTATCAAAAAGGTCGGTCTAGTGCACGTTCTAGAGTAGAGTCTGGTGTTCATAGCTATCACACAGATTTTCTCAACAATCTCCGTGTTCTCTGCCCTGTCATTACCATTAATTTGGTTCCATTTCGGTACTTACTTAACATGTCCCCTGAGCGATCGGTGGCGCCAACTTGGTCCGGCTGTCAGGTGTTTTATATTGTAACTTTATTTCTTCATGATTAATCATGATTATTTGGACAACCAGTGTCAAGCGAATAGAATCCTTCCATAGCGTTTCATCACACTAACCGCCTTCGGGTCTTGTCATTGTATATATAATGCTATCTGATCCCTAGGTATCCTCTCAATTTCTAGTTTTACATTTGCTCTTACATTTCTGAACTCTTCTTTCGCGTATTCTCACCTGACTTCGTGTCGGTGAAATAAAATTGTCGAGAAACTTGTGTTTCTTTCAACGTATCTTCTTCGTGTCTTCGTGACCACGAGGAACAGTCTCTAATATGCCTCTTACTACCCGCTCTGGGCGTCAGCCAAAAGCGCCACTTCGAGCCGACAATGATGGCAACCAAGCACGTTCCCGCCCTGGTCCAAAGTCGGCCAACGCCAATGTAAGGCTATAGGTGTCATTTTGCTATCTACTGACTCGATGTTAGATACCTCGCCCTCGCCCTAAGCCTCGTGCCCTGGCAAGGTCCGCACGTACTGACCCTATGACATCATCTGCTGAGGAAGAAATTTTCTTTTCCAATTTCGCCAGGCGCTCATTCGTCAGGAACAAGTCCAATGGCGCGAGTGAGGATCCCGAGGCACAGTTACCTGACAGTAAGTTCGCTGATTCTTACCGAGTTCCACCTTCTGACTACTGCTCATCATTCCGCAGATGGCACAGATAATGATACACCGCTAGGTGTGTTTTCTTTTTCGTTTTAAACTTTAAATAACTCTTGTCCCTCAGCTAGTGTCAAGCACGACGGTGCTGTTCTCGACAATGAGAGTGACACGGGTACAGGTATTGTTCTTCCATCTGCAGAATAGTTTTCAACGTTAACATGTTATATTGCAGTTCTATCCAATGGTGAATGTAATGGTCCTGCAGCGACGAATGAAAGGGAGACAACAACCGGTAAGTCTTGTTATATATTTTATGGTACAACATCAACATATTCCATTACAGCTCTGTCCGACAGTGAAATTGGCAATCCTGGAGCGACAAATGAACCAGATGAGACTGGGGGTGATTTTTCTTTAAACTTGTCATGGTACACTGCTGATATATTTATTATAGCTCAGTCCGACGGTGAGCACAGCAGTACCATAGCAACGAACAACCGGGTCAATTCTGCAGGTAGGTTTCGTGTCATATTTTGTTGTGAAATGACTAAACATGTCTGACTACAGTTCCGTCCTCAAATGAACGCGATGGTAATGCAGCGGTGAATGAAAGGGTCATGAACGCATGTAAGTTTCGTCATCCAAATCGTGGTACATAAACTAACATGATTTATAAAGCTCCATCCAACGGTGACAGCGTGATTCAAACAAACGAAAGGGAGAAAACCGCAGGTAGGTTTCATTATACATTATGCAGTACACAGCTCATATGTTTTGTAACATCCATAGTCATTCGCCCGCGCAGATCAGGTGCTCAAAAGTCATACTTTCCTTCCCACGAGGGGAAATCCACAGAGAGCTCTGGTTCTGATAGCGATTGGGCTGAAACAGAAGAGCGACGCAAGAAGGCAGAATCCCGTGCAGAGTCCCCCAGACTGTCTGCAGAGGGACAGCAGAAGGGACAAGCAGTGGCAGAGGCACCCGACCATGATGATGATTCCGAGGGCTGCGACGAAGAAGACAGGCTTGAAGAAGGCGACGAGACCACACATAAAGCAGGCAGACTATCTAAGGAAGCCATTTTGGCAGTGCATGATTTTGGGAAGAGGGTCCAGGCGGAAGCGACCGAAATTGGCGAACGGTTTGGGAAACATCGGCAGGTCATTCTGACGGAGGCAGGATTAGCGAGGAAAGCAACTCGCAAGGAGTCCATTTGGAACCAGCATCAAGCCTGGTTTAAAACTGTGCTGCACCCGTCCAAAGCAGGTATGTTATTGCGTTGAATGTTCGTATCTATATTCATACCCTTTCAGCGAGCTTGCAGGCATGGAAAGCCAAGCAAGCTGAGCATTATCACGCCCACTCATACAAGGACCCTAAGAACGCGGCTCTATGGAAGCAGATCCGAGAGCATTTTGATCATGCGATTGCCACTCCTGACGATCTATCCTCTCGCGAATCATGCAGTCTTATGATGGCAGTTCGTGAGATGTTTGCAAAATCGGTGAGTGCTATTTCGGTGATTAATGTTCATTGGTAACACGACCTTCTCAAGGCTTTGTACTGGCACCGCACATATGGAATTCATGTCGCTGGTATTGTTATTTATCCAGGTGATGAGGAATCTGGCCGCCAGGCCTCCGGTTTTTTTGCGGGGTCAGATATTGTAAAGGCCCTCATTGATGCTCAACGGGTAGATGCCAAGCATATGATAGATGAGATCACGACAATCCTCAAGTGGGTTTTGTTTTTACTCAAAGGCTACATCATCCTGACATACTTGGGGTATATTACAGGTACAAGGACTTAGAAGCTGCGCAAGCAGCAGGCAAGAATATTAAATTTCTTCCGCCGCCTGCCCCAGCCTCCAACGCCTCGCTTCTACGCAACGGTAAATCTGACAGGGATAGAAATCGCATGGTTGCACCTGTGGTTATCAGCGAAGCATTCGGTTTGTATCTCTCACCTGATCCTACTGCCGCTGTGCTCACATTTTTTTTGGTAGCTGATGCTGGTCATGCATTAAAGACTTCGAATAGTCGATGGATGACAATGCTTGACGTCCTATACTCGACAAGGTTATGTATTCATGACTGGCCCGCAGGAGTTCTGCCCCCTGGCCCTGATTTCGACCTCAAATCGCTGTCCGCAAGTCAGTTGCGTGCCCTTGTGGGTCCGTATCTGAGGATCCATCTTGGTGATACGTATGAGGCTGAGTTGGGCCGAGATGAGGATGAGGATGACAGCGATGCAGAGAAAGCGAAGATGGCCAAGCGGAAAGGCAAGTCCAAGAAGTCTGATGAGCATCGACGAACAAAGGGCGCGGTTGTGGAGGTGCCTGATGTTCTCTTGTCTATCCAGGATTGGAGTCCTCGTGCGTTTTCCAGTATTCGGAACCGCACAACAATTAATATCTTTACACTACAGTTCAGATGCAAGACCTCACCTCGTACACTGGCGAGGTGTACACAATCCCTCTCGTCATTGATACAGATGGTGTCATCTTACGTCGTCTCAAAGATTCAGAGAAATTTATCAAGGACCTCCCTCCCCACGTTACTCGCAAGCAACTAGGCAAGACGATTCGTGAAGAGTATCCGACCTCAGATGCAAGTGCAGAGCACTCGTTCCCAGAGGCTTCGCATCCTAACTTGGGAAATTCACGGTCCAATTCAAGAGCTTTGCACTCACACCAGCAGGTTTCGCGTACACATGTTACAACTCCACGCGCCAACTCGAGGGCTCCGCGCTCTAATCTTGGAGCTCCAAGGGCTACGCGCCCCCCCAACTCTGGGGCTTCGCGCTCAAACCAAGGGGCTTCGCGCTCAAATCAAGGGGCTTCGCGCTCAAACCAAGGGGCTTCGCGCTCCACTGCTGGGGCTTTGCGCTCCACTGCTGGGGCTTTGCGCTCTACTGCTGGGGCTTTGCTCCAATCAAGTTGTCACTAGGCACACGGACTATGATGATCTCACTGACTACAATAACCTCCCAGCCGATTATGACGATATCCCACCATCATCTCCTTTTTCGCCTGCTACGCCTCGAGGTTCAAATACAGCCCATGGACGACACCAGTACAACCGCCTGCATGAAGACATCCGCCATTCATTCGGCTCTAAGTCAGACACTCGGAAACGACCTCGTGGTGATTACGAAACTATAAGTGAGGTCGACGAAATCGAGACTGGCATGGTGGAGGATAGGCGTTTGGCCAGGATGCACGTATGTCGCCTACATCTTTATTTTATTTTATCTATTCAATCTCACATACCTTTCATAATCGCAGGACAGGACAAGCGTGGATCAAAGGTCCACTCGTGGTCATCAGTACGTTGCAATTCTATTGTCATTTTTCGGTGCTAATGGATCCCCATTCACTTAGGCGTAAGCCAATTGCTGGTGCTCCATCAATGGCACATTCAGGAGCCGTCACAAATAACAACACTGCGCGCTTAGCATCTCGTTCGTCAGTGGTACCCTATGCTGATCGCTCGCCTTCACGCCAGCACGGCCGTCGAGTTCCTGTCGAAGCTGAGTATGAATTTGACTCCTACTGATCTTTATAGCATGTACATCATTCTCGCATGTTTTGGTTTCGATCCTTGCTGGGTTGTGACTTATCGTGCTATGTTTTAACCTCGCTCATTTGTGTTCTGACCAGTCGTTCATCATGTTATGCCCTTCATACATATGCGTATGCCCCTTCATCACTTATGCTTTATGTTTTTTTTTACTGTCACATGCATACTATGATTAGACAAGTGATAGACATTGATCAAATATTACTATGATTTTCCTGCCGTCGAGGCCTAAAATGTTGACAATGTTTAGCTAGGAAACTGCATGGGTATGGGTGTTCTTTTTCTCTAATGTGTAGCTGTCCAGTGGTGCCCGCATGCCCGCACTTGAACCACACATGTCACATGACAATATTGGATTACAAAAGTACAGAACAACTTGGTTTCTAGATGTTCGAAGTGTGACCTTTCAAATTTGCAAGTCTTTATATGAATTCTCAATGGGTTTAGGTACAGATTCTACACATGCTGCCACACTAATGTAAAGTGCATTGTAGTGCCATCTCCAACAATATATTCTCACTTCATCAAATCATTGTAAAGTAGGCTCTATTAATCATAGACGTTGTGCATGAATGACAACAGCAATATGAGGTCATTTCGAAGGTAGGGATATGGCTGACTCAAGGAACAGGACATTCTCGTGCGCATGAACCAGATGCTGGTTCGTTCTCTTTATCATGCTCCCGCCCCACCTGCCAGTGCTCTTTTGCAATGAGGGACGGGAAGAACAACAGTTGTGCACCCAGTATCTATTTTGTAGAGTGCCCATGTTAAGACCATGCTTGAAAGCGGGATATGACAGCCCAGTTCATCACCCATCTGTTTGCTAGAGCACCCGGTTCATCACCCATCTGTTTGCTAGAGCGCCCGGTTTATCACCCATCTATTTTGTAGAGCACCCGGTTCATCACCCATCTATTTGCTAGGGCACCCCCGTCCTCCCCGGTTTATCACCATCTATTTGCTAGAGCACCCGGTTCATCACCCATCTGTTTGCTAGAGCGCCCGGTTCATCACCCATCTGTTTGCTAGAGCACCCGGTTTATCACCCATCTATTTCCTAGAGTGCCCGGTTCATCACCCATCTATTTGCTAGAGCATCCAGTTCATCACCCATCTGTTTGCTAGAGCACCCGGTTCATCACCCATCTGTTTGCTAGAGCACCCGGTTTATCACCCATCTATTTTGTAGAGCACCCGGTTCATCACCCATCTATTTGCTAGGGCACCCCCGTCCTCCCCGGTTTATCACCATCTATTTGCTAGAGCACCCGGTTCATCACCCATCTATTTGCTAGGGCACCCCCGTCCTCCCCGGTTTATCACCATCTATTTGCTAGAGCACCCGGTTCATCACCCATCTGTTTGCTAGAGCACCCGGTTTATCACCCATCTATTTCCTAGAGTGCCCGGTTCATCACCCATCTATTTCCTAGAGCACCTGGTTCATCACCCATCTATTTGCTAGAGCATCCAGTTCATCACCCATCTGTTTGCTAGGGCACCCCCTGGTCCATTCTGGTCTGCCCTACATCACATATGGTCCTCCATAGGTAGTCTATAATTGTGTGTGGGTCCACCCTACATCACATATAGTCCGCCCTACTTAGGCTATAATGTCTTTGTGGTCTGCACTAGTCAGTCTATAATATCACTGCGGTCCGCCCTATATGGTGTATGGTCCGCCCTACTTAGGCTATACTGTCTTTGTGGTCTGCCCTACTCAGCCTATAATATCACTATGGTCCACCCTATATGGTCTATATTGTCACTGTGGCCTGCCCTACATGACTTATGGTCCGCCCTGCTTAGGCTATAATGTCTTTGTGGTCTGCCCTACTTAGGCTATAATATCATTGTGGTCCGCCCTAGTCAGTCTATAATGTCACTGCGGTCTGCCCTATATGGTGTATGGTCCACCCTACTTAGGCTATAATATTGTTGTGGTCCGCCCTACATGACATATGGTCTGCCCTGCTTAGGCTGTAATGTCTTTGCGGTCTGCCCTAGTCACTCTATAATGTCACTGTGGTCCACCCTACATGACATATGGTCCGCCCTACTTAGGCTATAATGTCTTTGTGGTCCGCCCTAGTCAGTCTCTAATATCATTGTGGTCTGCCCTACATGACATATGGTCCGCCCTACTTAGGCTATAATGTCTTTGCGGTCTGCCCTACATCACATATGGTCCTCCCTATAATGGTGTGGTGGTCCGCCCAATATGGTGTATGATCCACCCTACTGAGGCTATAATGACTTTGCAGTCTGCCCTACATGACATATGGTCCTCCTTAATTAGTTTATAATGGCACTGTGGTCCACTCTATATAATATATGGTCCGCCCTACTTAGGCTATAATGCCTCTGTAGTTCGCCCTAGTTAGTCTATAATGTCATCATGGTCGACCTTAAATATCATATGGTCTGTCCCATGAACTTGTGTGGTCGCTCCTTATTTCCCTTTGTGGTCTTCCCTATATGATCACTGAGCCAAGGTTTCTAGCGGGTATGGGTCTTCACACCGGTTTAAGCAGGTACAGCAGGAACGGTACCTGTGAGGGGTAAACCCACAGGTATATGTACAAATTGAGCTACTAGACATGCATAAATAACACATTAATATCATCCCATCCCTCATCCCACTCCCGCTCTTCTCCTTTGAGGTCAGGCTTACATGTCACAGCGTAACATCCTTGAAAACTCCAATGTCCAAGGCAAAGAAGACATCATGTTGTTTGTGCCGAAAGTCTTGAATGCACATGAGAAAGAATGAGCCGTCCATGAGAGACAATATGCTCAACATCAACAGACATTGCTGCAAAGCCATATTGAAAACAGTGAACTATCACATCAGAATGAAAAAAAAAACTCACCTGGAATTGTCAAGTAATCTAGTACCATGCAAGAGAGATGCCGGGTAACAGGTACTCCACACTCATACCCGCACCCTCACAACTACATCAAGCCGTTCCTGATCCCCTTGGGGCTCTCTGTCAACCTGACATGCCTGTGAATAGCACAGGAGAGACCAAATTGAGCAGGACACGATTGCAGCCACACATTTAGCCATTATATGTTAGATATAATACAAAGGTTCATTGTAGTTTAAGGCTATTCACCATCAGAATCAACAGAAAACTACCGCAAAATATTAAAAATTAGGTGGTTTGTGGACCCCAGACACTCATATATATTTGGGAAAATCCATAAGGTATATGGTCCAAAGTACCCTATGGTACTTTCCATGACATGTTCCCAATCACCTTTGGTCTGTGTACCATACATACTCCTTTGGTCCACAAAAGTAATAGGGAAGGACCATGGAACATTGGAGAGACCATCAGAAACATACCTCTTAGGTACAAACCTCTATAGGTCACAATCAACCTAAGAGGTGTCTATAATGGGGTGACCAAAGTGCTTCAGAGTCACTTGACGGTGAGCTACTCGATTCACTGGAGTCGTCCGAGTCACTCGGATCTATGCCAGTCATTGCTCTCTTAACGGAGCTATTGACTGGTAGGATCGAGGACGCTCTACTGTAGCGCGCCTCTGGTTCCTTGGGTCTGGGCTTCGTCGAGGTCTTTCTTGGAGGGGGGTCATCGACGGTACAGATCTGCCTCGCGTCCCTTTGTCGCTTGTCAGGAACACCATCCTGCAGCCCTGTAAGAGCTGGGTTTGTTGGATAACGTTCTGTACTGGTGCTTAGGGTTGGGGCGCGGTAAGCTTGACTAACAAGGTTCAGTGCTTCCTCTTCCTTAGACTGACTTGCCCTTACTAGCCGCTCAAGTTCACAGACTTGAGAACGGAGGTCATCCACGAGCTGATCGCGTTCGAGCAGGTTTGTCTTGACCTTGTTTTGATATTGTTCCATTAGGAACTTTTGGGTTTGGATTGGCACTCTCAGGCTTTCATCTCGCCAGGACTGGCTCGGAGTCTCACTTCTTCTGGGCTCAGGTTTGTTGGTGGGTGAGATCTTGTCTCCCCACTCAGGCCATTGACTTATCCAGTCGCGGGTCTCACGATCACAGGTGACGACCTTGTTCACGTTCTCGACTCCTTTGCCCTTTTCTTCGTAGGGGATTCGTGGCGTCGACGGACGCGGGGTCGGTATGGGACTCAGGATTGGGAACATGGGTATGTCGCCAAGGTCGCCATCATCCGGTTCATCAGCCCAGCTGAGAATCCTTCCTTCGTTAGGTCTCGCATCGTCACCATTGGTAGAGCCGACCGCGGTGGCAAAATGGTCGTAAGTAATTCCACTGGACGCCAGTCCTATCTTGCTAACTACTACTGGTTCCAGGCTCATTGCCCTTGAGGAACTGGTGCCCTCGCTGTCCAACAGCGCACCGGGCATCATTTTACCCCCTTTGCCATCGTCGGCTAAGGGGGTGCTTGTGGCAATTGGTGCTTCCATAGCTCCCAACTGCGACTCCTTGGGACTGCGCTCAGCGTCACCAAGGTCGCGGAGAGGTTCAGTCCCGGGCTCAGCCCATTGACTGCTTTCTCGATCCGCGCCAGCAACAAACGATTCGTTGCGAGTCCAGGCGCTCTCTATGCCAATTTCGAGAGCCCCAGCGTCATCACCCTGCGCGCTCGTAGCGAGGGGAGAAAGAGCAGACAGCTCGTTTAGTATACTAGTGTTGTTGTTGGTCATGTCCGGACGGTAGGATTGTTTTTAGGGTTTTGATAGAAGGGGGGGAAGGGTCTAGGTTTCAGAGGGTGATCAATCCTCGTCTGCGTAGACCTTAGTGTGTAGTCTTAGGAATGGAGCTTAAAAATATGTTACGTCTGTAAAACGTCACAGGAGGGTTGAGTCGACTTAAGGGAGACCTAGGACTCGGACAGGGAAAGCTGGCCGAACTAAGATGGATATTTGGGGGTGTAAAGGATCAACTACTGTACTTTAGACAAGGGAGCTTGGTTAAGTACTATGGGGAAAATCGGGAAGAAAGGAGTAAGTAAATTTTATGACAGGTGCAATATACGTCTAATATACGTATTGCTATGGACGAGTATCCACGCGTGGATACTCGTCAAGCTTTTGATTTACGAGCGTAACAGACACCCAGTATTAAATTCCCACGAACCTACATTGTGTGACAGCCTGAGACTGTGTATAATAGAATGAGGATCTTATTTCATGTTCGCTCGACGTTGGGTCGTCGGGGACGTGCTCAATACTCAACAAACAAATGGCGTGGGGTCTCTAGTGCTGCCGCAGTCCGGTCCCGAACCGTGGTTCGAACCCGAACCCATCCAGACTGGACCAGTGGTTCGGTCACAGGTTTGGTCTCTCTCCTGGACCGAACCCCCTAACAGGTTCGGGGTTCGATGTCGTCACTGAAAAATGCGGACCGGTTCGGACGCGTCCGGACCGGTCCGAACCTGCACCACGCGCACAATTCCAGCTGCGTGTTTTTTGTGAGGCTTCCTGTCAGTTTAAGTAGTGTGCTCACCAACTTCTGTTCCTTCTCTTCTTTTGACAGTAGCGTTCCCCACATTGCGCAAGCAACAAGGGTGCTTTTTTCAGCTATGCAACGACTCGAAGCACCGGTACTATGTTCACCGTCTCTCATGTTTGATAAGTTGCTAACTTCTAATGTTTTTTTCATTCAGAATATACCTACTACTGTGGTGATTCCTGGGTTTTCCACCAAGTTTGCGCAATGGATTGTCATTTTGGAACTTGAAGGTGCGCAACATTTTTTTATTTAGTTTGAGATATATATATTCACTTGTGGTATAGGTTCGACATTCACACTCCCTGCTGCAACTATGTTCGAGTCGTCTGCACCAGCCCGTCGTCCTGACGGTTCGTTGAAAAGCGCTGAAGAGATGGAGTGGATACACAACCCGGATGATGACACTACCATTATCCCTCCCCCTCCTCCATCCAAAGGCACACTCAATTCATTCATCCGTCGTTCAGGCCGCGCTGTCAAGCCTACAGAGAAGATCCGGGAGACTGCCAGCAGTATCCCGGCCAAACGGTCAGCTGTAGGACCTCCTGCCCCCGCACCCAAGAAAGCACTCATGCGCACCAGAAACGAAGAGCGTGACGACAATGACAGTGACAAATACGACGCCGAAGAAGAAGCCCCTCCACTTGAGGATTTTACAGATGATGAGGAAGACAATGAAAACGAGAACGAGGAAGCTTACCAAAAGATGAAGAAGCTTGGTGACCAGGATCGTGAAGACCGTAAATCCCTCAAGAAGGTCGAACGCAGCGCCGATTTGACCACGATCTTTACTTTCGAGAAAGATCGTGTTAACCCCCACACCCAGGAGCGCGAAAATGGGTGGCGGTGTGAGGTATGCAAGGCTAACAATGTTCCGCTTCACCAGTGCTTTTTTAAGGGGGGTATTTCGACTCGACGCACGCACATTGCACGGAATCCCAAGTGCCATTACCCTATCTACAAGGACCGCTGTGAACAACGGGGTCTCACGATGCACGATCGTGCAATCCCTCGTAACTGCAAAGCGGACGTGCCGCAGCCTACCTTGGACGCCTCACTTACTCCCAAGATTCCTGCATTCACAAAGGCTGGACTCATGGATTACATTGTCGAACTCATTGTTGCCGAAGATGAGGTGAGCGACTCTCATTTTTGATACATTTTAAAACACTTATACAACATTATAGGCCTTTCAACTTGTAGATAAAGGACCCTTCCGCCGCCTACTTCAATATCTCCGGCCATCACTTTCAGACCGAGACATTCCCCACCGTACCAAAACTCGGGACGAAATACTCGAACGTGCAAAGCTGGCAGTCGAGCGCGTGAAAGAGAAGCTCAGCCGTGTCGATAGCAAAATTTCCATGACGTTCGACTCTTGGACGTCTTTTCCTGGTCACCCTTTTCTGTCAATTACAGCGCATTACATAGATTCACCAGCTGAAAACCCTCATGAGTGGGAACTTAGGGTGGAGCAGCTCGCGTTCGCACCCATTCACGGCAATCACAGCGGTGCGAACATCGGGAAGATTTTGATCGAGAACATCAACAAATACGACATCCGCACGAAGCTTGGGTGGTTCACGGCTGATAACGCATCAAACAACGATACTGCCATTGAGATGGTTGCGACCTCTATTGACCCTTACGGAGTGGAGTGGAAACCAATTGAGCATCGAGTACGGTAAGTTCGTTCATTAAGTACTGAATTTGAGATTACTGATGAATATTCAGTTGTATGGAGCACGCACTCCACTTAGCTGCAAAACACTTCATTGAAGAAGTGGCTCCTACACCGGCAAGCATCTTGCACAAGAAGGCAGCTCAAGCTGAAGATGAGGACGAGGACGGCGAGGAAAGTGTTGAATTTGACGTTGGTGACACTATTGGCAAGGCACTTGCATTTGTAGCGCAGGTAAGCTCTTTAATGATCTATCTGCTATTGTATAGTACTGACACGAGACCTTTGTTTAGGTCCGGAAGTCTCCTCAAGCTCGCGTCTTCCTTCAAAAGTGCTGCAAGGAGGTGAATGAGCCCCCATTGGAGCTTTTGAAATGGGTCCGCACACGTTGGGCGTCTCTTTTTAATATGTTGGAGCGTTTTTTTAAATTGCGCAAAGTAAGTTGTCTACTACCGACTACATGAACACATTACTGACTTGATTATTAGGGAGTAAACAGATTCATCCAGCTCGCTGATGACAGCGACGAGGTCCCAAATCTGAAGGGAAAATCATACGCGGATTTCAGGCTTTCAGCGCACGAGTGGGCAGAGTTGGAGTTGATCCGTGAAGTCCTCCAGGTAAGTCATTTCTCTCTACCTTCCGCAATTATGCTTATGTGCTGCACACCGCACACCAAGGAGCCGGCAGATGCTCAACAGAGCTTCTCTCCCACACGTGAACCAACCGTATGGAGAACCATTCCAGTGCTCGAATGTCTTCAAGACACTTTGCAAAACATGGCGAACGCATCAAAATTTGCCCGTTTCTCAACGGCCATCAAAGCTGGTGTCACTAATCTCCGCAAGTGGTATAGTAAGACTGACGACACAGATGTATATTTCATTTGTCTTGGTATGTATCTCGTATCTATTCTAATGCCTTTGAATGTCATTGACCTTGTTGGTGTAGCGCTGGACCCCAACTACAAGGTCGCGTACGCGAAAGACAAATGGACCACTCATTCTTTCAAAAAAGGCATGCAATGCCTCGAGAGCACGGTATGTCACTCATCACTCATTTCTGTCAATTGTATACTAATCTTACATAGTTTGATATGTATCATCGCAGTAGTACTCCCTCGCAGGCTCCTGCAGAGCCGTCTGTTACTGCGCCTCCCTCGCTTGCTCGCCAAGGCTTGTATGGCCATAATTGGATGCGAAGCTCTGTCAAATCACGTGTCGTGAATGACACAACCACATGAAGGCCTCGTCAAGAACTCGAGGACTATCTAGATGCACTGCTCGAGGACGTCAACAATGTGGTGGCCTGGTGGGGTGTACGTCTTGTTATTCTATTTGTATTGCTTTCGTACTAACATGATTCAAAAAAACTTTAAAGCACCATTCTATACAATACCCGACTATTTCCCGCATCGCAAAGGACTACCTCGCCATTCAGGGATCAGCTGTTGCGTCTGAGAGAGCATTTTCGAGCGGCGGCGTTACTGGGACCGTGCGTCGCAGCTGTTTGAAGCCGACAACATTCGAGGCTCTTCAATTGCTCAAGAGCGCATACCACCAAGGTCATATCTCCGCAACAGCCCAGGCTGAATTCGCCACTCCTTATGATAACTGTGTCGACGTCAATGAAGAGTTCTAGTAGCTATTCATATTGTACATGTCATTTTCGTTTTGATTTTTTTTGCTAATTAAATCAATGGTTCGAGGGTTCGAACGCGTTCTGAACCTGAACTGAACCCTTGTGAACGCGTTCGAAGGCGTCCGGTCCAGGGTTCGGCCATCTTGCCTGAACCTGACCACTGGTCGAGTTCGGGGTTCGCAGATATAGGGTGATGAACCTGACCGAACCGGACTTCGGCAGCACTAGGGGTCTCCAAGCGCTCGCATCCAAATCGACACCACGGAGAGGTATTTCGCAGACGAGTGAAACACACTCGCGGTGTCTAATTGTCGTGACCTTGCGTAGAGTTGTACCAACGCCGAGTATGCATATGGCGTGCGCACATATGGGTGTTCTGGTGGAGCATGCGAGTCATAAAGATGTAGCGCGAGGGTAGCCTTTCGCAAGACGCAGTTTACGTGAGGGGCGAGTGTCAAGTGTATGTTGCGCAAATTTGACTTTCTTGCTTCTTTCAGTCTGACTATATTTATGCAGGATTGATCTTGCAGTCCACGGAAGGGAGCACTCCCACCGTCAACGCTGTCAAGCACGTGTTCGTCATGGTCGCACTGCCCAAGTCGCTTGCTGTATACCATTGACACCACTCCCCCCCCCGCCCACTCACCTCATACTCTTCCCAAATCTCACTGGGTTTACTTAGAATCCAATATAAGTATATTTCTTCATGCCTAAAGCATCAGGCACCAACGATGAACAGCCTACCCCGCAAAATGACACTGTAGGACCTACCAACGAGTAAGTTGCGACTTGAGGTACGGGGGGGCACAGGAGTCCCCAAGGCTAGACAGTAGTGTCTTACATAGAGTTACTCTCAAAGACAAAAACCAGGATTTAAAAAAAAAAAAAAAAAAAAAGTTGCGACTTTATGGAATCTGCCACCCGCCTAACAGCAAAACAGGGATGCAATAAATGGTGGACCTTCTGTGGTGCTGCTATCAGGGATGTAAATGTTTCTGCCCTGATGCTTCTGTGTCCCTACTCACCAGAACCGTAGCTCGAACACTTGGCGTTCCCAACCATCAGAACTTCACGTGCAGGAAAGTACTCCCAATTTGAATGTTGTATCGGACGGCGATTTAGCTCTGTAAGTCCCTATCAATGTCGATATCAAATAAGCTTATGTGTTGTCTCAGCGAGGAGGACATGGCGGAGAAGGACGTGGAGGAGAAGGACGTGGAGGAGAAGGACGTGGAGGAGAAGGACGCGGAGAAGGACGAGCCAACTCTAAGCGAATTGTGAGTGAAAAATCAGCTGAGCGATCATAGCTAACAACATCCTACACGCAGAGCAAGTGTCATGAAACAGGTATTGGTTGTTCTCCAGGACTCGACGATTGCGTCGAGGAGCGGCAAGGACCATCGCTCTCGTTTCTGGGGGGTGTACAAGAGAGTCGCAGAGGAACACAATGGCGAGTTCCTTGAGCGATACACTAGCGATATGGACATTGTCTTGGTCTTCGTACGTGTCGCATGCTCATATTGAACTCACTTTCAGATTGACATTTGATCAGTCTGGTCTTTTCTCCGCTGTCAGCACGTCTTTTATTGTGGCAATGGAGTCGAATCTCAATCCCAACCCCAGCGACACCACGAATGCCCTTCTCACACAACTCGTACAAATCGGACTCGGGAACCTCACTGCAGCGGGTTCTGCAGCCGCAGCGCCAGAATCTTCGTGGTCGCCGTCGGCGATGACCATATGGATCCAAATGATCGCATACGCAAGCTTGTCCATGAGCTTGCTTGCTGCTTTCGGGGCCGTACTGGGCAAACAGTGGCTCGGGTACTATAAGTCGAACAGATATGGTCGCGGCTCGCAAGAGGAACGAGGAAAACGCAGGCAAGAGACGTTCGATGGCGTCACCTCATGGTATTTTGATGCTGTCGTACAATCGTTTCCGGTCTTACTTCAGATCTCCCTTCTTCTTTTTGGGATTGCGCTCGGTGCCAATTTGTGGACCGAGCAACCGAGCATCGCCTGGGTCATCATTGCCACAATGGTCTTCGGATTTCTATTCTATTCACTGACCGTGGTGGCATGTTTAATATCTCCCGCCTGTCCATTTCAAACACCGATATCGACGATATTGCGGATGTTGCGCATCGACAGTAAGATCATCTTGTGGATTCTGATGGTCGTTTCCTGTCTGAATCAAACATTGCAGGAGTTTTACTCTCAATATTCACACCAGCCTCCAGGTATTTCCAGCAGCTCATGATGTCAGCGCATGGTGAGCTATGTTTTCTTACGTGTCCACGGGTTTTTACCATTTCTTGTTAGGCGTGCTGCTGCGATTGCTTGGCATCGTCAGATCGAGATGGACCCGATTTTCTGAAGCATTGAGAGGTGACATTTTTATCTACTATTACACTGGACACCCAGCGCTAATCTCATTCCCCAGGCCCTATACGTGTGGTTGGCGCATTTGCATGCAGTTCTCTTCAGCAGTCATTCACCGCGCTTCATAACGGGATGCGTTCTTTGGTTCTGCGCTCTTCGAGAAAGATGGTGGACTCGGAAAGACAACCGGTCGACCAAAACTTGGACATTTTGGCGGAGAATGAATCCACACTCGCTCTTCACTTCCCTGACATACCCACTGCCAGTCTGGAAGCACGTAGCATCAAGTGGCTGCTCGAGACATCTACGGATCCCGAAGTATATCTCGCGGCTGCCAGCCTCGTTCCGCACGTCGAATGGCCCCTGGATCTTGACGTGTCAGACATGCTGCCTCAGCTGCTTTATAATTTTGCAAGCTGCGTCGATATTCAGAACCAAATCGTACCTTCGTTGAAGGAAAAGGCCTCTGCATGTATAGTGGCTCTGAGTCATCTATACTGCGGTCGTGTTCTTCAGGCATCTCCTGGATATGGTGAATTTCTTGGCCAACGGGCAAGAGACTACGAGGTGTTTCGTGGGATGAATGGGATGGACTTGGGCATGGACGACAGGGCGATGCTTTGCACCACTATGCATCTTTGTCCTGAGAATGATGACGATCTTAGATTTTCATTCGGTCTTATATGGTCGGAGCTTCGTCCCGACTCTGTCTTGGAGTGGCTGCCACATTCTCTTCCTTACCATTTCGTTACCGGGCGAGCGAATGAACTTGTAGAAGAATTTGCTATAGCAGTGATATCAAGACTGCTAAGCTCTCCATCCACTCCGTCAAACCAAATCATCGCCAATTGCACTCTTCTCGCTTGCATCATGATCGGGGTTCGGTTTGACAAGAAAGACATAGTTCGGATTGATAAAAGGTGACATTGACTTAATTGGTGGTTTTTCTGCGATCATTAACAATGAAGTTGTGTAGTTCTGCTCTGCCTCAACTTGTGCAGCCCCTTTTGACGCAGTTCCAAAAGGTTCTCTGGGCATGCGATGGAGGCGATGTCGACAAAGACAGCACAGGAGTCACACGCCGGGCATGGAGGATCCTCGACGTTATCTGTCACATTCTCGAGCCTTCTCCTCTCCTACGATCTGTGTACCTTGCCCTCAAGCCATATGCCATTCATTTACAGCTTTTCACGCACATATCAATAGTACACTATTTGTAGCACCTGAACACCGCTAGACATGCAACTTGTTTTTGTATTTAAGTACTCGAAAATGACAAGGATTATTTTTAAAAAAAAACCGTCAAATGTAAAGGATAAGGCTGCAGCGAGAACACACTAATAAATGACTCGAAGACTTAGAACTTAGTAAGAAGGGAAGCCTACACCGTCGAAGTTGAATTCGGTGTGAGCAAAAGGCATTGGTCCCGAAGAAGGAATAGGGTCAGTAGGAGAGAAAGGTACTGGTACGAAGTTGTCAATAAAATCATTGAAAGGAGGGAACAGCGAGCCTAAGTCTGCACTAAAATCTGGAAGGATTGGTGGGGCGGGTGCAGGGCCCAAAGACTCGGAGTGCAGTGCATTAGTGCCAGGAAGGACAGGCTCTTGATTGGTAGGTGTTTCGTTGGCGCCAGCCGGAATGAGCGGGGCAGTCGAAGCGCGATTAGCGCTGGGCGTGTTAGAATCTTCAAAGGGCGATCCTGCTTCGGCCTGAGTGGTGGCGGGTACAGGGGAGTCAGGGCGATCATCCTCTCCATCACTGTTGACATTCTCCGTACTCTTGTATGTCTTCTTGCGGCGGTGCTGGTGCGTCTCCCTTACCACACCATCTTCAATCTCCTCGTCATCATCAGCATTTTGGCGTCTTTTCTTACCCTTGTCGGAGCGAACACGCCGGCGCGTTTCCTTCACCAGACCATCCTCAATCTCCTGGTCTCGCTCTTTCTCCATGGCTGCCAATTCTTCTGCAGTAAGGCGCTTCCATTTGATGGCCTCAGATCGCCACTTCCTTAGGAGCCTTTCCAGGTCAGGAAGGGCACTAGAGGCCGTGCTGAGATTGACGAAGGGAATCTCCTTTGGCCAGCCCGTGATGACAACAGAATAGCGCTTGACGACGTTGCGCCAATATTGCGCCCACTGCATTGTGGCATCGGGTACTCCAGTTTTCTTACCTGTAAATCTTTTATGATGCAAACAATTAATTTTAAAAAAGAATTACGCACGGAGAGCTTGATTGATTTCAGCGCGGATTTGAGCGCGAACACTAGCAACGCGCTCCTGATGGTTAAGTGCTGCTCCTGCACAATGATGATATAGGTCAGTCATGTGCCAAAAAAAATTGGAAATACGAACCTCTCATGCCTTGAATGGCGAAACCCTCCATCTTGTTGACCAGATCTTGATTATCGATGCCTACCGCGGACTCCATGAAGTCTTGCACCCCTTCGGTTGCAAATGTAACACCGCGTAGCGGAAGGTCAGTTGTTCCTCGAGTCATATACAATATAGTCTCCGCTCCAGTACGCGAGCGAAGATTATCGAGCTAACCAAAGAATGAAGAATTAAATAGGCCGCTGGAGCTACAAGAAAACAAGATCATACCTCGCTTTCGATGGCCTTCAGAGTGTGAGTGACGTCGTTGATCTTCGACTTTGTTGAAATACGTTGCCCAGTGGTCTTCGTGGCCTTATATTCCTTGTACTCTTCGATGAGATTTGTTTTCTCCTCCTTGGTGAGGTCGTAGTACTCGGCTTTGAAGTCCCGCATGATTCCTCCGAGTACGTCTTTGCCGTGTCCATCTTCGCAATAAAATCCATTAGATTAAGCGGTATCAAAAGGGGGGGAACTCACAATTTTCCTTGTCACTGTCTTGCCCTTTCTTCCATAGAAAAGAATTCCACGCGCTGACCTTGGAATGCTTTGCCTGCAGAAGGGAGTGCCCCATGTGCAATTCATGTTGCACTCGACGGACAGTTTTCTTGTGGTCTGCAGCAATCTTAATGGCAGCATCGTCCACGGTCTGCCAGGCATCCTCGAGAGCCTTCTTGAAAGTAAGAGAGGCTTCGCGGCGTCGTAGTGTAAGGGCAACCCGTGCCTCTTTGCTGAGTTGTACCTTAGCACGAGTCCTAGTCAGTGCCTGTGTGCGCACTGACAAGTTTCGTTGTGCAGACTTGTGGGAGACCATGTTGCCCTAAGGTGAGAGTCAGTGCATATAATTTAAATACGCTAAATCACACCGGATCATGAATTTGTTTAACGGACGCTAGTCATTAGGCAGTGCAAAGTGCAGAAAAAATCAACAGACATTATCCAAATTGACGGCGATCAAATAAATGAAGGATCTATGTCAAAACAAGATAAACAAGGTAAAACGCACAGAAAACGGCAAGGGTGATAAGTACAAGTGCGATGATCCTACATACTTTACAAATGGAGGAAGAACCCTAGCAAAAATATTAGTTACTGTAGAGAATGGCGCAAAAGTGAACTCTGCTTACCCTGAAGACGAATGGAGAACCAAGGTTGAGGTCGGCATGAAGTGCCCAATTGAGCTTAGATGCTTGCTCGTAATTGAGGTCCCATCTTGGCGAGCGCAAATTTTCTTCCCACCGACTGCTACGAATGGTGCTGATTAAAATGCGCAGCTTTAGTAGGGTTTCATCACCCAGCTTAAACCGATCAAGAATAGCATCTGTGTGCGGGCCAATACTGATAAGCGGTGGACCCGAAATGACGGGCTCAAGAATCACCGAGCTCTGATTAGCGAGAAATGCTTCCGCAGGACGGCGGCGAAGGCCCTGACCACGAGGACTGGTAGCTTGGGCCATTGTATGGGCATTAGACACTGGGGTTTGAGCCGTTGACAGTGGAGCACGAGGACTGGCAGCTTGAGCCGTTGACACTGGAGTACGAGGACTGGCAGCTTGTGCCGTTGACACTGGATCACGAGGACTGGCAGCTGGAGCCGTTGACACTGGAGCACGAGGACTGGCAGCTTGAGCCATTGGACGGGAATTTGACACTGGGGCTTTAGCCGTTGACACTGGAGCAGTAGCATGACGGATGGCAGCTGAAGCAGGCAATGATGATGGTTCCTTTGATCCAAATGAGAGCTCCCTCTTGAAAGCCTCTTTCGGATAGCCTTTTTTTTTTTTTTTTTTTTTTTTTTTTTTTTTCAAATTCAAGTCCTGTTGGGGTATTCTACCCTATGTAGGACTATACTAACTAGGGGGAAAGGGGAACACCTGTGTTCCCCACCGCGTCTCAGATTATGTGCGAATGCCCCGATGTTACCATCGGTCCTCCGTTCCTGCCGGCAGTTTTAGACGCCCTAATCTACTACTCCACGGGACCTTGTGGGTTCTGTGCGTGTTGGTGTGTTATTGCTGGCGTGAATCTGGTGGATGTGACATGTACTCGGAGCGCCGGAGCGATCGTGTACGAAGGGAGTTGGGGAGAGCGGCAGTAAAGATATAAAGTGTGTTGGGTTGGGGATGCGTCTGGCACGCGGTGTAGGATCCCGGCGAATGAACCTCTAACATCTTTCTACCTCTTTCTACCGGCTGAGGTCCTTGTGATACCGGAGGTTAGGTCCGGGTTCCCTTCGGCGGCGAGTGATTGTTAAATATATAAATATAAGATTTGTCGTTAACTTCGTTGATGCGGCGTGTATGTTTGTGCGTGATGCGTCTGTCTGTGCTGTGATCATTATAATGCTTATTAGGAGGGGGGAGGTACTTCACCGAATGAGGATTTCAGTCTGCCTGTGCTGTTCACGTAGTTGATAAGCGGATTGATTGCTTTGGCGTTACTCAGCAGGTATGAGATGGAGGTGGCGTTTCGTTTGAGTATGTTCGCGAGTATAAGGCGTTCACGAGCATAGTGCGGGCAGTCAAGCAAGTAATGTTTGACCGTCTCTATGGTCCCTGCGCAATGTGGACAGTTTGCAGTGGGGCTTCTTCCTATACGGTGGAGATGGGAGTTAAGGGAGACATGATTCGTTCGTAACCATAGAACGAGGGCGATATGACGTTTCGGCAAGTGCTTTACGAGGGAGATGAACGAGCCTGAGATGGTGCGTGAGTCGATACGTGTCGCGTGTTCGTAGCGTGGTGATTGACTCCAGAAACGAGCCCATCGTTCCGTGGATTCTTGCCGCTGTGCTTGTTTCAGGGCGGAGATACTGCTGGGCAGTATCCCTTTGCGAAGGAATGGGGGAAGGAGTTCGCGTGGGCTATTCTCTGCGCTGCTCGATGCTGCTCTCTTTGCTTCTTCATCCGCCGTCTCATTTCCCGCTACTCCGTCGTGACCCGAAATCCACCTGACGGCGACCCCATAGTTCATGTCTCCTCTATTAGCTCTCTTCAACTTGGCTATTGATCTGCGGAAGTAGTCGATCAGGTAGTGACCGGGCTTGGTAGTGAAGAGATCACCGGCTTTGATTGTCGCCTGGTTGTCCACGTAGATCGATACAGGAAATACTATGTCTTCCTCCTCCGTTAGTAACTGCGCTGCTAGGGTTAAACCTACCGCCTCCGCCTCATAGACTGTGTGCTCGTCCAGAGAGCCCAGGTGAAACCTGAGGGTGCGTGGTAATGGTCGTCCTGTGCGAAACAGAGCTGCTGCTGCTCCCGCATTACCGTCCAGGCCCGATCCATCGCAGTAGATTTTTATCTCGTCCTGATTCTCGTTGTGATCTCTGATGGCGTCTTCCCGTGAGTTAGCGATGGAGGTGGAATATGGTGATGAGGTGTTGGGAGGGCGGCGACTATGGATAATGGTTTCGATGGTGTCCACGTCGAATTCGGAGGCACGGTAGAGATGGTGTAGGGATGAGCGATGACGTCTGACGAATCTCTTGGCTGCACGGCGTACTGGGTTGTGTAGTGGGTGAGATGGGGGGTGTGCGGCTAGTCTGATTGCTGCTTGATAGCACAGGTTCTGCATGCGATGTTCAATGGGGAGTAGTTTTGCGTGAACTTCTAAAGTGTCAGTAGCTGTTGAACGCATAGCACCCGTGATACTTAGCGCGGCAATTCGTTGGACTCGTCCCATGCGTTTCGCTACTCCAATGGAACCCTTCTGTTTCGTGTCTGAGTTGCCGATGAATAGAGGCTTGAACCATAAGTCGACTGCGTATAGCATCTTAGGTATCGCGACTGCGAGATATATCTGACGCATCAGTGACATAGGGATACCAGTGGAAGTAGATGAGAGGCGACGTAGCTGGAATATGTATGCGGTGCCTTTTGCGATAGCGTATGCGATGTGAGGTTGCCATCTGAGCGCTTGGTCCAGTATAACTCCAAGGAATTTGTGCGTGGATGTTGGAGTTATCGTAGTGCCTCGCGTGACGAGTGGCGGACGTTCTTTAGTGGAATTCATGGAAAAGTCTACTAACGCGAATTTCGACGTCTCAAACTTGGAATTGTGGTCTAGCGCCCAGTCATAGCCCCCACCGGTTCTCTCTAGCATACTCTTGAGGGTGACGTGCGTTTCGTGGAAGGATTTGCCGATGGCCAAGAACGCGGTGTCGTCGACGAATGCGAGGGTGCGTTCGTTTTTCTCGTGTCCGATGGCGATGTCAACTAAGTCGGAGTCATAAATAATATAAAGGATCATAGAGAGCGGGTCGCCCTGCCCGATGCCATTGGAAATCGGAATCCATTCCGATAGGTGACCGTCAAATTTCAATTGCGTGCGTCGTCCGAATAGAAGACGTTCCGTAAATCCGATTAGTGAGTCTGGGAGTTTGCGGCTACGCATGTTGTGAAGTAATCGATCAGTGACTGCATTTGGAAAGGCCCCTTCGATATCTAAGAATAAAGCAGAAACTACTTTACCCTGGCGCCATGCGTCTTTAACGGTGGCTTCGAGAAGATGAAGTGAGTCGGATGTCGAACGACCTGGGCGGCCCCCAAAGTGGGTGTTGGGTAAGAGGTTGTAGTGTTCTAGTACGAAGGTTAGCTGGTCGGCGACTACTGCTGTTAATAATTTGCAGGTAGTGTTGAGGAGTGCGATCGGGCGGTAAGCTTTGGTTACTGAGTAGTCTGGTTTCCCGGGTTTGCGCAGTACCACGGTCGTGAAGTCCCTCCACGGGGCATAATAGGTCTTGAGGGTGTAGACTGCTCTAAATATGGGGAGTAGATAGGGTATTAGCAAGGAGGCGCAGCGAATAAAAATAATATTGCATAGTCCATCAGGACCTGGGGCTTTGTAGGGCCCTAGTTTCGAGATGCTTCTCTTGATTTGATCTGCTGTGATTGGCGCTGGTGTGGGGACGGCTTCCGGGTAGATTGGGTCCAGTGGGACGGATGACGTGGCTGGGGGCGGGGGGAAAGAAGGCGTGCGCTAACGCAGCGCTCTTCTCTTCGTTAGTTTCTGCTGTCCCGCCTCCGGGTTTGTTCAGTGTCGGGATGCGGGACATGCCTCCATCCCCAGAGGCGTCTGTTAAGTATCTGCTTGCGACCCAAATTTCGTTACCTTTGATGTCCTCCAACCAGGCTACCCAGTGTTCTTTCTTGGTCTTCTTAATCAGCTCGGAATATTGATTGTGTTTGACGCGGTGATCGTTGTGGCTAGGGTGGAGAGGAGCGTCTCGAAATCGGTAGGATAAATGACTTAACTTTGCTACTTCGCGTCTCATCTTCGTTAGATCGTGATTCCACCAATGTTTGGCGTGGGGATTGGGTTTCGACGTGGGCACGAGCCGTCTAACCAAGTCTTGAATGGTGGTAGTCAAGTCATGGGCGGCCTTCTGAAATACTGCGTCAGATACAAGTGGCTGAGGTGCGGGAATCTTAGCCAGTTCAATTTCGAGCTGCTCGTTGAATTTCTCCCAGTCGACTTCGCGGTAGTTATGTTTTGTTTCCTTCGTTGCTTGAGGGACGGCGAGTTCGAGGATGCTGAGGATCGGGATATGGTCTGTTGCCGGGCCTCTTAGCGCTGGATTCGTGGAGCAGCTAATGAAAGAGTCTCCTGTGTGGTCAGTGCAAAAGACGTTGTCTGGACGAGACCACTTTTTGGTGGTGGATAGTTGCAGCGTTGGTAGTCCTTTTGGTAGCATCATAATCATGTTATGGTCCGCGAGTAAATCAAGGAGGGGTTGCGCTGCGTCTAGATATCGATTAGTAAAGAGATGCGTATTGCAGTCGTCATCCCAAAGAGGGTGATGGCGATTGAAATCCCCGAGCCAAATGATGTGGTCTTCAGCTGATGGTCTTAAGCGCGTAGCTTCACGATCTAGAAATGAGGCTAATTCTTCTTGCGTCTTCGTGTGGATGCAGTCGTTATACATATTGATAATGGTACATCGTCCAAAAGGTCCGCGGAATTGAATGACGACGATGTCTGGTGAGGGGAAGGGTACTTGTTGCCATGAGTTAGTGTCGAATGATTTGGAGATTAACGTGACTGAGCGTGATTTAGTGTCTGGGGAGGAGAATCGAGTGGTAGGATAAATAGCGTGGAAGTGGGGAGATGAGATGGTGTTTTTCATAGTGTTAATGTGCGGTTCTTGAAGCGCTAATACGTCCCAATCGCGGGCGATGGGACCGTTAAGTAGGGAATGTTGAGCGATGAGCGACGTATTGAGGTTTTGTTGCCAAATACGTAATCTGGTCGTTTGTTCGGTATGTTGTTCAGACATTACTGGGGGTATGGATCCGTGGGGTCGGTGATCTTGAGGAGGAGGAGGTGGCGTCGTTGGAGGGGGTGGGGGTGATGGCGTCGGAGGAAGTGGGTGCTGGTTCTTGAGTGAGAGGGGGGACGAGCGTCGATGATGGTGGAGTCTGTGTGGTGTTAGTAGATTTGATGTTTGTTGGTACGTGGTCGCCCCAACCGATTGTGGAGGGGATAGAGTTTGGGCCTGATGGGGAGAATGCGCGTGTGCTGTTGTGTCTGGCGTGAGTGGGAGCTCCTCTGGGTCGATAAAATGAGCCTCTTGAGGGTCCTTGGGCTTCTCTGGTCTGATGTTGCGTTCCGAACGCTAGATTTGTCTGACGGAAGGTAGGCTTGGGCGGGTTTAGTGATGGTTGTGGAGTCGGTCTGCAATATGGGGCTGGTTTTGGTGGTAGGGAGACTTGAGTCCAGTCATCGTTGTTGGGGAAGTATGGCATTGAATTCTCCGGATGTTTAGTGTCGATACCTGCGCATCGATTCTCGAATTCTGGACAGCTTCTATTCCAGCTGGCGTGGTCGTTTGAGTCGCAACTGACGCAGTAAAAAGTTTTGTACGCATGACATTCACTAGTGCGGTGGTTGTTGCCGCATGTTCCGCACGTGTCGCGAGGTGCGTTGCAATCTCTGGCTATGTGGCCCCATAATTGACATTTGACGCATCGCACGGGTTCCTTTTTATCCTTGCGGGGGTGGAGTTTTTCTTTGTTGATGTAAAGACCGTCTCGCAAAGCAACGTTGGCTGCATTTGAGTCTGTAAAATGGAGGATAGCGTGAGCGACCCTTTGGTTAGGTGCACGTCTTAGCCTTGGTTTTATCCATTGTGCTGATTCTATTGCGCCTTTGCTGAGGTCGTTTTCCTCTTCTACAAGGCGTAGCCAGTCAGGGTCTTCTATTTCGGAAGAGGTTTGCAAGAATGGTACGATGATGGAGAATCGTCGTTCCTTGATTGATGCCGGTATATTAAGTGCCTCGATGATCCTGAGTCGATTTTCTGGGAGGCGGATCCAGTTTGCTGCTGCTGTAGAGGTTAATTCCACTATGAGGCCTCTGTTGCGTAGTTTGATTGTGGCCTTGACTTGGGTGGAAGGAGAGTCGTCTGTCTGTACCACTGAGAACGCTGTGTTCATCTTAGTCGCTATTTCTGCTGGGCTGATGTCGGGGGCGAATAGGATTTTCCCTGGTGCAGGGTCGAATAGAATTTGACGTTCTCTGGTTACTGCGCGTATTAGCGCTGCCGAGACTGGAGCCGACGGGGTGGTTTGTTGTTGCACGGCGGCGCTGTAGGATTTCGTTAGTCCTGGTTGAGTGGAGCCTGGTTGAGTTGGCGTGGGCATGTTGTTGATGCTGTCTTGGGTGGCACTAAGGGAGGGGGTTAATAAATCCATGGTGTTTTTTACCTCCGATAAGCTATTGAGCACTGCATCAGCCGCATGTTCTGCGCGTTTTGCTGCTTCCTCTGCCGCATTAGGAGAGTCTTGAGAATCCATCAGTGTTGATTTCATTTGCGCTAATTCTTCTGCTTTTGTCTTGATTAGCTCTGAGGCCGTTAGGACGGCTGCTATCTGAGGCGAAATTGCTGCGATGACATGGGCAGTGAGACTGTTAGTTAAGGATTCTGAGAACTGTTGTGAATGGACTGGGAGATCCGCTGGCGTGTTTAGAAGGTCGTCTTCTAAGATCAGGAATAGCGCCCTTAGGCCTTCGTTGACGATGCGAGGGATTCCCGGGTATTGTGTTATGTGTAATATTGTCAGCAAAAGACTGGCTGGGGAAAGCGGCTCGCCTGCAGGTCTGAATGACGATTTCTCTAAGAAGGTTTTTCCGCTTTTTATATCCATAACATCGAAATCCTGCTGCATGATTTCCTCCTTTGTGAGCAATAGAGAGACTGTATTACGAGCAGAGGAGCGAGTTTTAGCCATAGAGCTAATGGGCGTAGGTGTAGGGGCGCGGGAGATTAAGTTGCCTGTACCGCGTCCTTTTCCTGTTGCCATTGTCGAGACGATTATTGAAGGAGTTGTTATTTTCTGCTTCAGGGGGTGTAGGTATTTGAATAGACTGTTTTGACGTCGTAGACGCCGTTGTGCGCTGTTAGGCGCAGTACTGAGAACCGTGATTTCCGGGGTCTTAGTTGGGGTGCCACTTGGTGCTAAACCAAGAAGCGATTCCGGATAGCCTGAGCACTGGATATGTGCCCCTGTTGCAACACTGGGTGCTGGAAGGTGCGGCGGGCCACTGAGATTAACCCGCACTGAAACAACTGTAACATTCCATGAGAATATGTGTATGAGAGAACAAAAATATGAAAATGACTTACAACGATGCGGTGGCTTGACACCTTCGATTTGACAGCGCTTCATGAATCGTTCCATGTGAGGAACAACAAATTCTTCGCAAAACGCTTGAACTAAGACTGCAATATCTCCTCCAATACGTGCAGAGTTCTCCTGCAGCTCTCGCGGGGTGATGTATAAATCAACTGCCACATCCCCTGGAGAGAGTGCAGTGTTGGTGTTGAAACCTGGGCAACGAATCAGTACCGAGATTCCTCCGTTGAGACGGTCCTGCATAGCAATCTGCAGGAGTAATTGATTGAATCTGTAAGAAACATGAAGTGAGCACATACCGAATCGAAGACATCTTGCAATGAGGCTTCGACCAACTCCTCACAAGTGAGAGAATGTTGCTTTGTTATAGGAAAAGAGTTGAAGGCCGCATATGACGGGTGAAGGCCGCCTGGCTTCCTGGTGTGGTAGTGAGTTCCGTCAAGATGGACATCGTGTCGAAGCAGTGCACGGGCTGCTGCCTGACGTTCAGAATTGCTGTAACTTTCAGCAAAAGCAGAAATATACAGCGCCGCTAAGTTCTGCACTGAAAATGATAGTGCCATGACCCGGCGTGGTTTGTAGTGTTGAGCTTGAGGTTGAGATGTGGTAGTGAAGAAAATGAACTTTGAGGTATGAGATTGAGAGCCGAACTAAAGATTAAAATAGTAGATGTACGTTTGTACACGATGGTGCTACTACTGGACTGGGATGCATTAATACTCAACTCAAATGCAAGTGAGCGTCGGATGTTAGTATTGGGTAGAACATGTCCAAAGTAGCGGATGGTACAATATGCAGTAGAACATGTCCAAAGTAGCAGATTGGTGGAAAGAACATGTCCAAAGTAGCGGATGGTACAATATGCTCTAGATCTCGGCTCGAACATGTCCAAAGTAGCAGATGGTAGCATATGCGTTATGGTATAGTCAGACTTGGAGGACTAGGTAGAACATGTCCAAAGTAGCGGGTGGTAGAATATACAGTACTACAGGTAGAACATGTCCAAAGTAGCGGATGGTAGAATATGTTGTAGATTTTAGCTAGAACATGTCCAAAGTAGCAGATGGTAACACATGCGTTATGGTATAGTCAGACTCGGAGGACTAGGTAGAACATGTCCAAAGTAGCAGGTGGTAGAATATACAGTACTACAGGTAGAACATGTCCAAAGTAGCGGATGGTAGCATATTGCATTCAAACCACAGTCGTTAAGAGGCACGACATGCCCCTAAGTCAAGTACCACTGACAGGATTCAGATGAAGGGAGTATGTTGGCGAGTTGCCAGTTCTCATTAGCTCGTCACAGATAATACAAGTCAGAACTACAAGCTATCATAGAATGTATCAGTCCGCCACGGAATCAAGATACCTGGCCATACTCTCCATCTCGTCCGCATGCTCCTCCTGCTGTATAATGTCCGCATCTGCATACTCAGAAGCAATGATGTCATCCACATCTGAATCTATGCGTGAATGTACTCCGACGCCACGCACACCCGAGAATCCTGGGAGGGCTTCAATTTGATTAAGACGGAAAATGTGGAATGCATTGATGGCTGAACGACTTCGCCATTGTCGGTGTAGCTCAGACGCGAGGAGATGAGATGATCGAAGGCCTTCAATGACTTTCTTCGTCTCCGTTTCCTCATCGTGGATGAACGTACGCAATCGACGGATTTCGACGTTGAGACGAGATACCTCTTCCTGAGCACGCAACAGTTTGAAATATTTTGTGGTGGCTTCGCGGTGAGCGGGTTTTGTCCAGTCCTGTTCCCTGACATCTGTGCGGGAATGACGCAACAAATCGAATTCCCCTAAGAAGCTGTACTCTGCGATGTCTTTCCAGGACAACTTTGGCCGAGGGGGGTTAAGTGCGACAGCTTGGGTATTGTACCGGTTGATGGCATTTCGAATTGCCTCCGAACGGCGCTGCAGCGCCTTCCCAATTTGCTGACGTAGTTTATACCCTAAGAAAACAAAATAAATAAATAAATAAACAGAACGAGACGGAACTAAAACCTGTCCCTGATAAAGAAAGCTTTGAGAGCTCGAAAAGCCTCATAACGACAAGGCGTTCGAGCTCGTTCAATGCCGTTCGGTACTTGCCTAGTGTTGCTTCTTCTTTGTACTGCATGTACTCGGGACACCCGACAGCCCAGCGCTCCTCAACACGAAGTTGAATCTCCATGTGCGCCACTAAGGCTTCTGCATTTTGCAACTTTCCGTAAGCAGCGTCAACACGGATGCGAGCAGTGGTAAGGGCAGCACTAATCTCTTCAAAATTACCCACTCTCACGGTGGTAAGCGCATTGTTGGCAGTTGATCGAGCGGTGTTCCATTCGTTCCTGTAATTTAAGCTTGGCAAAATATTGATAGATTGGACGAGTACTTACCGGCACGAGTCGAGGTCATCAAGAACTTCGACATATCGAATGCAAAGGCGATCTCGGATTGGCGGTTGTTTCAGTCCTTCGAGGTACAACTTTTCTTCATCATAGAACTTTGCGAAGTCAGCATCGTCGATATACAACTCGCGTTTGATGACGGAAAGCTCGGCTTGTAGGGTTCGAATGACGTGAACTGCTTCTCGGTAGTGATTGTACAGGAAATTGCCTTAGAAAGAGCGTTGAGAATCATGACACAATGAAACTAAATCACTCACTCAGGGCAGCATATTTATCCGCGTCCCAGAAACTAAAATGTTCCTCGATAGATTGATGCCGATGGAAACGACTAGCGTGTCGCGTACTCCGTGCGAGCTCGTTCGATGACGAGAAAATGTGTTCGCATCCTTCACCTTCGGTGTGGCCAGTCCCACTGATATACATGGGGTGCCAGTCTAATTGGCACTTGCGGTTGTGTGCATGTCCGTGGAAGGCACCCACCATCATGCGTAGACCGAGTGCACACACACGCGGACCCAAAGAACTGGTGCTCAACGTCTTCGAGAATGCGCAACCGATGTCGTAAGCGCACGAGCCATTCTCCCCATATACAGTCATTAGGTGGTCTAGGATCGCGAGCGGATATTTCGCTCTAAAAATGATTAGCCTCTAGCATATGGTGCCGGTGCCGTCGGGACTTACAATTCTCCGCTGCGAATCATATCGCAAGCCAGTAGGACAAATTGGTGGCGGCATGCAGCAACAAATATGCCGGATTCATCAAAGACCGAGAACATCTTCTTGCGCTGTTCAGGTCCCGCGTTCCGCCAACGTGCAGTGCAATGGAAAGGTATCTCGCCGGGGACTCCATCGTTGGGTATATCTTCCCAGTCATCGACACCGTCATTCTTGTCGAGTGCCTGGTCAAAAGGTTATTTTGCATACTTACAAATCAGCAAACACCCACTGTTCTTGACCTGACTTCGTCCTTGAATTTGTCGACTACATCGCGACCAATCCAGTAGTCTGTTCTTGGCTGACGAGAGTCATCACGAGACACAGAGTTATGAGACGCCCAGCGCTTAAGGCTATTATTGCCGTCAATGGTGGCGAACCATTCGAATTGGAGCGATGGCTCATCTTGCAGTTTGTAGGTACACGGCGGACACGCATTCAACAGCCTCCAGTTGGGGGTGTCGTGCTTGAGTGCCTGCTTTAGTAATACATCAACCCGATGAAGAATTTCGAGAAACGCATCATAGACAGCAGAAAATTGAGCACGGAGATACGGTCGATACGGCATCTGAAGAATGGGTTGAATTTCGATAAACGATGAGTAAGCTATATACGAACATCATGTAAGTGGCACAGCATTTTGCACTGCGCCTGAAGGCTGAACCGCGGACAAGTCCGGTGAGCCTGCCGATAGGCTGCAAGGGTACGAAGACTGATAGCAACAGTGGGATATAGGGAAGCGCAACCAAGATAACCATGGTAAATCAATGTTTCGTTGGGGTACCTATGAGACGATGATGCTTGGAATGAATCTTGGCGACGAACTACCAGCTGAATTTAAGTAACTATGAGTGGCGACAACAATAGGACCTACAGAAAGTGTCGATGAGCTCAATGTTGGTGAGTACCGGGACAGCGTTGAGAGAAGGGTCTTCATTCGATACAACAGATGCTAACGAAGGCATGCCGTCGCCAGAATCACGAGATCGGTAGTCTAGGTAGGCGTTAACAAGCCGGTCCATTTGCATATCCCAATGGCTGGTTTGAAGCTCGATGCGATCATGTCGAGTCCTAGGGTCCACATAGCGGCTGACAGTAGAATAATCAGTGCGTATATACAAACAAAGAAATAATCCTACAATCCTGATAGGTCTGCCATTGTACGAGATAGCCCTTGAAGAGCCTCGTATTCGCCACCTTCATGGCTGAGGTCAAGTCCCTCATCGCCTGGTGCCGGCACCCATGGTATGCTGTCGTCGTACGAAATCATATCACTGTCCGCAATCATGCTCTCCACATTCTCTCGGTCCGCCGCGGATAACTCTAAGTCGCCATTAGCTCCAGTAGTTGGACAATGATTGAAACATACCTCGAAGATCAGACATACGCCTAGCGTCAACAGCATCCTTGCGTGCCTTTTGAGTTGCCGCAGTAAGAACGCCCGAAGTACGCTGTGTGCGCCTGAAACCATGCTTGATAGCTGATTTTGACAGACCATTGATTTTTGTCGACCTCTGTGAACGAGACATGCGGTGCCTTGTGATAACTTCAGCTTCAGCAGTGCCGTAGACAAACAGCCACTCACCAATGCTACGAGGGCGCTATCAATCAGGTGAGGGTACTGGAACAAGGGCAGAGTAAGCAGCGGCAAGCGTAAGCATAAATACAAGCCTCCACGTTGCAACCATGAGGGAAGGGGACAGACATGTTGCAACCACAAGGCAAGGGAAGAGCGCAGACTTCCGAAACGATTTTCCAGTGGTTTGGAGCTGGAGGCTGGAAGCCGATAACGACGTTGGAGCTGGAGGCTGGAGGCCGATAACGACAACCAGTGCTGGCAGAGGCAGGCTATGTGCTGATGGGGCGGGATGGGCGTTGAGTGTTGTTGGATGTCGTGCACTGCGTAGCGCTATGAAGAGAGTGCTGGAGTCCGTGGGTAGGTGGAGGCTGATAATGGCGGCCAGCACTGGCAAAGGCAGATGGCGTTGGGTGTCGTTGGGTGCCGCTCACTGTGTAGCGCTATGACAGATAGTGCTGGAGTGCGTGGGAATACACACAGACGTCGGGGAGGAGTAAACGCTCGGGATTACTAATACTCGCAATGGGCGGGAGGCGCTACGGACATTGCCGGGGGAAGGCACGTCCTGTAAGCGGCGGGACAGTCAAATACCCTAAGTACCTACATTATTTAGGGCGTTATTTAACGCTGGTGTTGGGGAAACATCGTTGTTGAGCCAAACAAGCGTGGGCAAGACACGTAAGCGCACAGCCTAATAAGGCTTACTTATTGGGATACCCAGGTGATTATGGTATACCCCGTTTTGGCAAGGTGATTCTCACTCGCCAGAAGATTTCGACTGGCTAGTGGACTGCCTCTACTACATTCATTCCTTCAATCACAAGCCAGCACATGACATCCTTTTGCTATTGCATGCCATGGGAGCTCGCTGCGGCCCCGCTAAACAGCATATGTTCATCGAGAGCCTCATTGCCTGCATGGACGGTAACATGCCTAACAATTTACGTCACGCCGCTCTTCGCGCTGTTCACAGTGTCCGACAAGAAATGGTATCAATCGATGGCATTGATGATGCAAGCTTACGGGACATGGTTTTGAAAAAGCTCTCCCCCGCTATTCTGACCGCGATTTGTCCGCGACGAGGTGCAACACCTGCCGATGCTGGCCCTGCCCTCATTTTCGATGATCGCCGCGATGCGTGCTATGTCGAACTGGTTTTTGCCCTCGCGAGGAATCCCAACTGACATTCCCATTTGGCTGGGGATCACCATATAGATCAGTGCATTAGCATGATTGACGTTTCCCGCTTCATGCAGCATGGATTTCACCTAGCTGGCATCCTCCTCCGAATTGCACCTGAACAGTGGTCGCCCACATCGCTCGAGTCTATCACAGAGAAGCAGTGGTGGTACATGATGAGCAGTGCATGGAGGTATGCATGCCCCGTAATTGACGACATACATTGTTTCGAGCTCCTTCCCGTCCTTGTGGAAGGCACGAAAAAGTACATGCGGGTTGCTTTGACGTTTGAACTCCAGCAGCTCATCAGAGATGTGGACTATACTCTCGAAACACTGGAGAGCAGAGACACAGAGCAGGGAGAGCGGGGAGAGGGGGTCGCCGTTGCTGTGAAAGAGCTTAGGACGGTGGCCAGTGACATGCTTGAGAGGATGGTCAAAAGTGATGAAGTCGTTGGTCGCTGATTATCACGGTGCCTGCATGTCGTGCTAGGGTTCTGGGACCAGAACTGAAAGGATGGCGCGATGGGAGTGCAGAAGGGGATAAATATCAAGATCTAAAACAATATCGATTTTAAACGATCAGCTACCTACAATCAGGCGTTTGTGTCAATCGCTGTCATTGTCACGAACACTTGAATATTATATATACAAGGACTCCGTCGGCAGTTGCAGCATTGCGTTCAAAATAATAACTCGGAAAATACATGTTTGCAGAATCTTGTTCTTCGTTCGTCTCCGTAAATAAGGATAGCGAGTCTCTCCGTGTCCTAAGTTACTCTCGATAACGCTGTATATAATTGACCGTGAGCGAAGGGGTCAGTGCGGAGGTCGAGAATAGTCGTTCGTGCACGTCCAACAGATAGATACCATCTTCTGCGGAAGCTGTATTCGCACCAAACATAAATACATCATGATTGACACGGAGATCACCACCGTCTGAAGTGGCGATGAATTCGAATCCGTCGTATCGCTAGAAAATCTTGTCTGCAGAGCGCCATAGTGCAGTGCGCGCAAGGAAATAGGAGAACGCAGAGCAACGATATCAAATGACGCGAATTATTCAAATCATCGGTACAGACCAACGGCAAAAACGCGCGTCAGCATAGCATGACGGGCTGGACGCAATAGTCACCGAACCGCCGGTTATTCCAGCTTAAATATTGTAGACATCATGAGAGGCGAGTCAACTCTGTATTACACCCATGCCAATCTGTGGTTTTCATCCCATCTGACACTGCTGCCTTGATAGGCACTATCTCGAGAATATTGACGATGGAGTGCTTCTTAGGTTGACATGGAACTGAGGAAGGGACCCATGCAGGACACGTGCCTGTTTTTTCAGCTGGCTGGTGGTTAACACAAATCTCTGATGATCGTATATATGCTCACCAGTTTTAGCCTCAACAGCTATGATATCCTTTGTGTCTGCCTCGAGACACGCCTCAAGCTTTGGTGCCAATCCTAAAGTGACTTTGCAGATCTGCGCGATGCAGTTCGCAGTTGCCTAGACTGTAGACTGAAGCAACGTCGTGGACCGATTCTTCGAGGAGTATGTGTCGGTCTTCTGGGAGGACGCGTCGGGCAAAGGTAACCTCAGCTAAGTGGTTGCGAAGTTGAAGCTTGACCCCTTGTGCTAGTATCGCGTTGCCGGCCTCGTCCAGATTTTCTTCAAAGGGCGTCTGAGGAGATGTCAGTGTGATCCAAGATGAGAGCTTAGTACGAGCATCGAGGGGATCAGTAGTAAGTGCCGTACTATATCGTAGCACGGATCTCAGACTCGCGCTCGAACTGGACGCCAGTAGATTAGGGATCAAGAGATTTTATTGGACGATGGCGGTGGCGGCATTGGTGCACAGGCACTTAGTTCCGATGGTGAGTGTTCAACAATCTGAGTATTGGAGATAGAAGGTTCGACGGCGTACCAAAATCTCTCCCTGGGAGGTTTTCATCCTCAAGGTCTGCAGTATACGCTTGAGACTTCCAAGCTCGTTGATTGCGCCCCAGTCCTGACGAATACCTCAGAGATAGGGGTAGGATTAGTCCTCAGTCTAGGATAGAAGACTTTATATTGTGATGATAGATACAGGTAGGAGTAGTCTATGGGTAAGTCAGTATGAGGGGAATAGCTGTAAATGACTGGAAGTACCCTCAGTATCGGAGAGAATACTGAAGGAAAACGACAAATGAGCGTCGCACATTAACGAGAGTGTCGGGTATTCGGAATAATACATGTCGTAGGCAAGGAAAGAACGGCGATATAAGGTGTACAGTGAGCCATGTCCAATAAGCCCGGCCTAAAAAGGTCCATGAGAGCGCCATCAACGTTATTTGCTGCCTTGAACAGCATTGGCCGTTATTCGACCTCATCAGTGTCTTCCCGCCCCTTACCCAAAGCCGCAGCGACACGGTCACGCTCGTTCATCGCCGCAATCGCCTCTTCCGCAATGATCATAAGCTCCATCAAAGATTCTGCATCCAACAGTCAATTGAAAGCGCTAGGAGTGAATAAGTGAATGGAGACTCACTCTCAATGCTCAACGTGACGAGCGTCTGAAAAGTTCAAAAGTCAATTCCACAACTCATGGCGGTAAGGGACAATGCCGACTCACCCGCCTAGTATCCCTATCCCTCAATATATCCATTTTCACGCCCTCCCTTATGCCATCCACGCCAACCACATCGTCCAGGAGCGCCTTCAGCCGCTCATTCACGTATGCGTTTGTACCGCTACTACTGTTCCCCAGATAGCGCATGTACTCCTGGAACGAACGTGCCTCGTCTAAGACGTGTCGTGGGAGTGTCTCGAGCAAGTCCTGCGCACGCAGATTTGGATCTGGATCTGGTGCGTTCATTGCCGTGTCTTGCGGTCGCTGGCTTCCCTCGCCGCCTTCGTCGTTTGGCTCAGAAAGAAATGTGGTGCGTGGTTGGGAACCTGGAGAATAGACGTGGGGTTGGAAGCGGACATTTGGAGAGGCTGGAGTCAGTGATTGAGTCCGGATCCGGGTTGGGCTTTGGACTTGAGGTTGAGGTTCAGACTGGGTCAAAGATTGGGTCCTCGTGATATACATCTTTTTCGTGCGACTACGGTACGACGTGACGGCTCGCTCGAAAGAGTCACTTTGAAGCATCACCTTGTAACGCTTGGAATAGGCCTCGGAGGCGACTGCGATCGAACGCCACATCGAAGTAATAGAGATTTAAAGGTGCGTGCGTCAGAATGACGAAGAATATGCACGCAATTGGAGGGAACCGAAAATCAAGGTGCAGTCAGCGAAGGGTTTTTACAGAAAGGACAAGTACGCACCAGAAACCAAGACGGTCACGGTAGCGACGCCGAGCAGGGCCCACACAACAAACACAGATCGCCCTGCAGGCGTCCTGGGCGCGGGGTCACCGTACCCGATCGTCGTGAACGCAACAAAACCTGAACATGACATTAGAAGTCAAGATCAGACATTTTGAGGACGCGAAAAGCTTACAGAAATATATTGACGTGCCATATGACCAGCCTTCTGTCTGGCTAAATATTGCAGAGCCAACCTACGGCGTTTGTCAGATCGCTCAATACACGGGAACCAAGATGCAAACGAAGGCCAAGTCAACATCGCAACCCAACTCACCAACCAGAACACAACAAACAATGTCCATGCAAGTGACGAGCGAATCAAAAGAGCGTGCTTCTCCTTGCTCGCGACCATTGAGTCGTAAGCTACATTGATATCGTCGCTGCTCGAGGTCGTTGCAAGCGTTGTCGAGCTTCCAACTGACCCGTCGAAATTCAAGTCACGTCCATTGTCTTCGGTAGGACTTTTGACGTCGCCAACAGTGGCCTGCGGTATAGGTATAGGTCCTTCATGTGTCAAGGAAACCCTAACCGCAAATCTCGTGAGTAGCGCTGCCATGGCGCCAAGCCGCTGGTGTGTTAGCATTTGATGGGCGCCGCGCCGCACATTCGTACCATACACTGAATGCGGAACGGACAAGGCGGGGTATGGGTTTGTAATCTTGGCCCGTAATGAGTACCACATCAAAAAAGGCAGAAAAAACACACTACCTCCAAGTCATCACCATTGCCATCGTCATCGTTTTGCATCTGGGCTTCGTAAAACTGTGGTGGGAGCAGTGTGTCAAGTGGAACGCCCGCCTCCATAGCTGCCTCTCTCAACTCAAGATGAGTGAGCGCCTCGAGGTTCAGACGCATTCCCCGGGAACGATCCAAAGGGTGCGGAATCTTGTCTGTAGCGCTGAAAAACCTTCTCTTCACCTTGGCCCAGAGCGAGTTGGATGTTGAACGGTATTTGCGAACCCACACCTTTGCACCTTTGTCTCGCAATCTCCACATGACGGCTGAACGCCATCGCTTTTCGGCATTCTTTCGCCGCCGTGTTGCACGTCGCCGTTCTCGAATGTCATTTAGGCGACGCAGATAACCGACGTGCAGCCCTTCCCTCACCGTCTCTTGTACCATACCCACTACCACTGCGAGATTCACGATACCAAGCGCAGCGTAAAAGCAGATGAATATTCTTGATCCGGTGGAATTGGGCACGATGTCGCCAAAGCCAATAGTCTCGATTGTTGTGACGGTGAAGTAAAGTGCGTTAATGAAGCTCAGAGAGAGCATGAATGAATTGATTAACGAGCCAAATGCGATGTAGGCAAATAGGATAATGAGCATGATCATCAGCGTGCGCTGCTTGCGGGTAAGACCACTGCCTGTGTCATGTTAGGGATGAATGAAGAAAATAGGAGACGGGATACATACCGCTTGTCTTGAAGTCGGGCGTGATAATGAGGTCTATTATAAGAGTCACATTCGTGATGACGGATACGACGGTAGAGCAGATAGTCATCCAGAAGGATTCACCGTAGGTGAACCCGTCGTTATGTCGGTGGCTAACGCCAAAGATGATGAGAGCGACGATATTGATAATATCTGTACCTCAAGTTAATACACGTCTTTGCTCGAACCGAGGCACAAACCGTGAATGGACAGAAACACGATACATAATATTGTCATTGTCATGACCCGCTTCTCAAGAAACCTTAGGACGATACATATATTAGCGAGGATAGCGCAAGTCATGCTAAATGCGAGGCCAATATCCAACAAGACTGGGTTAGGATGAGTTTGGACGGTACTGTAATCCTCGGTGCGGATGTACCAGTGCCCAGTGAGTCCTGGAATCTCGAGCAAGATCGAGAATGGTATCACGATGCCGGTTATGAGGGGAATGTACCGGTAGTTTGGTGCATAGCACAGATCATCCGATAACGGCGGAAACACGAATGACTTCGCCCGAGCAAACAACGACGGGCGTTTTTCGGGAGAATCGAGAGGAGACAGCTGAAGCGGGTCGGTCTGCGGGCCTGAGTCAGATCCATCTGGAGGAGAACCGTCCTCATCGTCGTCAACGTCCAGGTCCAGGTGCATTTCCTGGACTATGTCTCTGTCCTCGTCTGCCTCATCCCTTCCGTCGTTATGAATGCGAGCGCTCGAGTTCCTGTTTCCATTGGAAGTGTCACTGAAGCCTGTCTCCGGACCCTTCTCTGGGTCAGATTCCCTTGACCCGGTAGATGTGAAGGCAAAGATGAGGGCTATCAGGGTTTGTAAGGCCATGAGCGATGCATGGGTGTGTAAGTATGTAGTGATAAGAACGTCGCACTATCAATCTTAATCCATGGACCATAACCTCTTGTTCTGGGCGACACAAAAAAGGTTACCGCCGGGCCCCGGCATGGTCCGCGCGTTACTACGTCATCGACATTGATCCGTGATATTATGTAAAGTCAAGGAGGAAATTTACCGTCGATGTAAGACGGCACTTCTGATAGCTTTCACCTTCGACGTCGATATACTCTCGACAATGGAGACTGAGATAACACGTGGGGGTTAGCAAAGGTCATAATGAATCAAGTCATGTCAGGATGTTCAACAGGAAAGGACATGGCAAGTTGAGCAACCAAGCCTAGATCTAGGAGGGATGGACCACCTCCAGGAGGTCAAAATGAGAACGACGCTACCACAACACAGCACGTTAGAAAATGGCCAAGTTCAACTAAAGCACCCCTTCCTCACACAAACTACGAGTCCCCCAATCTCTGTCCAGACCCCCAGCTATGCCCCGTCACCCGCCCCGAAGCAGCAGCCTCCTCAGCACGTTGCCTCGGTGCAAACGCCTGAACGGGACCCCTCCTGCTACCCGCACGTCCATACTCTTCGCGTTCGCCAAACCAGCTCTTCAGCCATGCAGGAGCGCGTCCCCACCCTGCGTACATGCCCTGCTCGACACCACCTGTACCAATGCCGGACCCCCAGACTAGCCACCACCACGCGTGACCGATGAGCATCCCGCTCACGCCCTGCGCAGCGGCACTTGTCCCGCCCGTGAGGAGGTCCATGCCCAAGAGTGCATATGGGAAGTATGCAACAGGGATAGTGATGAGCCCCATGATGCTCGTTTGCGCGCCTGGCGGAGATAGTGAACACATCAAGTAGGTGAGAGTATGAAACAAGGCGCGAGCATGCGAGTAAGATTGGATGGGACGGTTCACGCCCTATAAATGAAGAATGCGAATTGTGAGGTTATTCATGACGCAAGTGAAATATGGACGTACGATCAGAGCGAGGCTAGCGAGAAAGAGTTGCCAGGCGTAGTCGGAGGAACGGCGCTCATAGTGCGTCGATTCAAGCGCGTTCGAATTGCGGCTTTAAAACACGAGTTGTCAGGTTCTCGATCAAGGGAGAAAGACATATAGCACTTACTAGAGCATGGCAAGCTCAAAAATATAGTTCAAATTCATGCCTGAAACGTGCAATTAGCTCGCAAATCGTCACATAGTCCGTAACAATACTTGACACGATGCTTACTTCCGAGAAAGAAGCTTGTGTACAATCTCCAGAACTATGATTTATGTCAAGGACCGTTAGGCTCTAGGCTCAGATATGCGCCACATAATGAGAACAAGCATAGGACCCACCTCCCATTTGTAAATGACAGCCTCTGAGAGAAAGATTAGTCTGTAGGGATGGACGAGCTTCATAATGACTGGTATGGTTATGCCGAGAGACGAGGCAGCGAGAAAGCGCGTCACTGGCGGGATTTTTCGAATTTCGGCGAGAATGTCAGCCATTGCGAGGGATGTGAGGAAAATAAGAGTGTGCTGGAACAAACGATAAAGACCAGGACCACAGTTTACGCTGAACTTGATACTTCTGGATTCAATGGAAATAAGAAAACGAAGTCGACGTGTTCAATCCTGCTTGGTGACTAAGCAAGGTGTGACTCGGTCCAACCTGAAGTTTCCGCACGATGCAAGTGTGTGCCATGACCCTATTCTGTCCCTTTTGCTTGCTCTCAGCGAGCCAGACAAGTGGGAGTGAGTGATAAATTTCAAAGTGCTCATTATCGCATTTTACCGGACCCACGCTTCAAACAAACCCGCGCATTCGAGTCAGCGGTTGTCTCGGGACCTGCATGTAGGTGACTCAAGAATTTTGTCATTCAGGCACCCTCCAGCAAGAGTTCTCCCCACGACAGTGGGATTTACAATGTTGGCCCGGCGTTCAATGTTCCGCATGTCAGCCCAATCAGCTTGACAAGTTCTGGTGGTGATGGGCAGGACTTGTTACCGGAACAGACATCCTTGTCAACATTGTTGGACCTTTGACAGCTTGCCGGGTGAGGAGTGCCGATGTATTGTCCATGCATAAACTTCCCTCACGTCAAGTTTCACGCGAATTTTCACATCCCTAGTTATGAAGAGTCATTGCGGGACCGCGCTTGCACTCCAAAATCACCATTACGGGCCCGAGAGCAAAGATAAAAGAACGGATTATTATTATTTGGTTCCAGTCAAACGTGTTCCTTGTGGTTGAATCATGGATCCTAAGCCATCTGTAAGTCGGCTTCCTTGAACAAATAAACAATCGCCGAGATTTTGACTTGACGCTATTAAGGTGAACCCCAGCAGGACAATTACCCATGATCAGGTCCTGGACATGGGTGCTGATGCGGAATGCACAGAGGTAATTTTCGATCTTTATCGCCATCATCAGCCACTTATTGGCTGCGCAGACACATCAAGTTCCGTCACCGACACATGGTGCGACTAACCTTCCAGTTGAAATTCTCCGCGTCATCATGGAGCTTACCATGCCACCGCCTCTGCAGAGTCTGCACTTCCTAGACTCTACCATCATTTCCCGCTACAATCGTCACTCGCGGTCTTGTTCGCTGCAGACCCTCAGGAAGCATCTGTTAGTATGCAAGTACTGGTATGATGTCGGCATTAGCTTCCTCTACCGCCGTGTCGTCATTCTGCAGAGCAAGCAACTCTTCAGGCTCGCGCACGTCGTCTCGAATAACCGCAGCCTCGGCGAGATGATATTATCTCTGCACCTGGAGTGTTATGTCGGAGTGTCGCAGATGGCTACTGCCTCAACGGCTGTGGACAGCATCTTAGCGGTGGCTCCAAATCTTGCCAAGGTTGCCATTGCGCCCATCCTCAAGGGGCAGCCTTCCTTTAGTCTAGTATTTCTCCGCCTCTTTGCTCTCGCTCAAAACACCCACTCTCGGACCACAGATCTGGACTTGCGTATCAATCGCATGCTCAAATATACTCTAAACCTCATGTCAGCTTTTACGTACCTCACCACTTTCCACATCGACATGATCCTCGAACCAAATGATGAACTTCCCACCGAACACCTGCATTTCCCCTTTTTGGAAGAACTACAAATTACTTGGCATTGTTGGCACCCGTCTGAAAACGACGTGAAGGTCTTTACTGCGTTGGCTGAGACCCTCAGCCTCCCCTCTCTCCAACGTCTGCTTTTAACATCGCAAGCTCTCGAGGACAGGATGTTCATTGAGCCATTGTTGCGTAAATTTGGGCACGGTCTCCACTTCGTCTCATTGACAAGGCCTTATATCCACAATCGCTACCGCGTTTACGACTTTCGCCGCCCCATTCCCCTGGCTCCATTGCTTTCCATGTGTCCAAATTTACGCCACCTTGCCATGGACACGTCCATCCCAATACAAGTACCTGCGCATGCATACTTGACATGGGTAGACTTATGGGCTCCGAGACGAAATTTGGATCCGGGCGAACAACCAGCTGTAACGCTCCTTCCTCACGAAGAGAAAATCAAGCTCCCTTCATTGCGGGGGGTGCGGTTACTGGACTTGTCTTTGTTCTCGTTCAGTGGCGCGCGTACGCCACTCCTCATACCGCCGGATATGGTTCGGAGCACGGAGAGCATCGTTTGGAGTTATTCGAGTCTGGACTTGCGCCATGACCCTGGATTGCTTTATCAACAAAAGACGGACGAGTTCGATGATATGCTGGCTCAGAGTTGGCTGGGTCTGCGGGACTTTTATGCTACGTTGGAGATATTATAGTATTCCCGCTACGGTAGTAGTTCATTTTATTGTGCCCCATGGCCTGAACTAACCAAAATCTTGAGTGGAAAATGCGCTCACACCCTAAACCGTCCATTGATGGATTTAGGTCGCACGGACATGGATTCTGCTCCAACGACCTCAATGAGAATACAACTCTTTCGATTATGATTTCACTGCAGCGGGCTCAATCAATTTGTCGCGTGCGGCCAAGTACATAGTACTGACCCCGAATTTCATCATGTGATCACTGCACACTAAGGTTGAACTTGAACTTGAACTTATGCCTGTAGGCTGTAGGTGATTGTGCACTTGGTTGGTGACTACCACTCAGTCTTTTATTGCTTTCATTTTGGCTCCTCAGCATTTCGGACAAATGCGATTAAAATCCAAGGTGCTCGTTTGAATTACACTAATCATCTCGTATCTCACCAGATCCACACCCCGCAACCTGCAGACTTGCACGACGCACGTTCAGACTTGTTACCCAGCAGTGGAATAGACATTTTTGTGTGACATTCCGAGAGGTCAACTGGTGAAGGACATTGACAATTTGACATATGGTGTACCGTGTACGGGTCAAAGTTGACAATGATGTTCTGTCTCACACGTCAAGTTAAGGTTTCACCCAAATTTTCGCGTCCCTAGATGTGGGAGTCATTGCAGGACAGAGTCACCCTTCGGGCCCGAAAGAGGAAAGATAAAATGATGCATTTTTTGTCTCAGGTAATGTGTTTCAACTTTTCACGCTTGAATCATGATGGATTCTAACCTAATTGTAAGCCAGCTTCCTCATGAATAAATGAAAACATTATCTTGACGCTGCATCAAGGTGGACCCCAGCAGCACGATCAGCCATGATCAAGTCTTAGGCACGAATACGGACTGCATAAAGGTAATTTTTTGATCTTCCGCAAAATGATTTGTCTCTCACTGGCTCTGCAGACACATCAACTTTCGTCGCCGACTCCACATGCTGCGATCAGACTTCCTGTCGAGATACTCCGCGTTGTCGTGGAGCTTACCATGCCACCGCCTCTGCGTTTCTTAAATTCGACCATCATATCTCGCGACAATCGTTACTCGCGGTATTGTACGCTACTTACGCTCAGGAATCTCGTGCTAGTATGCAAGTACTGGTATGATGTTGGCATCAGCCTCCTCTACCGTCGTGCCGTCATTCTGCGGAGTGAACAACTTTTCATACTCACACGCGCCGTCTCAAGGAACCACAGCCTCGGCAAGATGATCATATCTCTGCACCTGGAATGGGTTCTTTCAGTGTCGCAGCTCGCTACGGTCTCAACAGCTGCCAGAAGCCTCTTCGCGGTCACCCCAAACCTCACCCAGATCACCCTTGCACCCATGATGAAGAGACAACCTTTCCTTAGTCTAGCGTTTCTCCGTCTGCTCACTCTCGCACAGAACACCCCCTCCCGGACCACGGATCTGCATTTGCGCATCACTCGTATGCTTAAATACACTCTGGAACTCATGCCAGCTTTCACATATCTCACTACTTTCCACATCGATGTGATCCTCAGAGAAAATGACGAACTCCCAACTGAACACCTGCATCTTCCCTTTCTGGAAGAACTGCAAATTACTTGGAATTCGTCTGAACACGGCATCAAAGTCTGTTCTGCACTGGCTGAGATTCTCACCCTTTCCTCTCTCCGACGTCTGCTTTTAACATCACAAGCTCTTGAGGACGGGATGTTCTTTGAGCCATTGTTGCGTAAATTTGGGCCTGGTCTCCACTTCATCTCATTGGTTAGGCCTTATATCCACGATCGCTACCGCGTTTACTACGACTTTCGCCGCCCCATTCCCCTTGCGCCATCGCTTTCCATGTGTCCAAATTTACGCCACCTCGTCATGGACACGTGTATCCCAATACAAGTGCCTGCGCATGCACACTTGACATGGGTAGACTTATGGGCTCCGAGACAATGTTTGGATCCGGGCGAACAGTCAGCCGTAACGCTAGTACCTCATGACGAGAGGGCTAAGCTCCCTTCATTGCGGGGGGTGCGGTTACTCGACATGTCACTGTTCTCATACAGTGATGCGCGCACACCACTCCTCATACCACCATATACGGTTCGGAGTACAGAGAGCGTTGTTTGGAGCTATCCGAGTCTGCAATTGCGCCATGATTCCGGTTTGCTTTATCGACAGAACCTGATTGACGATGACGATGTTGTACTAGCTCAGAGTCTGGAGCAACGATTGTGACCGAAGGACTTTGACGTTGTGCTACTCGGCATTGCGTATCATATCATCGGCGGAACTTGCTGAATGACTCTACGGTTGACTGGCCGAGATGTGATCATATGTATAACCAAGGTGTGCTCTGCGTCACGGCGTGGGCTTAAAAGCACCAGTGTCCAAGCAAATAATCCCAACCGCTTTTTCCGATCATCGCCGCGACTCGTGCTATCTTGAATTGTTTTTGTCCTCGCGAGGAATTCTGACTGGTACCCCCATTTGTCTGGGGGACTCTTGTCGACGGTCGCGGGATTGCCACGGCCCTTTCCCTCTCTTTCCCCGCCCTTTCGACTCCTGGTACTCAAATCTCTCTAGTCAAAGCAATAAGTTATTATTGAATGTTATTGTGGACGGTTCCCAGTCGCTCTCGCAGTTTGTCGCAAGTAAGCTCCAGTGCCACGCAGAGTAGCGGAATTTGGAATGCTGCTTTGCCACGTGGCCCACGAGCTAGCTAGGGGTCTTATTGCAATTGCCAACAGAACGACCTTAAACTCCATGCAAGTACGATTCAATACGAACACAATTAATTGGCGGAGAATTGCGGTGGCCCGACATGATCGCACAATTGTTAGGACTGTCTCGTAACTCCGGTTAGTAACCTGTTGTCAGTTGAACTTACCACTGAGTTGCACATTCCCCCCAGCTGCCAGTGTGTTTCCTTGTGTTTCCTCTCGAGTTTCGGGCGCAAAAATGCCGAGGCGGACATTGGAGGCTGCAAGACGTAATTGACACAGCATGGGCTAGGGCTCATTTTTAGCTGGACTGCGCGGAAAATGACAGCAAGTGCGCACTCGTAGGCATGCTTTTGCGGATTTGGGTGGTGGTCGCATATTCACGTTTAACGATTGGCTCAAAACCACACCGGCACAGCTTCGGGAAACTTTGGTATGCAGATATATCTTGGACGGCAATTTGATGTTCGCCTCAGCTTTGTTGTGGTCGTGGTTCTCCGTATCAAGTACGCCAAGGTCTTGGCGATATCCCTATACAGTCAGACAGATCATACTGCAGGAGCTGGCGCTATGATGTCCAAATCATCATTCATCAAAAGCAAAATGCTCTTGCAAATGACAGCTAAAAATTCCAGGGCCGCCGCTTCCGGAAGCATCAATTGCGTTTTCCGCTCGTCCGACCAGAACTTCCCCTTGTCAATTGTCGTTGCTCTTGGTCATTCTTCGTGGATGATAGACCCTGAGGATGGGAAAAGTACTCGCGTTGCTCGGTATGCTGTCATTTTTTTCCCTTTCTTTAAAACCTCCGTGGAACGAACATTTTCTTACTGTTATGTAGGCTGCAACTGGAGTCTTCCGCTCGAGGCCTAGTGGAATTAATGCTGCCACACGTATGCAAAAGTCTAGCCCACTTCGTGGCGGAACTGCTGATGAGATTCGCACACACATGCGAACCTTGTGACAGTGTACATCGATTACCTGTGCGTCTGCCTGTTTTCATGCTACTCCTTAGTGCGTTAGGTATATCTGTGAAGCCATCCTGTATTCCGAAGTGGTGTACAGACAGTGGTTCGAACAGAGGGAGGACATGTATGGGTCCGCTTCGATATGATGGCAGGGTGAAATCATCTTATAGGCGCTCAATCATCGTCTAAGATGTTTGAATTTGCAGTACTCCGGCATTCAGGACCTATTTATGTAGGAATACACCATAGGAAAATTCTAAAGTTTTAGATCCCACTTTACTAACAAAAGTACTTAGGGATGAGCCCAACAGTCGCTCCAACGAGCCCGACGACTGACACTCTCACTGACGCTATTGTACGTGGGTCGAGTCAATTACTACTCCTGACAATGCAGTCTAACACAGCAGAGCAGAAACAGACAGAATCCAACTGCAATTCCAGTCCTTATTTACCCTCTGATGAGCATGCGAGCAATACTAATGATCTGGAGAAAAATCACTATCATACTGGACTCCTGAGACGTACCACTCAGCTGCTTTCTCGGTATGGAATTGAAACGCACGGGTGAGTGTGATGGTGTTGTTGTGATATCTGTCTAAACATTTCTACTGGTACTTGGATCAGCATCGCGCCGGTCCCAGCAGAGGCACGTCTCGAGACTCGGTGGTACCAAATGTTTTTCGTTTGGTTCTCGTCTAACATGAATATCTTAGGGTGCGTTTTGAGTTCTGTCTATACTATACTGCTGTCCGCTGAATCATCCAACACTTGCAGATTCAGCACCGGCACTGCTGGACCTGCATTTTTCTCCCTAGGCATTCGCCAATCTATATCAATCATCGTTATTGTGAACATGATGTAAGTGTTAACATTTCACTAGATTTCCAGTGAATGACCGTCAGCTAGATGCTGTTTGTTGCCAGCGTTCTTGTGGGTGTTACTATTCTTCTCTGGGCGTTCCTGGAGACTTCACAGTGTGCTAGTGCCGTTTTCGGGCCAAAGCTCGGCGTGCGTGCGATGGTCCAAGCGAGGTTCTCGTGGGGGTGTGTTGACTTGTTTTCCGATCGCCAGCGTCATTCGCTGACGAACAACAAGATATTTTGGTGCTATCATACCGGCCGTCTTGAATGTTCTCTCCTTGGAAGGCTTCCTTATCTTGAACTGCATCATCGGTGGCCAAACGATAGCTAGCTTTTCCTCTCAACTCGATGATAATCTTGGAATTGTCATCATTGGCATCATATCTCTAGTGGTATGTCGGAATTACTCGTGATGCACCAAAATGACAGGTTTCAAGGTCACTTTTTGTGGATACCGTGTTATCCATTGGTGGGATCGGTCCAATATGCATTATCCAGAATTCTGACCGAATTTTGATTCATAGGTACGAAAGTATTGCCTGGATCCCGAATGTGATTGCTTTCATCACCATGGTATCTGTCGGTTATCCACAACTACGTGAAAACCTATCGGTTCCCGTTCCTCCAGCAACACCTGCTAACGTCATCTCTTTTGCGTCCTTTCTCGCATCTGACATTGTCACCTGGTGTACCATGATCCCTGACTATGGCGTATACCATAGCCCTGATACTTCTTCGTGAGCTTCCTTGGACTATCACTACGGACTCTCCTTAACATCCTGATAGTGCGAGAATTTTTATTTACACATACCTCGGATTTTTCGTGTCTAATGTAAGTCCCTGTATGTCGTTAACAGTAGCAGATGAACAATCTTCGTTTGAAAAGGTGACTAGTCAGGCTCTGGGTGCTGCATTCGCAGCCGCAGCTCCCAACGTGCCTGCTTGGAATGCCGGATTTAACAACAGCTCTTCCGCTGGTGGCTTGTTATACAGCGTGCTGCTGCCTACTGGCGTTTTCGGAAAAATCCTAATTGCTTTGGTGGCTCTCAGCATCCCCAGTGCCTGTGCACCAACAATGTATACGTTCAGCACTAGTTTCATGGCTGTCGCTACGTGGTTTGCTGCGGTGCCTAGATGGGTGTATATCCTCGTCTCAGAGGGAATGTGAGTGTGTCATCGATCGCAAACCTTTGCGACGCTCATGATTTGTGTTGAAGTCTGATACCGTTGGCCATCATTGGTGCCAAAAGTTTCTATGCGACTTTTGTGGAAATACTCGGTATGAGTCCTGAGTGTTAATTTCTGTGATTAAGGCTAACACGCTGATCTCGTAGACATCGTTGGATACTGGTCATCAGCATTTGCTGCGATCATCCTTACAGAGCATGTGTTATTCCGACGAGCCTCGTTTTCTGAGGATCAATATCCCATCACGACTTGGGCTTCGTATAATCTCTTGCCTAGCGGTATCCCAGCAGTCGTGGCCTTCGTATGTGCCTGTGGAGCTCTTATTCCGTTCATGTCACAAGCTTGGTATGTAGGACCAGTGGCGAGGCAGGGCAGTGGAGACCTTGGTGTGTTCGTAGCGTTTGTGGTCGGAGCGATCGCTTATGCGTTGGCGAGGGGTTTCGAGAATAGGTGGTACAAGAAAATCAGCAAGTCAGATACTTTGAGTACTACCTACTAGTACGACCTGTACATGAGTCCTGTGACATTGAAGACAAGTCGAGTTTTGATTATCACAGAACTGCATAAATGAGTGATGCCTTGGAGACACCGATCTTCATCAACAGTACTAGTGCATAAGCACTGAGTGATCCACAGTACTCTTTTTGCGCGGGCCTTCAGCAGTCAACGACAATACTTTTTTGGCCCAGGCATCCCCAGCATATATGAGCTGCTCCTCCGTGACAATATCAGAGAAGTATCGGGCATAAAGTTCTTCTCCCTTGGCAAACACCTTGATAGAAGGTTGTGCGAATGGGGCGAGGAGATCGCGTTCCTCCGGCGACATTGAACGAAGGTCAACGATGTCTGACACGTCGACAAATGCTGGTTGACGAGCTTCATCTGACAGGTAGTGAACTGGCGTTGATCGCACAGGACACCGCTTCTGCATTGAAATGACCGGTAGACTGACGTCGCCAGTAAGCCTGATGAATCGGCGGGGGGTCTGTATCACAGGTAACCAGGGCGCCCAGTGAAAATCACTTTCGTCCATCCCTGCAGTCTCCTCCTCCCATTGTGGATACACGGACATATGCTCCCATGGCTCTGATGGATCGGGATTGACTTCAAGATTCAGACCAAGATCGTATCCCAGCTTCTGACAATAGTATGCCAAGAAGTCAGGAACAGCATCACCCCTGATGTGAACGGAAAGGGAAAGAGGCTCGGAGGACGAGGAAGAGATGCGGCCTTCACGAGTCAAGTCTACAGGAGCTGCTTCAAAATTGATCTCTCTACAAGGATGAGAGAAGAACGGAGGGGACCGTGACGAATGTTCCACAGACGGGACCAATGCATTGATCATGTGCCCGAATAGGTGCGATCGATTCTTGAGCTCCTGATGACGCCATTCAATGACACCTAGGCTATTCAAAAATGCACACAGCTTTATAGGAGCGTCTGTACGATTGGTATACCCCGTCCGATGAACAGTGGCCGTGATGTTTACAGAAGAGTCTAGGAAGTGGAAGATCAAGTACACAGGATATCACTTGTATTCGACTGGGACCCACTTTGGTTAACTCTGCTAGGGAAAGACAATTCAATCGTGTAGTTGCTGCGCAGCACGTCTATCACCGGCTCTGATATTTGAGGTACTACAGATATGTTTCTCTTGAGCGTGTCATCTTTGGTCGAGAGGTAGAGAGGTGTGAAGGATGTTATTCCCGCTGGTGTCTCTGAAATAGTACCGTTGCCAAACCTGATCTCGACAAAATACTCATAAATCGATTCAGTGGATACCGCCTGTCGTGACACTGAGCACATCACAAAACTAATCAATGTTGTTCTCACATCAGTAGCTCCCGTAGGAGGCGTTGACCATGCAGTCGGCCGGAAGTCTAATCCTGGCGGGTAGTTTGTGTTTGGCACCAGAATTCCGAATCGACTCGCGAAGACTCTCAACAATGGATCTATTCTCAACATTGAGCTCTGTCTCAACTGGATGGTTTACAACACATACCTGTCCCTTTCAAGTTTTCACCGACCAATGGGGTCTTAATCTCAAAGGCAATTCGTTCTTCCTCGTGCAAAGACCACAACTCCTTGTTCTGGACAGAGTTCTGGTAAGTCGCCCATTCCGTTTCGTTGTAGTCCGCAGTCGTATAGAAAGGCATCTGGACTTGAAACAAATAGTTCGAGTCCGTAAGATCGTACTTGAATTCTGGTTGTTTTGGAATTGGAATTGGCGCATCTTGTCGTCTGTGAGAGAGATCCAGTGAACATGTGTCACGTATGATACGAGTAAAACCAATTGACCTTAACTTCCAGAAGATGTTTTCTTTGTAGCGCAAGCCTAGCACATAGCTCTCGACATCAGTGCATGGTCCACTAAGTTTAATCCTGACGTCGCCTGCGATAATATCGCCGGGAACCATGTCAGGCGCTCTCACCCAGGCACGTGCCTGGCACTCGGGTAGTGCATCACTTGGCTCTTTAGATTCTAGAGAGGGGTCAGTGGATGCAAGAACGCAAGCTGCCAAGGTAACTTGAAGCGCAAGGGATTGCCAGCGCAGCATTGTTGAGGACAGTAATAATAGGAAGACAAGCCTGAGGAAACGCCATCGTTGGTCTTGATCGACCTGCCTTTGTAGTCCAATGACAGCGCCTCTTTGATATGACACTTGAGGGAAAGGGACGACTTAGCAGGATATCTTTAGCGTGCACTTTATAAAACCGATCATCATCATGCCATGCCAGATTAGTTCGGCTGCACATGAAGACACCCAGTGACCCCACAATGCACTGTGATATGATTTTCTTGTATACGGCAATCCGAGTCAGCAAACATGCTTCAAAGTGCAGTCGGGCCCGACTCCAAGTATACCTGTACTTGCACTTGTGTCAGTGTGGGTGATGGAGAAAATTCTGAATCTGCCAACTTTGCTTGGTTCGCACCCGTGGGAATTGCAGATCTATCAGCGTCTGGTCAACGTGCAGTTTGAGCTACACGTGAACCTGAGAACATATAGCTCAAACTAGTGCTTACTAATCGAGTGATCGCGTAACTAAGACGCGTCTCGATACACGCGTCTTTCATCTCGCTTTAAATTAGGTGTCATGGCATGGTTTTTGGGTTGTGTCGTGCTTTAGAAAACTCCTCAAAAACTCATGCATCATGCCTCACACTCGAGGTTTCATGCTGGCTCTCATCCGCTGGTCGATGTTTTCGCGCTCTTCATCCCGCGTGCATTCGACCTCTTTTCGCTTCGCCCGACAATGATCTCAATTGCCGCCGAACTCAGCGGATATTCTTGTCAGCGTGACCCGGCAAAAGCCGAAGCAGGCCACGACCGGAAAACCCCACCCCAACTGACGAAACTCGTGTCGATGTTGTTCGCACTTAGTCTCCAACTATCTAAGTCAGATACTCAGTCTCGTCTGACTCAGATCAGTGTGCAAAATAGACTATTCACTCGCCTGTCGCACAACGACACAAGTCTATTTTGCAGAACCTTAGTTAGTTACACTAACGACACTTAGTAAGCCTTCAAGCGACGTCGACGAGGAATCTTGCGGTTGCGTTCTCGCTCAGTGACTAGCACTGGTTACTGTGAGATTTGTTCACTCGTCACTTCACCCAAGTGCGCACACACTGTTTGGCATACACTGACTACGAAAAGTTAGGCAAGCAACTATCACTAGTACAGTATTGACCGAGGCTCTGAGAATATGGAGACACCGGTCTTCAACAGTGCACAAACACTGAGTGATCCACAGTACCCTCTTTTCGCGGGCCTTCAGCAGTCAACGGCAATACTTTGTTGGCCCAGGTTTCCCCAACATATATGCGCTCCTCCATACCAAAAGCAGAGAAGTATCGGCCATTAAGTTCTTCTCCCTTGGCAAACACCTTGATAGAAGGCTGTGCGAATGGGGCGAGGAGATCGCGTTCCTCCAGCGACATTGAACGAAGGTCAACGATGTCTGACACGTCGACAAATGCTGGTTGGCGAGCTTCGTCTGACAAGTAGTGAACTGGCGTTGATCGCACAGGACACCGCTTCTGCATTGAAATGACCGAGAGACCGATGCTGCCAGTAAGGAACCGGCGACGAGTCTGTATCGCAGGTAACCAGGGCACCCAGTCAAAATCACTTTCGTCCATCGCTGCAGCCTGCTTCTCCCATTGTGCCTTCTCAGACTTCTGCTCCCATGGCTCTGATGTATCGGGTTTGACTTGAAGACTCAGATCAAGATTGTATCCCAGCTTCTGACAATAGTATGCCAAGAAGTCAGGGGCAGAATTATGGCTGATGTGAACGGACAAGGAAAAAGGCTTGGAGAACGAGGAAGAGATGCGGCCTTCACAAGTCAAGTCTATAGGAGCTGCTTCAAAACTGATCTCTCTGCAAGGATGAGGGAAGAACGGAGGGGACCGTGACGGTTCCACAAACGGGACCAATGCATTGATCATGCGCCCGAAGAGGCGCGATCGATTCTTGAGCTCCTGATGATGCCATTCGATGACATCTGGGCCATTCAAAGATGCACACAGCTGCATAGGAGCATCTGTGCGATTGGTATACCCCATCCGATGAACAGTGGCCGTGATGTTTACAGAAGAGTCTAGGAAGTGGAAGATCAAGTACCCAGGATATGACTTGTATTCGACTTGGACCCACTTTGGTACACTCTGCCAGGGAAAGACAATTCAATCGTGTAGTTGCTGCGCAGCACGTCTACCACCGGCTCTGAGTTACGCCCAGGGCTTTGGGGTACCAGAGATATGTTTCTCCTGAGCGTATCATCTTTGGTCGAGAGGTAGAGAGGTGTGAAGGATGTTATTCCTGCCGGTATCTCTGAAATAGTACCGTTGCCAAACCTGATCTCGACAAAATACTCATAAATTGATTCAGTGGATACCGTCTGTCGTGACACTGAGCACATCACAAAACTAATCAATATTGTTCTTACATCAGTAGCTCCCGCAGAAGGTATTGACCATGCATTCGAACGGTAGTCTAATCCTGGAGGGTAGTTTGTGTTTGGCACCAGAATTCCGAATCGACTCGCGAAGATTTTTAACAATGGATCTATTCTCAACATTGAGCTCTGTCTCAACTGGATGGTCTACGACACATACCTGTCCCTTTTTCACCGACCAATGGGGTCTTAATCTCAAAGGCAATCCGTTCTTCCTCGTACAAAGACCACAACTCCTTGTTCTGGACAGAGTTCTGGTAAGTCGCCCATTCCGTTTCGTTGTAGTCCGCAGTCATATAGAAAGGCATCCGGACTTGAAACAGATCATAGTTCGAGTCCGTATGGTTGTACTTGAATTCTGGTTGTTTTGGAATTGGCGCATCTTGTCGTCTGCGAGAGAGATTCAGTGAACACGTGTCACGTATGATATGAGTAAAACCAATTGACCTTAACTTCCAGAAGATGTTTTCTTTGTAGCGCAAGCCTAGCGCATAGCTCTCGACATCAGCGCATGGTCCACTGAGTCTAATCCTGACGTCGCCTGCGATAATATCGCCGGGACCCATGTCAGGCGCTCTCACCCAGGCACGTGCCTGGCACTGAGGTAGTGCATCACTTGGCTCTTTAGATTCTAGAGAGGGGTCAGCGGATGCAAGAACGCAAGCTGCCAAGGTAACTTGAAGCGCAAGGGATTGCCAGCGCAGCATTGTTGAGGATAGTTATAATAGGAAGACAAGCCTGAAGAAATGTCATCGTTGGTCTGGATCGACCTGCCTTTGTAGTCCATGACAGCGCCTCTTTGATATGACACTTGAGGGAAATGGACAACTTAGCAAGATATCTTTAGCGTGCACTGTATAAAACCGATCATCATCCATGATGCCATGCCAGATTAGTTCGGCTGCACATGAAGACACCGAGTGACCCCACAATGCACTGTGACATAATTTTCTCCCATACGGCAACCCGAGTTAGCAAACATGCTTCAAAGTTTAGTCGGGCCCGACTCCAAGTATACCTGTACTTGCTTGCGTTACAGTGTGGGTGATGGGAGAGAATTCTCAATCTGCCAACTTTACTTGGTTCGCACCCGTGGGAATTTCAAATCTATCAGCCTGTCTGGTCAAGCGGCGTCGACGATCTTGCGGATGCATTCTCGCCGTTCACTGTGAATTTTGTTCACTCGTGAGGATGGATTGTGATGAGGTGCTAATTGAGAATTTGAAGCGGAGGATCTTCGTGTAGCATAAGTCATGTGTGAGAGTCTTGGGACGAAATATCTAAGAAAACAGTACTGGTATAGTACTGAAATTTTCACCAATTGAGTACGACAACCCCATGTCTGAATATACCAACTGATCATCATCATCACTGCACAACAAGCAAGCGGTCCATAGTATCTCTCTCGCGCTGCCCTTCAGCAACCATCGGCAATACTTTCTTAGCCCAGGTGTCTCCAACGTATATCGGCCGCTGCATGTCAGTGCCAATGAAGTATCTGTGGAGAAGTTCTTCTCCCTTGGGAAACACCTTGATAGACGGCTGCGCAAGTGGGGCAATGACATCACGTTCCTCAGGCAACATCAAACGAAGGCCAGTGATGTCCGACGAATTGACAAATAATGGTTGGCGAGCATTGTCAGACAGGTAGTGGACTGGTGTTGATCGCACAGGTCCCTGCTTCTGCATTGGGATGACTGATATATAAGCGTCTCCGCTAAGGAATCGGCGACGAGAGTGTGTCAATGGCGTCCAGGGCACCCAGTCAAAATCAGTGTCATCCATGTCCGCAATCTGCTTCTCCCATTGTACCTTCTCGAGTTCATTCTCCCATGGCTCTGATGGATCGGGCTTGATATGCAGATTAAGACTGACACGATGTTCCAGCTTCTGATAATATGTTGAAAAGTCAGGAACAGTGTCGCAGCCTGCGTGGATGGACAATGAAAGAGGCTCAGAGGACGTGGAAGAGATGTGACCCTCATGAGCCGAGTTTGTAGAAGCTGCCGCGAAATCAATCTCTTGACATGTGAATGAAGGGACCGCATGGATTGAAAAGTGCGAATTCTGCATGAAAGGGACCAATGCTCTAATGAACGGAATCCGCGTGAATGGTTGTGATCGATTTGTCTGTGATCGGTTTTTGAGCTCCTGGGGATGCCATTCGATGTCATTCGGCTGTTGCAGAGATGCGCACAGTCTCATAGGAATATCTGTCCGATTCGTGTATCCTATCCTATGAACGGTGGCCGTTATATTCACGGTTGAGTCTAGAAAGAAAGAATTAGGTAACCAGGATAAGATTTACATTCGATTGCCAGAACACACTTTGATAAACATGAGCTCCGTCAGGAAAGTGAATTTCAATTGTGTAGTTGCTCCTCAACATGTCTACCGATGGTCCCAAGTCGGAAATGGGGCCTCGGTATTCTGGAGACACGCTCACATGGGGCGCGTCATTGTCTGTGGGGTGGTATACCGGAGCGAAGGCCGTAATTCCCGCAGGTATCTCTGACACGGTACCATTGCTGAATTTTATTTCAACAAAGTATTCGTAAACAGATTCGCTGGATATCGTCTGTCATGATGATCAGCACAAGATAATGATAGAAAAGGCCCTCCTTACATTAGTTCCCCTGTTAAAGCCTAATCTTGCACCTCTACGGTAGTCTAATCCTGGAGGGTAGTTTGTATTTGGTACCAGAATTCCGAACCGAGTCGTGAAGATTGCTGGCAACGGCTCTGTTCTCGATACTCAGCTCTGAGTCTACTTGAGAATGTTCGACACATACCTGCCCCCTCTGTACTGACCAAGGGTGTCTTTATCTCAAAGGCAATCCGTTCATCCTCGTGCACAGACCACAAGTCCTTGTTCTGAACAGACTTCTGGTAGGTCATCCATTCCGTTTTGTTGTAGTCCGCATCCTTGGTGTCCTGGAAGGGCATCCCCACATGAAACAAATCACGGTTCAAGCCAGTAGAATTATACTTGATTTTTGGCCTTTTCGGAATCGGCGCATCTTCCCGTCTGGGGGGATCCTCAGTCAAGGATATGAGAGAAATGGAACCACTCACCTCAACTTCCAGAAGACCCTTTCCTTGTAGCGCAAGCCAAGCACATAGCTCTCGGCATCAGGGCATGGTCCCCTGAGTTTAACCTTGACGTCGCCTGCAATAACATCGCCGGGAACCATGTCAGGTGCTCTCACCCAGGCATGTGCCTGGCACTTGGGTAGTGCATCACTTGGCTCTTTAGATTCTAGAGAGGGGTCGGCAAACACAGCAACACTAGTCGTCAGGACAAGCGTGAGGGATAGCCAGCGCAGCATTGCTGGGGGACAGATAAGGAGACAACATCCTGTCCAGATTGGCCTGCCTTTATAATGAAAATGACGGCGTCTCTTTGAGAGGAGGCGTGGGGGAACAGCGGCGAGTATATCATTAGCCGCGAATACAATTCATCATGTCCATACGCAGTCACATGTCGTGAAGACACCGGCAAGATACCGGGGCGACTTGCCCCCACATGGCCTCAGCAAACATGTATGAGTCAATTGGTATGAGGCGGTGAAGCTACCGGAAACGTTGGCATCATATATACCTTGCTCGAAGTCCAGCTCTCCATACTCCTCTAGTTGCCGTCAGCTAGGAAATGATTCTGAATATGGAGACTAGGTTGGTCGATCTCCGAGTAGCGTGACAGCGAAGAATTTGAATTTTGCCAGTCATGCCGGAGGTACTTGCGATCATACTAACCCTACTCAATAACACTAGTTTATTTCACCAGTTTATTCTACATGTGAAGCTGTCGGAGTGAGATTGTGATTGCGATGCCGAGCCGTCAAAGTGCGAAGATTAGAAGCAAAAACATACCAGCAACAGAAGCTCGCACTCGAGCTTGCTTCATGGAACCACATCTCTGTCTTGCAAACCCCCCATTTTCCGATTAGCTCTCTGTACCTGTTGGCCAGACTGAGCTTGAACCGATGACTGGGATGCATCGTTCTCCGCGCAAGAGGTCCATGACCGTCCGAGTCATCCAAAGCCCATGAAGGAATTTTTCGTCGTTTTCGAGGCTCGAAGGAATAACAATCCAAATCAAAGGCTCATGGGTGGCCGCTATGGCGGTATGGGCAGGTGAAAATCATGAAAACCATTTTATCGTCCTATTAGATGTGAAGTACTGTTGCTCAATGGGCTAAGATGTGAGTGAGCAAGGGGCTTGTGTTGTAACTTGTCAACGCAATACCTGAAGCACTTTGGCATGACCGTGTGAAATTTCAAATTTGCCTGCCGAAAACCAGTCTGACTAAGCTCCTCAACGTAACATCTCCAAGAGTCCAGACTAGTGGTTATCGTCGAGTCTATATGGAGATGCATATATCATACTTCAAGAGCTCCCAGGACCCAATTGGCCCATGGGCCATGTCGCTGCACCTATAAAGGCTCTGCGCCGCTGAGAGCTGTGCCTTCAATATCGCAAAGACCCATTCGACGAGTGCTTCGATAGTTCGATTACGGCTTGCCTCATAGCACAGACAGGTTACCACCAGTCTATGGCTGCCAGAGCAAGGGCAGTATCCTCCTTGTGATGAGCTTCACGGGGTGGTTCACTATCCCTGCTACTATGATGCTCCCTGTTACCTGCAGTATCATACTGCACGTTTTGAAACACCCAGAACTTTTTGCGAACCCTCTCTCACTCCGCACCATATGCGGCATGCCAGCGATCATTTTTTAATCATCTACGAGCTTTCCTCCGGAGGAACGGTTGTCTTCGTTTCTCAAGGTCTGACTACGGGTCCGAGTCGGGGAATGATACTTGCGCCACTATGTTCAACAAACTAGACACAGCTTTGTCTTTGGGTGTGAATTATTGGTTAGGCCTATATTAACAGTCCTGTCCTGCGTCTAGCTTAAGCTACGACTGCCAAAGACAACACCAGCTCCGCTTAGAACACCGTTTCAACGAAGTTACTTATCATAATATGGACTTAGCGCCAGGATGGATTATGACGAGCCGCTAATTGAGAATTTGGAGCAACACTTACTTCACTGGAGGATCTTCGTGTAGCACAAGGTGTGCGAGCCTTGGGATGGAAATATTTGAGAAAACAGTAGTGTTGAATTGAAATTTTACACCAAATGACTACGACAACCCGGGCTCTGTCTGAGTACACCAACTGATGACCGTCATCACTGCACAACAAGCAAGCGGTCCGTAGTATCTCTCTCGCGCTGCCCTTCAGCAACCATCGGCAATACTTTCTTAACCCAGGTGTCTCCAACGTATATCGGCCGCTGCATGTCAGTTCCAGTGAAGTATCTGCGGAGAAGTTCTTCTCCCTTGGGAAACACCTTGATGGACGGCTGCGCAAGTGGGGCAATGAGATCGCGTTCCTCGGGCGACATCAAACGAAGGTCAGCGATGTCTGACCAATCGACTATTACTGGCTGGCGAGCTTTGTCAGACAGGTAGTGGACTAGCGTCGATTGCACAGGTTCTTGCTTCTGCGTTGGAATGACTGGCATATGGGCGTCGCCTTCAAGGGATCGGCGACGAGTCTGCGTGAATGGTATCCAGGGCACCCAGTCAAAATCGGTTTCATCCACGTCCGCAAGCTGCCTCTCCCATTGCATCTTCTCGATTTCATCCAATGGCTCCGTTGGATCAGGCTTGATGTTGAGACTCAGTTTGACACGATGTCCCAGCTTCTGATAGTACGTTGAAAAGTCAGGAACAGCATCGCGACCCACATTGAGGGATAATGAAATCGGTTCGGAGGACGCGGAAAAAATGTGGCTTTCGTGAGTCAAGTTGGCAAGAGGAGCCGTAAAATTGACCTCTCTGCATGGAGAATGGAAGAGCGGAGGGAAGAATTGAAATGATTGCGAATACTGCACGGAAGGGACCAACGCCTTTGTGAACAATGTGTATGGCTGTGATCGGTTCTGGAGTTCCTGAGAATGCCATTCAATGGCACTCCCCGAAAACGCACACAGCTGTACAGGAATGTCTGTCCGATTCGTATATCCTGTCCGATGAACAGTGAACAGTGGCCGTGATATTCACGGACGAGTCTAGAAAGCATGCAATCAGTCAACCAGGCTAAGGTTTCCGTTCTAATAGAACACACTTTGATAAACGTGAGCTCCTTCAGGAAAAGATACTTCAATCGTGTAGTTGCTCCGCAGCCTGTCCACTGATGGCTTCATGTTAGGACCGCGGTATCCGGGTGCCAGAGATACGTTAACACTGGGTGCTTTGTTCTCGGTCGAGATATCGAACGGGATGAAGGCTGTTATTCCCGCATGTATATCTGAAGTGGTGCCATTCTTAAATATGATTTCGACAAAGTAGTCATAAATCGATTCGCCAGATATTGTCTGTAACAACATTGAGCACAAGACGAATTCAATAAAGACTGTTCTTACATCGATCTCCGGCCCGTGAAAAAATCCACTTTGACGACAGTCTAATCCTGGAGGGTAGTTTGTATTTGGTACCAAAATTCCGAATCGGGTCGTGAAGCTTCTTGACAATGGATCTGTTCTCAACATTGAATTCTGAGCCTACTTGAATTCTCAATCCGCACCTATCCTCTCTGCGACCAGAGGAGTCTTGGTCTCAAAGGCAATCCGTTCTTCTTCATGCACAGACCATAAGTCCTTATTCTGAATAGAGTTCTCGTATACCCTCCATTCTGTTTCATTGTACTCTGAATTCCTGGAGGCCTGGGAAGGCCCCCTGACTTGAAACAAATCACGGTTCAACGTAGAATTATACTTGACTGTTGGCCTTTTCGGAATCGGCGCATCTTCCCGTCTGGGGGGATCCTCAGTCAAGGATATGAGAGAAACGGAACTATTCACCTCAACTTCCAGAAGACCTTTTCCTTGTAGCGCAAGCCAAGCGCATAGCTCTCGACATCAGTACATGGTCCACTGAGTTTAACCATGACGTCGCCTGCGATAACATCGCCGGGAACCATATCAGGTGCTCTCACCCAGGCACGTGCCCGGCACTGAGCTGGTGCATCACTTGGCTCTTTGGATTCTTGAGAAGGGCCAGCAAACGCAGCAACGCTAGTTGTCAAGACAAGCGCGAGGGATAGCCAGAGTAGCATTTCTGGGAGACAGATAAGGAGACAGAATCCTGTCCAGATTTTCCTGCCTTTATAATGAATGACGGCGTCTCTTTGAAAGGAGACATGGGGGAAAGGGGGCGAGGATATCAATAGCCACTAGTACCGTTCATCATGTCCACACACAGTCACACGTCGTGAAGACACCGGCAAGATACCGGTGTGACTTTCCCCCACATGGCCTCGGCACACATGCGTGTCAATCGGTTTGGGGCGGTGAAGCTACAGGAAGCGTTATCATCAACATATACCTTGCTCAAAGTCTCTCTAGGTCCTCACCCTTCCAGTTGCCGCTAGCCAGGGAATGGTTCTGAATATGGAGACGATGTTTCCTTCCGATTACAGAGCTCCCAAGGCTCATGTCGCCAGCTATAGCCAGGCTATGTGCCGCTGAGAGCTGTGCCTGCAACATCGCAAGGACCCAGACGCCGAGGAAGCCTATTATTATTGACCAGATACCAAAAGCTGTGCGCTATTAGCCGTCTACTTGTTACTGTTACTGTAAGGCACAAGATCGAAAACATAACAGTCTGCTTTGCAAATAGAATCCTGACCTCCTGGTGACATCTCAGATCTCATGACCAAACAAAATCCGAGACATGGCCTCCTCCACACTCCCAGGAATGGATGCAAGACTTTTCCTCTAAGGAGATGGAATTCAGTACGGCGACAACCCTTCGCGTCTGCAAGTAGAGTCGTTGCTTGATCATCGACATTCAAATTGACCCGTAACGGAGCCTTGAGATGTTAAGAGGCTCGATAAAATTGGTTTGGCGCGCGCCATTCGACAACGCTTTCATGGATTTGGCTCATCGAAAGGTATTAAATACAGAGTTGGAGTTAAAGGTTGGAAGTTGAACGTTGAACGTTGAACCGTGACTTGACCGTGACTGCATTTACGTGTTTTGCTCTAGCGCCAAGTCTGCCATAGTAATCACGTGATATATGTATCATTGACGCGTCCTGTCACGGTTTGCAGGATAAATGGTAGACTCTTGTGGCAAAACTACTAGCTCCGTCTGTAGACCAGATGGCCCCAAACGACTACTATATAAGACCGGCATGGGAGTCTTTCATTGCTATGACCTCTGGCTTTCAGTATTACCGTCCTTCGTATCATCCCCACTGTACGATTCCACATTCATGTCATTCAATCCAAGATCTTCATTCTGCTGCCACATTCGCTCGTATGTGACGATCTCCATATTCGGGTCTGGATCAGGCGCATACAAATTCTGCACGTGTGAGTTCGCCAGAGGGTCATCCAGGATCAAGGTGAATGGTATCTCGGCGTTCTTGACCTTAGTAATTATAAAGATCAAAATGAGAGTCGCGTGATGGTAAGAGAACATACCTGCTTAAGCTTTCTCAAGAACTCCTGGAACTCGGCTCTGTCGTCGACATCTGCGACCCCAGAATCTCCCGTGTTAAATACTTTCTCGGCGAGTTCCTCGTATACCTGATCTAAAATGCCTTCTAGCATCAGGAAAATCACAGATCTCTTGATTGCACTTAATAAACTTATTGTACCTTTTTTTGGCCTTTTGACTGGCAAGTGAATTAAAGTTGTTTGTTGAAAAGTTGGACAAGTGTTAAAAAAGGCGGTCCAGGCGGATCAGACAAAAAAGACAGAAAAAGAGATGGTATTGCACACTAAGTACAAACAAACAATAAAGCTTGAAAAAGTGTTAAAAAAATTAAAAAGCAATCTCGAAGGCATGGTGATCTGCATACTTATTTACATAGTAAGCTCGGAAAGTATCATAAGACTGATAGTATCTGAGGTCGTATGAAACAAACTGTGCACCGTAAATTGGAATTAGATGCGCTGCGCGATAAATCGAGTCGATATGAATGATAGACATATGCGGGGCATGATTGGCATGGTAGGCCGGCCGCACCACCCACATCCCGGTATCTTCGTCAGGAGAGTCGCCAATGGTGTCAAACCACCGGATAACTGCGCAGGGATAAGTTATTCCTTGAAAATTAAAGGAAAAAAAACATAAAACACGAGCAACATTGAATCCTCGCATTCCCTCGAGGTCTGGGTTGGTGTTAACAAACACGCAGTCGTTCCGCGCATATTCGTTTCGCCACTGTGGACATGCGCGAATGTATTCAGTGCGCATACCACCAATACCGCTGAGGTCACTCGGCGAATAGAATCTGGAGGATGCCGAGTTAAAGACAGATATTCTGCCGTCGTAGCCGGGAAAGTGGAATTCGGGGACTTCGGAGAGATCTTGAGGGTCGTCTTGATGTATCTGTTCGAAGAGGAACTGTCGGAGGAGGTGAGGCAGATGCGCTATGTTTAATTCTGCTGCGAGGGCAGCCACAGTTTTTGCACGTTTTCGTTCTATAATGATGTTAGTATTAAACGGGGGATTTCGATCTGACGAACGTACGTGGTGTTCGCGCAAGCTCAACATGCGCTTGTAGCACGGTAGGACCATCGTCCACTTCGCCGTTGTCATCCCCTTCCTCGTCGATATTTGAGCCGTTTGCTGGAAGTGCACCGTCGGCAGCTTGAGAATCGGTGCCTCCCACATCACCGGGATCGTGAAATGGTCCTGTCAGAAGAGAAACGAACATTTGTTAGCATCGTTAAATTAGAAAATAAAATTTGATACCTACGAAGAGCTGCCACAATTGCAGACAAACACGTGCCGTCCAACATATTGCGCTTGGTGAAGTCAGCGCGCAAAGCAGCGAGCTTATCTAGCCGCTGGTTGGTTCGAAGCATTTGCCCGAGTGCATTGAAGCGACTCGAGCGTCTCCAAGGTTCTTTTACTGCCTTGATATGTTTGGTCTCCATAATCGAGGAGCACAATCCGTTGGGGGCGCCAAAAAGTCGGATGAGTTGGACGTAGTGCTTGAGTGAGTGTTGACGTGGCAAGGAAAATGTAGAAACGACGCCAGCGTCTCGGAATGCCTCACGGTAGTGGTGGAATCGGGCAAGTGCATCTTGAATTTCGGTGAGGGTCGTTTGCGTAACGATGTTGCGGCGCACGAGGTAGCAGAACTCTAAAAGAGCGCGGAATGCACGCACAATGTCCAATGGGACATGGCCCTCGATTGCGGGCAAATAGACCTATCAACAATCAGCAGTAAGAATTGAGAATTAAATAAAAACGAACCTTCATCAGTGCTTTTGAATCATCGCCGGTCCACTGTTTAAACCCTCGTCCTTCAGGAAAGCGTCGCAAACCTGAGAAGGGTGCGACAGCTGCGATTCTGTTATATATAAATGAGCGCGTCTCCAGCCAAGAATGAGGAAGCGCACCTTCGGTCAATGTCGTCCATGATTCGTTGACCCTCGCGTTTTCCGTGGGTCAGTATCAAATACTTCTCCACCCAATCTACAAGATGATCCTTGAAAGCTCCCTTGATGAGCTGGTGGAGAAGGTCGGGAGCGATGAGTTGGTTTATATCAGCGCGGGGGAAATCATTGGTAAACGGCTAGAAAATTAAATACAATGAGCAAACTTCGAAGTAATTGTAATGGGCTCAGGGGAGACTGTGGCCCCAGTCAAGGGCGCTGGAGAAACTCGCCCAGTGATTGTAATGGGCTCAGGGGAGATGTAATGGGCTCAGGGGAGACTGTGGCCCCAGTCAAGGGCGCCAGAAAAATGCGCCCAGTGATTGTAATGGGCTCATGGGAGACTGTGGCCCCAGTCAAGGGCGCTGGAGAAACTTGCCCAGTGATTGTAATGGGCTCAGGGGAGACTGTGGCCCCAGTTGAGGGAGCCGGAAAAGCTCGCCCGTTGATTGTAATGGGCTCAGGGGAGACTGTGGCCCCAGTCTCCAACAACGGCGAGCGTCCAATAAAAAAGGAAGAACCACTCACTACAAGGTCGCCAACGATCCCATAATCATCCCAGATCTCCAATAGAGTCCCTTCCTCCACCAGAGCATCCACGTATTCACGACAACGGTCCAAGGCATCTTGATCGAGGTTAAGACGTGGTGCGAGGCACCTTTGCAGGTTGATGAGCGGCAAATAGTGTGTGAGACTTGGAGACACCTTACCTTGCGCACCAACGTTTAACGATGCATCCTAACAGGACTTGCTCTTCATAATCAGCGATATAGGGTCCGAGTCCATAGATAACGCGACGGAAGTGACCATCTCCAAAACGAGCTACTTCGGGTTTCGTCATTCCAGGTACCAGCGTCTGAAGGATTTTTGACAGAGAAGAGTGGAAGAGTTGGCGGCGAAACTTTCGGAACCTTGGATCCTCAGAATGTGCTCGAGTAGCTTTATATAAAACCGATCATTAGCACCTGTAAATGACATGAAATTAAAAGAATCTTACACTTTGGCATAGCGAGAAACCCTATGATAGCCACTGCATCTCGGTGTGCGCGACGGACGTTATTTCGAACATTTCCAATGGATAGATATAGCGGGTAGTATGCGTTGTTGCCAGTGCCGACTGATACTGTTGTCTTGTCGCTGCCAAGAATGACAGGAACGAAGGTTGCCCCAACTGTGTCAGGATCCTTGGAAATTTCATCCTGTATCCAATGATGCCTTAGTACATGTGTTGCGCTGGAATGTTTTAAAAGAAACACTTACTGCTTGATCCCATGCCCAGTCAGCAGACATGAAGTCTTTCCACTGGCGTTCATCAGTCGCTGACGCGTACTCACGGTAAGGCTGATAATCCACTTCGTCGGCATACATTGGGTTTGCGAGCATATTGCGGATGACTTCACGAGGATCTCGAAACCACACGTCGTAAGAGCCGTTCATCCACGGCGGAACATCGACGTCTGGTATGTCACCGCAATATTTGACGGAAAAACTCTGCCACGGCACGTCTCCAAGTGGACTGCTATCAATTGTATGGTATAGGTCTTTGTGGTTGGCAAACGGCGGACGGTCGTTGTATTTCACAAGTGTCGCGGCCCACAGGTCAAGTAAGGTGTCAATTTGAGGGCCGGACATCTGCTCTCGAGTGTATAGGAATTCAGCGGTTTCGAATTCCGTTTGATTACGAAATGGGGTCCAATCATCGGCAGGACGTGCAACAGGTGGGGATGGTGGAGTTCCTGGGGGAAGAAATGCACCATTTTCATCACAAGGCCGACCTTAAAAAAGCGGACCGTCAAACATTATTTTACAGATTTGCGAGAAGTGCAAAAAATCACATACCATCAAGATCCTTATGGTAATTTCGATAAAAGTGATTCCCCGGTCCAAAAAATTCTGCATTGACATCCGGAAGTGGAGATGACATCCTGGGGATTTCAAAATCGGGCTGATCATGATCAATGTCGAAAGGAACACCATCAGCACGTGGGATGTCTTCTTCACGATGCTGGTCGTTTCCTGGGTCCGGAAGCTCGGGAGAAACTGAACGGTGAGACGGGATGGGACGTGGGATTGTCGGATGGGCTGAGAGCCTATGTTTTGTCCTTCCAGCAGCAGTCTTGAAATACCGCTGGCAGTTCTGATGGCCACAAGGAAGCTGGAGTGTGCTGTGGTCCGGGCGATGGTAGGAGTTTGTCCCACTGGCAGGCATTGTGATGCAGAACAAAATAGAGGCGAGTGAGAAAGATAACAAGAGTCTGATGTCGTGTTTTGGGCCTAGGGCTGACGCATAGTAGCAAGCTGCATGGGCGAGTAGCTGAGAAGGCCTGCGAAAGTTCAATGTTTGTTTGGTCACCGTACCTACAAATTCTATTGAAAGTTAAACGTACTAAGCCGAGTTTCTCCCATCACTAGCAATACTTTGCCTTGCTTCCGTCAATACAGGTATAATGTCTTCGACAACTGGTGTCACTGCTCGTCAAACCCGCGCATCAAACGCTAATGCCCATCCTGGTCAGGTCGTTCTAAATGCAAAGAGGAAAAGACGCACCAAAGCTCAAAAAGCTGCTGACGACAAGGTTCTTGAAGAAGAACTCCAAGCAAAAGAAGCAGCCGCTCTAGAAGGCATCCAGCGTCTCGCCAATATACAGGCTGAGATGGAGCAGGTCCAAGCTGCTGCAGCTGTCAAGAAACCAAAGGCAGTTAGACCACGCCCACGTCCGGTTGCAGCCAAGAAGGGATCTCAGCTGAAAAATGTGGCGGCAGCTGCAGAGGATGGAGTTGAGGATCAAGAGGGTAATGAAAGGCAGAGCCAACTGACCTCAGATATCAACCAGGACGATATGAGCATCGGAGAGATAGAGGTTGTTGCGAAGCAGAAACCTGGCAAGAAGTCACTGAAAGATGCGGTTGATGCTCGATTGAAATCGATGAAGACTGATCAGCTTGCACGTGGTAATGTTGATCTTGCAGACAGGAAAGGAAACTCTTTACCGTACGTTCTTCAATTGCTGCCATGTTGTTACTCTCTGAGTCGACACTTTTCTTCCTCAACTTGACTGCGGAATTTAGGTCAGCTGTCAAAACTTCAGTCAGTGGACGCATCAAGGCCTGGGCTTCAGACATACCAAGTCCTCCAAGCTGTCCATCTGAAGGCCGCTCCCAGTTGCATTCTGGTTCACATGCCTCTGTTCCCCCATCCACTATATTCTCCCGCTCTCAAGCCACAACAGCAGCTTCAGATGCGACTAGTCTTAGGTCGCAGGCCATTTCACAGAAAGGCTCCGATGTACGAGTCTCTGCTGATCCCACTGATGATCTGGTTGGAGGATTCGGCGATGAAGAGGGAGATGACATGTATGAACGCGAGGCTGCATTCCAAACAACAGAAAGGCATCCAGTTAAGGTACCGTATCTCTTCCTCTGATTTATCAAGCTTGTGCGGCTCACTTCTTAAAGCCTATACTCCAGATCGGTGATATCACAGACTCGGAGTCTGAAGATGTCGAACCTGGTAGCACGTCTTCAGCAATGGTACGTGGTTTTCCTTTGGCAATCGAAATACTCTTTGACCGTAAAACAATTTCTCGCGGCTGAGTAGTTAAATCCTCGGCTGGCATCAAACAGCGAGCTTCCCCCACCATCCTCTCAGCTTCGCATGTTGGAGGCTGCCCGCCGCTTGGCCGCTGAAAAATACAATGGAGCCTCCCAGGCCCCACCATCTACTCAGCCTCGCAAGCCACAGACCACCCGCATCGCAAGTGGCACAAAACGGAAACTCACAGTGGAGTCCAGTGTCGACTCTGTCGAGATCGTGGAAAGCTTTTATGATCAGGACAACTCGGTATCAAGCGACATTCAATGCATTGATGACGCTGCGATGGTAGTTGACGAGCCTCAGAAAACACAAGCACCCCTCTCCAAAGCACCTGAACGCACAGTTGTCAAAACAAAGGCTCCACGGACAACATCGTCGGCATGTTCTTTTCTTTCTGGCCCCATGTCAATATCAAATGACTAACATCTTATTGCAGACCACTGTTATGACCACCGATGCTACGGCACCACCTGCAAAGAAGGTCAGAACTGCGCCCAAGGTCAAACCCGAGCCCAAGGTCAAGCCCGAGCCCAAGGTCAAGCCCGAGCCCAACAGGCTATACTGTCATATTGAAGCATAAAGGTATGTGATAAGAGACACACCTTGATGCACAATGTGTCTAGTTCCCAGACGTCTGTAGCGTGATGCTTCATGAAGCATCAAGCCTCTGTGTCTCTGTGCTGAAGCTTCACGCTTTCCCACGACATTTCAGATGTTTGGTTTCACCCTTTTTGGGCTGGTAAGCACCGTTGCTGGCTCTTGGTTGTCTCTGTGCTGAAGCTTCACGCTTTCTCACGACATTTCAGATTTCAGATTTCACCCTTTTTGGCTGGCGCAGCCCCTTCCCAGCTTCTCTCCATTCCCGGCTTCCCTTCTTGGCTTCTTCAGGCCTCTTTCCTCTATTCATGGCTTCTCCCCCCCTTCTCGGCTCGGCTACGGCTTTTCTTGGCTTCTTCAGGCTTCTTTCCTCTACTATTCCTGGCTTCTCCCCCCGTTCTCGACTTGGCTAGCCCATCAATTTGATGTCCTGGATCAAGATTTAATACTTATTCGCAGGTTGCAGTGTATATCAGTGTTTACACGACGATTTTTCTCACTAAGTCTGTGATGCTGAATGCGGATCGAGATTCGCCACTTACTGATTGAAATTTCACTAAGTCCCGTCTATAGTATTGTACAGTACAAGTGTATACATATACAGCGCTGTGCGCATGAAACATTTGCCAAGTCTTACCAGCGCTGCGCTCACGAAATTTCCACCAAGTCTGACACTGCAAATACATTCATATCTGGAGAATTGCAGCAAGAAGTCAATGTGTATTAATGAGTCAATGGTGGCCCCGGGGGGGTATCGCAATACATGCAGTATGGTTTCGACTAGTATAATACGGTATAAGAAAGATATTACTACAATATCTTGATGGGCAGGTAACTCAGGCGTATGATTTGCGTTTCCTGCCATAAAATTAGTGCCGTACAACGATGACAGAAAGAGCACATACTTCTTTTGGAGGGCGTTCTCCGCTTTGCCTGTCCTATGTCTCTTCGCACTCTCGCCTATCGTGTTTGCTTGTGCCATGCGCGTGGACTCCTGGCGGACACGACCTGTCTTCTGAAGAGGGACATTGACTGAGGGGGGTGAGCTATTGGAAGGTTGGATGCGTGCAGTTTGCGGACGCCTCTGCTCGACACCTTTCTTACCACCCTTGCTTTTCCTGACAACACCCTGGTCTGCAGCCACAGGCGTGTCCTCTTCTGATTGCACCGCCGCAAATTGGGGAGCAGGTGTATCCACGGTAATTGTGACTACGGCAGGCACGCTCGTGGTAGTTGTGTCCATGGTGGGGAGTTCCATACCAGTCCCCTGGACCATAGCAACAGCGCGAACATGAGAGGTAGTCGGTGCTGTAGCAGCAATGCCAGCATCAATAACAGTAGTGGGTGCTTCTGCAGTAGGTGCGTCCATAGCAGTGAGGTCCACACTGGTGACAACTGTGAGCTGGGCTACAGTAGCGGCAGGACGGATGACCTCGTCAGTCAGTTGGTCGGTTGCTATGGGGTAAGGAAGAACCGGAATTTGCTGTGGATTGATACTGGAGGAAATAGAACAGCCGTCAAAGTTGTACATCGGCGCTGTCACTGAAGGAACAGCAGGAGATGTCAAATCCCTTGTTGTATTCCACAGCTCGGGGTCTTTCCTCCATGATGTAATGGGAGTATCAGGCGAAGTCAATGGAAGGGGAGGCACTGATGACGTTGACGGAAATGCAGGGAGTATAGGTGTTTGAGGCCAAGGTACTGATGAAGGAAGGGGGGTACCAAGGGCCCAAGAGTACAGGTCATCAATGCCTTGCGAGCTGAAGCGTGAGGGCCCTGGTGAGTCGAAGGGCAGAAGGCTCTCAGGGACTGCAGGCACTCCGGTGGCTGCTTCCTTACCCTTGCCTTGCGAGCTGAAGCGTGAGGCCTCTGAGGGCCCTGGTGAGTCGAAGGGCAGAAGGCTCTCATCAAACACGGAATTTACAGCTTGCTGGGAGTCGCATGCTGTGGCCACTGCAGGTGACGAGAGAGCCACCTGCAATGAGGTGCTCGCATCCGACATCGTCGGAGCCTCGGCCTCTTGACGCCAGGAATTCTCTTCTTGTTCCACTGGGAGTACGTAGTCTAACGCGCGCTTCTTCCTGTCATCTTCGGCTGTACATTACATTAGTAGATGAGCCCCCAAAAGAAATAATAATACGTACTGAAAACGGTCCCAAGATAACTCAGGTATGGGTTGAGATGCTTGTCTGTAAAATTCGAAGTCGCCTGCTTCCACGTGAGGCCAGATTGATTCACGCCTGTGTGATAACTAAAAACAATCAGCGTTAAGAACGGAAAATGTACGTATCGAACTCTACGTACCTCGAAACATTAAGCATGCCGCCAAGGTGAGGATCAGGGCCTCCACCAATGACAGACCACTCCCAACCTGTTAGCTGTCTTAACGCGTCAAAAAATTGTGATATTGGGCCGATACACTCCTCTAGTGCCCTTATTAATGTCAGAGTGTGAGCGAGACGTACTAACGTAGACAGACAAATTTCACTTACTTTGCATACTGCGCGTTGGTAGGTGTTCCAGTTGCAGCGGCTTCGGAGAGCACGACAGAAGCCTTAGCTTCACGTTCTTCGGCAGCCTTCGCCTTGCATAATGACCGAATTTCTGATGGCGCAGCCTCATATGCTGCTTTTGTCGACTCCTTGACTGCTAACAATTTCTTGTTCTTGGTCACGAGCAACCCGGCCTCGATTTTCTCCTTAATCTGCGACCGTACAGCAGTATCGTAATTCAATTTTGAAAATATTTCGACCTCGGTAAGAGCCCGAGTTCCTTTTGCCTTGTTGCCGAGCATCTTCGTAATCGATTTCGTCATTGCGTTGAGTTGTGACCGACCGCCCTTGCGAGATCTATAATTGAACCAATTTTTTATTTGCTGATTTTAAAATGAGCATCGTTTTTGTAAATCAAATTCATCGTTGTGAAATTTATTAACCTTCTTGCGCGCCTCAACTGCCTTTCCCAGCACCACATTCTCAGCCTCGCTGAGCTGTGAAAGTGTCTTGTCTGGGTACAGTACATCGATTTCAGGCCATCGATTCAGGAACTCCATGCTAACGGTGGACCAGAAGTTCAACAAAGTACCCTGAAGTTGCTGTTTCAGGAACTCGCTAAATTGAGTCTCTAGGTAATCCTTTTGTTCGGAGCTCGTCCATTGGGATCCAACCATCTGTCATAATGGTTGCGTGATCAATGACAGCATATTGCTAGGCGTGTGTCACCGCTTACCTTGTCTTTTTTTAGTCTGGGTCCGGTATGTCGGCTGGAAGGCTTTAAAGTGCCTCGATCGTTCACAGCATATCATGGTAGGATTTTGGATATTGGATGACTTCCCGCAGTGTTTAGAAATCTAGATATCGTTTCAAATCTTATTCGTCGGAGATTCGGCTCGCAGTACAACATAATCTAGAACTGATTCCAAACCGCAGACCAATCATATCTAGATTCTAGATACATAATTATAATTTTTAAACCTACACATGAACGACGACGAAGCTGATCTGCACCAGCTATATCACATGATTGAGCTCATGGAGGATGAGAGAGATGATGAAGATGAATTCCGAAAGCACAGGATAGCTGTACTTGGTGCAGTGATTTTTTCAGGAGCCGAAGAATCACGACGTGAACGTCTCGCACGCCGACAAGCAAGAAGAACGTACCTCATTCGAGGTGACCTACTTCCCAATCCCCGTGCCAATACTCCCTGGCAAGCTCTATACATGGCTCGTAATGATCGAGCTTTCATCACAACCATGGGGGTTGATGTGTCGACATTCAATCACCTCCTCTCAGCTGGCTTCACAACCATTTGGAATACCACACCCATTCCCCGTGATGACATCCCCACTACTGCTGTTCCTCGAGCCCATCGTCGTTCACTTGATTCTGCAGGGGCCTTGGGCCTTGTCCTTCACTGGCTTAATTCCACCATGCGAGAAGTCAGCCTGATGCAAATTTTCGCGTTAATCCCAAGCACAGTCTCACGCTATCTGAATTTTGCACTCACAATACTCCTTCGCACACTCAAACACATTCCCGAAGGCATCATCCAGTGGCCTGCGGGTGACAAATTCCAAGAGCTGAATTATCTTGTTACTGCACGTCACCCGTTATTGACCGGCGCTTTCGGAACACTCGACGGACTTAATTTACCAGTGCAGACTTCGAGTGACCAAGAGATCGAGAATGCCACCTATAATGGTTGGCTGCATGATCACTTTGTAAGCTCTGTCATTGCATTCGCAGCTGATGGTCAGTCCAAGTCCTCGTTGTTATCAGTTCGTTCCTACTCATTAGTTAATGCAGGCAGTATTATTCAATGTCGACTCAATGCCCCAGGGAGCTGGCATGACTCACGTGTTGCACAGCCAATTTACGAAAAACTTCGCAAGGAGACACCAGCTGGATATTACCTTGTGGCAGATACTGCCTTCCCTCGTGGAACTGATCAGATTGCCGGTCGGATTAAAGCCCCCATCAAGGCAGGGCAGCGCCTCCCATCAAATGAAATTGAAAGGGGGAACCTGCTAGCCTTCGATCGACAACTCCTGTCATTTCGTCAGACGGCCGAATGGGGCATGCGCACACTTCAAGGTTCATTTGGACGACTTCGAATCCCTCTCGATATCAATCATTCTGAGCAACGACAAGACTTGCTCGAGGCATGTGTCCGTCTGAACAATCTTCGTGCTCAGAAAGTCGGCATAAGCCAAATTCGTTCGGTATACATGCCTATCTGGGTTCAAAATGAGCAGGAGGAAGTATGGGCACATTTTGAAAGCATGTTGTTCTCCGAACAACGTCGAAATGATAGGGTCGCACGATTCCATCATATGTGACAAGTAGAACTAAGTGGGGATTTATTTTGCACATGTACTTCGAAATTTCGTAACTAATCTATCTCATTGGGACCTTTGGATTCCCTACCATGACTGGGAGATATGGTAATTGATGTTGGTGTGAATGAGACATCGAGACGTGCAGAGGATGGGCCACTGGCAGGGGTAGCTGAAGCACGAGGTGTAGCAGATGTACGAGGGGTCATCGGGACTCGGGGAACAATGGCACGAGTGTAACGACCCACACGCTGGTCCTCAACAATGTCACGTCGTGAGACCACATCATGGTCATCAAGGCCAAAGTCATCTCCAGCCTCGTCAGGTGTGACCCAGATTGTCGAGCGGCCTCCATCTCTATAGATTGTCTCACGACGAACACGTTCTTGCTGCTGGTGCCCACTACGAGAGTCCTGCATGAACTTGGCCATTTCAAGCTGCATCTCGAGACGGTCTGCACGACGTTCAGCATTAGCACGTTCACGTTCGACTTGTGCAAGCTGGCCATGAAGTTTATTGACGGTGGCGTGTGCATCACGGAGCTGAGTGGTCAGCGACATGACCTGTGTAGATTGAATGGCGCGTGCTGAGCGATCTTCGTCTCGGACGGCCTGAAGGCGAGGGTCGAGAGAAGCAGATATAGTTGCCAGAAGGTCAACCCCTGCACTTCGTGATGTGCGAGGGGGACGGGAAATAACAGGGGATGTCGCACGGCGAGCAGCAGGCCCAAGACGAGGCTCTTGGGCCTCGTGCTTGATTTGAGTTGGCTTGGTCTTCGAAAGGGCTGACACTGTTGGGTCGTCGTCGTCGTCGTCATCCGAGATTTCAACAACTTCATCAGCAAGTTCTTCGTCATCAAGATCACGAGTCCCAGCTTTCTCGTTAATCAAAGTGTCGATGTAATGTGCTCGGTCAATGTAAGGAGGACATTCTGCATCCCCTGTTGGCTTCGTTGTTCGAACAAACTTCAAATAATTCATTAGGTCAATGGCCAACAATGTGTGAAAGAAGACTTACTTGCTTGAATTTGAGTTCGAGAGACTTGGACGAGCGAGCTGGACGGTCATTGTCATTCGCCCACCGTGCAAAGGTGGCTTCAACAATATTCCAACTCTTCGCACCCACAGGCAAACACGATTCGCACGCATCGAGTAGAGCATCAATGTCATCTTCGTTATAATTTGGTGCTCCCTGTTGACGGCCACGTTTCTTAGATGAGTCGGAGGCAGTGGGAGGTGCGGACAGGGTTTTTCGCTTTCGATTTACCAGCGGTCCAGTATTGTCGATGGCACGTGCCTTGCCTTTAGCTTTGGCAGTAGTAATAACAGTGCTCGTGCGACGGCTCCCTGCGATCTTTTTCGCTGGCTTGGCAGCATGCTCAAGCAGGGTGGACACAGGTGGGAATTCATCCTCGTCATCCTCGTTGTCGTAGTCCATTAACGAAGGGTCAATGTGCTGCCTCGCAGGAGTTGGGTATGATGGAGGAGGGAGAGGTGGTGGATATGTATATTGATTCTATAGGACACGTCAGTTTGCAAAATGTGAATTCGGGACTCGGAGACATACCTGGCCAGGACCCTGGGGTATCATGCGAGAATCAAGCCCGCCAAAGGCAGCACTAAAGCCAGGAAGCTGTGAAGTGAAAACACCAATAAGGACATTGATTAAAATGAACAGAACCGAATATACCTGGTTATTTGGATGGTTCGGACCCATGTTCGGAGGTTCACCAGCCTGATATGTGAAAATATTGTCTGTAGGGGCAGGTTGAGGTGGTGGGTGATAGACACGCATAGCGCGGGAACGGTTACCTGAAATACCACACGAGAAGGTCAGATATGTGTCTGTCTTTATGGTTATCGAGACGACAAGATGTGCCCTGGATTATATGGATCATCAACGAAAATTTCCTACTCATATATGCAACAGGAACTTACACGAGTGAAAATTTGTCTTTTGGACAGCTGAGATGGCAGCAGACATGCATTTTGCCCTGGAAATGTGAGATTGGTTGCGCGTCGTTAATGTTCGTGCAAAGATCTAAGCAAGTGTCCATCGTACCAGACGTTTGCGACACCGCCACGGAGTTTGAATGTGATTTAGAACACGTTTAGAACACGATTTGAATCTAGAAAGGGGGTCTTACCCCCCCTTCTACATATCAATCTAGAACTGGGTCAGTTTGACGTGCGGACTTGCAAAACACTGACGTTTGACAGCGGCACGTCGGCAGGAGCGGTTTAGAACTACGTTTAGAACTAGAACAGTGTTCTGAACACTGCGGGAAGTCACCCATTACTCACTTTTTGTTTTTTTTTGCTTCTGGTTGCCCAGCTGTAGTAGTTCCAGGTGCGTCTGACCAAACAAAACTTACAGTCAAGCCTCAAAATAAGGTTTGGCCATCAATGAGAGGACCAATCATGTTCCTCTATTCCTATATACATTGGATCGGAGTTAAATTTAATGTCATATATGAAAAGCTACCGCCCCAAGGGCTCACTCACCCCCATTTAGTAGCAACACGTTATCGGTTCATTTTCAAATGAGCAATTCCAATAATACTTGTACCGTGTGCATCCAGCCTTGCACTCCGTCCTCGGTGGAGCCACTAACCTTCACCATCAATGAGCTTGCTGCCGCTCTGCAGCTCATCAGGGACCAGGACGGTAAGTAAAATTTAATTCCATTCTTTGACATTCTCACTATTTAATTGTCTACATAGAGATCTTCCAAGCGCACAACAATACCACTGCAGAGCTGCCCTCTCCTCACACAAACGGTTGCACAGCTTGCATTTTCCGTGCACACCGTCAGCAGTGCTATGCCTGCTGTGCGAAAATTCCCAAAGTATCTGAACCCGAGCCACAGCTTGATACCACTGGTGAGGTTTTTTTTTTCACTAAGCTCCAATTCTAATTTAATTCATCCTAGCACGTACACCCACTACACAAAATGACGGGTCATCTATTAGCACCGCCATTGTGGTAGATTGAGTGGAATGGGTTGATTGTGATCTTACTGTAGATAGTACTACATACTCAATGTGTATGTTCGCGCCATTTTGAATTTGACTGTGTATCCGAGTCTCTGGAGTTGAATTAAAATTGTTATCGTTTGACCGTTCACTTGCGATCACTTGCAAAAATCATATGTTCGGGCCTAGAGTCTCTGCAGGTTGAACATTCAAATTGAAATTGTTTTCATTTGACCGATCGCGATTGGTATATATACTACTTGTAGTTGTGAATGGATACGTTCTCTATTGCATGAACTCGTATCTGACATGTTTAGTTATGAACGCGGACTGTTGTTTGAGTGTTTTCTCTGTCTGTCTGTCCCGAAGGGTCCGTGCGCGCAGCCATTCAAAGTGCCATTTCATATTGAGTAAGTTACGCCATAATCCTATACATACTTTCCACGCACAATCTCACACATCTTCTACGCACAATCTTATATACCTTCCAGCATCATTCATTGCTTGCTCCCGATTGCTTCAATGCCGTCTAAGTACACTGAACAACAGCGTCTCGAGGCTCGACGACAATCAAAACGAAGGCATTATGAAAGGTACGTCCTCTCCACCAACTAACCCAGATAGGAACCGACCGAGTCTTTACAGACACAAGCTCGAAGAACGGTTCAAATCCAGAGGTCGCTGGCGCAAAGCTCTTGGAGCTACAGAGGTACATATATATTCTACTCCTCACACTAACAGCGCATAAGCTAATCAACGACTCAGGCTACCCAACAGCTTCTACTAAAACTAGACTACCTATGGGTTAACCTTGGGTATTCTACAGGTCCTTCTCAATACGCAATCCTCGAGTCCCAGTGCCTCCAGTTGGTTTGTGACGCTGATGCTGAAGGATGGCAAGCTGTGAGGCCACGTTGTGAAGGAATGTTAGTAGAGGTGCAAGGACTTCTTTCTGAAGCCCGCGAGCTGCTTGCAAGTTCACTGCAGGCGGATGGTGCATGTACAGGGTATTTTCTTGCATCTTCTTCAGCTGCTGTTGATGCTGTGGAATTGCACTGTGATGCATTGGAAGAAGGACTGACATTGATGGACGACAGTACAGATAAATTCTTCGAGCGTCTCCGGCATGACCAACTTGTATGGCAGACGGTGTCAAGGTAGATCAGCATATTTCTATCTACAACCTCTGCATACTACGTAGTGCACATGTCCTTGTTGACGCCATTGTCACGTCACGTGAGTATTATGGTGAAACACGCTGCCTCCACGCCTTAAGCCTTAAGCTTTACTCAACTACAAATTGCCATCATGGGTGGCGGCAAACATCGATGTGAAATGGACAAACTAAGGAGAGACTGGTACGCACTCAATAGCAACCTCCATGCTCAGCAAGCTCAACGTCAAGCTTCGTCCTCCTCTCGTGTCGCTGACGACCATGAGCTTTATCATAAGCACTCTTGCTTCTCTCGAACCGCTTCAGGCAGGATCTCCACTGAAACCGAATTCTTCCATGTAGCTGAAGGTAGTGCTGCGCACACCTCACATGCACCTCAATTGGTCCCCGAGACGCTGATAGAGGAATTCAGCTATGATTTCGACTCATCTGCACCTGATGGCGACTTCGTTGATCCTGCGTATGAGAGCTACTTGGCCGAGTCTACTTTGGAGCCTAAGAAGCCTGTAAGGCCAACTGGTGTACGATAATTTTCAATTTTTATGATGTTCTTCTTTAATCGGAACTGGACAGGACCGTGCAATGGCCCAATGGGTTAAGGAGGAGCGAGAGAAATATCTTATGGAACTCATTAGACTCGAAGGCCGCGGTGATTATGCTACCCGTGAAGCCTGTCGCGGGAATTGTGAATGCACATTCGAGCCGGAGTATCGTTGCAAGGACTGTTTTGGCACTGAACTGTACTGCAAGGGTTGCATGGTAGAAAGGCATCGTGATAATCCGCTGCACAGGATCGAGGCATGTAGTCTAGATTGTCTATCTTTAGGTGCGCTAACCGTTGTTTTAGCACTGGAATGGTTATTACTTCGAGGATACTACCCTCAAATATCTTGGACTCCGAATCCAGCTTGGCCATGCAGTTGGTGAACGATGCTTCAATCAATCCAAGGCATTTGATGACGATTTCGTGATTTTGGACATCAATCATGTTCACGAGGTCGCACTGGATTTTTGCGAGTGCTCGTGCGCACAAAGTCACACCACACAAATTCTTCGAGCCCGCTTATACCCTGCAACATGTTCCGATCCAAAATCAGCTGCCACCTTCCGAGTTTTGCAACACTTCCAGATGTTGACTTTCGAGTCAAAAGCGTCCGCATTCGAATATTGGCAGACGCTCGCTCGTCTCACAGATAACACGGGTATCAAGCCCTGCAAGGTAAGCATGTTGTGTGCCTACGAAAGTTGGACTTACTAATGTTGAATTGATAGGATCGCTACGAAAGCTTATTGCGTATGATCAAGCAATGGCGGAACATCACGCTTCTAAAACGCTTCGGCCGAGGTCACGATCCTGCTGGTATCAATGCGACTGAACCTGGAGGATGTGCGGTGCTGTGTCACGCCTGCCCTCATCCTCGCAAGAATTTACCAGATGACTGGAGAATGGCGCCCCCTGACAAGCAATGGCTGTATGCACAATATTTTGCTATTGACGCGAACTTTCGGTTGGTCCGGAAGAACGTGTCCTCTGATAGCGTTGACCCTGGTTTGAGTAAAGGGTGGTCTTATTTCGTCGAGGAGACCGGCTTTAAAGTATTCCTGAAGGATATTGGAAAGGTCTCACAAGAGGTACGCAAGCACATTCGTTTTACATTGCTATCACTAATGACCAACTTAGAAAAGCACTTGCGTCAATCACAACGCCATGAATCTCGCTGAAACAAAGAACTCACGAGGGCTGGCTGCGACAGGAGCAGGAACCGTGGACTGTTCTCGTCACAACTTCAAGCGGCCATGCGGAGTGGGAGATCTTCAACGAGGAGAAAAGTATGTATTGAATTATATCATCTTTATCGCCTAACTTACAACTTCAAACCAGGTATATGAACATGGATTATCTCTTTTTCTCGACCGTGCAGCACTCTGATGAAGTCAGCGTACTTAACGTATCCTACGATATTGCCTGTCAGTGGAGCAAACATCTATGGGACCGCATGTCAAAATACCCCTCGCGTCTACACTTCGAGCGCGACGGAAAGACAATGACATTCCTTATTCCAAAGTTTCACTTACCAGCTCATATCGCCGCCTGTCAGATATCATTCTCGCATAACCTTATCAAGGGGATGGGACGCACCGATGGTGAGGCCCCAGAGCGAGGATGGGCCAACATCAATCCCGTCGCTACAAGCACACGGGAGATGGGTCCTGGTGCACGCAGAGATACTCTTGATGACCATTTCGGTTACTACAACTGGAAAAAGGTGACTAACTTTGGTACGTGTTCACAATTGTCTCAGCGCAGCAATCCTTGATAATAATGGCCAATAGGCATCAGTTTATTGAGCAAGATAAAGACCGCAATCCCTGAGTGTGAACAACACCAATCCGATTTCAACGAATTCAACCGTGCACTGACTGAAGAACGGCCGAGTGAAGTGGCCCAGTGGAAAGAAGTTGTTGAAAACTGGGAGTCCGACCATTCAAGCAAAAATCCGTTTGAGATAAGGACGGTCTGTAAGTGTAACTCACTCTGTATGTTAGATTTTTGACTGACCATGTATAGCCATGACACTGGCGGCCGTGCGCCTCAAACTGTCTCAACAAGAAGCCGAAGACCTCGAAAATGGGCTCAACAATTCATTGCATATGGATATCTCACCCGGCGTACTGATATCATCTGGACTGGACCTTGAAGAACAACAGTACGTGTTTGACATTTATTTTTTATTTATAACTTCTAATGAATTATCTACAGATACCGCCTACAACAAGATCTGGCCGCTCTCAGTGCCCATCCAACGGATCTGCAAACGACGAAGCTGCAGGAACGCTCGAATGCACTCCTGCGAAAGATAGAGCAGTGGTGCAACATTCAGTTGCTCTACATGCCTGCAGTCGGACGCCTTCGTGCAGTTGAAACTGCAAACGTGCAATCGCTCCGTGAGGAGAAGGCTCATGAAGCACAATATCCTGTAGGGGTAATGCATTAAATCTGGTAGTTAGCACACAACTGTATTGCATTAACAAGGCTAGTTAGCCTGTTTGTAATGCATTAGACTAGGCTAACTATCAGAGCTGCCTCCCTAGTAATGCTCCCCAGTAAATATACATATTCCAATTCTCACAGCCGCATTTTTGAAACTCAGCTGTTTGTCATTCCAGGCAGCATATGTTATGACCGCAATTTTGGCTTCCAAAAGCGGAAATTCACAAAACATATCCCATTTTGGTCACCTACTCATGTCAGGCCTCCCCACACTATTCCCACACATCCCATTTCCGCATTTTTCAGCCCCACAGTGTGGGAATTACCCCACAACACCAAAAACATCGCCCATTTTGGGAATCTCCACAACATCAATTATTCCCACACCCTTCCCACCTCACTGCAGCTTCACCCCCACACCACAACAGGTCCCCCTTCATATATAAGTAGTAGTTTAGTATATATATGCATAATATAATATAATAGTCCGCTTTTTTTGTTTGTTTGTGTGATTGCTCCTCCTCCAGGGGCAATTCAACATGGGGTAGGTTACAGAACATTTTCGCACTTTTGCCCCTTTGATAGGGGTGTGTTCTATAGTATTCAGAACATGTTTATGAGCATATATGAGTAGATTCCCATCTTTATTTGACCCCTTTAAGTGCCCTAGATCAATAGATATAGCACATATACAGGAAACCACAAAATATGTTCCCATTTGATTATTTGTGAACTGATAGACTTGTAAAAATGATTCTCAGCACCTATTCAGCAATCAAAACAATGTATCAGGAGCCCAGGACTATTGGAGCATTCTTTGTTACATAGTGTCCCCCCCCTCTCCTGGTGGTTTACCCCCTGTGAAATTTTTTCCTGTAGGACCGGACCTCAAGGAGGGTGAGGGGTCTATTTTATGTATATTTTGAGTAGATGTATCATATAGTCAGCCCAGGACACACACAGGATCCTTCTACAGGAACAAAAGCATGAAACATTGTATGTTTGACATTTTTAACATTTTTCAGTATCTTACCCTTGCATCCATGATCTAACCTGTTCATATACAATCAGCATAGCATATATACATGTTTCCTGCACTAAGGGTCAGCTAGATATAGGTCAGAATCCTGAGGTCTGATGTAGAGGGGATATTTCTACTGATCAGACTCCTACATGGTAATCAAACCTGTGATAAGTGATCAGAGACCTGGAATACCTCCCATATATGTCCCTGATGAAATCCCCAAAGACTTAGAAAGATCCATGAAGGATTGACTCAATGTCAGGCAAAATGACATATGTGTGAAAAGTGACAATTGACATCTTTTCACACAAAGTCACATTTATATATGATACAGGTCGAAGATTTCATTAAAAATATATAGGATATATATTAAACTACCTAAGGAACTTATACTACCTTCTGCCCTGAGGGTAGATGGTGGGTGGAAGGGATGTAGTGTAAATATGAGTTGACCCAGGATTAAAGTCCTACCACTACTCAACTGACCATTTTCGATGTTTTGGGTCTTTGAACTTTCCCACGCTCAATTTCTTATCTATTTCACTTCCTCAGCACTCAATTCTTGTTGGATCTTTCTGTACCTTTAGGCCTATGATACTGAATATATTTTAAATCTACTCCAGGTGTCTGATCATTAAGTTTCAATGAATTGAAAGTTTGGGCTCCTTATCAGTAGAAATAGCAAGCATTCACACTAACTCAAACCCCTGGCCTATTATGAGCTGATCCTTGTCACAAAAAGCAAGTATATATACTATAATAATGATATATGAACAGGTTGTATTACTTATGCAAGAGTAAGATACTGAAAAACATCAAAAGTGTCAAAAATGCGATTTTCTATGTTTTTGTTCCTGTAGCAGGATCCTATGTGTGTCTTGGGTCAACTATATGATAGAACTACTCCAAATATACACAGAAATAGACCCCCTACCTCAATTGAGGTCCGGTCCTACAGGGAAAATTTTCACAGGGGGTAAACCACCAGGAGAGGGGGGGACACCATGCAACAGGGGATTATCCTATGGTCCTGGGCTCCTGATACACTGTTCCTATTGTTGAATAGATGCTGGGAATCATTTTTACAAGACTGTTCACCTAGAAATAATTAAATGAGAGCATATTCTGTGTTTTATTGCATATGTGCTATATCTATTGATCTAGGGCACTTAAAGGGGTCAAATAAAGATGGGAATCTACTCATATATGCTCATAAACATGTTCTGAATACTATAGAACACACCCCTATCAAAGGGGCAAAAGTGCGAAAATGTTCTGTAACCTACCCCATGTTGAATTGCCCCTGGAGGAGGAGCAATCACACAAACAAACAAAAAAAGCGGACTATTATATTATATTATGCATATATATACTAAACTACTACTTATATATGAAGGGGGACCTGTTGTGGTGTGGGGGTGAAGCTGCAGTGAGGTGGGAAGGGTGTGGGAATAATTGATGTTGTGGAGATTCCCAAAATGGGCGATGTTTTTGGTGTTGTGGGGTAATTCCCACACTGTGGGGCTGAAAAATGCGGAAATGGGATGTGTGGGAATAGTGTGGGGAGGCCTGACATGAGTAGGTGACCAAAATGGGATATGTTTTGTGAATTTCCGCTTTTGGAAGCCAAAATTGTGGTCATAACATATGCTGGAATGACAAACAACTGAGTTTCAAAAATGCAAACAATATTTGAGTAGTCATGGCAGCAGCTAATGCATTACGCTGCCAATTTGGGTGAGAAGGTAATGCAACTATGCTTAGCATTGCTCTTGCATTACTGCCCACTGACACATCGGCGGTTTCGGAGTTTTGCGTCAGGCAAGACTTCAATCGAAATGTGAATGATAAATTAGTCATTCGTACTTTGAATTTTATTACCAGAACAATAGTAAATTCAGACTGACGGCAAAATGACAAAGCACAACAACACATTTTGACACCCATTTGATGTCTATGTAAATGTATAAAATACTCAAAGTTTTCCTTTGCACGAAATGTTGGCACAAATGTTAACTTTCACAATCCTATTTTATCCAATGAAACATCCAAAAATTTGGCATTGTCCGCCAAATATTATATAATAACGGGAGTTTTCCCACTCCACAACATTTTAAATTTGCCTTACTTGTAAATGATATCGACAAAATGTGAAGTTTTGGCAACCGGGAATTATAGTGGGCATTCATTGGGCGCTCGCCAGGCGCTGAGCGAGCACAGCCGAGCCCCAAGCAAAATAACACATAAATATTCTATAGATATGAGAACATCGGCGCTACCCCTATGATATAGAACCGTTTGGATCTACAGAGGGTGTGATTTCGGGTGAGTGGCGGACTATTCTGTAGAGGGAGGGGTCTGGTATTAATATTGAGTGGCCCGCTGAAGTTTCGAATGAAAATAAGAGATGTACCATAAGATTCTTTAGTACGGGACCCTGAGAGTTTGACAGAATGCCTCTTCCACTCAAGATCGTGATCTGCTAGCCAAACCCATGTTCCCCCTCCGCCGAGCCTGTCGCAGACACAAATCAGGGGACATCTGCGTAGTCGGTAGCAAATTCGTTCTCACTGCCTTCAATTTCACTAATCTTGTCGAACCCACCTGAACCCACGCCATACTTGACACCCATCAATACCCGGCCCGCGCGATTGGGCCCTGCCATGATTTGCCGCCCGGGCTGGAGCGGCTGGGGTGCGCCCGTAGTTGATGAATACACGCGTGTCGGGAGGCTAGAAATTGCCCGTCCATCAAGTTGGCTTACGATGCTGAGCTGCAAGTGGCAGTGTCTCAACCCCGCTACCGATTTGAAGTGAGGGATATGCGGAGAGTTCCGTAGAATTGAGTAGTTCGGGTGAAGGAGGGTTTAGTATACGCATAGGAAATAGAGGTCCCCTGTGGTGGGAAAGTTAGTTAGGGTTGGTCGGATAGAAATTTAGAATCAAACGTACCTGCAGTGATGAACCAAACAGATGACCGCCAGCGAAGCCCTCATGGCTTTTGATTAGAGTTGAAAGGCATGTAAAGTCTCAGACCTTGTAGCTTGTGCAAAGGGAAAGCTAGCTGCTGAAGAGATTAGTTGGCAAAGCGCGGAGGTGGGAAGAAGAGGGAGGAGTTCTTGAATAGATGATCTTGAAGGTGTTCTCGTCCGACTATGTGGCCACCGTCGGCTAGATGAGTCCACACAGTATCGAAACCGCATAGAACGAGGCAGGAAGAATTTCAGGAACATTGCATTCTCTTGCGAGGCATATGGCCTCTAGGGATCGTTTTAGACCGATCTACAAGAAAAAAAGGGAAGCTCACCAGCGGCATAGGTCATTTTGGTGAGGTTTTGAGGCCATCATACATCCACATCAGGACGACTAGCCAGTCTTTCACGGAATCTTGCCACAGACTGACCCATTCTCTCGATGTCGGCCGGCTGCGGAAGTTCGAGCATGTCCGCGAAAATAACAGAACACATAAGCTTGCTGCGGTGAATCTTCCATGTTTGTCCTTCAACGCTAATCACGATGTCCCCGTCAGCAAACCAGAACTGCGATTGCTCGATTGATGACTCGGATATTTCTGCGGTGGCCCGTGCGTTGTCATTTCGCTGTATCTTCGTCGGAACTGTGCATCATTGAAGAGTTGTTACTTTGAAATTTTGAAGTCCAAGTCGTGTTGTGGTGTCAATGTGTCATTGACTAGGGAAAGGTGGCGTATAGGCAGGCATGGAACCGGCCCGACTGGGGGAAAGGGAGTGCTGAGAGTTCTAAAGGGGCCGGGTCTAGGTCCGAACATCAGAAGCTTCTCGGATTATGTAAAGCGTGACTTAACTTACCAGAAGTGAATAGAGTAGAGTACATCGTTATCGATTACTCGCCATGGCTGGGGTGAATGCAAACATAAGTCGTTGGCAATGGATCAGATCATCCATGCGGGGACTGATGAAGAATCTAATAGATGCAAAACATCAACCACAATGCGAACAATGTAAGTGCGTACCATCTCATCTACACGCGGCCTAATAAGACATCGTATTTTAAGCTCGCTGGAGGGAACATTGTCAGTTAGCAGTTTCACAAAAAAAGTCGGGCACTCACGATCCCGTCCGTCAGGCACAGGTGCAGGTGCAAGTGCAGGTGCAGGTGCAAGTGCAGGAAGTCGAGGAGGAGGAACAAGTGTTTGCGGTCACGCAGACTGCGATGGTAAGCCTCTCTCATCATATCTGGCATGCTAATCGTGATTTGCACCAGGCTCTATGGGATTACGCACATGAGATCGTGCAAGATAACGCAGCGTGGGCGCGAAATCATCCGCAGGCACCGCGGGCCCCCTATACCCCCATCCCAATGTCGCATCGCAACAAATGCATCCTCACCCTGATGGCGGAGGAGAGACGTGATGAGATTTTCCGGTTGTTGAATGAGGTGATTGAAATGGAGCGTCTCTTAGGGTTGGAGGACACGTAAGAGCGTCGAGTCAGTTTCAAGGAATCTGTGTAAGAGGATGCGGACTTACTTGTAGGGATCTGAAACCCGGGAACACGAGTCTATGAAAATGAAATAAAATATAGTTAGCACAGAGAAGTGATATCAGCGACCATGCGCTTTTTGCAGTATTCCTGCACTAGTAAGAGAAGCTGTTACGAGTGTGATTCATATCGAAACCTACTTTGACCGTCGTGTTCTTGAACTTACAGTTGCCAACATTGGCAGCGAATTCATGCTCTCTGCTTTTTCTGATTTGTGTCAAGGAGTGTTTGGCCACTTAGTTCACACTATTTTACAATGTATTTGAAAGAACACGTATATGATGAATACAGGCTTGCAAAAGTATATCATTGGCCGAAGAACACAAGGTCATGTAGGTCAGTCAGAGAGAGATCACCGTCACCATCAGGATCCAGCCTACGTTTCTTGCCAGATGGAGTGACTTGTACCCATATAGGCGTTGGATCCTGCGAGGCGCATAGTGACTTCGTGTATAAACGATGTGCACTCAGCCTGTCGGTCGGATGCAGTTTTTGCAGTACGGCTGCGTCGTTATTAGGCCAGTTGGGCAACCCAAGGTGCTTGTCGTAAATATTGATGACGGAGTCATGTAGTTGCAGGATCTGCATACCCACCTCCTTCTGGTAGGCAGGAGACTTGCACATGACCTTGTATGTAGTATCAATCATCTTCTGCTGTGCAGCCATGCGCACAGGCCCAACTTCGTCCAAAACTTCCTTCAATTCGAGCCGGATTTGTAAAAGCTCCTCCTGGTCCTCAGGCAAGATCATGGAGTACCGATGCGAGAAGAACTGGGCCAGTTCAATGACAATATTGTCAAGCCGTTTGCAGCCGACAAATACGTCTTGCGGAAAGTCGGTTCTCGCAACGAGAAAATTAGCTTTCGAGGATCCTCCGGACCCCACGAGTGGATCAGCGTCGAAGACCTGCATGATAAATTGGGTCCGCGCAACGATGTCCATGTGGCTCTCCTTGTACATTAAGGCCGCCCACAGAACAACGTAAAGACTGGACTCGAGGTCATCCTCGACAGCATGGACGGCCTTGATATTTTTGACGAGGTGAGCAGACATGAACTGCCAGGTTCCCTTGGAAAAAAATCAGTACGATGAGTTTGGGTATAAAAGGAACATACCGTGCGGGTTATTTGTCGAGGACCCTGAATCGTGAGTACCTTTGCTAGGTCCCAATCGATGAGGATACCCTTCCCTCGGTAGATGACGATATTCCCGACGCTGAGATCCCGATGTAATATTTTTACGATTTCATATGCATCCTTGTGGGCTGCGTGGACAATGAGCATGGCATCAGGTAATGCGCGAGGTTCAAGATACATACCAAGTAATGCGTCACGAACAGACTGGACAAGTTGACGAGAGCTCTCAAAGTTAGTCAACTTCTCACCCACAATATCGAGAACCAGGCGATGAAGAGTGTGGGGAGTGACAGCATCGTTGCGACACGTCCAGTTGGCCTTGTGAAACTTGACAGTCTGGGTATTTTGCTGAGGGATAGGGTGGACGACTGTCATGAAATGCGATACATGTTGCGACATTGCGAACGTTGTGCAACTTCAACAATTTGTAAGTCTCGCCTTCCGGTAGAACGTCCTTTATCGACACGCGCCAAGAGTCCTTAAACATTACGACCTTCTTGTTGAGGATATCATACGCAGGGCACGTGCGAGTCCAGCGACCAACAAGAGGGTAACCTTTTGTAACAGATTGGGGAATAATCAACACCAACCAGTCAGAGCCCTCAACAGCAGGATCCCGAGGGACTGCAACTCTGTACATGCACGTGGTACTGGCAAGTTTTAACAGCCGTCCTTGCGAGGGCAGCATCTTCGTCGCTAGCGGGCGTCACGGAAGTATCGACGCCACGCAGTGCAGGCGATGCTCGTGCTGAAACGATGGAAGAAATCGGCCAAGTGTGGCTCGTGATAGTAGTCGAAGGCGTTCGTGACGATAGCTCCCTCCCTGTCCCATCTGATGATGCGAGCACGATTACGAACGATGAGGACAGAGAATGCATGGGTACGATATTGAGCGCCGAGTTGAGCGACAGCGTAGCTTGTTATTTGACCTAATGTGTCGAAGCCCTTATCGGTCTGAGATACAAGAGGTTGATCGACTCTAGGATGTTTGCTGAATGCGTCGTGGGCATCAGTCCATTTGAATTCGATGATGACTTCGGATTTGGAAATGTCACAGCCGTGTGATGTTCCATCGGCGTATACGCATACGTCCGGCTTGACATTGAAGGTGAATGATGAACAGTTCTTCATGTCTGCATGTTTGGAAGTGTTCACAAACGATAATTGCGGAGCGAAAGGTCGTATGGCGTCAATCTGCAGATAGACTGGTCAAGAATCTTCATATTATAGGTGCGGGTCACTCACGAATGGTTTGTAAGCATCCTCTTCTTTCCTGATGGATTGCATATTGAATACTTCGGCATTGGAGGCCGAAGCGAAGCGCGAAGCAAAGTCCGAGGTGTCATAATCTTCAGGGTTCGGTAGGAACTCGTCGAGAAAGTTCTCTACTGACATCGGGCCAACGACATGGGCTTGCATCTCCTTGCCCATGGAGTTGAGAGTATCGATTCGGCATCGTGCGAGGGTCGTGAAGGGTAATAGTGTAGAACTATCCCGTTTAATGGGAGTGTCAAGGATAGGGGAAGCTAGCGGCACGGCAGGCTGTGCCTGTATTGCTACAGCAGGAGCGACGGTTCTATCAGCTGCAAGACTATCCCGTTGGAGAGTGCCTACGGTAGCAGGAGTAGGCTGCGCGGCAAGCTGTACTGGTATTATTTCTGCATTTATAGCAGCAGCAGGAGAGACAGTCCCATGAGCTATAGTAGGGTGGCCCAGGTCGAGACCTAAGGTCATGATATTCGATACAATATATAATATGTACTGGTATATGTGGGTATATGTATGTAACGGCAGAACAGCCGAACAGTGTTTATGGTGTTTATGTACTTAAGAGAGAGAAAAAGAAGACAAGATAACAACATCACGAGGTTTATATAGCGAATAGAACTCAGTCCGGAGTTTTCCGCGCGATGACAGAAAGAAACACTACTAGTGAATACATAATCAAACTCAATTTGAATTTCGGGTCCAGCGCCCACTTCATGTGTCTGCCGTCTTGAGAGCTCTTTTTGATTGCAGGACGCGAAGGACTTGCGCGAGGCTGTATAGCAGTGCACATCGTAATTAGTTTTTGTGATAATTCAGTCCTATTGAATGTGAGTTATCGTGAATTGTCAGAACTTCGGGACGCACCCGACTCAGAGACACAGCAACGATGTGCTGTGGAGAGAAGTTCCACCGCGCAAAATGTGAAACCACCCACTCAGGCATGACGATTGTGAGATGTTCAGCGAGTGCTGATGAGAATAAACGAGCCGGGAAGTGAGGATAATGGCGGAAAGGATCAGAGTGAGAATGTGACGGAAGGTGATGCCGTACGGCGAAGCACACTCCTCGTTCGGTCTCGAAAATATACTTAATGGTCCCTGGTGTTGGTTCCACACTCCTAAGGCCGCCGGGATAATAAAGGATCAGGCTATTGCCAACATGAGTGGAGTCGCGAGTGTAGGTGGATCCCTCGTGGAGGATGCGAGCATGCAAGACTGCCCGCCGAACTTGAATGAGCTGGCGGAGGTCTTCCGGAATGACTTCTTTTAAAGTAGGGGGCATCGGGTGACCTTCGGATACATCGCTGGGATTGGCATTGATTGAAGGAGAAATGAATCTGTCAAATAACCACTTGACCTCCCTAAACACGGGAGGACAAGAGGGTCGGTTCAGCCAGTATTTGAGCTTTGCAGCCTTGATGTATGACCGGAGGAGAGTCGATTCTTGCTGTCCTATATTCCAGCTTAGCGTAAGAAGTCTATCATCGACAAAGAAGTTCGAATGCTACCAAAAATGTGATTACTGGGCAACCGCTGCAGCTGTCCGATGAGGCGTTCATATGGGAAGCACCACCATGACCGCACGGGTCCAAAGAGGTGCAAGTAGTCCCAGACGTGCAACGCCATATGGCCATTGGTTCGATGGCGTGCATGGGGGAGTACTACCTGTAAATCCCTTATCCAGTTGACCATATATGTGCGATATGCGTCTGCGTGATCTGTCATCATAGATCGCAAACATACGATATGAATAGCGGATACAAGGGACATCGTGTGATCGAGGATGGCACGACGGCTGGCTGTGATGTCCGAGTTGCGATGTACCGATCCCTCGCCCCATAAACTGACTAGCGCTATGGGTAAGTATACGGTCGTTAGCGTGCGCCATTCATCGGCCTTCACAGTCCCAGCTTTTGTTTCACCGAAGTTATAGGGGACTGATCTCAAGAAAGAGGGCGCATCTGTTGTCTTAATGACATCAAGAATACGTCGCATAACTTCTGGGGTAGCAATGCGCGATTTTGACAACCCGGGAGCAAAAGGCTGTGTTCGACACTACAAAAATGTCGCTTAGTTAAGAGGAATGAGAACGGCAATACCAAAACGCCTACCCAACCCAGGAGCGATCTAACCCAGTGGACTTTGTAGACTTTTTTGCCGGGGTGCGTGACCTCTGGCCCGATGCCCAAACCTACAGATATGAACCGAAGGCATGCTACCTTCTTCGACGACAGTCTTCTCTCCAAGTCGAGAACGTGATCTTCAATGAGCTGAGGGTCATCTCCCTCAAGGTCGGCAACCGCTTCTGTGAGAAGGCTATGGATTGACTTGACGACCCTGATGTCTTTCTCGTCGAACTCTCGAGGTTTGTTTAGATCAACGTCGAGGAAAGGATATTCAAAAGCAGGGATGGCATCAAACTTGCGATTGGCAGAGTCGGCTGTGAGGCCTAGAAATTCGTGGAAATGAGCATGCGCGAGACCCTCCAGGAGACAATGCATGGTGTCGACGACAATTTGACGAGAGGGATCCCAGTACGATAACCTCCAGAGTGTTGACCATCGCACGCCGTGTGATGCAAATAGTTTGTTGCGCTCCACCAAAGTTCCGGCGTTCTTCCAGAGCTCAGCATGGCGACGCACTTCGTTCTTGTCCCTAAGTGCCCAATCTTCAGTCTGGATATCTGTTCTACCGCAAGTCGACCTGTGCCAGCAATGGCACGCAGTGCAATAAAAGTGACTCGTTGGACCCGCCAGCTGAGCAGCCTTTCTCGCCGCCGGGAGGTCGCACACAAGAAACGCTATAACGCTGCGCGTAACCTGACCAGAGGCATGGAGAGCTGTGCGGGAACAATGTATCCCGCGTTCCCAACTTTCTACCATGTCGTCAACCACGGGATCAAGGAAGTAATTCAGCTCATCACCCGAAGGTTCTGATGGTCCAGGGATGATGCCAGCTAAGTACATGTGTTCAGGTTTATACCAAATATTGAGGGGGAGGTTCAAACATGCACATGAGATGATGCCAGTAGAGGTTGAGGCATTTCGCTGGAGATTGCCCTCAATGTTGAAAAAATCAACGTTAAGCGTAAAAGCGTATCGACCCTCGACGCCTCTATCGATGAACAAGGATTGCCCGGAAGGACCCTTGAAAGTGCGAAAGAAGTCGGCATCCCAAACATCCTTGATAATATGTGGTGGGCGCCCAATGGACGCCTGCAAATCATCGCAAGGCTTATCCATCAACACTTCAAGGTCGGGACGAGACAACAATCCAGCAAGGTAGTCGTGGAAGTGGTGATACAGGAATATTTTGATCGGCTCCAATTGCCCATCAGCAGAGGGCTGCAACAGCGGCTCGTCGCAAGGGCCGTCCTCTGGTATCGGAATATTGTGGCACTTCGTGGGGTATTGGGCGCGACTTGAACTAAGGCAGGCGGTCGGTTTATAAGTACAGTTGCATGCTGGACAGACCGCGTAAGTTGTAGTCTGGGCGTCGAGCTTGAAGCGCGAAAGGGCGGTTTCCATGGAGCGCGGGATTTGAGACAGTGTGTTTTGACGGCGAGACTCAGAATGAGGGTTCTGAGCATCCATAGCAAGGCTCAAAATGAGGGCAAGGACTCCTATGAGGAATTCCCCGTGTCTGCGACCGATGCCAAAAATGACGACGGAGATGGCCCCTAGAAAGAGGGAAATCTGGGCAACCTCGTCACATAGGTCAATTGGCAAGTCGAAATGGTGGGCTTCATGTTTATTAGTCGAAGGGCATAAGAAGGATGAAAAAAACTCACACGGATCGAATTCGAGCGGCTCGGATGACACAGTAAGTGCATCTTCCTTGTCGCAGAGGAGTCTGTGCATGTCATCACACGACACCTCTAGCTGACTTCTGCGAGAAACGATACACGAGACCTTGTGCTTGACTTTTCTGAGGGCCGTCTTGATCACAGCCAGTTCATCTCGGATGGTTTGAATAATATTGCTGGAAGTCGCAGAGAAAATTCGACCGCGAGCCCTGTCTATCCGTGACTCCACAATGTCCAAGGCTGCTTGAGCCTTTGACTGGCGCCGCTTCTCGGCAGCTTGAAGAACAAGGGCAATGTGTCTGGGAAACAAGTAAGTTAGGGAACGTGTGTATGATATGATGCTTACTGCGCGTCATCTTCCGTGAATCTAGCTGTGCCGTCCAGAGAATGGTAGACCTTTCCCTTGTCTTGTTGAACTTCTGATCGCGAATTCCAGAGTTTGCTGTGACTGTCTGGATTGGCGTCGTTGTCTGCGAACGTGATGGCAAATAACTCGGCGGCGAGATCGTCGACCTGTGAAGTATTAGGCTCCAGCTGCTGGAGAGCGAGATGAAGCACGGATGCTTCACGTTCAGACGACGAAGGCAAGTCGGCATCTTGCAATAAATGTATGGTTTTCTGAGCGATAGGCACTTCTTTGCCACCAGGATTACCAGGTATGCCGTCCCCTCCAACTTCGCAACAACGCGCGCACTTGCAAAAAAACATGCGGCTAGGCATCTAAACAAACGTCAGATGATGCACTATACACACGTCGTTGATCTGACCTTTGAGAGAAAAGAAAAGGGGGTAAAATAGTACAAAGTCACACGCATATACGCGTGGTGACATCTAAAGAGTCAGATAACGTATAAGGTAAGGTCTGGATCCCAGGTTGTTAGGGGCGATGCCAAATTACAAGGAACTTATGAGGACTTACTAATTCTATGAGACAGGGCGCCGGATCTAAAACGCGAATGTAAAGCACAACTTCTGAAGACGCAAACGTACTTTGCTTACCGATCTGTACAAGCTGTTATGACAACGGTCGTAGTCGGACTGGGATGGGTAAGCGAAGGACGACAGTCCTAAGCTATCGTCGTGTGTCGGTTGAACGTCAATATACCTGGTAGCCTAAGCCGTCAGGTTGTGACAGAACGGAAGGGGAGGTAAGCTTCTAAGGCAGCGGCCGAAGAAGGGTTTCGTGTTCGACGGTTAAGTCTAGACGAGGGATCGGTATCGACTCAAAGACAAAACAGTCTAAGAGAAGATGTATCGGACTCAAGGATAGCGATCCGAGAGTATAGAGGGTTCGTGATCAGACTCAAGAGAATATACAAGTCAAGGTAAAACCCAGTAGAATCAAGTTAAGGAATAATAGTACAAGTGGATCGACTATATATAGGTAAGGATCACAGTGTTCAGGGCAGGTCTGGTAATCGTACAAGGGTCAGGAAAGATATATCGGGAAGGCATGAGCAGGCAGGAGTCCATGCGGTCAGGGATAGGGTTCTGTGGGAAATCAGGAAAGGAATAGCCATGAGGCCATAGATCAGGGTTAATGAAGGTGCTCATCACGATCGGGCGGCGGGGATCAGGAAGTGCATCAAGCAGCTGGTGAATCGTGAAGAGATGAATGACATTGTGAGAGGTTAGTTAAAAAAGATGGGCTCCATGTTACGTAACACAAGCATGATTTTTTTGATGATCTTTACTTCATAATGATTAATTAAACTACGACCCCAAGCTATGACAGTACCAGTACATCAAAATCAGAAAGTAAAGTCGATTGCCAATTGAGGACGCTCAAATACTGAACGACTACATAATCAAGCTCCGCCGGAATTTGGCGCTCAGCGCCCGACGTTGGATGTAAGTAAGAAATATCGATTACAGTGTTACAGTGGTACAAATATCATCAGGCTATTCTGTTCAGCGCTGGGTTACACTGGATGTAAAGAATGACTGATTATGAGCAGTTCTTACCTGGTGAGACATGCAGATCCACAGCCAGTTCAACATCGCCCGCTGCAAAGCTACGCATAATGTGGAGAAGATCCCCGGCAGCAGTAGCCGAGTAACCTCGCAAAGTAACACGCTTGACTTGAGGAAGAGCCTGAATCCATGCCGCGGATAGCGCCTATGACCACCATTAGTATTGAAAAAGTGCTGTAACAACAACACACACCAATGGATCACCCGCAGCACCGGGGACCGAACCATCTGAGTAATCAATTACCAAGTGTTTGATGCGGACCATGGAATGGGCGCCCGATAAACACATCATTGCTGCACTAGAATGACCATTAGGCAGGGAAAGGACAAGATGTCCGATGCTGTCGCAATAGCTAACACATTGCAAAACGGAGGTGATGTAGTCGGGCGATGGATTATGGGCTTGTAGGGAAATATAAAGACAGGCGAGGTTTTGTGGTTTACTATGACTCCGAAGCACTGGAAGGAGATGCGACAGGGGTCCATCCAGAATAGACAAAGAAAGAGTCAAAGGAGTGATGATTCGATTGGCCCTCCAGGGACCACCAGGTGGCGGAATGACGCTGAGGGTACTGATAGCTGGGTGACGGGCCAGAAAACGAATCAGTGTGGGTGGCGCACACTCCCCATCGACTCGGAGTTCTATAAGCATTGGGATCGCAAAGTGGCGTAGGAGTTTGTCCCATTGTGCAGAACTGAGCTTGACAGAACTCAGTCGAAGTTTTTCCAAACATCGGGAAAGACGGATGGTCTGAATGGTGAAAGGAAGAAGCTTTGGGGAAAAAAACGTCCGCGAAGATGCGTCAAAGGCTTTCAGGGTGTTTCGGACCTACACATGCCTGAATTTGGGCGAGGCCAGTGACGGACGGTGAGACATCGCCATCGCAGAAACCCATGCACGTCAGTTCTTCGACGCCGGAGGCACGGATGTTTTCCAGTAATCTAACAATTTGAGAGAAAATCGGGGAAGTGAGAATGTTGAAGTTCCAGAAAAGTGTGATGTATCGTATAGATTTGCGGGGAACTGGACTCAAGGAAGTGCGAAAATGCTGGATAGCTGTGAGGATTGCAAATCGGAATCCAGCCAACTCAACACCATACGCGGCGGACGAAAAGTGTCCATTCGTCTCCAAGTAGACAAAACGTCAAAATTTGGCGAGTCTACGCGAATGTGGAACAGGTCCTGCGGAGAAGTTGGGAAGTTTCTGTCGAGGAAGAAGAGCGGCGCAGCGATTTCTCTCAGCAGGGGAGAAACTTGCGTGACTGAGCGCAGATCTCGCGCTCCTAGAAGGGCGACGGTAGCGATGAGGATTTCCGCAGGTAGGGACCAAATGAACGCCTTAGAGTTGCACGGCTCATAAAGTATTACACGCTTGATCGCAAATGGACCTAGTTGAGCATCCGCTTTGCGCTTCAAGAAAACGTCAGACTAGAGTCTGAAATCAGTAAAGATAAGTGTATTTAGGAGTGATTCCATACTGCCTCCCTGAACAAACGCTTCGTCGTCAAGCTGGTTAAGTCCGTATGGTGGCGGCTTAGCTTTAGCTACAGCTTCGTCAACGCTGAAGCAAATATTTGAAATTGGAACATACCGAAGCATTGGAATATGCCGCAATAACTTGACATATGTCGCCTGTGGAGTACGATTCCAAAGTACGTCGCTTTCGAGGGGTGATCGAATCACCAAAGTCGATTTTGCGCTTCAGGGATGGTGCACTGCTTTCCGGTGCGCTGATGTCCTGTAGCATAGGTGTTAAATCGAGCCTGATGTACATATGAAGGATCTCACCTTCGAAGGCCCAGGGAAGTCAGTCTTTGAAACGAAGTCCTCCGACTGGTCAGTCTGTGAGACGAAGTCCTGTGACTGCTGCAAGAAGAATATAAGTCACGAGGAATAGAGGTAAAATATATGGGGCGCACATCATGAAAAGCCCTTTTTGGACCGGAGAGGCGACTTGTCGAGTTTCCCATCGCAAAGGTGGGATATATGATTGAACATGATCTTGATGATATTTACTTGTTTTAAGTCGCGCGAAGTTGTTCCATGGACAATTGTTCCGGGGACAGGGAACTTGTTGTTTGTTTGATATGTCCGGGGGATACAGTGGCACTCACTGAAGCGAGTATGGGTAACTGGGAGATAAAATACTGAATGCAGCCTAGGATGAAGTCTAGGCGCAATACCGTTGTGAAGTTACGGGTAGTTGTAAGTACTACAACGACCTTGCGGGTGTATTTGTATTTAAATATTACAGGACGGAGCTGAGCAGAATCGCAACTCACTCATGCCGTGCACATTACCTCGCCACAAAACGTCTGCAGCCCGTGGCATACGCTTTAACCCATACACTCGGCCCTACACTTCAAGCAATGAAAGTATTGCACCCATCACCGCACCTATAACGAGGACATATGCCTTGTATATTGATGAAATGGCGCTGAATACTGCTGTAAGTAAAGATGCCATGGCCGTTGGCCAACAACGACTGAACCGACCATTCATAGCTCGAGCGGATGGGATCCGCTATGTTAATCGACGAACCCCATGCACTTGATGGGACAATGGGCAGTCAACAAGACGTTCCAATTCAGAACATTCATCTGGCAGACGATGAGGTTTGTAAGATTGTTACGTAGCCGGGATCCGCGACTGACCTTGCAGTTTTCAAAGATGAGAAGCACATTGCTGGCAGCGAACTTCACGGCCACTGGTGCCAACCACGTCAGTCCCTGTATGGGGCGCCTGTCTCCAAATCAAAGAAAACTTGTTCGGAGCCTAGAGAAGGTGGTAAACAGGTGTATCGATCGTAATTGTGAAGAGGACCATCCTACTACTGACCTCTTACGCGAGAGGATCTATGCAGCACTGGAGGGAGCAGTATTGGGCATAGAGGATGATGTTATGCGCAGGCATGTCGCGAAAGCCGAGAACTCCAAAACAAACGACGACGGACACGTAAGACGGTCGTTTGGTGTCCCAGTAATATCTAATAATGAAATTCATCAGAAGCTTCCAACAAACAATGTTATCCCACCTGCAGCACGATACATTTTTGACGGTATGAAACGTGGATTATTTTCACTTGGAACAGTTCTCGGCGCACTTCGTTCAGAGCAGTTCCAGAACCATCGAAAGTAACCCGTAGGTCGAGAGAATGTTGGATTACAAAAATCGAATGTACACCAGTGGAATCATTAGTTAGTACGAGGAATCAATGTGGGTGACCGCTTACATGACAGAATTCCTGAGCCATTCATGTTTATATTTATTGGTCTGCCCATACTTTCGCTCGTACAATATTGACCTGGAAGAAAATCACCCGCAGTTCAGTAAACGGACACTTGTCACTAATACTGGTACATACAGTAGTTCTGGTCAACATTGTACAAATGGAACCCAAGTTATCCGATTTACTAGTGGGCAACGATAATCTCCATCCTCTGGAACTTCTTTTTAGATACCATGAATGATGAATGTTGTTCAGTCAACCAGGTAGGATCATAGAATGCTGTTGGCAGGCCCTGAATTGCAGTGCGAGAAGAATCCCGGTTAGCATTACGAAAACGCTTGGCAGGCTTGCTTCCGCGAGGAGTGAAAATCGCGGCACCTGTCAACCGCTGCTGGTCAATAATCTGCATCTCGTGACTGAAATCTGCTCTCCATGGCATGCTCTTCCGACGAAAGACCTGAACATCGCCATCTCCGTATTCACTCTCATCAGAGCTCATGCCATCTTTCCAAGATTCTCCATCATGGATTGGAGATACACCCACACAACCTGATCATCTTTTCCTGTGGCATTCCTATCACTAAGTAGCAGTCAATGTGACTTTTTTGCGAGTTTCGAACTTCTAGCGACTAGCTCAATATTATTCTGCTCTGAATGAAACAAGTCAACTGACCGTCGTCCTGCGAGTGAGAACCCTAGCGAGCCGCAGTCGCTCATTCGTCTGATCCACGAGTCGATCTCCCACTTGTTGCATGGTCTTGCGAGTACCGTCACCGAGGCTGAGAGGCTGAGCTTTCCTCCAACACTTGCGGCATTGACCGAATTTCAGTTCGATATCATCTCTGATTGATTCAGTAGATCGTCCAGCCCATCCATTGCTCTCTTGCAAAGTCGCATACTGGGAGCAGAGGAAATCGATGACTTTTTGGTTCCATTCGGACTTGTGTGTGGTCGCCATATCCCATTGCAGTGCAAGCGGGTCAGGGCCTGGGCCCATTTCATCTGCAAAAGACAGTATAGCTTCGCACGACGCTGGGACATGAAGCATATACTCTTCATCTTTTGTGGCGTGGAATGCGGTTTTGAACAACTCCCGAATATTTGCCTGACGTTTCCGTGAGCAGAGTCATGTGCTTTAAATGGTTACGGACCTTGTTATCTCGGCGCTGGTTATTAGTAAAATTTTCGACGGGAGGCTTAAGCGGTTTGCGTCCTGAGCGAGGTCCTCGGGGAGATGTTGTTTGTGGAATCTGAAGAACCTTCACGAGCGCCTCAGCAAGCATACCAACAGTCGCATGCACAATCGGCACGTCTCCTAGGAGTGATGTCAGGGGCCGTCCATTACCGGTCGTCTGAGGTTCCTTGTCTGCGTCAGATTCTGAGCTGACGTCAGGAATCTATGATGTGCGGTGTCAGCAGAAAATGTACATGTGAAAGTCGTGGACTTACGGGTGCAAACCCAATGATGTTGGTACATGTGGCGACAGGTTTTTTGCCCACGAGGTGCCGCCAGGCAGGTGCGGATGTGGGTGACTGAGTGTTGGCATGTCGAATTTGGCTCTGTGAAATTGTTAGAACCTTACGCACCAGAAATTCAATTCGATACATACATTCAACGAATCAATCTTGGAACTATAACTGGCATTCAAGCGGATCAATTCAGCTTCTTTGTCGGCCAAAAGTCTATCTTTCGCTCAACGCATCTCGTGTTCAAATCGAGCCTCTTTCTGGCCTATTTCAGTGCGAGCCTCGTTTTGGGCCTTTGCCACATCATTCTGTCAATGCAAATTAGAATGTTGATATGACTGCGAAGGTACCCTACCTGGAGGTCCACCACTTCTTGACGGTGGTTCTGATCCAAGGAGGCGAGGGCATCAGCATTGTCGCGCTGAAGAGATTGGTTGTGTTCTTGATACTGTACAATGACTGACTGCATATCCAATTCGCGAATGTTGGAGCTGATCTGAAGCCAGTCAATTATGAACGCGAGGGATGTGAGATTATGCGTACCTGCGCGTGACGTTTTCGGAGCAAAAGATCGCGGTTGCTAAAATGTAGCTCACGCACATCTTCACGCAGCTTAGACGACTGATCAACTTCTTTGAGAAAGACTTTATTTGGCTAAAAATTTAGTTAGCTGACTCTAGGTAAATTGGATGTCTCGTACCCGCTGCTCGTCAGTCATCTCTCATTCTACGAACAGACTGCCAAGGATTTGCCAACTCCATTGGAGAGTCCTCATTGGAGGGAATGACTGGCTGCGGTGGGTATGTGTGGATTATTGCTGAGGAACGACAGTCATCGTGATCTACTGCTTGCCAACGCAGGTGGGTACGTATGGGTTGCTGGCGGATGAAGATCACTGAGGGGATGGGACTCCACAACGTCAAGTGCCTGATCGTCGGAAGAGAACAAGGACATCAGACGAGACATCTTGATGCAACAAATTATTCTACAATCCGCAACTTATCAAGACGACTCACCCTGATTGTGTAACCCAAAGCGAATACTTGGGTTGGTATCCATACTGATGTGGGGCCTTAGGTAATTACTGACTACGAACCGACCGATTCAACCGAACAAAACGTTCCGAATTGTGCAAATGCTAGGCAAGGTCTGGAATACTAAGACGACTACTGATTCTCCTTCGGGGATAACAACACATTCGACTACTACTTCCCGACTCCTTCTGGAAACACGGAGTTTCTATTGTTATAATTATTTACCATTGTGTCGCGCCTTGGCAGATGTGTTTTTCAGTTGCATCTGGATTATATCTCCAACTGGCCAACACCCTTGATAGTCAGCCAGTTCCGGAAAACGGCCTAGAGCCTCGAAAAGAAGTAAATATCAAGCGGCCATAGCAACTGCACACGTACCTCACTATGAACTTCTTGCAACGCAGCTGGAGTTTCATGCTTCTTGCTCTTGCTAACGTCGCAGTGTTTCTTGATATATCGGTGAACGCACGCCTAATGTCACGTCACGTCAAGATGATGAAGGGAAACAAAACTAATAAGTGTAATATCACCTTGAGATTCTTGAAGTGTTCATCATCCCAATTGAGCGCCATTTCCAAGTTGTACCCACCACGGCCAGGACGCCCCACCTCACCATCCGGTTTGGGGATTTTAGAGTCCTTGGAATCTATGGAGGACAAGGAAGAATATGTTGACGCCTCGCTGTTCGGTGTGAACTGCTCTGCAGTGAAGGAGACTAATTTAACGACTTTGGGGGTAGGCGCGCGAGGAGGGATGGTGTGGTTCCACGAGACATGGTCATGAAGACGCGGGAAGGAGTAAGAGTGTGTCGCCTGAGCAGAAGAGTAGAGAATGCCATCTCTTCTTGTGAAGATATCAAGACGAACGATAACGCAGGACAAAACATTTCCGTGTGATATGTTAATAATGGAAGGGCCTGGGGAGGACCTTCAGACTCGTAAAAAGGAATGACAGGAGTAGAGGATTGAGGCATGACTGACTTTGGATGTGAAGAAAGCGAGGAAGATATTTAAATGATGGATGACGGGTAATGTGGGCCTAGATCGGAAACCCAGTGCCCGCACAGGGTTGCCAAGTAAATGGTGTAATATTCTTATTGTATTAAGCACCTTATAAAGACACTCAACCACACAAGGTCTCTGAATTGACAACTGCCGATGCTTTTCCTATCGACCAACGATTGCAAAGAATATCGCCTTGAAGGGTGCCTCCTTGGGCACAAGAACGCAATTAATTGCCTAGCGGTCACTCGCAATGGAAATATGCTGGCAAGCGGGGGTAAGTTGAATGTTGACAATGACAATTTCACACTCACCCAAGTACCAGGCTCGGACGGCATGAGGATCTGGGACCTCAAACGACGAGTGCAGCTCCCAACTCCACGTCAAACGCCAGCCATCCAAAATCCGGCCGATCCGGTGACTTGCGCATGCTGGATAACCCGCCAAGAAGCAACACGCGAAACACTATGCTATGGCACAGGCCTGGGTTTCATAGCCATCTGGCAACAGCAAGGGGAAGGCTTGGAGGACTTTAACGCAAAAGTATCAAGATGAATCGGAACGGGTAAAGAGATTATGTGCCTTACATATGACCATACCGGCGACGATACTCATATTGCAACTGGAACACGCGACAGACGGGTTCAAGTATGGGCATTCGACTTCAAAGGACCATTGATACCGATCTTCAGTGTTGAACTCTCCACTACGATTCCGCGCACTGTCAATTTCAATCGAACACCGGGCAGAAACTTGTTAGTATTTGGGATGTATGATGGCGAGATGTAGGTGCACGTCCATGTCCATACATATCAGCAGAGGTTTAATGATAGTTTTAGCCATACTGCTTCGGGGCTCAGACGGCACTGTCATCGCTACAAATAAGGCTGGACCGATGATGTGAGCGATGTCATGAGGCAAGTCAACATTTACTTACCAATTTACCAAAGCGGGCACGCTGCCGTGGACGCCCCTCAAACACTGTTCCTAATCGACAATGTGATGAACGGATTTAGCTTGCATCAATTGGAAGACGGAGCGTGCCTACGTACCTATAATACCAATCCAGTGAAGACATTTCCGAAGCAGGTTGTTTTTGGGGAACAGGCCACCCTTGTTGTTGGAGGTAGTGACACAGGGGCGATTCATATTTTTGACAAGAATGAAGGCAGAGTTAAGCAAGTCCTGCAACACGCAGACAGGGGGCGAGTACAAACCGTAATGGTAAGTTATTTGCGTCAATCAATGTAACATTAGTTTGACAGAATGCAAGACGTACAATAGCACACACCACAGCCTGATTTTTGGAGCAACATCTACCAATGACTCAGAGCCGACAATCTCCATCTGGTGTCGCAAACGTACGATATCACCAAGTGACCGTCCTCTGGGGACGGCGATCAAGAATTTTGTGCGTGGAATAGTCCAGCTAGCTATCGCAATGGCGATCATGGCATATGTGAGCGTCATAATATGGGGTGCAAAACACGCACTGACTTATTGGAATCCAGGTGATTGGACAAACATCGGGGATCACATTGCTGGGAAATGCCTGGCAAGAGTATTCAAAGCCGAGGGCTCAAACGGATGAGCTAATGAATGCTGACATCCGTTCCTTAGTAGAACAGTACATTGAGGCGCAGAGGGGTGAAGAACTTGAGAGAGCGCGAAGCTCGGGAATGAACAGAAGACATGACGGACGATCGAAGCTCGTAAAGCCGCAAGAAGATATGCTACATGCGGTCATTCTTCTCGGAAATTGAAGATTTTGAATTCATCTAAGTACGCACCATAACTTAAGTACTTCAGAGAAGTATATAGCGACATAATCGTTAGGCGTGAAGGTACTTCAGATAAGCATGCAGTGGCAACCTGAAGTTAAGTGTGAACTACTATTTCAGTTTGAATGAAGCACGTACTTACTTTACAAATTACATTTTAAGTGGAAAGACGCTGATCTGATAGATCAGATCATGATTCACGTTATACATGCCATGTCTCAAATTCTATAAAGTCCTACATGATACAGTCTATACGGGACGATACAACAGATACTGTACGATACAATAGATACGGTACGGTACAACTAACAAACGCATTGCAAAAGTGAAAGTCCAAAAGAAAGCGAGGTTAATGGACAGACACTGCCTATATACTGAACGACTACATAATCAAACTCCGCCCGAAATATGAAAGCGCCCACTTTGCGCCCAAAATATGAAAGCGCCCACTTTGCGCCCACTGCACAATTCTGGGAAGTTCTGGCGGACCGCCAACTGAGTTTCAATGTGTAGTCATTCTCTATATTATGGCTGCGTCTTTCCAAAATTATCTTTTTCCGATTTCCGCATTGTAGTGTCGTATGCTATCTATTACTGTATTAACTATAGTGAAATTGCTGAAGTGCAACAATTAAACTTGGAACAAAAAAGAGCGCTATGGTCCACAATACCTCTCATATGCATACAATAGACAATTTGCTGTGTCCATCGTCGTCCACAACCTCCACACTTCCAAATTAGTCGTTCCCTATAAATACTGATTTCGCGCCTTCATGGTTTTCTTTCCGTTACTACAACCTTAACACGACACTGCATAGAGACTATCAAATAGACTATCAAATATAGTATGTGACGTCGTCAAGTTCACTTATCATAGTTTTAAAGCACTCTAAAATCTATTCTATAGAGTACAGAAATCATGTCTAAACGTGCTGCATCCAATGATGATGCACCTATCGCGAAGCGCATCAGAATTGACGACGGTGAGTAGCACCATTGAATTGTCGAAATCATCTACTCATCAGTTTATCACAGGGAATCAGACAGCAGCGCTGGCGGATAAACGTGCATGGGCAATTCTGGAGCAATTCCTTACCACGGACATGTCATTCGCTCAGATGGAAGAAGCCCTTTCATCGTACCTCGGCAACCGATATTCTCCAAACGATTGGAAGGAATCTCGAGATGCGCTATTTTCCGGTGACGGTGATGACGACCTCGCCTTAACAAACCTTCGTGCTGTAATGGCGAAGCACATACATCCGGGATCTGCTCCCAATGATTCTTCCTTGGCCGAAAGACGATCATCCAGTGCACGCGTTCAAAGTTCACGTAGACCAGCCAAAGTAAGCAAAAATAACATCATTCCGTTCATTTGCTAAACAGCCACATTAGTTAAAAAATCCCTACCTCGATCTGGATGCAGAGGAGGATGAGGATGAGGATGAGGAGTCGGAGGACCACGACCACAACGGCCCTTCTGATTCGCGGAAGGTTACATCTTTGCCAGGATCATCATCGGCCGCTAGGTTTGCCGCGGTCATAGATGACATGACACATAGATTCGAGGCGACACAACGCAGCTCATCGCATGATGGCCAGGCTATTCCCTCCTCGATATCTGACTTGATCCCTTCAGTTGGATTGCAGGACGAGAGAATGTATCTTCTTCATGTCCAGCGTAAGTCTTTCTATCAACGTAATGTCATTTTTTTCACTCACCAATCACAGGAAACGTCACGGATTATATCGCTGCGCACCTTCGGAAGAAAAAATTTGACGTCAAGGTGTCAGCTTGGATAGCTGGCCAGCTTTATGTGGTGGCAGACAGCCCTAAAACTATTGCCAAGTCGCTTCCTTTCTCGCTCTACCTCGCCGTGAAGCAGTATGTCCGCATATCGGATGAGGAACGTGAAGTGGTCGAGCGTACTTACAACAAGCTTCCCAACCCGGCTTGGGTGAGGATAAAGCATGGCAAGTATCAGGGCGACATAGCTCAAGTCTTCAATCCCGATCTACCGAATGGTTTCGTTGCCGTCTTAGTTCCCCCACGGGATTTCCCATACCCCATGCCTCCGAGATCTCGGTCCCTACTCGACCGATCCTGCCTTCCGAACGGGAACACAGTCTCCGACATCAATAATGGCGAAGACGTTGTAGGATTCAAGTTTAAAGGAGAGACGTATTACATGGGCCTCCTACTTCACAACTTCCACCGCGATCGCTTAGAACGTGTCGTCTGCCCTCATGCTGACGACATTCAACTCCATTTGCAATCCGGGTGGAACCAATCATTCCTTAAGAGGACTGTGGTTGCGTTCTCGATGCAGTTCTTGCATGTAGGTGATTGGGCCAGGATCGTCAAAGGAGATCTTAGTTCAGAAATCGGGGAGGTTACCTCAACCGACCATCCTGCCGGTTCTGCCACCTTGAAATTGATCTTGAGTGGACAGCGAAAGAAAGTTGAACTTCGATTACAGGACATAGAGCGCATGTTTCAGATTGGCGACGCGGTTCGAGTGGTCGCAGGCCCATACTTGGGTGTGGAAGGGTACGTCATTCAGATGGAAGATGACATATTTTGTATTTGTCAGGACGTCTCGAAGGAACAGGTGAATATCTCTTTTTAATTGATTATTTTGCAAAATCGTCTAACACAGTCCATAGGTGGAAGTTTCGAAATACTATCTAGACCGTCGCCCTCTGAGTCACGCGCTGCAAGCACGGCTGCCAACGCAGCAACTTTTTAAGCCTCCCCCCGATATCAAATCTATTCAAATAGGGGACTTCATAGAAGTGCTTATTGGGGAGCACATAGGGAAGAGTGGGATCGTGCGCTGGCTCCCCATGGGAGGAGACAATCTGTGGTTCCAGTACGGAAAATTGCAGATTCCAGTTCCCATTTCAGTTGTTCGGCGGACGCACCTCCCCCACCTCCAGACATTACAGTACACGCAAGACAAGGGTTATGACGTCAAACCTGGAGATGTTGTGAGAGTCGCCCGAGGGCCAGAGTATCAGACAAAAGGGGTCGTGCGAATTGTCGACTTTCCAAATGCTCGCTTGACTCTACTCTCTGACATTGACCATTCTCTTGTGAGTGATATTTTCCTCAACCCACGCATACCTGACTTCCTTCAGGTTGAAGTTCCCATCTCATTCGTGATAAAAGTGCGCAACGCCACCCTGGATTCATTCAAAAAGGACATTGGCCAAGAAGTATTCATCATCGGGGGCGACCGTAAGGGCTACCGAGCCACACTCTATAGTTTCACCTCCGAGAATTGCATTGTTGCCGTGCATGGGCAGCAGCGCACCAAGATCGAACCCAAGGACGTTGCAACCAGGTAAGCGACACGTACATTTTTACATTGGATGAAGTGTTCATAGTTATTCAGGTACGGAATGAGGTTAAACGGTGTGATTCTCGAAGGAATAGACATGTTGTCTTTCTGCGAGATGCGGGGAAGATCGTACTTAGCCCCACAACCTCGAAGCGTCACCCCCCCACCAGAAAAGGTTCCCCCCAGCTCGTCAGTTGCCATCGCAGATCCAAGCACGTCGTCATCCCTGTGGACCGCCAGCCCCGAGGATCCTTTGCCCAGTTTGACTGCCGAACTCGACCCCTGGACTGTCAATTCCAACGATATACTAGATAGTATTGATGCTCGATTGGATAAACTCAAAGAGGGTGAGTCACTCCACGGAGGCATCTATATCATTCATCTGATTTCATCATAGGACCGCTAGCTTGGCTGATGAAGAAGGAATTTTTTTTCCAGTTCACCACGCATCACGCGATGTTAAAAGTCTCGCCCTCGTTCATGGGAGGCAGGCTACATAACCGATTTGTGTCGACGGCTTGTCCTGATCCCTTCCTTGGTCCGAATGGACCCGCCCCCGAGGGTTGTCTTGCAGTGTCTTGCTCATCGAGCAGTGCAGGCGCTGCGATTCAACACTATCATATACCTGTCACAGATCTGAGTCCAGCTCCTCCACGCAAAAAAAACCAACAGTGCATTGTTCTGGACGGGAGTCATCGCGGTTCCATCTGTAATGTGGTTAAGTGCAACCTTAAGAAGAACACTGTAGATATTGCAATTGCTTCAACTGTTATTAATTTGCGCTTCGATCAGATTTGTCTAGTAGAACAGTCGCGCACAACTTGACAGTATACCCTATGCCATTTACCATTCACCTATACCATTCACCCATACCATTTACCGTACCATCATTGCATTACCGTGCCGAATAAACAAACGCCTCGTTCTTCCGTGTACTGAATGCCCGATGAATGCGCGACTAGTGCCCATATCATTTTATTATGCCTAAAACTTTGCATTCTCCCTAACACATTTTACGATCAAGAAAATTTGAGTTTTTAACTGGAATGGGAATGGTGGTCATTATGTAATATTTTACTGAATATTTTCCACGCTCAAATTTTTTATTTAGCTATGGACACAATTGCATTACAAATTTTTGTATTTTATATTGACATTTTCCTAAGCGGAAAACTTCAAATATTTCGATTTATTTAGACAGGACTTGGAATCTTTGTCAAAATGTGTTACTTAGCTCTGCCATTTCACCATCATTTAAATTTGTTGTTATTTCCAATGTCGAAATTCAAATTAAATATCCCTTATTTATCAATCACATTTTGATTTAAGTCTAGCTTGTGGCAAAACTCCGAAACCGCCGATGTGTGATAGTTAGCCTGGCTTAATGCACTAGAATAGCACTATAGCCTGATATGAGTGGGAGTTGCGGCGTGCACAGGCACACGAAGCTCTGGACGAGCTTCGCCGACAACTCCGACTTCGTACTCACCTCTACAAGTTCAAGGATGCGCACATTCGTGGTCAACGAGCCAATACTAGGGCGTCCACGGTGCTTAACAAAGTAGAACAAACCGTAAAAACTGCTGTTGCGAGGTATCGCAGAGCCTGGTCAGCCGTCAAGACGCTATCCGTGGTCCTGGGCAAGCCAAACTGGGAAGTCGAGCTGCCAGAGTTACGACCGGCTGATGTTCGTGGGATGACAGAAGGAGAAGCCGGGCAATCTGAAGGCACCCGCACCTTGTCCTGGATTTGGAAGACCCACGGTGTAGTTGGAGTTGGCGAAGACAGCGAGGCTGTCCTATCTGAAGGTAGGGGCCTCATCATTGACAGGCACGGGGAATTGACCTAATCCTTCGAATAGGATTGCGTATTGAATGGTGCAAGTCTCGGGCACGCGCTAACCGGTGGGCCGAAGAAGTGGACCTCCTGCAAGAGGAGATGCGGCGTGTAGCCAGCTTTCTTTCGTGGCATGCTGGGTGGTGGGAGGAGCAGGCAAATCGGAGGACCGCCCTAGCTGCACCCGAACAGGAGGGGATCAAGGGGTATGCGAAACGGCAGGCTGCTCTTCGTAGAGCCATGCGGGACCGATTCCAGAAGATGTGGAGTGTCGTGCCAGCGCTTCTCCAGTCCACGTCGCCTGCAACATCAGTGTTGTAGGGGAGCTTTTGTTTTATTCATAGCGCGTGTTGACTGAATATAGTAATATTGATGTTTGTTCCTATTGATCAGGGTAGCGCCAACGAGGGAGAACATCAAACGATCGGGTCCCTATTGATCGGGGTAGCGCCAACGAGGGAGAACATCAACCAGGGACTGGAGAGAAGCACCAGCACCAATGAGAGAATGAGGGAATCGGGCTGAGATCGATCTGACAATGATCTGGCATGCGAGCTCTCCAGCTTTGATGCTTCACAGTCAGAGGGATAAGTAGGGCAGGCAGTGTCTCTGGCTTGATGCTTCACGGTCAGAGGGATTAGTAGGGCAGGCAGTGTCTCTGGCTTCATGCTTCACGGTCAGAGGTTTAGAGGCATTTGTGCATCAAGCCTTGTGTCTAATTGTATACTTTTAAGCTTCATCACTACAGGTACAGGTGAGCCCAAGGTCAAACCCAAGCAAATGGACACGTCAGAGACCGCCCTAGTGTTCGAAGACGAAGACGAAGATGAAACTTGGGTTGAAATAGCAAAGGCTCGATCGGCCTACCGCAACACGGATCTACCTCCTGCATGCCAGGATGGACAATGGCCTAAGGTTTTCCTTCCCACAATTTACCTGTGGGCAGGAAGTCAACCGAGCCTTTGGAACATCAGTGATGATGCGCTCCTGGAAGCTATCCAGCATACCTTTGATGTCGTCTATCCAGAGGTCGAGTACACACCCACCGTGCAAGGCTCTGTTTTTGGTGTCGTATGTTTGTCAACCGTCCAATTTTCCCCTCTCACATATTTAATTTTAGACTAATCAACGTCTCTCCGAGTGGCGCAGCAATTTTGGCTCCACCGCAATTGCCATCATCATCGATTTTATGGCTCGCAATGATGACACTAGCCCCGGCGAGCTCGCTGAGTACCTCCTTTCAGATTATGCGTTTCTTTATGAAGATCCTGAGGTTATTGACAAGACGAAGACGTTCCAGTCCCCATTTATGCTCCAGCTCATAGCCACTGGCCACTTCCATGCAACATCCGGTCATGCTGATGTTCCAGCACTCAACACTGACGCTCTGGTCGTGAACGGGATTGACGGCGTGATTGGGATGTGTGCAGCTGCAGTAAGCCGTTTTTTTTTCCTTTTGATCAAAGACAATGCTAATTCACTTGTGCAGTTGGAACGCGCCCTGAGGCTCATCAACGACAACATCATTAAAGTCGAGGATGTACTTGCAGCTCCCCCGGCGCTGCGCAAGCTCATGCTCAAAACACCAAAGATGCTCAATAAGGCCACTGGAAAGGAGACCTGGACTGCCTGCGCGTTCTCGGTCAATAATTGGGGCTCAGCAACAAACTCATTCTCAAAGTCGGCTCGTACGAAGGGGAAAACCCTTACGAAGGACATCACCTCAATGGCCCGGAAGCTTCTCAAGAAATCAAACTCTAGACTCAATGACTTCTTTTCCAACAGCGACTCTGAAGAATTTGACGAGCGTGCTTTGGTTTAGTGAGTTGTCAGGATTTTTTGAGGCCTTTTCACATTTAATCAACTCCCTTTTAACAGGTATCGGGCCAAGTCCGAGTCTGTGCAGGTCTTCTTCATCATCTTTGCGTAATCGTCTGCTTGTGCTTGCCTTTCTGTCTGCTTGTGCTTCCCTTTCCGTCGCTGTTCACGCATTGATCGCTACTTTCCGCATATTTCTAATTCGCTTTTTTGCCCTTGTTTTTGCATTGATATCTCTTTCCGCGTCTTTGTGACCTTTTGGACTCTCGCTTTCTACCACTTAATGCCATCTTCCATACACAATATGATGCACTTTTCTCACTTAAAAGATGACGCGGTGCTTTCTAAGATGCTTCCAATGTCCGAAAAATAGGCCATCAAGTGAGTATTAAGCAAATTTAAGTCGAAATCAGAGGACGAGTGGCCTTTTTGCAACTTTTCACCCTTGACTCTTAATCTTCACTTTGGGTCTCTTAAATTCATCATAAGTCACTATTAAGTCATAAAAACCAATCCGTGGTTTTCCTGATGAGAGTCGTAAAACGTCCACCTAGTGTGCCGGGGTGAAGATCGAGATCTATCTCTGGTATGCTGAGACCGCTCGTGTCACTCTAGAGGACACTTTCAAGTCAAAAGAGCCCAGAAAGAGAAAAGCTTGTGCTTACTTTAAGTATGTCGCGGCTCAGGTCGTCTCTATCTTCTACCTTTAACGTGATCCTCTTGCCAAGCTCAGAAATTGCAGTCCCTGACTTAATCTCATTGTCCCGATATCCACAGTCGTCACAGTTGGTTGACATTATAATTGTGTCCTGGTGGGGCCGTCAGGAATGCAGATCCACTGTGCCTTCAATACGGACCTTAAAATAAGGGATAGAAACTTTTTTCATGCGCGTGACGAGAGGTCGGCTGCAGCGCGAGCAGACACCAGGGAACTCGAAAACTTCCTCGTTCATACCCCCTGATTGCTGTTCTGCCTCATCTGCCACATTTTCTTCATTGTCTTCTGCAGGAGGTGCCAATCCAAGCTGCCGATTCTGCTCAAGCGAACGCTCGTATGTGCGCATGTTCCACTTCAGATCGGACATGCTGCCCACGAACTCGAGGAACGAATTCCCAGATGGATCGTCTAAAGTAATGGTTATTGCACGTGTGACTGAGTCCTCTTTCGAAAGGTCTCTCTTCTCTGGCTTGTCCTGCCCTTCTTCGCCTTCCTCTTTGTCATCATCAATGATCTCCATAAGGCCATCAATGATTCCCCGGATCTTGGCGTATGCAGTCTCGTCTTGGATGCGTCTAAGCGGCTGCTGTACGCTGAGATCCGCAACGATGTCCCTGAGAAGACCCTCAACAGTTGTGAAGTGTCCACGGGAGGGCGGAAGGACGAGTTGAAATTCAGGGATGTTGATCGTACAAGCTTCTGAGCGGATGAGCTGGCGGTCGAGATCACCGCGATTAAGGACTTTTACTGTGTACATAGTACCTTCGGCTGTCTCAGAGATACGATATTAGGATGTACGGGTAAAAAAGAAAAGGGTGCGCACGTCTGATCTTCCCCGCCGACTGAATCTCGTTGTTTGAGTGGCCGCAATGTTCGCAGCGGAAACTCATCACAATGACTTCCCGGAAGAACGGGATGGACGTGAGCATCATTCGGGTCACTCCCTGACGGACGTGAGTACTATTCAATACCGCCAGCAATGTGAGTATTTGCGAACGCACCTGCTCCCCACACTGCATGCAAAGAGACTCGATCTCTTCGAGTGGTCTAGCGCTGATATCTTCTTCATCTCCGGCATCGGTTTTATCGACAACGTCTGCGATCGGAGGGAAGAATTCGAGTTTTTCTTCAGTCTGAGCCATGTACTAGCTAAAAGGTTAGATGGTGGAAATCGCAACAAAGTTCATAGATATGTTCCCAGTGTCCTGTAGTGAGACCATTGGACGGAAGATGGTCGTTCATTCTTAACAGCACGTGCACACGTGACCTGTTAGACACTGTATTCCATAGGTATCAGGACAACAACGGTTTGACGCCACTGGATCTTCATCTTGTGCGCTCGAGTACGGAAAATGTCCAAGAAAATATTAAGTATTGGGGGCGTTGAATTGAAATGTACACAGCGCTACGAGCATACACTACAACTTGAATACCGATCATATGCCTCTAAATACATCAACGGAGAACCTGATACTCTTATTCACTGCATATCGAGAAACACGTCCATACCTTCCTCGTGCTGGCCTTCAGCAACCACCGACAATACTTTATTGAGCCAGGTGTCGCCAACATATATGGGCTGCTCCATGTGCTCCATTATCATGTACTTGGGGGTGAAGTACCAATTAGGAAGCTCTCCTCCTTCAGACACCTTGATAGACGGCTGCGCAATTGGGGCAAGGAGATCGCGTTCCTCGGTCGTCATTGACCGGAGGTCAGCAATATCTGACACATCGACAAATACTGGTTGGCGAGCTTCGTTTGACAGGTAGTGAACTGGCGTTATTTGCACAGGACGCTGGTCTTGCATTGGACTGAATGCTACATCGGCGTTGCCATACAGGAATCGGAGACGATCCTGTGTGGGAAACGACCAGGGCACCCAATCAAAATCAGCTTCATCCATCCATCTAGTCTGCTGACACCATCGATGCTTCTGCTGCTCCCATACTTGCTTCTCAAAATCATTCTCCCATGGCTCTGATGGATCGGGCTTGACTCGGAGAGTCAGAATGACACGATGTCCCAAATTCTGATAGTACGTTGAAAAGGCATGAGCAGAATCCTGAGGCACTTGGACGGATAATGAAAGTGGTTCAGAGGACGTGGAAGAAATGTGGCCTTCGTGAGTCAAGTCTGCAGGAGCTGCCACAAATTTGATCTCTCTGCATGGACGTTGGAAGACCTGAAAGTTTCGCGATTGCTGCCTAGAGGGGTCCATGGAGGAAAATATGGATGGGACCAATGCCTTGACGTATGACATGCCTGGCTGTGATCGGTTCTTGAGCTCCCGAGGACGCCATTCGTTGGCGGGTGTCGAAGACACGCACAACTCCAAAGGAATGTCTGTCCGACTCGTGTATCCTGTCCGATGAACAGTGGCCGTGATATTCACTGACGAGTCTAGAAAACGCGCAATCAGATAACCAGACTAAGGTTTCCATTCCACTGGAACACACCTTGATTAATCCGAGCTCCATCGGGAAAGGATACCTCAACCGTGTAGTTGCTCGACAGTTTATCGAGCAGTTGTTCCCTTTGCTGCGGTCTCTGACCAGGGCCTACGGGTGACATAGATACGTTAACACTGGGCGTTTCATCTTCAGTTGAGACGTAGAACGGGTTGAAGGCTGTTATTCCCGCAGGAATATTCCAAGTCGTGCCATTGCTAAACCTGATCTCGACGAAGTACTCGTAATTCGATTCGCTTCGTATAACCTGTCGCGACATTGAGCTCAAGGCGGAATCAGTAGCAATTTCCTTACATCCACATCTCCAACGAAATCTCGCCTGCCCCGCACACCATAACGGTAGTCATATCCTGGAGGGTAGTTTGTATTTGGCACCAGAATCCCGAATTGGCTTGTGAAGGTTGTTAGCGATGGATCTGTTCACAACATCAAACTGTGACTCTATTCAAGAATTCTCGACCCGTACCTGCCCTCTCCGCACCAACCAGAAGAGTCTTGCTCTCAAAAGCAATCCGTTCTTCCTCGTGCACAGACCACAAGTCCTTATTATGTTCAGGTTTCTGGGATGCCCACTCGAGCGCCCTTAGTGGCAATTCGTTGTAATGTGGGTTCCCAGAGTGCTGGAGAGGCATCCGGGCGCGAAACACATCACGAGTCGAGTCCATAGAGCTGTATTTGGATTCTGGTCTTATCAGCGCATCATGCCGTCAGCAAAACTGCATCGAGGACATGAGAGAAACTGGTCACCTCAACTTCCAGAAGATCATTTCCTTGTAGCGCAAGCCAAGGCCATAGCTCTCGACATCAGCGCATGCTGGTCCATTGAGTTTAATCCTGACGTCTCCTGCAATGACATCGCCGGGAACCATGTCAGGCGCTCTCACCCAGGCCTGTGCCCAACACTGTGGGGGTGGGGGTGGTGCATTGTGCGGCTCTCTGTAGAATTTTAGAGGATTAGTGAACACAAGGATGCCAGCTGCCGCTAAGGCGGGCACAACAAGTAGCCAGCGCAGCATCTCTGGGACAATATATGAAAATAAGGGGACGCAATCGTGCCCAGATCATCTGTCTAGCCTTTGTAGTCAAATGACGGCGTCTCTTTGAGAGGGCACGTGACGAAAAGGGACGAGAAAATATCTGTAGGCGGGGCCAGTGCAGTTAACATGGAGCTGCGCGACGTGAGGACACCGGGGTGCGGTAAGACACCGGGGTAACATTCTCTCACAGGGCCATCATTGGACGAGGCACTGAAGCCACAGGTGACAGGACGTGTAATGATCAATAAATTGATACCTTCCTCAAAGGCATAAAAGTAGAGTCCATGTGCCTGAGATCGTTGTAGAGACCTGGCCGATTCAATGACGGAGAGGGCTTATATTTATGTGCCAGCGAAGCCATTCTTAGGACACTATTAGTACTACCAACGGACCAGAAACCAGAAGCTGTGGACTAACCTGTCGTCGCGAAAGTGATCATTATTAAGAATGAACGTTCATTCCCCGACTCCCACGATTAGTGGGAGAGGGTTTTGTAGGATCCAAACGTGCAGGCACCTATACCGCGATGCGTGGGAACGTTTTGTGTGAGAATGTTTGGGTTAAAACTGTACAGTTAATGGAATGACTAATGAATTTCACTGTGCGCGATTAACCATTAAAATTGGTTCGTTCAATTCCATATAGTCTGTCGTCTGACTCGTTTCGAATTCGAAGAAAATTGTGTACGTCTTTTCCTTTGATCTCGGTGTACTTGTTTTCTCGAATTGACCACCTTTGTATTCAGTTATATTACAATGTCCGTGTTTCTCTTGAAACGCCCCAGCACGCGTCCTCGTGTTCTTGATGCTACGGACTGCCCGCCTCATAATATTCTTCACAATATACAAAAATACCCTCTGTACTACAATGCTTTGTACTACCCGCAATACAATGAATCCGTTTATGCAACAGCCGAGAATTTTTGTCGTTGGTTGCAATTGTCACTCTCCTCCCACTGTGACAGTTTGTGTCTGCTATGCGGTCCCTTTCGTCGATCCCTCGCTGTGATTTTTGATGGGGTAGGTCTCTCCATCCGTGTGGATGACATCTCGATGACTTTCACTCGTGCTCATTTCGAGGTTGCTACGTACGCGCATTGTAGCGTGTTCGATCGCTTTAAGACTTATCAAGCAGCTGCTCAGCAAGGCACTCCCCTCCCAACTGCTGCCTCATGCATCACGTCCAGACTCAAAGATGATCCTCGTTGGTTTTCTTACCCGGATGCTTGCTATGCAGAAAATCTAACTGCTTTGTCTATGCCTGCACTGCGCGATGCTGCACTGCGTGTTGTGACTAAAAAGTCGGATGCGCGGAATAAGGAGTGTAGCATCAATGCAATCGTGTCTCATTTCACGGCTAGACGCACGAAACTTGCCAGCATGTCGGATGACGTCCTCTTCAACAGTCTCTCGATGGTACCTGTCCCACCTGCTTGCACGACAACGCGGGGTACTCTGCTTGCTGCCGAGTTTCATAACTTGTATGGTCCAGAGGTGGCCACTGCCATACGCACTCCTCCTGCGATCAGCGCCTCTCTCGTTATCGATTTAGCGGCTACGCGAGCCTCTGAAGCCATGTCTTTGCCGTGGATTTTGGCATCTGTTGATGATCTTGCTTGCCGTCTAGAGAAGCTGAAACGCACTGACGTCCAGCTGTGTATTCGCCGATTTGCACCGCGCTATCGCGTGCTCTACAACAAACTCTCTCATCGAAAAACGTGTAATGCGCTCGCTAATCACGTTCGACAACGTGCGCTGTCCCTGTTTCATGCTGGAGCGAGTATTTTGGGTGATGTTTATCTTGCGTATTTTCCGTTCTCGACGTTCGACTCACTTTCGGATAAGGACGTTTTCTGTCAGATCATTGCTCACAAATTCGGTGTGCTCATTACTGAACGTTTGTCGCGGGAAATTGTGTCGCGGGCCGCCGGGTACAGATCAGCGCGTCTAGAACGAAAACAGAATGCACTGGCAGACATGAATACTATTCGCATGGAACGAGCACAGGATTGGCCAATGCCTGTTTCAAAGGAGGTGATTTTTGATTGTTTGAATGGCTATATGAAAGGTACTATGTGGACTGAGCCGCCTGTATGTGCCGTGTGTTCGCAGTACGACAGAGCTGCTGTTGACGTTCATCTATCAGGAGACGTTTCGTCCTTGAATCTAGATCTTCTCCGCGTCTCAGATGACTTTGTTATCAGAAAGTGCATTGTTCAAGGCATGTCGTCGTGCTTCACTTTTGATAACGATCTGATTGATGGTCTAATGTTGGAGAAGCGTGGTGTAGTGTTTGAAAATTCGAGGGCCGTTTCACTCAAGATATGTCCACAGTGCAAATGTTCCTTGGCGCAGGAGAAGATCCCTTCATTAGCGCTTGCGAATGGTTTGTTCCGTGGCAGCCTCCCCGACCAATTTCACGATCTGACTTGGGTTGAGGAGAAGATATGTGCCATCTATTCCATTACTGCACATGTCACCCGCTTATTTCAATCATCTGACCCGTCGCAGCCTAAGGTTTTTCATGGAAATACGTGCGCTCATGACACGAATGTTATGTCTACCGCTTCCGTGTTGCCACGGACCCCCGCCGACATCAATGGTTTTCTGAGTGTTGTATTCATCGGTCCTCAACCGTTCGATCCGAAGCGTATGGGCATGTTGTTCCGCGTCCGCAAACATAAGATCTGGTCTTTTCTTGTGTGGTTGAAGTCTCACAATTGTTTGTACGCTGACATTGAGTTAGATTTGGCTGTATTGGATCAGTATCCAGCAGACGGCTCCCTTCCTGGTCTACACGAGCGTGTCGTGGAGGATCGTGAACTTGATGCTCGACGTGTTTTCAATTCCGAGACTGCTGGTTTTGCAACTCATCCTGCTGAATTACTGGAAGCCCCAGACACGCCGGCGAGCGATGTTGCAAGTGATGAACCGATAACGCTGCTTGAAAAAATGGGTGTATCGGATCCTGAGTGTGACAAGGTTAGCGGCAGAACTTTTGTGGCTTCCGCAGTTCGAAACCTGATACGTCCTGATATCGTCGTACACCACAGCGCTGATGCCGTCCCCGAGTACAACAACCCCCGTCTTTTTCCTGGCATGTATCCGACACTGTATCCATACGGGATTGGCGGCTTCGAGGACAAATCGCGTCTGACACCGTTGTCGTTCGACCGGCAGGCCAAATACTGCCTTAACGTCTCGGATCGTGGTTTTCGATATCACGAATCCTTTATTTTTGTCATGCTGAATATGCTACAGAGACGTCAGGCTCATCTGCAAACCTATTTTGCTGTGCGTAAATCAAACTTTGACTCGGTTGCTCGTAATTTAACCAGTGTCTCTCCTGACGTGCTCATACGACTCGCAAATCGGCTCGAACAAGAACACAAGCTGTCGAATCTCAGTACGGATGAACAGAATGCGCTCAAACTCCTCCGTCAAGTTAATACCATGTCCACTCGCATCCCTGGTTCACAAGCTTCGAAGATCTTTGTGAGGAACGAGATCCGAAACTATTACGGGTATTTTGGCTTACCACATATTTTCTTTACATTCAATCCAAATCCAGCACATAGCCCTGTGTTTCAGGTTATGTATGGAGATTATTCCGTTGATCTTTCGGAACGCTTACCTCGCATGCCCACAGGTCGTGTTTGTGCAACACGTCTCGCTCATGACCCTGTCGCTGCCGCTGATTTTTTCGAATTCTCTTTCAGGTGTCTTTTCCGTTACCTTCTGGGTTGGGATTTTGATCACGATCGGTCTGTTGACGGCGGTGGTATTCTAGGACACATTCGTGCATTCTATGGTACGAGTGAATTCACTGAGAGAGGAGTTCTTCACGGACATTTTCTGATATGGTTGGAAGGTGGTGTGAATCCTTCAGAGCTTCATGATCGGCTTCGAAATGACCTGAGTTATCAGGATAGATTTTTCAAATTTTTTGAAGACGCTATACACCATCATTTGCCGGAAATTGATGATGCAGTAGACTCTGATTTCGAGCCTCGCGTTCAACGACCGCCATGTCCTCCGGAATCATCGGATGCGGCCTTAGACATCTTGAATAGTTGGGAAGCAGCCTTTGTGACCGAGGTGAAACGATGTGGCGAAGTGCTCCAACGACATACGTGCCGGGCTGTTTGCCATAAGTATGGCAATGATGCTCGCTGTCGCTTTCTTTTTCCACACGAGATAGTAGAGACCTCTTACTTCGACCCGGAAACAAACTCAGTCGTTCTTATGTGTCGGGATGGAAATGTTAATTATTTCAATCCGTACCTTCTTGTCTTTTGCAGGCACAATCATGACATTAAATGTATATTGTCGGGCAAAGGTGCGAAGGCCGCTATGTTCTACATTTCTGATTATATTACGAAGATGGACTTGAAGACGTATGAGGTGTTATCACTGCTCTCCCGCGCTGTTGCTCGCATTCCTGAATCGACGTCTGCCACCAATGTTGCGGACAGTGCAAAAACACTTTTGCACAAGTGCTTGTCTCAATTTGGTCGCCAGCAACAAATCCATGCACAGCAGGCTGCGCGGTATATACAGGGCTTCGACGATAGTATATCCTCGCATAGAACTGTCCCGATGTTGTCTTCTGTCTTGCTGGCATATATTAGAGAAAATGATCTGTTGTTGGATCAAAAAGACGATGAGATCGATGGGGCAGACGAGCACGAACTAGTCCAATTACGCATTGCTACGGACAGAGAAGGAAATCTTGTGGAGGCGAATCAGATCCATCACTACGTTCACCGCGCTGATTCCTTAGCGGACATGTGTTTTTATGACTTCTGCCGATGTGTTCGGATCGAGAGGATAAGTAAAAGTGCAAAAAAACAAAAACACGTATGAAACTCGCCTCGGTGTTTACAGAAGGCACCCTTTAAAGAGCAGCCATCCTTCATCGGAGACCCACGAACTGGTAGAGCACTCGAACGAGAAGCGTGGTGATGGTTACAGAGAACTGGTGCCTCGTGTCGTTGGAATGTCGATTCCACGTTTGTCGGATATGAAAGCTTGGTCTATTTTCGCACTGGCTCATTTCAAGCCCTTCAGCGTATCACATCGACTCCTCGGTGGACATGAGAGCGTCGTAGAAGCATTCCAGGCATATGACTTCTCCCCACGGAGCCGAAAGGTGATGCTGAATTGGGAATCAGTTCATGAGTGCGAAGATGAACGAGACGCTGAGAGACTTCGCAAACAGACACAACTTACTGCTGAGAGCAAAGCACTTACCTCTTCCTTGGCTCTGGGTAGCGTTGATGATGATATTGAATTCGACTTGTCCGGAAATCTCTCGCGGCGTTCTGAGCAGGACTTCCGCATACAGCAGATCGTCCTTCTCATGCAGCAGTCAAGGTGGCTTAGCCGACGCACGGAACACGTGGTTTCTTCTGATCTGAATACAAGCGTGAGCAGCGATCTCGCAAAAAAAGACGCGGGTGTGATCGTACAGTCCGGTAAAATTGACCTACACATCAAGACCTTGTTAAGACCGTGTTCAACGGGTCGGACCGGAGGGGCTTAGCTTCAGCTCGTGCGCTGCGCTCTTTACCCGAGTACGTGCCCCTAATTTACAGGGGGTTTGGATATCGTCGGCCGAAGGGTATAGACGGGCCGGACGAGAGAGGGAAGACTACCCGAGACTTCGTCCGGGTAGAAACTAACAAGGTACAGACTACCCGAAGGTAGAGGCGGAGGTATTTAGCCTTAGGGATATAATCCCGAGGCTCGGAGGATCGGACTAGGGTAATAATCCCAAGAGCCGAGAGGACACGAGGATTGAACAGAGTCTAAGTTAATATTCGAACTGAGGAAATACTACGGGTTACAAAGGGTTTATATACTGTAGTGTATCCGACGGGTTTCCGGCCGAAGCGCAGTCTTCGGATCAGAGGGCTATGTAGAAAATGTACTAACAGATATGAACCGCTGCGGACGATCGAGAATGGAGCCGGAGATTAAATGAAACAGGGGGGACAAGTTAAATGAAAGGGAAATGAATAGACTAACGGACGGATCAGAATGAACCCGGACATTAACTGTCAGGATGATCCGGACACATAGGGGCAGAAAGAAGCCTATACAAATGGGGACTCAGGGAAATGAATTCTAGAACGGACCCGAGGGATCGGGTGGATCGGACCGGACGAGAAGCCTCATGTATGGGATATGACAGACCTGGAAAGATGAGATTAAGAAGCAGGAGGATATGATAGCTGACTCACGAAGAAATGCGCTTAATCCGGAGCAGCAGTTTGCACGAGTCGTGGTTCCTGAAACGGAGTGTACAGCCGAAGGTGGAAGCAAGGTTTATGCGAGTGCTGGCACATCAACTTCCAAATGCGAGGCTACTGAAGCGCTGAATCTTGAATTGAATGAGACAGGAAAGATGTCGGATAAGGATGTCATCACTGAGATTGGTTCGCGATTCAGCCTCAACGCTAAGCAGTGGATAGCGTTCAGGATTATTTCGGACTACTTCATGGCAAGATATGTCGACAAAACACATGAAAAAAATTCAAATGATCAGTTGATCATGCTCATGACAGGTCCGGGAGGTACGGGAAAGACTCACGTTGTCAAAGCGGTACAATCGGTAATGCAGCATTATGGATGCGCACATATTATTCGGTTCTTAGCTCCCACGGGTTCTGCGGCTGCGTTAATAGACGGAATGACTGTACATAAAGGTCTGGGCATTAAGATAAAGTCAAACAACAAAGGTAAAGGGAATCGTGAGCCCGGAAACAGTCTAGAGGATTATTCTGTGTTGATCAGTGTCCAAAATCGCACTCGGCTTCGAGATGAGTGGAAGAATGTCGAGTTCCTGCTGCTGGATGAAGTCTCATTGGTTAGCTTGCAGCTTCTGGCCGAAATAGACCACGCTCTACGTTATGCGAAAGAGAAGCCTGGTGTTTGGTTCGGAGGCATTGCCATCATCTTTGCTGGGGATTTCTATCAATTTCCGCCTGTCGGTGGTAGTCCTCTGTACACACCTATTTCATTGTATGCTGGCCAGAATGACGGCGAGGTACAGAAGAGACTTGGTCGATTAGCGTGGAAGACGGTCAATACGGTTGTCAATTTGACGGATCAACAGCGTATGAAAGAGGATCCGGAATACGGCGATGCAGTGAATCGTCTTCGAGTAAGAAAATGCACTGTGGACGATGTTGATCTATTCAATTCTAGACTGATAAAATCAGTGACTCGGCAAGATGGAATAGATATGGGGTGTCCTGAAAATGTTGATGCGGCCGCCATTGTTGGAACAAATGAGCTGAGGGAGGTACTCAATGCTCGAAAGGCTGAGATGGCTTGTGGCAACAGAAACGAGCTTGTTGTTTGTGCAGCGCTTGACAAACTTTCAAGCCGCGAACTTTCACATACAGAACGTGAAAATCTGTTACGATTGAATACTGCGACGCTGAAGTCGTCTTGTGGTCTTCCTGGTTATGTTATGCTGTTTGAAGGCATGCCTGTCATATTGCGAGTGCGTAATCTATCAACAGATCTCGGAATCACTAATGGTTCACAAGGCGTTGTGCGTAAAATTTTCACAGCCACGTGCCCCGCTGGGTTTACACGTGCATCCTGCATCTTAGTCGAGTTCCCGCATAGCAAGGTACATCTGAGTGATCTTCCAAAAGGTTACTTCCCCATTCTACCTTCAACCTGGACATTTACCACCTCGATAGACTGCGCAGAAGGCAAACCAGAGAAGATTCGTGTCACTCGATATCAAGTCCCCATTCAGCCCGCGTTCGCTGTCACAGGACATTCTGCTCAGGGAAAGACCCTCTCTCAAGTTCTTGTCAACCTTCACGAGGGTGGCTTTGCAGCGTATGTTGCTGCTTCCCGTGCTCGAACTCGCAAAGGTCTCTGCATAACGCAACCCGTCACAGTCGACTCTCTGAACAAACGAGTTCCGAGTGATCTCTCGGTCGAGGTGCGGCGTTTTGAAGCCATTGAGCATAATACTCTCGTGAAGCACGGGTTGTGTCAAGGTGACCTTGTTCCAGTGCCGGATGCAGAAGGTGAACAAACATTCTTGCAAACTTCGGTTTCAGCGCGGTTTGACACAGACATTGTACCTAGCTCGACAAAGAAGCGTCGGATTGCTGAGGTAGACTCCGACGACAAAGATTCACCTGTGAAAACGACCGTTGCTTCAAGGAACCGACCAAGTCGGAAACGAGCTCGTACTTCGCGGGAAGCTGTCGACTGTGATCCACGCGCACTGCTAGTGTCGAGTCTCCATCACACTCCTGCGACGATCCAGGCCCCTTCAGCTGGCTGCAGATGGTCACCTGCAAACTGGTCCTGTGCGTACGACAGCGTGTTCATGGTGTGTTTCTACATCTATCGCGAAGCCTCTCTCTCTTGGCGAAATCTATGGTGCGACAGTGACTGTGATCTGAGACGCGGGTTGGCAGCATCGTTCGAGTCTTTGATGGAATCAGAAGCTAATCTTATGTCTCAAGATTTATTTGATTGCTTTCGTGACAAGCTGCGCGACCTTCTATCGCTGAGTGACCCTCAGATATTTCCTCGATCCGGACCCCTTGTTACCTCTGCTTGTGCGGTATTTGGTCGCTTGTTCCCGGAGGTAGGAAGACAATTGATTAAGGTTAAAGCAGATCGCTTCTTGGCTTATTACCAAGTGGCACCCTTGCTAGGACCCCGAAATCTCGGCTACCAGCACTGCGCACATAGCGCTCTAGGCGTCACAGACGCCGCTCAGGCCTCCAAAAACCCTGCAAAGAAACACAGGACAAGGCCGTAAGGTACCCCCACCGTCACTAGAGAAGATGGCTACCACAAAGTCGCGTCCAAATATACCTGGAACTGGGAATACAAGTATCCGTGCTCCCACCCCCACTAATAGAACTAGAGCATCCCACCGCAACACCGTCTCACTCCTATTATCGCGAGACGAAATAATCCAACAAGAATATGAAGTCAAAGATAAAGAAAGTAGCATCACCTACCTGGAAAAATCCCCATTCCGCCAATCAGGAGAACCAACTACGCTCGAAAACCTTATACTCACCATTCTTCATATTACACAACACACAGGTATCCCACGAACAGTCACAGAAGGCCTCAGAGCAGTAGCTATACTACTAGAAGACGAACTCAACAACGTCAGCCCCAGGGAAGATCCGCTAAACATCAATCAAATCACCGACACGTTTTCGAACACCCTCTCAGCCCGACTGGTAGAAGAAATCTCTTCGACACTGTCATCTCACGTCATAGCGGCCATCTCACCACAAGTAGCATCCATACTAACAACCTCGGAAACCCTCAAAACACACGTAGAAGCCATAGCGAAACTCAAATCATCAATGGAAGAGCACACGAAAGAAGACAACTCCACAGCATCAGCGGCTGCCACCCGAGCAGAACTCGCAGCCGATGCAGTCATAAGCAGTATCACTAACGTAAAAAACGCAATAGAATCACTAACACCTCCCACCAGCGCCACACAAACGGGAACTTTGAAATCATACAGCGAGGTAGTACAACAAAACACACAGACCACGGCACCAGTATCAGCAGCACTCATCAGAGCAGCCACAAGAGAAAGACAAATCCTATTCGACCCAGCTCCTGGCAAGACCCTATTCGCACCCGAAACACCTACTGCGGACATTGCATCGGAAATGAAACAGGCCTTTAAGACGGCTGGATCTGATGATACCCCGGATATTCAAATTAAAGCAATCACACGACTCCGAAATGGTGGCCTCATAGTAGAACTGACCTCTAATGCAGCAGCAAAATGGATAAGAATACCGGCGAACAGAATCAAAATCACCGACGCACTAGGGAAACCAGCTACCATCAAAGAGAGGCGCTTTTCGATCATCATCCCATTCCTGCCGATCACATCGGACATCGAAGATCAAGACTGGTTACGTACAGTGGAAGAAGAGAACAACATGCCATCAGGCACCATCGAATCGGCCAATTGGATCAAACCACGCCTACGCAGAGCACCAGAACAACGAGTCGCCCACGCAATCTTTCACTTCACTGAACCTCAGCCCGCTAACATCACCCTCAGAGACGGAATATACATCGGTCAAGAGAAATTACACCCCAGAAAAGACAAGAGAGAGCCGGTACGATGCGTCCGCTGTCAACATTGGGGCCACATCGCAAAGGACTGCCACGCACCGCAAGACGTCTGCGGAACATGTGGCAAGAACCACCGTACAACTGACTGCAACGCATTTAGAACACTATACTGCGTCAGCTGCAACACTAACGACCACGCCAGCTGGAATAGGAAATGCCCAGAGTTCGAATCGAAATGCGCAGGAATAGACGCTAAGCACCCCGAAAACTCTATGCCATACTTCCCCACTGACGATCCTTGGACCCAGGTAATGCTTCCACCGCAATCAGCCCCCTACCGCAAACCAGAAGTCCCATCAACAAAAGATCACAACCGCCAAAACCTACGACAGACCAACATCTCATTCGAATCCAGGCGTTCAAATGGAGGCTACCACGCGCGTGGCGCACCATTCCGTCCAGGCCATCAAAACCAACGCACGACCACGCCAACGGGATCAAACTCCATCCCCATAACGAACCCAAAAGAAAGAGGACCTCCAGCTACCCCCCTACACTCAACCCCAACAACCACACCAACCCCCTCCCCATCAAGCACTGCAATCCCACGGACCCCGCCCGCACTGAATGTCTGAACAACAGGAAGAAACACCGACTCGACTCCGCGTCTGGCAACAAAACCTAAATACGTCGCTCCTTGCCCAACACTCCCTCCTTAACGGCCCGATCGCTCAAGATTGGGACGTTATCGCACTTCAAGAGCCACATATCAACTCATTAAAAAACACCATCTCGTCCCCGTACTTCCACGCAGTGTACCCAACTACAAGATTTTCAACCCCCAATTCAACATCTCGAGCAGTCACACTCATATCAAAGGCTTTCGACACGAACTCCTGGCAGCAAATCGCTTTTCCGTCCCCGGACGTGGTAATTATTCAATTCAAGGGCCCATTCGGTCGCTGCACCATATTTAATATTTACAATGATTGCGTACTAACTAAAACTGAAGAAGCCCTAGCCACCTTTCTAGAAAACGAAATAGCGATCCTCCGTCCATCCGCTGACGACCACATGATTTGGCTCGGGGACTTTAATCGTCACCACCCTATGTGGGACGAGGAACGCAACACGCAACTGTTCACTAACCGTTATCTCAACGCAGCCCAACCCCTACTGGATTTACTAGCGGAATACGGCATGGTGATGAACCTACCACAAGGACTTCCAACACTCCAGTCTTCGAGCTCAAAAAACTGGACCCGTCCGGACAATGTGTTCAGTACCGAACACACCAGCGACTCATTCATCAGCTGTTACACTAATCCAGCCCTCAGAGGCCCCGCTACGGATCACGTACCTGTCCTCAGCATATTAGAACTGGCGATCCCACACGCCACGACAGAGGAGAAGCACAATTATCGCGAAGTGGACTGGGACGAATTCAAAGCTCATCTGGCCGCCGAACTTCAAAAGATCCCCCCCGCTCAGCCAATCCTCAATGATAACGATTTTCAACAGACAGCGCGCGTCCTTACATCAGCGATCCAAAACACCATCGCTCAGCAAGTCCCCAAATCGAAACCAAACCCTCATTCAAAGCGCTGGTGGAATAGAGACCTAACTGTCCTACGAAGAGAAGTCGCGAAACTAAGTCACGCATCATATAAATATCGAGACACAGCTAACCACCCTAGTCACGAGGAACATCGCATCAAAAGAAATCAATACTCGGAAGCAATCAAACAGGCCAAGAAAGACCATTGGATAAACTGGCTGGAGGAACTGGAAGGTAATAGTATTTGGACGGCAAACAAATATTTAACGACGGCAGCGGGAGACGGCGGCCTCTCGCGGATCCCCACGCTAAAACGCCCCGACGGATCGACAGCGGATTCCAATGAGGAGAAAAGCGCTGCTCTGGCACACGTCTTCTTCCCCCCGCCTCCAGCCACGTCTTCGGTCCCACAAGACACAGAATACCCAGAACGAGTCCCAACGCCCATGCCGATAACTGAGTCCCAACTAATCAGAAGTATAATGAAGCTTAGTCCATACAAGGCGCCCGGACCAGACGGGATCAGTAATATAGTTTTCATTCGTTGCGCTGCTTTACTCAAGCCACACCTAATCCATCTTTTCAGAGCTGTCTTCTCACTCAAGACGTACTACCCTCCCTGGCGCGATTTCACAACAGTCGTACTACGAAAGCCCAGCAAACCAGATTACACGGCGACTAAAGCGTATCGACCAATCGCCCTCCTGAACACGACGTGTAAATTACTGACAGCGATCGTAGCCGACCAAATGACCTATCTACTCGAGCACCATAATCTTTTGCCTAGCACACACTTCGGAGGGCGGCCAGGAAGATCCACCACCGATTCGCTGCATCTATTGGAATCGACAGTCAAGGACACGTGGAGACAAGGGAAAGTAGTTTCAGCATTATTTCTAGATATCGAAGGCGCATTCCCAAACGCAGTTACTGACAGGCTTCTACATAACATGAGATCCCGCCGCCTACCGGAATCACTAGTCGGTTTCACCGAAAGACTCCTCACTAACCGTCGCACGCAGCTCAAGTTCGACGGTCACCTTTCAGAGTGGATCCCGATCCGAAACGGTATCGGGCAAGGCGACCCGTTATCAATGATTCTTTATATCATTTATGATTCTGACCTTGTAGATATAGCAGAAGGTCACAGCAAGAACGAACGGACATTGGCCTTCGTCGACGATACGGCCTTTCTAGCCATTGGCAGATCCTTCCAGGAGACCCACGAAACCCTCAAGCAAATGCTAGAAAGGCCAGGCGGCGGCTTCGATTGGGCTAGAGACCACAACTCGAAATTCGAAACCTCAAAATTCGCATTAGTCGACTTCTCCATGAATTCCAGTAAAGAGCGTCCCCCCCTCATTACGCGGGGCACCACCATCATCCCCGCCTCCACCCATAAGTTCCTGGGAGTAGTGTTGGACCAGGCTCTACGATGGCAAGAACACATTGCGTATGCCCTGGCGAAAGGGACGGCATACGTATTCCAACTGCGCCGCTTATCCTCTGTTTCTAACGGTATTCCACTCACACTAATGCGTCAATTATATTTAGCAGTAGCGCTTCCGAAAATGCTCTACGCCATAGACCTATGGCTTCGCCCTCTCTTCATAGGCGAACAAGATAAGCCCCAGCATGGATCAATCGGAGTAATCAAACGACTGAGGAGAGTTCAACGGCTCGCGGCCCTCAGCATCACTGGCGCAATGCGTACTACAGCGACAGACACGCTAGAAGCCCACGCGAAATTATTACCACTCGAACACCGCACGCAAAACCTCTGCTATCAGGCCGCTATTCGTCTGGCAGCTCATCCCCACACACATCCCCTATTCAAACCCGTACGAAAAGCCGCAAAAAGACTAGTCAAGCGTCACCGGTCCTCGCTTCACCATCTATATCACGCGTCTCAACTCGACATAGACTCAATTGAAACGATAACCCACAGCAGACGCTCCCCCAGCTCGCAGGTCCCATACCATACCGCCATCGCAACGTCACGTGAACAGGCCATCAAAGACCACAACGACGTAACGGACGAGATCAAGATCTATTGTGACGGCTCAGGGATTGATGGAAACATTGGAGCAGCTGCGGTGCTCATTCGCGCAGGCCACCCTCAACCGAAGACCCTGAGATATCACCTGGGCACGGAAGATGATCACACGGTATACGAGGCCGAAGCTGTTGGACTCACGCTAGCAGCACAACTGCTCTCTCAAGAAGACGATATCGAGTTCCCGGCGTCCATTTTCGTAGATAATCAAGCTACAATCAAATCCGGTGACATTTTTTCGACGAAACCCGGCCACTACTTAATAGATCACTTTCGCAGCATGCTAACGAAGACGAAGAAACTTAACCGTGGTCAAGGATTCAAAGTGACGGTTAGATGGATCTCCGGACATGATGGAGTACGAGGGAACGAGATCGCGGATGAGGAAGCAAAGCGGGCAGCAACGAGCAGAAGAGAATCCAGTCCCATCCGCCAACTCCCCAAGTACCTCCGTAAGGGGGTACTACCAAGCAGCATTTCGGCTCTGAAACAGGCACAAAAACGGGAATCCTCAGAGAGATGGGCGAGATTCTGGAAGAAGTCACCGCGCTACGATCACACATCTAACATCGACCCGAACATACTCAGAGGCACCTTCATCTCACTCGTAAAATCACTCCCTAAGCGACACGCCAGCATGCTCCTCTGGCTTCGAACGAAACATGTCTCCCTCAACCAGCATCTATTCCGTATCGGGAAAAGCCCCAGACCTGACTGCCCTCATTGTCCAAACACAGCGGAGACGGTGTTACACTTCATTATCTCATGTCCCCAATACGCGCGCGCTCGACATGTCCTCTCAACCTCGCTCCGTCGAAACGCCTTCTCGCTACCTTTTCTACTCTCCAACCCGGAAGCAAGTGAACCGCTCATTCGATATGTCAACAGCACTGGACGCCTACGTACTACATTTGGTGATGTACCCCCCGCAAAAAAAGTAAGAATAACTTAAGAAAATCGTAATCACAGGTAATCACGCAAGAAGAAAACGCATCAAGGTCGAAGCGCAGGTCGCTCAAACCATACTCAACACGAGGGAAGCAGGAGGTAGACAGCAGCAGAAAGTGGATGTGTTAGGAATAGACGAAGAAAGAATAGGATCAGAACAAACGCGCCCATGCCAGCATCCAGACGAGCAGACGCCCAGCCCTCCCACAAACACCATGCCGCTCCACACCATTATTCCCATCGTACCAAGTCGCCTAGCGACTAGAGTACTTGTATCATCCAAGAACAACCGTCAGGGACCTCATCTCACGAACAGCACAGCAAACGGTCCCGTGAAGTAGAAGACCTGCGCACCTAAAACGGCCGGCAGGAACGGCGGACTGATGAAGGTCACCCCTTCATCAGGGCATTTGCGAGGTCGGTGACACGGAGGGGGACAGGTGTCCCCCGAACCTAGTTAGTAATGTCCTACATAGGGTAGTACACCCCAAAACGGACAATAATTCGACAAAAAAAAAAAAAAAAAAAAAAGGTTAAAGCAGCTTCGCCAAGTTCAACACGAGCCGTCGAGATCCTCAACTTCGTTCTTCCGTGTTGGTGCGCTCCCTTTCATTGGCATGATACGAATAATACGTCAATGTCCTTACAGCTCTGGTTTCAGCTTTGGCTTCGGAGGCAAACGGCAAAGCTGAACTCGTCCCATCGCCGTGAGCAGTCTGCGGGACATGATGATGCGACTTGGAAGATGGCTCTCAGAGATACACCACTTGTATTATTTTTCGAGGTGCAGTCGACGCAGACAATGATGATATTTCCCAGTCGGACACTGGTGCTTCCATGTCGAGATGGCGCAGTGACATATCGACTCGAAGGGATCGTATATGTTGGTGGTCAGCACTTTTCTGCTCGTCTGATTACTGATGATTACGTCTGGACTTATGATGGTCAAACAAACGCAGGACACCCGCAGTTAGAGACTGCGGTGAATCTCGCGATTGGTAGTAGTGATTGCAGTCTGGGACATTTTTCTCACCTCGGAGGCCGCGCTGCTCACGTTTACGTCTACTCGTTTCAAGAGTTCAATCCTGCTCCATTCGTCGAAAACTGATCCTCCAGTCTCAAAAGCTGTATTCCGCCATCTTCATCCTCTATAAATTGATGCTTCACAGTCGTCTTGTTTTCTTAAGCTCGTTCTTCTTCCTCTGTTTCACTCGTCTGTCTGCCATTATTGACTTGTCATGTCGACCTCTTTACCAGTCACCCCCGAGCCGTCTCGACCTTCGACTCCTACTCCTGAGACGGAGGTGGTTGAGTCGCCCTTGTACAAATCGCTCCTTTACAGTGTGAGGTCCCCTGGTGCCCTTACAGCTGAGGCCGCGAGCCAGAAAAATATTCCTTTTGAAAATAATCCCCGCCCTCTGCGCACGTTCATGAATGACAGCGCGGAATATTGGGTCGATGCTGGTGGCAGCTTACTTCACATGAAGTTCCCTGCTAGACTTGATCTCACCGGCCAGTACAGTCGTACTGGTCCATATTTCAACATGCCGCACACTGGGGTACGTTGGCGTTTTTTTATTTTGTTACCTTGTGACTGTGATCTGAGACATGTCATCGACAGCTTGACGCGATGATTCTGAAAAGAGCTCGAGTGCAGTTCGAACTGCGTCCTTTGCATGCATCTGATCCCCTCGGTGATCATTACCCTCAAGAGGCTCTGGACTGCTCGTCCAGAGCCTTGGATACTCTGGTCGCATTGACCAACGAGGTTGAAGATGCTCGCAACACTTGTACGTTGCGCACACGCGTTGACATCTCGTACTGACAATTTTGTAGCCATCGAAGTGACAAAGCGTCCAGCAGTCTCGAACTTCTGGCGGACGTATATGGAGCAGGACCGATACACCTTTTTGGTGCAGTCGGATTCGCTCTTTCGTGATCTTCCGGACCCTAGGACTTTGGCGATGCCACGCTTGAGCCGGCAGGATATTGGAAGTGAGTACATAGCGTGATTCGCTGCGACTTTCTCGCTGACCAAATTTTCTTGTAGGATCTGGTGGTTTGCTCAGCCCCAGCAAAACGAAGATGTCAGCCCAGAGGCCCGTTGCAGCATCCTCCAGTCAGGCGAAAAAAAATGAAGGCAAGTCGGTACTTGATCGAACAGTTCATTGTCTGATTTGACACAGAACGTTTGCGTATTCGCGATTTGTACGACCCGGAAAACCATTACTCCGGTCTTGCGCAGCTGGGCGACACCAAGGTCGAATCTCCGGACGTCCGCAACGAGCATGGACTTCTTATCAACGTTGGCGAGTACAGGACCAAATTACACGACGGTGATGTCGTGGAGGTCGAAGTCATATTGAAACTGTAAGTTTCTTCATTCTATGTCCTCAATTTTCTCTGACAGTTATGATCAGCTGGAATATCAGACCACCCAAGGATGCACCACCCAACAGTCGTGATGCTAATGGCTCCCGCGCTTACCAACTCATACTGCGGCGTATGCAGTTACTGCCATGTGCAGCATACACGAAGCAAGCTCTCCACGATTCGAAAGGAAAAAGGAAGGCCGCTGACGAGCTCCAAGGCCAGTCACCTACCAAGACTTCGAAGGTGCCGGCGAAGGGTCGCGACATTTTTGACATGGAGCTTGAGACTGACGAGGAGTAGACTCAAATATTGTCTATTTGTCTAGTACTACATTTGACCTGCAGATTCGTGCCTGATCGTTGTACATACTCGACTGTCGTATTTTGATATACTGTTGCTGCCGTTATACATCGTTGTTTCTTGGAGTCGGGGACTGGCGCTTTCCAGCGCCGCTACGATCCTATCTTAATAATGATCACAAGTGCACGTGCACACGTGACCTGTTATTCAGGAAGACAGTCTGTATTACACCGTATCAAGACAACAACAACGGTTTGACTGGATCTTCATCTTGTGCGCTCGAGTACGGAAAATATCCAAGAAAATATTAAGTATTGGTCAGTTGGTTGTCATAGATGCATGGTTGCACAACCTGTACGACGTTGCACAAGTCAGCTCTGGGCAGCTCCTTCGGAACCAGCAATTCACATAATAAAACACCTCCAAAGTTGCATCCCCGGGCCTTGTGTTTCAGCTAAACTTTGGCAGGCAGAATCCCTCAGAAGCAGTGCACCAGACGCATCGGAGGATGTCCCAGAGGTCAACCTGTTACACGACGGGTCAAGCTTCAACGTTCAACCTCAAAAACCTCTGCAAGCACTTGGCTCACGTCATCTTTGCACGACGCGTCCTCAACAAAAACTCCTCAAAGAATGGTCCACGACGTTGCATTAGAACGCTTTCGTTTAGGCAACTGCGAACTGCATCGCACAGATTTGCAAAAGGGCTGTGGGACTGGCACCAAAAGCTCGTGGCGTGTCTCGAGGCAGACATAAAGGACATCATAGCTGTTGAGGCTCAAATCGGTAAGCATATACGCGCTCGTCAAACATTTGTGTTAACCACGAGCCAACTGAAAACAAGAATATTGTGTTCTGCACAGGTCTTACAAGCTTCCTATCCTTTGTGATGATCCAAAATCGATCTTTGTTCAGATTTTCATAGTGATCCCTTTCCACACTCACATTGCGCCATCCCTTCCTCTGGTCGCAGGACTCTAGCACAACATGCAGGCACCGTGATAATCAGGTGCTAACAACTTCATCACTTTTGACCATCCTCTCAAGCATGTCGCTAACCACCGTCCTAAGCTCTTTCACAGCAACGGCGACCCCCTGTCCCTGCTCCCCCCGCCCTTCCTGTTCTGAATCTCGCCTCTCCAGTTTTTCGACAATATCATCCACATATCTGATGAGCATTTGGAGTTCAAACGTCTCAGCAACCCGCATATACCTCTTCGTGCCTTGCACAAGGTCGGGAAGGAACTCGAAACAGTGTATGTCGTCAATTGTATCGTATGCGTTCATCCATGCACTGCTCAGCATGTACCACCACTGCTGCTCTGTGATAGAATCGAGCGATGTGGGTGACCATTGTTCAGGTGCAATTCGGAGGAGGATGCCAGCTAGGTAAAATGCATGCGGTATTAAGCGGTGACCTGCAATCATACTAATGCACTGATCTATATGGTGATCCCCAGACAAATGGGAGTGCCAATCGGAATTCCTCGCAAGGGCAAAAACCAGTTCGAGGTAGCACGCATCGCGGCGACGATCAAAAATGCGGTCAGAACCATCATCGGTGGGTGTTGCACCTGGTCCCGGACAAACTGCGGTCAGAATAGCGGGGGAAAGCTCGGTCAAAACCATGTCCCGAAAGCTTGCATCATCAATCGCATGAATTAATGCCATTTCCTTTCGGACACTGTGAACAGCGCGAAGAGCGGCGTGACGTAAACTGTTAGGCATCCAACCGCCCATGCAGGCAATGAGGCTCCCGATGAACATATGTTGTTTAGTGGGGCTGCAGCGAGCTCCCAAGCCATGCAATAGCAAAAGGATGTCATATGCTGGCTCTTGGTTGTGGGGATGGATGTAGTAGAGGCAGTCCACTAGCCAGTCGAAGTCTTCTGGCGGGTGAGAATCATCTTGCCAAAACCGGGCATACCACAATCGGGCAGGGTCACAAGATATGTGGGCAGCAGTGAGTGTGAAGTGCAGTGCATTTTGCAGATCTCCTAAGAACTCCCAGGGATAAGATCGTTCGGATGACCTCGCTTGTGAATAGATCTTCCTGCACACGTCCAGGTTCTGCATCGTTTGGGATGGAGGAGTATAGTAATAAGCTCGAGCAGGCTCGAGAATGCGACAGATAACGTCGAGGAGTTTCCATGCCTGGCGTGTGACTCCTGTGCTGTCTGTGTCGACATCGCCTCCATCCCATGCCCAGAGAACCTTTTGGAACTGCGTCACAAGGGGCTGCGCGAGTTCAGGCAGAGCAGCACTACACAACTTCATTGTTAATGATGGCACAAAAACCACCAAATAAGTCAATGGCACCTTTTATCAATCCGAGCTATGTCCTTCTTGTCAAACCGAACCCCGATCATCACACCAGCAAGAAGAATGCAATTGGCGACAATTTGATTCGACGGAGTGGATGGGGAGCTTAGCAGTCTTGATATCACTGCAATAGCAAGTTCTTCTACACCTTCATTCCCTCGCCCGATAACGAAATGGTAAGGGAGAGAATGTGACAGCCACTCCAAGACAGAGATGGGATCCTCAAACCGTCGAAGATATATTGAACATGCAGGATCGTCATCTATCGGAGGACAAAGATTCATAGTCGTGGAAAGTACCGTCTTATCGGCTGTGCCTAAGTTCATCCACCTCATCTCACGAAACACATTGTAGTCTCTTTCCCGTTGGCCAAGAATTTCACCATGGTTGGGATGTGCCTGAAGAACGCGGCCGCAGTATAGATGACTCAGAGCCATTATACATACAGAGGCCTTGTCCTTCAACGAAGGTACGATTTGCCTCTGAATATCGACACAGCTTGCAAAATTATAAAGCAGCTGGGGCAGCATGTCTGACACGTCAAGATCCAAGGGCCAGTCGACATGTGGAACAAGACTGGCGGCCGTGAGAAATACTTCGGGATCCGTAGATGTCTCGAGCAGCCACTTGATGCTAGGTGCTTCTAGACCGGCAGTGGGTATGTCAGGGAGGTAGAGAGCTAGGGTGCATTCATTCTCTGCCAAAGTGTCCAAGTTTTGGTCGAGTGGTTGTCCTTCCGAGTCCACAACCTTTCTCGAAGAGCGCAGAACTAAAGAACGCAGCCCATTATGAAGCGCGGTGAATGACTGCTGAAGAGACCGCCATGCGAATGCTCCGATCGCACGTATAGGGCCTGAGGAATGAGATTAGCACTGGGTATCCTGTGTAATAGTAGATAAGAACGTCACCTCTCAATGCTTCTGACAATCGGGTCCATCTCGATCTGACGGTGCCAAACAATCGCTGCAGCACACCTGACAAGAAATGGTAAAAAACCTGCGGACACGTAAGACAACATAGCTCACCATGCGCTGACATCATGAGCTGCTGGAAATACCTGGAGGCTGGTGTGAATATTAAAAGTAAAACTCCTGCAATGTTGATTCAGACTGGAAACGACCATCAGAATTCACAAGATGATCTTACTGTCGATGCGCAACATCCGCAATATCGTCGATATCGGCGTTTGAAATGGACAGGCGGGAGATATCAAACATGCCATCACGGTCAGCGAATAGAACAGAAATCCGAAGACCGTTGTAGCAATGATGACCCAGGCAATGCTCGGTTGTTCGGTCCACATATTGGCGCCGAGCGCAATCCCAAAAAGAAGAAGGGAGATCTGAAGTAAGACCGGAAAGGATTGCACGACAGCATCAAAATACCATGTGATGATGCCGTCGAACGTCTCTTGCCTGCGCTTTCCTCGTTCCTCTTGCGAGCCGCGGCCATATCTGTTCGACTTGTAGTACCCGAGCCACTGTTTGCCCAGTACGGCCCCGAAAGCAGCGAGCAAGCTCATGGACAAGCTTGCGTATGCGATCATTTGGATCCATACAGTCGTCGGTGACGGCGACCACGTAGATCCTGGCGCTGCGGCCGCAGTACCCGCTGCAGTGAGGTTTCCGAGTCCGATTTGTACGAGTTGTGTGAGAAGAGCATTCGTCGTGTCGCTGGGGTTGGGATTGAGATTGGGCTCCATTGCCACAATAAAAGACGTGCTGACAGCAGAGAAAAGACCAGACTGATCAAATGTCAATCTCAAAGCGAGTTGAATGTGAGCATGCGACACGCACGAAGACCAAAACAATGTCCATGTCACTGGTGTATCGCTCAAGGAACTCGCCGTCGTGCTCCTCTGCGACTCTTTTGTACACCCCCCAGAAACGAGAGCGGTGGTCCTTGCCACTCTTCGACGCAATCGTCGAGTCCTGGAGAACACCCAATACTTGTTTCATGACACTTGCTCTGCGTGTAGGATGTTATCAGCTACGATCGCTCGACTGATTTTTCGCTCACAATTCGTTTAAAGTTGGCTGGTCCTTCTCCGCGTCCTTCTCATCCGCGTCCTTCTTCTCCACGTCCATCTCTACCACGTCCTTCTCCCCCTCGCTGAGACAACACATTAGCTTATTTGATATCGACATTGATAGGGACTTACGGAGCTAAATCGCCATCCGATACAACATTCAAGTTGGGGGTGCTTTCCTGTACGTGAAGTTTTGATGGCTGGGAACGCCCAGTGTTCGAGCTGCAGTTCTGGTGAGTAGGGACACAGAAGCATCAGGGCAGAAACACTTACATCCCTGATGGCGGCACCACAGAAGGTTCACCACTTATCGCATCCCTGTCTTGTTGTTAGGTAGGTGGCAGATTCCATAAAGTCGCAACTTACTCGTTCGTAGGTCCTACGGTGTCATTTTGCGGGGGAGGCTGTTCATCATTGTGAGCGCGCTGATCCTCATTGTCGTCGGCGGTGCCTGATGCTTTTGACATGACGAAATATACTTATATTTGATCTCAAGTAAACCCAGTGAGATTTGGGAAGAGTATGAGGTGAGTGGGTGGGGGGGAGTGGTGGTACACAGCAAGCGACTTGGGCGGTGCGACCATGACGAACACGTGCTTGACAGCGTTGACGCTGGGGCTGCTCGTAGGCGCTCCCTTCGATAGACTGCAAGATGAATCCCGCATAAATATAGTCACACTGAACGAAGCAAGAAAGTCAAGCTTGCGCAACATACACTTGATATTCGCCCCTCACGTAAGCTGCGTCTTGCCAAAGGCTAGTAAGTATACCCCCTTTGGGCGTTATAGAAGGCAATGGGGCCAAAGGAGTGAGCATTTTGAATCAAGCCAGACGTCGCATAGCAAGTAAAGTTCAAGGTGTACTAGTAGCACGTTGGATAAGTTCAAAGTTCAAACCACCAAGGTTGCAAGCTGTTTTGGATTCACATTGTCCAAATCATACCGATACAATTCGTACATGGCCTGCAGTCTGGCAGTGCAGTGTCTGTGTGATTCGATTTTAACTAAAGAACTTCCACCAGTGGCTTCATCCAATGCCTTGTCATCCCTCTCCATCAGCGTGGCGGCCCGTCTGCAAGATCGTGTTCGTAATCTCCCCTTTCCCGTTTCCGCTGCCCACGAACACAAATCCCAGAGCAAGAGCGCTGAGAGCAGCAATCTCCATGGACACGCTGTCGTCCGCGACCGCAGGAAGGAGGCGGTGTTGAATTTAAATGTACACAAAGCTACGATAACCCTCTGGCATACACTACAACTTGAATACCGATCATATGCCTCTAAATACATCAACGGAGAACCTGCTACTCGTATTCACTGCATATCGAGAAAGCCGTCCATATCTCTCTCGTGATGGCCTTCAGCAACCACCGACAATACTTTATTGAGCCAGGTGTCGCCAACATATATGGGCTGCTCCATGTGCTCCATTATCATGTACTTGGGGGTGAAGTACCAATTAGGAAGCTCTCCTCCTTCAGACACCTTGATAGACGGCTGCGCAATTGGGGCAAGGAGATCGCGTTCCTCGGTCGTCATTGACCGGAGGTCAGCAATATCTGACACATCGACAAATGCTGGTTGGCGAGCTTCGTTTGACAGATAGTGAACTGGCGTTGGTTGCACAGGACGCTGGTCCTGCATTGGACTGAATGATACATCGGCGTTGCCATTCAGGTTTCGGAGACGATGCTGTGTGGGAAATGACCAGGGCACCCAATCAAAATCAGCTTCATCCATCCATCTAGTCTGCTGCCGCCATCGTTGCTTCTGCTGCTCCCATCGTTTCTTCTCAAAATCATTCCCCCATGGCTCTGATGGATCGGGCTTGACTTGGAGATTCAGAGTGACACGATGTCCCAGATTCTGATAGTACGTTAAAAAGGCAGGAGCAGAACCCTGAGGCACGTGGACGGAAAATGACAGTGGTTCAGAGGACGTGGAAGAAATGTGGCCTTCGTGAGTCAAGCCTGCAGGAGCTGCCACAAATTTGATCTCTCTGCATGGGCGTTGGAAGACCTGAAATTTTTGCGATTGCTGCATAGAGGGGTTCATGGAGGAAATTATGGATGGGACCAATGCCTTGACGTATGACATGCCTGGCTGTGATCGGTTCTTGAGCTCCCGAGGACGCCATTCGTTGGCGGTTGTCGAAGACGCGCACAACTGCAAAGGAATGTCTGTCCGACTCGTGTATCCTGTCCGATGAACAGTGGCTGTGATATTCACTGACGAGTCTAGAAAACGCGCAATCAGATAACCAGACTAAGGTTTCCATGCCACTGGAACACACCTTGATTAATCTGAGTTCCTTCAGGAAAGGATACTTCAACCGTGTAGTTGCTCGACAGTTTATCCAACAATTGTTCCCTTCGCCGCGGTCCCCGACCAGGGCCTGAGGGTGACATGGATACGTTGACACTGGGCGTTTCATCTTCAGTTGAGACGTAGAACGGGTTGAAGGCTGTTATTCCCGCAGGAATATTCCAAGTTGTGCCATTGCTAAACCTGATCTCGACGAAGTACTCGTAATTCGATTCGCTTCGTATAATCTGTCGCGACATTGAGCTCAAGACAAAATCAATAATAATTTCCTTACATCCGGACCTCCAACGATACCTCGCCTGCCTGGCGCACCATTACGGTAGTCAAATTCTGCACCATGACGGTAGTCAAATCCTGGAGGGTAGTTTGTATTTGGCACCAGAATTCCAAATTGACTTGTGAAGGTTGTTGGCAATGGATCTGTTCACAACATCAAACTGTGACTCTACTCGAGAATTCTCGACCCGTACCTGCCCCCTCCGCACTAACCAGAGGAGTCTTGATCTCAAAGGCAATCCGTTCTTCCTCGTGCACAGGCCACAAGTCTTTATTGTGTTCAGGTTTCTGGAACGCCCATTCGAGCGCCCTTAGTGGTAATTCGTTGTAGTGTGGGTTCCCAGAGTGCTGGAAAGGCATCCGGGCGCGAAGCACATCACGAGTTGAGTCCATAGAACTGTATTTGGATTCTGGTCTTATTAGCGCATCGTGCCGTCAGCAAAACTGCATCGAGGACATGAGAGAAACTGGTCACCTCAACTTCCAGAAGATCATTTCCTTGTAGCGCAAGCCAAGGCCATAGCTCTCGACATCAGCGCATGCTGGTCCATTGAGTTTAATCCTGACGTCTCCTACAATAACATCGCCGGGAACCATGTCGGGCGCTCTCACCCAGGCCTGTGCCCAACACTGCGGGGGTGGTGGTGGTGGTGCATTCAATGCATTGTGCGGCTCTCTGCGAAATTTCAGAGGATTAGTGAACACAAGGATGCCAGCTGCTGCTAAGGCAGGCACAACAAGTAGCCAGCGCAGCATCGCTGGGACAGTATATCAAATTAAGGGGACGCAATCGTGTCCAAATTGTCCAGCCTTTGTAGTCAAATGACAGTGTCTCTTTGAGAGGGCACGTGACGAAAAGGGACGAGGATATCGACGTGAGGACACCGGGGTGCGGCAAGACACCGGGGTAACAATCTCTCACAGGGCCATCATTGGACGAGGCACTGAAGCCACAGGCGACAGGACGTGTAATGATCAATAATTAATTGATAACTTCCTCAAAGGCATTTCAGTAGAGTCCATGTGCCTGAGATCGTTGTAGAGACCTGGCCGATTCAATGACGGAGAGGGCTTATATTTATGTGCCAGCGAAGCCATTCTTACGACACTATTAGCACTACCAACGGACCAGAAACCAGAAGCTGTGGACTAACCTGTCGTCGCGAAAGTGCACGTTGTCAGATCTGTCACGGTGAATCCATGTCACTTGTAGTTTGATCATAAGGATAGAAGTCCATGGCCTGGGCCAGACATAGATGGGATAGAGTGTAGCGGCTGCCCTCTTCGTCGGCGGCCCCTCGTTTAAATTTTCACTGAAAGTTGCACAAGTGGAAGTATTTCTCAACTTGTAACGAAATTTTGAGATGACCGTCATCTTGCAAGTATCATGGAACGAAGGTCAACAAACTTGGAGTTATTTCTCCCAGAACATGTCTCTGGTAGTATATCGGATAGTACACCCGCCTGTCATCACTCGATGGACGCGGGAAAGCGGGGTTCGATTCCCCGCCAGAGAGTTTTTTCTATACCATCTAACCAAGTATTTTTTTTCTATTCAAGCCCTAACGTCTCGTAATGCAATTCTTGAAATCTTAAATTCTACAGAGCTAAAACTCAGGACCTCACAACAGCACGACGATGACTCTTCTTTATTTTTTTCCTACAATTATACAGAACGTATCTCACCACTTCAGAAATTTCAAGTGAATAACAAGTTATCAAAGAACGCGTCGGGTCAAACGACGGTGTATGAACAAATAAAGTCCTAGTGGTTGTGGTCAACGAAACGGATAATAGGATGATGGCGATATGCGAGGTGTAGCTGAACGGGATATGCACGAGGTAACACGAAATGTACAGAGCGATGACCAGTAAAGCGTGATGCAAGCGAGAACAGAGCAAGCAACAATGGAGGGGGTGTCCGGGCGGGTACTGGTGCATTTGCGCGAATCGACAAATCGAGCGCGGCGGACAGCGAGCGAGATGCGTAGAGCACTGAGACAGCAGTGTGACAGCGACAAATCGAGCGCAGAGCAGAGGGCATAGATGTGGCGCATAAACAGGCGGGTGTGCGGGGGGAAAGGTATTTGATAATCATAAGATCAACATAAAGAACAAAATCAAAGAACAAAAAACGAAGTTGGCATTGTGGGATGGATTGATGGTTGAGTTGCACAAAATTAACAATGATCATGATGCTCGTGTGATGGATATGATGCAGGCGGGGGTTAGATGGTGTAGGTGTCCGTAATATGGATATGCGTTTTGAGTGATTATTAGCCGTGATGATGTAGAAGATTGAACGAGGGGGTAGGGACCATGCGCGTCGTCGGCCCTATGAGTTTTCATCTTTGAAATCCTCGTCGCCGTCCATGCCTGCTGCTGCTAGCCGCTCCCTTTCCGCCCGATTCTTTGCACGAATAGCTGGCAACTCGGCCAAAAGAGACACCTGCTCGCCCTCTTCCCACCGCTCCAGAGCCCACTCTCGTACCAGTATGCTCACCTGCAAGATGACTAGGTCAGCTACTTCACACGCGCAACTCATCAAGACGCACCTTCATGAATCGCTTGCCAGCGTATTTCTTGTAGAATGATTCGTGACGGACAGGTTTGAGAATATAGTTCAACATCAGGTTGGCGGTCGGAATTATGGAGCTTTCCGCATACGACGAGTAATGGGCATGATTGGGAGTCTAGAATCCGAAAATGTTATCAAAGGGATCAAAATGTGGCATACACATGACGTACCCATTTGTCGTTGCCGAGAATGAGGCGTCCCAACCAGATCGCCGCAGCAGCAACCAGGGAAGGTGGTGTGGCTAGCAACCGCCACTCGAGGGTGCCCACTTCTAATAAATACTTGCCCATAGTCCTCGATTTGACATCATAATCATCCGCCTTGCTTATACGGCGTAAGAAGTGCATCGGGTTCGGATAGCTCAAGTTCCAGTCGATCGTTTTCAGGACGTACCGCTCTGCGAGAAGGATCTCGGATTCGGTGTAGGATGAGTCTGCGCAGTGAAGGAAGTGCGAGACGGATGGTGCGACAATCTCTTCGACCTTGGAAGCAACGAAGAGACACGTAATACCCACGAGCTGGAGTTTAGCGAGGGAGACGACGCGTGCCGACAAGAATCTATCGATTATGTTCACGCAAAGGAACAGAGTCTCAGGAAGCAATCGGAACCGGGCGTGTACTTGCACCAGCCAATCGAGAAGGATTCCACGCATCGACCAGGCCAGCTCCTTTTGCGACGCCATGTATTCCGGATTGGGAAGCGTTATGAGCTGAAGGTGGCGCATTAGTTAAGACAGGATAGTGAAAATATTCAAAGACTCGCACCTCGGTCAGCTTCATGTACTTGAAGATCTCGACAACATACTCGCTGACCATCAATGGGTCATCGGAATCCTCAGCATCGAGGTCGTCCCACTCGTCACCATCGGGGTCAGCTTCTGGTGCCACATCGTCATCTAGCACAGCCGCCACTTCTGCCTCGTGCTGCGCTTGCTCGTCTATGTCGGTCTCAGGAGCATCAGAAGACGTTCGCCTCTTCTTAAATACACGATCATCTTGAACTTCGTCCTGTGTCTCGGCCTTTAAGACGAGATGTGAAGAAGTTCGTCGAGTAGTCTGAACACGTTGCACCTCCTGGGTGATCACTTGCTGGGTGTTCGCCCCCGACCTGCGGGTTGAAACACGTCGCGAGGGCTCAGGAGCCGGAGGGTGATCATCCACAGCCATCGCGTCTTCATCATTGACTACGGGTTCCTCCTTGACATCTTTTAACGGTTTGACCACTGGAGCAATCGCAGACCTAGTAGTGCGACGAATGGTGGTAGCGGTAGTCTGTCTCAATGGAATAGTGGGCTTCGCCTTGATCACTACGCCATCAAACGTTTCCTTAGTAGGTGCGGCTACTTCTTTGCCTTTGCCCTTTGCGTCCTTGGCAGCTGTGGCAGCGGCCTTGTTCTTGTTGATGTTCTTGGTCGTGACTTCGCCAAGAGCCTCACGCTTACGCTTTCCCTGGAGAGCAGGGTCGAGCTTGTTCTCGTCGTTGGCGCTGACTTTTGCGCGAGAGGTGGCGGTAGCGCCCAAGGCCCTGGATTGGAGTGTGGCTGTAGGAGCAGGGATGGCAGACGTGGATGGAGGCTTCACACGGGAGATAATACGAGATGGGCGGGCGTTGGCATTCTCGCTGTCCTTCTGAACCGTCGTACGAGTAACCCGCGTTACACGGCGAGTCTGTAAGATCACATCGATCAGCGACAAGCCCTTGAACAACAACAGAAAATCGGGAAAGGATGGGACTCACTGGTAGGTTGGAAGACATGAGCTATCTAATTGACGCAGAAGGTACTCTATCTTTGCGTGCACAGTAGATGGATGAAATGGAAAACGAAGAGGCGAACGGAAAGATGAGAGCAACTACTTGAACTATTCCAGAAATGGCCATTTTAAATTTCAACCATCCACACATAACACGAACAAACAAACGCGTTCGCGTTTCATCACGTGACAAATGCCATTGTCCTAGCGCACGAGGGCGCTTGCCTTTGGACACAGCCCATTATTGTTGATTATCAGTGGATAGCCTGCGCCAGCTTGATTGTGGTCGATTGAATAAATTCACACTCGCGTTATAGAGACAGAGACTATTATCATGGTGTCACGCCTCGTGACTGCCGCATGTTGTGCACTGTTATGCGATGATATCGGTTGCCAGAATTCCCATCAATGCGCTGGCGTAAATACATAACTGATAACCAATCTGCGCTGAACGTGGTCTCAAAGTCTGATATCGCAGGCTCGCCTGACTGATTTGTCGTAAGAGTGCAATACAATTCCTGACAATTCCAATGAATTACAGCAACGAGGAAGCGGAGTACAGGATCAGCCTAAATACTATCACTAGACGAGTCCAGTCCGAGAGATCCGCAAGTCCAAGAGAAACAGAACCACCTATAGAGTGTCCCGTGCCACTTTAAAGGGCAAACGTGGAAGACAGATATAAGCAGCAATGAGACCCAAGAAAGTACTTCACCTCATCAGGATCCCCGAGGGAAAGCATCCCAGCCGAACGATGCAACCGGAACCAGCACCACCGCAAACCAAAGGAACAGCCTGTTAACAAAAACAAAAACCGGCGAACGAATCGCGGACACGAGAGGAAAGAGAGAAGAGAGAAAATAAAGTAAAGAAATCAAGGACTGGAAAGATAGGCAAGGGAGGCAAAAATACTGGAGGAAAGAACAAGAAAAAAACTCTGCAAACGAGACGCACTGCAAACTTGATGCATCAACGGTCTTCGTGCTTACGACGAGTCTTGGGCATCGCATCGTCCAAATCCAGTGTGAACTTCCGCTTTGGGGATGCTTCATCGAGAGGGACAATGATGGAGCTAACGGAGGGCCAAGAAGGACGGACAATGGGAATACCGAGACCACGACGAGTAACGAATCGTCGATGACTGACTTCGATAGGCTGGTGGATACCGACATACGCGGAAATCGCATCCGCGAGTGGTGATTCCGGAACAACTGCGAATGCGAAATTTGTGCAATCTGAGTCGAAACGCGGAACCCAAGAGGGCATCGTGAAAGGGGGAGAAGGGGGTGGAGAGAGTGGAGGAGAACATGGTGAGGACGGGACTGATGTATGAGGTGTGTAAACCTCAGAGTGCAGGGACGCTATAAGACAATTAGCCACCAAAAACGCCAGACGCTGACAAAACCTTACTGTCGAAGTCATCTGTTGATGCCATCGAGTAGCAGGAGGTTGAGGAAGTGATGGACTCGTCGTCAGAGTCATCATCAAACGCCGAACGGCAGCCCTGAGCATCCGGCGAAACTTCGGGCTCTTCTTCCTCCTCTTCAATGACCGAAATCGCGATTCCTTAACGAGCAGTTATGTTAGCGCCAACCACAGCAAAGAGACAAAATGACTGACCGGTCCGCCTCTCCACCTTGGTTAGCGCGGCTCTGATCTCCACATACTGGTGAAAGTACTTCTTGTTTTCCTCTTCCAGCGTGTGGCAGGCGCTCTTGGCCGATTCGACCTGATCCCAGAGACCCGAACGCTGCGCAAGAAGTTGCTTGACATCATCCTGCAGCTCTGCGTTTTCGTCAGCACGACGACACAAAGCCTTGCACTGGTCTCTGAGGCTGACGACCTCGGTGTACGCGAGCGTGAGGCGTTCCCTCATCGCGATGCTCTGATCTTCTGTCAAGGAATCTGTAGCTAGGAGGTCGTCAGCCAAGGACAGTTGTGGCGAGATACGGGAATACGTACAGCTCGAGGCATTACCATGGGGTATAACTTTCCCATCCGGAGATATGATCTGCAGCTCAGGAATTCCTGTTCGCGACAGTTAGAGGACGGCGAGGAGCGTGAAGAAAATGTCTCACCTGCAGCAGCTCTCTTCAACTTCCTGAGCTCTCTCTTAGCTCCTTCGAGCTCCCTCTTCGTCCGGACAAGCGTTCCTTGCAACGCTTCGACTTCTTCATCATGTTCCTTCTGCAGGTCGGATGGTTCCTTTCTCTCGGCTGCGAGTTCATCGCGCTCGGCCCTAAGATTTGCGAGCTCGAATCGGAGCGCAGCGTTTGCGGATTGAAGGGAGGAGATCGTCGCCCTTTGGGAGGACATCTTGATTGTGGCATCCTGGCACATTGAATCGGCCTCGTCGCGACGGACCTGCTTGATCTCTAGGTCACGTGTGAGACGGTCCATCTGGTGGCTCAGAGTTGCGTTTTCTACCACCAGTTCATCTATATCGGCGTTTGCTACATCGAGATTGTCCTGAACGCAGAGGAGCTGCTTGAGGAGAATGGTGTTCTCGTTCCAAGCATCGGAGAACAGCGCATGGACGTGGTGGTGAGGGCCGATTGGAGTGTCGTGCAACTGTGGGCTTATATCGGAACAGCTAATGCTCCAGCGCAGCCGAACCTCAGGGACCAGACGAGGGCTGTCCAGAGACGATTCAAGGATGGCTGGGGACGATGATGACGAAGGGAAGTCGGATCCACCTGTAGCCGACGAAGGAGCAACCTTGGAGGGGCGGGCCGCTTTCTTCGCTTCCTGAGGCCTAAGGAAGTCGATAGCTGGAACGGGATCCTGGACTGTCGTAGGGCCAGGCTGGCAGCTGTAGACGTCGAAGGCTAGCCCAGCCATGATAACGACGACGTAAAAGAAGACCAGCGCGACAAGCTTGAGAACATCGAAAATGAAGACGAGGGAGAGGGCGGAAGAGAGAGAAGAAGAGCAGGAAGATCTGCAAATGTTATGCTTGTTGGAAAACATATCGATAGATGGATGCAAGTAAAATCGTCTGTGTATATGCGGATATGCAAATATGCAGAGGACGATGGGAGTGAACAATAAAGATGACCACTGGAGTTTCCGGTATAGAGTTGGGGTTTTTATACCTGGAAGGCTGACATGGTCAGTATGCATCAGAATCTTGACTCAGGTCGCGATCCGACGAGTCTCAGCGGATTTTAAACCGGCCTGCGTGCTTTGAACGAGGTGCGGCTGGCAAGAAAGTCTTGCACCTAATTCAAAGCAAGGGGCCTGTTCCTTCCCTATGGAAGACCCGAGAAGCCTGATATCCTCTGCCATGTATCATGTACTTGAGAAACGACTAAAGGAAATGAGGTCCAAGGCGTTGTTTGGATCAGAGGATATTGCCAAACAAACCAACTTAGTCCATATGTAGTAATTTCGAACACGCCCGGCAGGCTGGCTTGGTCGACGTTCTTTACTTCATTATTCAATTATTGAACTTTCTGTATGCGTAAGCTCCACCGTGACGGTCATCCTTCTCTCCATTTCTTGCATATCCTACAGCGTTTTCTGCAAGCTGCGCCGAGTCGTTGTTCCCTTCATCATGCCAATGATTGCGTTGGGCAGGCAGCCGTGACCGACACCAGTCACACGATTGATAGGCAGGCGAGGATACAGCAAACCTTTTATTGCAAGCGAGTCTTGAACCAGCAGTATGTAACACATAATAGGAGTACCAGTCGGGTTTGAACCTGATCCAATGTCCGTCAAATCTTTCTGCCCACTAATACCCACGCACATGAACAGATTCCAGACATCTGTGTTGGATCGGTGATGCTGGACTTGTTGGCGGATTCGCTCTGACGCCCCGTGTTGGTTCGCGGGTGACTCAGAGATACTGGGGCCAAAGCGGAAAAGCTGTTCGTTATCAATATACGCTGTCACTCGATATTATCTCCGGTGGACTGAACTTCGTCTTACTATTTGGGCCATCAGGAATTTTGCGCTGGAGGTTGGCGTTAAGGACACACCCACGCGAGCTAGTGACAGCGCACAATTGATCACTTGCACGTCTGTCTCCTTTCATGCTACTCCTTGGCGGGTTACTCACCGTCCTTTATCTCGATTTCATGTAGGTTCTCGGGAGGCGGAAGACATATGCGGTCCGCCCCGATACGAGGGCAAGGTGAAATCACCTTATGTGCACTCAATCATCATCCATGGTGTGTTGAAAATGTTCAGTACTGCGAGTCCACGGGTCTTAGTTACGCAGGGATACAGCGGCCGGTTCCATCGAAGCAAAACGAGGCCTCGATTCATCATGCTGTTTTGATTGTCCATGGAATAATTTGTATGGTTTCCGATTCCTTTTATTTGACTGATAGCATTTAGGGATGGCTCGCGATATCGAAAATCGCTTCTAATGAACCTATCAACTCCCAGCCTCACTGATGCTGTTGTCGTACGTTGACCAAACCGATACTAGTACTTCAGGTCGATTATTGCTCACGCAATGCAGTCTAGCACAACGGAGCGGAAACAGGCAGAGTCTATCTGCAATTCCACACCTGATTTATCCTCTAATGATCATGCGGGGGGTGGTCTGGGGGACAACCACTATCATACAGGATTCTTCAGACGTACCACTCAGTTGCTTTCTCGGTTTGGGATTGAAACACATGGGTGAGTGAGAGCATATTGCAATATCAGATATCTGTTTATAACAGTGCTACCTGGAACTTTGATCAGCATCGCGCCGGTCCCAGCAGAAGAACGTCTCGAGACTCGGTGGTACCAAATGTTTTTTGTTTGGTTCTCGTCTAACATGAATATATTGGGGTGCGTTTTGAGTTCTGTTTTGATGTCAGTATTTTCCGCTCAATCACCTAACACCTCCAGATTCAGCACTGGCACTACTGGACCTGCATTTTTTTCCCTCGGAGTTCGTGACTCTATAGCTATCATCCTCATTGTTAACCTGGTGTGAGTGCTCGTGGTTCATTACACCTCGGTTTGCAGTGAATGACCGTCAGCTAGATGTTGCTTGTTGCCAGCGTTCTTGTGGGTATTACTATTCTTCTCTGGGCGTTCCTGGAGACTTCATAGTGTGCTAGTGCCGTTTTCGGGCCAAAGCTCGGTGTGCGTGCGATGGTCCAAGCGAGGGTCTCGTGGGGGTGGGTCGACTTGTTTTCTGATCGCCAGCGTCGTTCGCTGACGAACAACAAGATATTTTGGTGCTATCATACCGGCCGTCTTGAATGTTCTCTCCTTGGAAGGCTTCCTTATCTTGAACTGCATCATCGGTGGCCAAACGATAGCTAGCTTCTCCTCTCAACTTGATGATAATCTTGGAATTGTCATCATTGGTATAATATCTCTTGCGGTATGTCAAAATTACTCGTGCTGCACCAAAATGACAGGTTTCAAGGTCACTTTCTGTGGATACCGTGTTATCCATTGGTGGGACCACTCCAATATTAATATGTATTATCTAGAATTCTGACCGAATTTCGATTTATAGGTACGAAAGCATTTCCTGGATCCCGAATGTAATTGCCTTCATCACCATGCTGGCTGTCGGTTATCCCCAGCTATGCAAAACCCTATCGGTTCCCGCCCCTCCAGCAACACTCGCTAATATTCTCTCTTTTGCGTCCTTTCTCGCATCTGACATTGTCACCTGGTGTACCATGATTCCTGACTATGGCGTATACCATAGTCCTGATACTTCTTGAGCTTCCTTGCACTATCACTACGGACTCTCCTTAACATCCTGATAGCGCGAGAATTTTTATTTACACGTACCTCGGATTTTTCGTATCTAATGTAAGTCCCTTTATGTCGTTACCTGTGGCATATTGTCACCACTAATCTCCTTTTGAAAAGTTGACTGGTCAGGCTCTGGGTGCTGCATTCGCAGCTGCAGCTCCGAGTGTGCCTGCTTGGAATGCAGGATTCCAAGATAGTTCTTCCGTTGGCGGTTTGTTATACAGCGTGTTGCTACCTGCTGGCGTATTCGGAAAAATCCTGACTGCTTTGGTCGCTCTCAGCATACCCAGCGCCTGTGCACCGACGATGTATACGTTCAGCACTAGTTTCATGGCTGTTGCCACGTATTTTGCTGCGGTACCCAGATGGGTATATATCCTCATCTCAGAGGGGATGTGAGTGTCATTGAGTGTATCCCATCCTCAGCGACGCTCATGATTTGCGTTCAAGTCTGATACCGGTGGCAATCATTGGCGCCAAAAGTTTCTACACTACTTTTGTGGGAATCCTCGGTACGAGTCCTACATATCGGTATCCGTGATTCAGTCTAACAAGCTGATCTCGCAGATATCGTTGGATACTGGTCATCAGCATTTGCTGCGATCATCCTCACAGAACATGTGTTATTCCGACGAGCCTCGTTTTCTGAGGATCAATATCCCATCACGACTTGGGCTTCGCATGATCTCTTGCCTAGCGGTATACCAGCAGTCGTGGCCTTCGCATGCGCCTGTGGAGCTCTTGTTCCGTTCATGTCACAAGCTTGGTATGTAGGACCAGTGGCGAGGCGGGGCAGTGGAGATGTTGGCGTGTTCGTAGGGTTCGTGGTGGGAGCTATTGTTTATGCTTTGGCGAGAAATTTGGAGAAGATGTGGTGCAAGAAGAAGGAATTAAGCAAGTCAGACACTTTTAGTACACTAGCTACTAGTGCGTAAAGGAACCACGACCATGTGCATAAACTTATGATCAGATGGTTACGGTTTTTCTGCCAAACGTTAGTGTTTATTCGGATAGTATTGACGAGTGATGCGTGATGAATGGACGATGACTAGTTGATTGACTGTGACTGGCTGACGGATATACGCGGAAATGGCGTCCGCTAAATATTCCTGGTTTGAAATTGGACCACTTGAGTGGGGTTAGCAAGCTAATCTTTCCGTGCAGCATCATGGATATTACCGAGAAACATATTCATTTCTATGCGGCACGATTCCCGAGTCCCGACTCTCCAGAGGAGGAATTTACAGTCATGATCGGATTCGCCTGCCAATAAGTGAGTTGTGAATCTTTTATTGGAATCGGAATGTCTTTTTTTTTGTGGGGGACTGGCGCACAGGCCTGATTTTTCGTCCATATCTATGTGGCACGGTGATGATAAGATGCGCGATTCTTTGATCGTGAGGGTGTCCCTTGATATTGGCGCTCGCAATATCTGGTTCGAGGTAACCTTCAAACCGAGTATTGAAGCACGCATCAGATATCCTCGTGCTTGAACGGCGTACCATTCTGGAGATAATGAATGGGCCATTCCCGCAGGAGGCAGCTTGGCTTAATGAACATGTAGCTTATATAATACTTTCCCACAGTTATCCTGAAGCTGAACTTCCTATATGACACTGCGCTGTGTGCAACATGGTGCTTGTCCTAATAATCGGTGACTTGCACATCCCATACCGCGCACACGACCTCCCAGCCAAATTCCGGAAACTACTTGTCCCAGGAAAAATTCAACAGATCCTTTGCACAGGGAACGTTTGCGACCGCGAGACCTATGAGTACCTGCGCACCATAGCCGGGGATGTATATGTTGTCCGAGGGGACTATGATGAGGTGCAAACTGATTATTTTTTATTTATGCTATGCGGTAGAGTTATTACTGACATGCGGACGACCTAGAGCGCCAGCTTTCCGCCATCTGTGACCATAGTTCATACCCCAATACGAATCGGAGTGGTTCATGGGCACCAGTGCGTGCCGAATGGTGATCTTGATGCACTCAGTGCATTGGCACGGCAAATGGATGTAGATGTGCTCGTTCCAGGGCATACGCATACGTATGTTGACTCCGCAGCCTCTACATGATAATTGATATTCTGATGTTTCAAACAAGTTTCCAGGCAATTGAATACGATGGTCGTTTCTTCGTGAACCCTGGGTCCGCTACTGGTGCATGGACAGGTTCACACAACGGGTACGGCCCTTGCATCGTTTTACCTGCATTGCCTGACTGAATTGATACCCTCAGTGAAATAACACCATCCTTTGCACTCATGGACATTCAGGGCGCTGTTGTTGTCACGTATGTGTATCAGCTCGTGGAAGGCGAAGTCCGTGTCGAGAAAATTGAGTATCGGAAAGAAGTGGAGGCTCCACAGTCGGCGACGTCAATTCCCCAAAGTGGGGTAGTGCCACAGAATATACCGAGCAGTCCGCAGACACAAACGTTTTGGTGAGCAGGGATGTGTAGAACATTATTTGTACTCAGGTGTGCCTCCCTAATCTATGTGAAGTTTCGTATGAACAGGAATTTTGGGGATAGAATTCGGGTTCTTACACTATTTATATTGAACATTTATTAGAGTGCGGCAGATAGCATATTGGCACGAGTGTGGACTGAGACGTCACCTGTCCACTTAGGCCTGCGAGGGTGGTATTCCCTCCCACCCTCGCAGCTCACTTTCTCGCACAGGACTCGCAGATCGGGATCCGAAGGCGCTGCGTGCCCTCGCCCAAATTGATCTAGCGGTTCACGTCAGTTTCTCGTAGTCACTTCTAATAGATTAGTAGTGATACACTGACGGGTTATCTCTCATCAAATAGCATCTAAGTGACTCGCAAGGATTGACAACTTGGCTTATAAGGTTCTTGGCATACTCAGCTTCCAAGAGTGTCCACCGTCGACCGTACGACAATATCAACAAAGTCGCATGGATAAGTGCATGCGAATTGGATCAATGATCAATCAAAGCTCTTGCTTGTTCTACTAGTGGCCAAGACACTGATCATGGGCCCCTCAAATGTTGAAGCATGTATGATCGCAGCCTGGAACCATTGCGGCATACCAATTCAACAATAACAAGCAAGAGATAGGTTTGGATCCGCTCGATGCCCTTCCATGACCATATTTGGGACACGCCCCACCTTGTCTGGTGCCCGTCACCAAAGCGTTGAATGACGCAGTCATTTCCGTCAGATAGGACTGAGGTATCGGTCCATCCAAAACAACTTGCAACTTTGGCGGTTTGAACTTTGGACTTATGAGTCATCTGCATCTTATCCAACTTGAACGTGCTATACCTTGGACTTCATTTGCTACACGACGTCTGGCTCGATGCCAACACCTTCACCCCTTTGGCCGCCCTTGGGCTCGTTGCTTTCTACGATGCCAAAAGCGGGTAGCCTTTTGGGTGGATGCCTTGCGTGAACGTCGAATATCAAGTGTATGTTGCGCCAGCTAGTCTTTGAGGTTCACATTGGCGAGACCGTTAGTGCGGAGGAGAAAACAACTGAATTCAAAATAATTGTCGAATGGATGTACTACGTTTGTACAAGATCGTTTTCGGGGAGGAGACGACGACAAGGATTCCGGGCGAGGGTACGCAGTGTCCACCGGCCTCGAAAGGGCTTTCACCTAAGCGAAAGAGGTGAGCTGCGAGGGCGGGTGGGCCGCCTCGCTGGAATTTGGCTAATTTGCCCCTTCAGGGCCCAATGGTAGACATAAAGAGTTAGCAAGGCATTCGTTTGCGCTTCCGCGCAACGAAATCAGGGAGAGGAGGGTGGGGAAAGAAAGGCTAAGTCGACGAAGCGCGTGATGAGGACGGTCGACGCAGCAGAAGAAGAGGTGCAAACGTCACACCTATTGTTCACCTCAAAGATTTAACTCTATTTCCTCCGCCCGTGCCTCGCTACGTAATAGAGTGGCAAACTTTCTTCTTTCGGTCTGACTATATTTATGCAGGACTGATCTTGCAGTCTACTACTGAAGGGAGCGCCCCCAACGTCAACGTACGCTGTCAGGCACGTGTTCGTTATGGTCGCACCGCCTCGCATCGCCCAAGTCGCTTGGTGTGTACCACCACTCCTCCCTGCCCACTCACCTCATACTCTTCCCAAATCTCACTGGGTTTACTTGGGATCCAATACGCGTATCTCATGTCAAAAGCATTAGGCGCTGACGACGCTGAGGATCAGCGCGCTCACAATGATGAACAGCCTCCCCCGCAAAATGACACCGTAGGACCCACAAATGAGTAAGTTGCGACTTCATGGAATCTGCCACCCACCTAACAGCAAGATAGGGATGAGAAAAAGGGTGAACCTTCGGCGGTGCTGCCACCAGGGATGTAAGTGTTTCTGCCCTGGCGCTTCTGTGTTCCTATTCACCAGAACTGCAGCTCAAATATCGGGCGTTCCCAACAATCAGAACTTCATGTACAGGAAAGTACGCCCAACTTGAATGTTGTATCAGACGGCGATTTAGCTCCGTAAGTCCCTATCAATGTCGATATCAAATAAGCTTATGTGTTGTCTCAGCGAGGGGGAGAAGGACATGGCGGAGAAGGACATGGAGAAGAAGGACGCGGAGAAAGACCAGCCAACTCTAAGCGAATTGTGAGCGAAAAATCAGTCGAGCGCTCGTAGCTGACAACGTCCTGCACGCAGAGCAAGTGTCATGAAACAAGTTTTGGATGTTCTCCAGGACTCGACGATTGCGTCGAAGGGCGGCAAGGACCATCGCTCTCGTTTCTGGGGGGTGTACAAGAGAGTCGCAGAGGAACACGACGGCGAGTTCCTTGAGCGATACACTAGTGATATGGACATTGTCTTGGTCTTCGTGCGTGTCGCATGATTATCTTCAACTCACTTTGAGATTGATGTTTGATCAGTCTGGTCTTTTCTCCGCCGTCAGCACATCTTTTATCGTAGCGATGGAGTCTAATCTCAGTCCCGACCCCAACGACACCACGCATGCTCTTCTCGCGCAGCTTGTACAGATTGGGCTCGGCAACCTTGCTGAAGCGGGCTCTGTGCCCGCATCTACGTGGTCGCCGTCGACAACGACTATTTGGATCCAAATGATCGCATACGCAAGCTTGTCCATGAGCTTGCTTGCTGCTTTCGGGGCCGTACTAGGCAAACAGTGGCTTGGGTACTACAAGTCGAACAGATATGGCCGCGGCTCGCAAGAGGAACGAGGAAAGCGCAGGCAAGAGACGTTCGACGGCGTCATCACATGGTATTTTGACGCTGTCGTGCAATCCTTTCCGGTCTTACTTCAGATCTCCCTTCTTCTTTTTGGGATTGCGCTTGGCGCCAATATGTGGACCGAGCAACCGAGCATCGCCTGGGTCATCATTGCTACAACGGTCTTCGGATTTCTGTTCTATTCCCTGACCGTGATGGCATGTTTAATATCTCCCGCCTGTCCATTTCAAACGCCAATATCGACGATATTGCGCATGTTGCGCATCGACAGTAAGATCATCTTGTGAATTCTGATGGTCGTTTCCTGACTGAATCAACATTGCAGGAGTTTTACTCTTAATATTCACACCAGCCTCCAGGTGTTTCCAGCAGCTCACGACGTCGGCGCACGGTGAGCTACGTTTCTTTCGTGTCCACAGGGTTTGACCTTTTCTTGTCAGTTGTGCTGCGGCGATTGCTTGGCACCGTCAGATCGATATGGACCCAATTGTCTGAATTATTGAGAGGTGACGTCCTTATATACTATCACACAACATAACCAGTACTTATTTCATTCTCCAGGCCCTGTTCGTGCGGTCGGCGCATTGGCATGGCGATCTCTTCATCAGTTATTCGCCATGCTTCATAACGGGCTGCGTTCTTTAGTTCCGCGCTCTTCGACAAAGGTGGTGGACTCGGAAAGACAACCGGTCGACCAAAACCTGGGCATTTTGGCGGCGGATGAATGCACCCTCGCTCTCGACCTCCTTTCCATACCCACTGCCGGTCTGGAAGCACGTAGCATCAAGTGGCTCCTCGAGACGTCTACGGATCCTGAAGTGTTCCTCGCCGCTGCCAGCCTTGTTCCACACGTCGAATGGCCCCTGGATCTTGACGTGTCAGACATGCTGCCTCAGCTGTATGATATTTTTACAAGCTGCGTCGATATTCAGGACCAAATTGTACCGTCGTTGAAGGAAAAGGCCTCGGTTTGTATAATGGCTCTGAGTCATCTATACTGCGGCCGTGTTCTTCAGGCATCTCCTGGCTATGGTGAATTTCTTGGCCAACGGGAAAGAGACTACGAGGTGTTTTTTCAAATACGCCGGAGGAACATTTATTCAGCCGGCAACATGGTGGTGCTTCCCATAACTATGAATCTTTGTCCTCCGAAAGATGACGATTTTAATATTCCATTCTATCGTCTACTGTGGGAGGGTTGTCCCGACTCTGTCTTGGAGTGGCTGTCACATTCTCTTCCTTACCATTTCGTTACCGGACGAGTGAATCAAGATGTAGAAGAACTCGCTATAGCAGTGATATCAAACCTGCTAAGCTCTCCATCCACTCCGTCGAACCAAATCATCGCCAATTGCACTCTTCTCGCTTGCGTCATGATCGGGGTTCAGTTTGACAAGAAGGACATAGTTCGGATTGATAAAAGGTGCCATTGATTTATTTGGTGCTTTTTCTGCGATCATTGACAATGAAGTTGTGTAGTGCTGCTCTGCCTCAACTCGTGCAGCCCCTTGTGACGCAGTTCCAAAAGGTTCTCTGGGCGTGTGATGGAGGCGATGTCGACAAAGACACCACAGGAGTCGCACGACGGGCATGGAAACTCCTGGACATTATCTGTCCCATTCTCGAGCCCGCTCAACGTCACTATGTTGCTTCATCCCACACGATGCAGAACCTGGACGTGTGCAGGAAGGTTTGTTCACGAGTGAGGTCATCCGAACATTATCCCTGGTATTTGCTCAAAGCTCTGCGAGATGCTCTGCGTTTCACGTTCGCTGCTGCCAAAGTTTCTCGGGACCCTGCCCAGTTGTGGAATAGGCAGTTCTGGTGGATAAATGATGTCCACTCGCCAGAAAACTTCGACTGGTTAGTGGACTACCTCGACTATATTAATTCCGACGACCACGAGACCGCATATGACATCCTTTTGCTACTGGATGGCTTGGGGACTCGCTGCAGCCCCGCTAAACAACATCTGTTCATCGAGAGCCTTATCGCCTGCATGGACGTTGACATGCCTGACAGTTTACGTCACGCCGCTCTTCGCGCTGTTCACAGCGTCCGACAAGACATGGCATCAATTCATGCGATTGATGATGCGAGCTTGCGGGACATAGTTTTGACCGAGCTCTCCCCCGCTATTCTGACCGTCGTTTGTCCGCGACCAGGTGCAACACCTGCCGATGATGGCCCTGACCACATTTTCGATGATGACCTCAACTCGTGCTATCTCGAGCTGGTTTTTGCCCTCGCGAGGAATTCCAACTGGCACTCCCATTTATTTGGGGATCACCATATAGACCGGTGCATTAGCATGATTACAGAGGTCCGCTTCATGCCGCATGAATTCTACCTAGCTGGCATCCTCCTCCTCATCGCACCTGAACAGTTGTCGCCAACAGCGCTCGATTCTATCACAGACCAGCAGTGGTGGGACACAATGAGGATTGCATGGATGAATACATACAATATAGCTGACGACATACACTGTTTCGAGCTCCTTCCCGCCCTTGTGGAAGGTACGAAAAAGTACATGCGGGTTGCTTTGACATACGATCTCGAGCAGCTCATCAGAGATGTGGGCTATACTCTCGAAACACTGGAGAGCAGAGACCCAGAGCAGGTAGAGCAGGTAGAGGGGGCCGCTGCTGCTGTGAAAGAGCTTAGGACGGTGGCCAGCGACATGCTTGAGAGGATGGTCAAAAGTGAAGAAGTTGTCAGCCCCTGATTATTACGGTTCCTGCATTTTGTGCTAGGGTCCTGCGGAAGGTGACAAGTATCAAAATCTAAACAAGATCGACTTTGAATATTATCAGTTGTTCATGTCAATCACTATCACCCTCGCGAACGCTATTTATGTTAGGCGTTGTTTGGATCAGAAGCTTTCGTCAAATAAACTAGGTCCATATGTAGCAATTGCGATTTTTGCGCAGAATTTATTCACCCAGCTCATGGCAAGCTTTCTTTACTTCTACGGTCATCCATCTCCTTGCAAGCTTCTCCAAGTCGTTCCTCTAACTACCACAGACGGTGAACAGCACGGTTCCAGATCTTAGGCGTCATGGGTACCAATCGGACCGTTTCCCGCAAACACGTCTTGAACCCGGAGTATGTGACATACTATGGGCGCACCATTGGAGGTTTGAACCTGATAGCCCACTTCCAATAAACGTCAAACCCTCCCTGCCCTTCCTGTTCGCACACCTGGACTCTTGGCGTGTGGCAGGTCAGTGATGCTGGACCCGACCTGTCAGCGGATTCGCTCTGACGCCCACTGGTGCTTCGCGGGCAACGATATATAGGCAAAGGGGAAAGCTGTTAGTTCTCACGGACTGTCTTGAAGACTCGTAGATCTGGTTGGTTTCAGGTCCAGTGGCGCAGTGACTTCAATTATATTGTGTAGCAATTGGAACAGCATTACGGAAAACCTCGAAGGGTGTAGGCTAGATTCCATGATGGTGTAACTTTTCTTTAGTTGTGTTTCTCTCGTACTAACGAAGTTCCCTACTTACCTCATTGTTCTGCAGGGCGTTCATTATTGCACAAAAGAACAGCCGAATAGCAGGTCCATCATCATGTTTGCCGTTGATACTAGCTTTCTTGCTGTATCAGAATCCTCGGCCATCGACATCCTTGGTTATAGGTCGGCTCTGTGTGCCATTGATTTATTCTGGTATTGTGTATCTGAGTCGAATGCCTAGCAATGCGATTACCACAAGGTGTTGTGAATTCATCTCCAACCCTTCACCATCGTCTGAGCCTGCATACATGATGTGGATACGAATATCTGTATTTGGAATTGCAAGCCCTGCGTCCAGACTCCACGCACAGCTCTCCCAATCAAGCATGATCTTTTCAGCAAGGGTTCCAACCCTCGTCTACGCCGTTGCCAACGCCGTCTTCCTGGCCATTGTGACCGCAGTATCGACGGTCATCACTTGGTGGCGAGCTTTGGCTGATTCAACTCTTAATAATCATACTACCATCCTCATATCTTCAGCTTCCATCTTCCCGTCACGCGCATTCCTGTTGTGGCAGAGGATGCATCTTCGCCGGAGATTGCCTGCTTACAGCATCCCTGATTGATCACCACCTGGGTTGGTGTCTTCGTTACCTATGCGTAGGTAATCGTTCGGCTTTTTATTTGCTGTCCGCGGAATTTGTGAAAGACGTGTTACGACCAAACCGGAAGAACATTTTGGCCATCTTATTCCGGCCCGAGCTGATGACTGGCTCATAGGCGCAACTTCGATGCAGGTTGAAGGCGGGCACGAGATCTGTAAGTATACATAAATGTTCAGTTAGCTTATTCTTACCAGTGCAATTTGCAGCTGTGATTTAGCGTGATGCCACAAAAGAATTAGAAAGGGACTTGCTACTCATACCAAGATGGCTTGAAACTCCGAGCTGTTGTAACGCTCGACGTTCAACTTGAGCCTAGCAAGAAAGAACTATATCCCACATCCTCACTTTAAATTTCACACCTACCTCACTGGCCGTAATGCCGTAATCACGCACTGATTCCATTGCATGCATGGGCGTTGAGACGACATCGGCGTGCACCGAGAACTTATAACTCCGGCTCAATATTATCTCGTGAAGGCATCAGGAAGCTTACGGTGCCACTCAGAAGTGTTACAAAGTTTGTTAGATCTCAGATGCTGTTGACACTAGGAGGACCGCGGATCACTGACTTGCCGATTTCAACACCTGTTAGGTTTTCCAAATGGCAATGAACACAGATGACGACTTTGATCCGTACTCCAAGTGGACACGTGGGAGAGGGTTCAACAGTGACGGTTAGTGGTCAGAAAGTCTGGGACCCCGAGCCGTTGGTTGAACACCGTGATCATTAACAGCTCGGGTCTCAGCCAGTTTGATTCCCAGAGTTCAAGACACTCTCGGTTGCATAGGTACACTGGCAGGGACTTTGAGTGCCCGCCAGTCCAATGCCGTCATCACGTCATCATTTTCTAGATTGCTATGGCCCTAGCTCAACCAGTATGGGTGGTCGAACGAAATACTAACCCTCATCGGGATTTTGAAAATACCTTTGGGAACCAAGAAACGGGAGAATTTCGCATTTATACATAACGGCCGGATGACTTGAACATACTTGTAATCATTCCGTTTCCCTCCATACTTTGTTGATTCTGACTTTTTTCTCTGTGCAAAACTGGCAGGACAAACTATGTCCGAGAAGTCCCTAAGCGCAGAGGCTTTGAAGGGCACCGAGTTCGCACGCGATACCTTGTCTTACTATGATGTGTGTAAGACGAGAGCAACCCCCCCAGACAACCAGGAAACACAGACTTCTGAGAAGTCTGTAACACATCTTGGTGAACCACCTGATGGAGGATTGACTGCGTGGCTGGTTGTTGTTGCGTGAGTGCTACTACGTGTTTAATTCTTTGAAATCACCACTGACGTTGACGAATTACAGTGCCAATTTGGTGTTATTTTCTACGTGAGTTTTCTCAGTTTCTTCCCCGCAATTAAGGTCAAGATATTCCACCAGATTTGGTTTATGCAATTCATGGGGTGTAAGTAATGTTTTGTCACCACACATTCGCAGATCTTACAATTCTCCTTTTTCAGGTCTTCCAAGCTTATTACGAGGAAAATTTACTACGTCACACTTCTCCTTCAGCCATGTAAGGTGCTGGGTTTGTTTGATACATTGCAACTCATTTATCGTATAACGTATATTCTCCAGAGCGTGGATCGGTTCTGTGCAGGCATGTCTAACTCACGTTTCGGTAAACTTGCTTAACTCACATGTTCTTCTAGTACGCGCTCGTGTACCTTCCAGCGCTTGTGACGGGACGACTGTTTGACCTGGGATACTTCAAAATACCGTGCTTCGCTGCTAGCTGTGTCCTTGTCATGTGCACCTTCCTAATCGCAGAATGCACACAATACCTGCAGTTCTTCCTCGTGCAAGGTCTCGGTATTGGAGTGTGCTGTGGTATCATAGTTGGCCCCGCACTTATCGTCGTCTCGCATTGGTTCTACAGGAAACGTGGCCTTGCTGTGTCACTCACCGCCATCGGGGCTTCGTGCGGCAGCACTGTGTTCCCTGTAGTGGCCCAAAGTTTGATTCCACTAATCGGGTTCGTTTGACGATCATGGACAATTTATATTCACTTATGCAATTTCAGATTTAAGTGGACTGTCCGTGTATTTGGATTTATTCTGATTGCTACCCTGGGGATGGGCAATATGGTATGTCGCCAGCGCCTTTGATGTCTAATTTACCGACACATTTTCTCAAGTTACTCAAACGACGACTTCCACCCGTTGATGTTCGCGGGGGACTCTTTAACCTTGAAGTATTCCGCAACGCCGCATATTCTATCTTTTGCATTTCAGGGATACTGGCGTTTTTAGGACTTTATACAGGTGTGGTCGTAACGATTATCCCTGTAGCCTTCCTGATGTTCTAAATTTATTTCGACAGAGCTTACATATATATCCGTGAGCGCCACCGCAATTGGCGTCTCCAAGGACTTTTCGTTCTATATTCTCGCCATCGCCAATGCGTCATCTACGTTTGGACGTGTGTCGGCTGGCCTAATAACAGATAAAGTTGGTATGTCTCGCCAACCAATTGTAGGCGGGAACACAAGCTAATATTTTGACTGTCAGGTGCACTCAACACCATGGCAGCTTTCACTGCTGTAGCGGGGATTATGACATTCGCCTGGCCATTTGCTAAAAATGAGACACAGCTCATTGTAATATCCTGCCTATACGGGTATGCGCGGCACTTGTTCATGACTGGCTGCCAACTCATCCCATTTAGGTTCTCCACAGGAGGATTTTTAGCTCTCTTCACTGTAGCTGCCCTGGCAATGGGAAAGATTGAGGATGCAGGGCGCCGAGTGGGGATGTTCATGTCCCTTGCTGCCCTTGGAGCCATTGCGGGTCCTCCAATATCAGGCGCCATCAGTACCGCGTCAGGAGGGTTTGCCGAAGCCGGTTATTATGCAGGCACGTTTATCAAATGCGCGGTCTTTGTGTGTGTTGATCTTGTCTAGGCGGCATCATTATGTGTGCTGTTGTATTGCTACTGTTGGCGCGGTACCTCCACCTCGGACGCCTACGGGGCAAGTGTTGAATGATTCCTTCAGGAGTAATGGCGTCGAGCACAAACGATACTCCGCGTCATATTTAATGTGATAATCTGTCTCGTACATTGAAGCTGCGGATAGAGCTCTTGAGTCCATCCCGCGTGTAACTTATAAATGTTAATAGGTAGCGGTAGCGGTCAGGTCACGACTCCAAGCCCGTGCACGGTCGTTCGAGTCCAAATGTCAAGATCTGATATGATGTGGCTTCTCATGGAAAACCAACATGGAGCGTACGCCTTGGAGAATACTGTCCAACTACGAATACAGGACCAGCTGCGGACTATGCGGAGGAATTAAGTCAATTTTGAATGTGAGGACTCACCAACCATTAGAACCATGATATGAAATATAGCAGATAACCTACGGCGCAGACGCGAATTTGCAAGACTGGCCCGAGATAACGAGATAAGATAAGGGACTATTCTAGTTAAGGGTTCAAACTTGCACACTCAAGAGACGCGAAACGCTATCAGAGGGCAAAATTAGATTGTTCTCGATCCTAATATCAGAATCAGTTCGCCTGAAATGGAAACTACGATGCGAAAGAACAATAAATTCAATAGCGAAGTTGAGAAGTTTCACTCAGAGTCTGAGGTACACAATTGACTGGTAGATAGCGACAATCAAACAAATAGACTTGAGCTAGACCGGCTGAAACCTACCGACGCCTCGAGGTACGGTAAGAAGGTTATCCAGTGTAGGTTTATTGAGTAAAGATAACTTAGCTGATAATTGGGTTACCGCGGATAATCAGGGTTTGAAATACTGGGTATAACTTGAACAACTTGCCGGCCGGCCGGAAGCGAGAGTAGCTGTAGCACTATGCCATACAGTCACTCAGGCTCCAGGTTGGTCAGAGCATATTGATTTCACAAAAAAAGATCTGATACAACGTACGTACCACATAGTATTGCCGTAGTTCGTCTTGTAATCCGAAACATGAAATCAGACTAGTAGGTCCCCAGCCGTTCCGCCCCCGACGGGGGAAGGTCTGCTTATTCTGGTCGCTGAACAGCTTCACTGCGGTGAAAGTTCTCTCTCGCCTTTGGCTAAATCCTCCCCTTCTTCGCGCTCTTTTTGCATGACCGGGATCTTGATCCATAGAAGTTCATGATCCAAATTTGAGCAGAACATTGGGATCGGGATTTAGGGAAGCACGGAGGACAATGACTCTGGTTTCATACAAGTGTGCCACAGCTACAGTGATTCTCACTGTTTTGGCGTGCAGTAGACTTGCACAGGCGACGTACGGTCAACTGATACACCGTAGCATATTAGCATTGCGTATAAAGGGATTAATATTATATTGTAGGCTCACTGTTCATGCTTTGGAGCGAATCCTGCAACCAAGTGTTCAATATTAGCAGAATGTCCCCTGAGCTAGAACGAACGAGGGAAGCGTAACGGGAAATATACGGAGAAAGACCTAGGGGAATATAAGGTTTACTTCTGCTTCTAAATCTGCATCTCCTTCCATTTCTACCTTTTCCACCAAATGTGTCTTCATCCTCTCTGAAACAACATCATGTTCATTTGGTATCGGAGTACTACTCCCGCTTCCCGGCCACTGTTCTTCTAAGCAGCGACAGTCGGACCAATTTACCGCGAATGGTTCTGAGGGACTCGTTACCCACCAACCGGAGGTTTGGCCAAACGAGGTAACCCTGGGAACACAGCAGACGATGGTGGTGGAACCTGGGGTAGACGAACCAAACAACCACGGGGTACCCCGCTGCTGTTGGCGGAACACAGGCTGAGATGGAAGAACCGGAAAGCTCTCTGGTAGTCGTGATTTTGGAGCGGAAGACACGAACTGGTGCGAAACGAAGAAGATACAGCCGCCTGCAACGCAATCACACGCCTGTGTCGAAGATTGGGCAGAAGACCCTGCGGCGGTAGCGTGTTTCACGTTCAAGACACGATACCGGCATAACCCGAAACCATTCCTACGACGAAGGTCCTCCGTGGGAGTGCCGGAGGTCCTGGAGCAGTGGGTGGAGTCCTGACTCTTGGTTTGTGGGGTAGCCAGCATGTCAATAGCAGTCCTTTCATCGAGTATATGAAGAGACACCTTTGACTTGATGGCTACCCTGTATCTGTCTGCCGCCTGTCTGGGATCTCACCATCAGAACCACTACAATACAAACATAAGAGTTAGCAAAACACCTCGGTGTTAGAATCTGTCCGAGAGAAAAAGATAAGACTTCTTCTTTTCGTCACACAAGTCGACAGCAAACACGACCATCCCTGCATATCATCCGAATCTCTGCCAAGAATTGCCACGTAGTTGAGATGAGATCGCGAGTGGTCGATTAGTCGGCGCAAAATCCGCGGGCGGCAACCTTGGAAGCGAACACTGCGGGTGGTGGGGTTTATACAATAAATGCTGCGTCTATTATGAGGTGAGAAAAAACTGCAGTCAGACACATACCGAATCCTTCCTTATGCTTCGTCATTGTCCTAGGCTGCTCGTGTGTTCTCGCTCCCAATCCCGTCTCCTTCTGTTTCCAACATCCTAAAAGTCAAATTCGGCTTGGACAAGTTAGATGTCACCTCGTCACAGATGGATGCGAATTTTCTGACTGCCACAGGCAGCGGGTTTGGGACACGCACAAGATGATTAATTAATATGTTGCGCCTAACGACGAATTGAGAGTATTGACACGATCAAAGGATCCTCGATAAGGGCCTTGAGAACTAGATAGTGCCCCCATCAGCACATAGTCGCAATCAACAGAGATTCACTAGTAATGTGAAGTGCCAATTTCCAAGGGAGGATGTTCGAAAAGGACAAAGCATTGCTCATGAGTGAGCCTTCTTGGATCGGGTACGGGGATCCGTTTTCACCTCGTTTATCATGCCTGGCCAGTGGAGAAGTCCGCCAGTAGCAGTTGCTGTAGACACGACTGTGTATGCAGGAAAAGTGTCAGAAGAATGATGCTGTCACACTGCTGTGAAATAACGCTGTAACGTTATCTCCACGTGATCCGACGGTTACGCCCGGGAAATACCAACGTTTTGGCAGCAAGTTACAGCAAATTTACAGCTTACTCCGTTCTCAAAGCAGTTCAAAGACACAACCACAAGCGACCTCGTTCATAGGATGCAAGGCAACCACGATGCACGATTCTCAACACGTGTAGGCGGTGCGAACGGTGCAGTGCGCATCTACACCTACAATGCGTACTGTGCATGTTGGGAACGTGGGAGGGGTACGCCAAACTAGGTACCATATATGCCGTCCCGTGCTAGTCGGATGGGGTGTCTTATAGACGGGCGGTCGATTTCCAGTAAGCTTCCAAGAGACCCCAACACAATCACGATGGAGCGACAAAGGTTCAGAAGATCAAGACGAATGAGAAATACCGAAGACCAAGCACGGCGAACTGCTGTCCCACCGCAAGCTCGGCCTACTCCAACTCACCCCAAAGAGACGAATGTAATACGATTGCCTGAAGGAAGTGGCATGGGGAGGTTTCCCCTAGATGTTGGAGGACCTAGCGATGCAGTGACGAGTGTCTGTTGGTCGAGAAATGGAGAGCATATGTTCTCGGGTTCTCGAGATGGAACGATCCGGGTTTGGTCGTCAGGGACCGGAGCCCAAGTCGCTCTCCTCCAGGGACACACCAACACAGTCCACGCCATCGCAATATCTTTTGATGGTCGGTTCATTGCAAGCGCTTCCTCTGACTGTACTGTTCGCCTATGGAGCGTCCGTACGTATGAAGCAGTCAGCCCACCCTTCGAGCATGCCGACGAACTCTATTGCGTCACATTCTCCCCTGACCGCAAGCGCGTCGCATGTGGTGGGAAAGACACCAAGGTGTATCTGTGGGATATCGAGCCATACACTAAGCCAGAGGCTGGTATCACGGATACCTGTGAACCAGCTCCGGAATTGCCGTTGGCTCCCTCAGACGAAGATGTAAGAGCTGCTTGCACTGTGCGCCTAATTGTTCGAAGTAGCTGATGCGCGCATTTATTTCAGGTTCTTAACGAGCTCTTGATACAGGAGGTAAGGAAGTGCATTACTTATGTTTTCAATATTCATAACCAGCTCTCCAGGTCGCTGGCTTCCTTCCCCCGCTGGCGCTTCAGAATGGAGTATGTATATCGTACCATGGCGGGACATCTCTGATTTTACTGTCGCAGGTTCCACCCGACCTGAATGTTCCCTCAGCATTTACTGAGAATTGGCCCAACGACGAGATCAACAACCCCACTGAGGTAAGTGCCAACGTGTGGTCTGTGTAGGTTTTGATTCCGAACGCTTAATCATCATCTTAGGATGCGCCAATGAAACCAAACCAGCCAGAGGAGTCTTCTGAAGTCCTTCCTAGTCCGCCACCCCCCTCATCCTCATCCAAGCGTAGCTTCTTGGACAGGCTACAACTCTTTCGTCGTCGATACGATGATGATAATTGTGGCACCACCAAATCGTAGGTGTATCTCCCACATCAAATGAGCAATCATTCATGATTTTCAGGGTCTTGGGGAAGGGATGACGATACTCCGAACACACTCTTTGTTGTAAAATATTCCATAGGGATTGTGTGACTCGCAGATAGACCCGGTTCCATTCACAGTGTTGTTTTCTGTGTCGATGACGACCTTTTGTCGGTTCGACTGGTAACTTAAACTACCACTTCTGCTCCTGTCGCTCAAGGAATGATTGATATTCTTGTTTGTTTTACATATATTTCCATCACGAAAGAATAAGTTTTGTTCTGTGCGTCGCTGTCAATGACAATGCCTGTCATGCCCCACTGGACACCTTGACATATCCCTCGCAGTTGCATTAAGTCTTGTCATTAAGTCTTGTCGAACGCAGCTGTTGACTTGAAAACTGGGGCAACTAGCTCTTCGTTCTCATCGGCGTGGTGAACATTGAGGTAAATCTCAAGAGTTTGGGATAACAGCGACTTAAACATTATACTAGGCTCCTGCCTTCCCCAGCAAAGTAATGTGCTCGAATGTACGCAAGCTTGTGATTCAGAACTGCTTTTTGTCCCTGACATCTTTCGACAGTTTCATGCAAATTGCTTCGCTTCAGGTAGGTACAAGTACAGGCGCAACCATCGAGAATGTATGTATGTGGCTCGAATTCACAGCGCAGTTCAGGTGCTCTTCGGGAGTGGCGTCTCTGCATACAACGCCTTCATAGCTGCCGGAGGATAACGTTCCCCAACCACCCAATCAGCCTTCTCCGCAATCATACGGACTTCCTGGACAGATTCAGGACTCAATGACACATTGAGAGCACCGAGATTCTCCTCGAGATACTATGCAAGTCAAAACCATGAACACCCGAGCTTGAACGCAGCGATGTGACTACTGACCTTGATCTTCTTTGTACCCGGAATGGGGATGACATCTTCACCTTGAGCAAGAAGCCATGCCAAAGCCACTTGGCCGGCTGTTGCGTTGTATTGCTCGCCTATTCTCTTCAGGTTATCTGACAGCTTCAAGATGTTCGGGAAGTTCTCCTTCGAGTATCTAACAAAGTGCGGTTCAGATAAGTCACTACCAGGTACGGACACGACGCATACCTAGGAACCATCCTCCTGAAATCATTAGGTTCGAAGTCATCGGGAGATTTCTGTTCATGCGATGAGCGTCCGAATGAGTTCTAGCAGGTCTGTGGCACTTACATACTGCCCCGTGATCAGACCACGCCCAAGAGGCGAATAGGCAATGATTTTGATTCCAAGCTCACGGGCCGTGTTGAGGATGTTAAGCTTTGGGTCCTCGATGTCGAGTGTGAAAGGTGAATACTCCACTTGGACGGCAGCGATGGGGTGCACTTTCTGAGCGCGGCGCAAGGTGTTTGCGGTGCATTCTGACAGCCCGAGATACTTTACTTTCCCCTGTCTTTTCAACGATCAGCTAGAGGCATAAATCCAGGAGCTGTTCGCTTACTTGACAAGCTCTGCCATTGCACCGACAGTTTCCTAATCGAGTTTAGATATCTTCATAAAGTCCATAAACAGAGACGTACTTCGATGGGTGTTTGGGCATCAGGTCTAAGTGAGGATGATCATGATCATGAGGTTTGAGAATAATCATTATAACATGCCGGGCGTACCTGTGCAAGTAGTAAAGCTCGACCTTATCAACACCAAGCAACTTTTGTGATTTTGCAAACGACTCGTGGACATTTTTAGGGGATCCGTCAACCCCTCTACCGTCAGAACCACTGATAACGATACCGAATTTCGTAGCAAGGAAGATTTTGCTCCGCTTTTCAGGGTTCAGATTGAACCTGCGCTCTTGTTTGTGAGGGGTTCTTACTGTTACAGCGCAGTACGACGTACCATTTGCCAATGAGCTCTTCGCTGTCTCCATATATATTCGCAGTGTCCCAGAAAGTGCAACCGAGCTCATATGCTCTATCCAAGACCTAAAAGGGGCAATCAGCAACTAATGACGCGCAGCAAGGCGCTCACGCTTCACCTTGAGACGCTCTTCATCTGGACCAGTCTGACCGTAATATGCTCCTAAGCCCATCGCGCCAAAGCCGATGGCAGAGACATCATCGGTGCCGATTTTGCGTGTGGGATACTTGACCATGATGTGAGAATGTGTCTAAGTTGATAGATGCTGGAACTCACGGGAAAGAGTACTGACTTTATATACCCCTCGGCTTTGCCTCGGCTAGCTACGTATTCAACGAGTGACTAACAGAATCTCAGAAATGACAAGTAGAAGTAAAAGTGCTGATTACAGCTGACGCATGATGCTGACCAATTTCGGAACCGCTCTTTCTGTCTTCCGGAATCCCGAACGATGAGCTTGCACGTCTTTCGAATTCTAAAGGTGATCCCCTTCCACAATCGCATTGCGCCATCCCTTCCTCTGGTCGCAGGACCCTAGCACCAGAGACCAACAACTTCATCACTTTTGACCAACCTCTCAAGCATGTCGCTGGCCACAGTCCTAAGCTCTTTCACAGCAATGGCGACCCCCTCTCCCTGCTTTCCCTGCTCTCCCAGCTCTGAATCTCGCCTCTCCAGTGTATCGAGAGTATAGCCCACATGCCTGATGAACTGCTCGAGATCAAATTTCGCAGCAACCTGCATACACCTCTTCGTGCCTTCCACAAGTTTGGGAAGGAACTCGATACAGCGCATGTCGTCAATTTGATCGTATGCATGCATCCATGCACTCCTCATCACTTCCCACCACTGCTGCTCTGTGATAGAATCGAGCGACATGGGCGACCGCTGTTCAGATGCAATGTGTAGGAGTATGCCGGCTAGGTAAAATGCATGCGGCTTTGAGCGGCAAGCTGAAATCATGCTAATGCACCGATCTATATGGTGATCCTCAGACAAATGGGAGTGCCAGTTGGAATTCCTCGCGAGGGCAAAAACCAGTTCGAGATAGAACCAGTCGCGGCGATGGTCGAAAATGCGATCAGGGCCATTATCAAAGGGTGTTACACCTGGTCGCGGACAAACCGCGGTCAGAATAGCGGGGGAGAGCTCGGTCAAAACCATGTCGCGTAGACTCGCATCATTGTTCGCATGAATCGATGTCATGTCTTGTCGGACGCTGTGTATAGCGCGAAGAGCGACGTGGCGTAAACTGTAAGGCATCAAACCGTCCATGCATGTGATGAGGCACTTGATGAACGTATGTTGTTTAGCGGGGCTGCAGCGGGTCCCCAAGCCATCCAGTAGCAAAAGTATTTCATATGCCGTGTCGTGGTAGTGGAAATGAACGTAGTCGAGGTAGTCCACCAGCCAGTCGAAGTCTTCTGGCGAATGGACATCGATTATCCACCAAAATTGCCAATCCCACAACTGGGCAGGGTCCCGAGATACTCCAGCAGTAGCGAACATGAAATGCAGTGCATTTTGCAAAGCTCTCAACAAATCCAAGCGATCTTGGGATGATCTCGCTCGCTCGTGAATCTTCCTGCACATCTCCAGGTTCCGCTTCTTGGCGGATGGAGAAACATAGTAATAAGTTCGAGCAGGCTCGATAATGCGACAGATAACGCCGAGGAGTTTCCATGCCCGGCGTGTGACTCCTGTGCTGTCTTTGTCAACATCGCCTCCATCCCATGCCCAAAGAACCTTTTGGAACTGCGTCAAAAGGGACTGCGCGAGTTTAGGCAGAGCAGAACTACACAACTTCATTGTTAATAATAGCAGAAAAACCACCAATAAAGTCAATGGCACCTTTTATCAATCCGAACTATATCCTTCTTGCCAAATTGAACACCGATCATGACGCAAGCGAGAAGAGTGCAATTGGCGATGATTTGATTCGACGGAGTGGGTGGAGAGCTTAGCAGGCTTGATATCACTGCTATAGCGAGGTCTTCGACACCTCCATTCAGTCGCCCAGTAACGAAATGGTAAGGAAGAGAATGTGACAGCCACTCATAGACAGAGTCGGGAGAATCCCGCAGCTCTAAAGAATAGAACAAAAATTCATTATCGTTATCTTCCGGAGGACAAAGATTCAAAGTCGTGGAAAGTGCCGTCTTGTCGGCTGGACCCAAGTCCATCAACCTCATTTCACGAAATATATTGTAGTCTCTTTCCCGGTGGCCAAGAATTTCACCATGGTTGGGATATGCCTGAAGAACGCGGACGCAGTATAGATGACTCAGAGCCATTATACATACAGAGGCCTTGTCCTTCAATGACGGTACAATTTGGATCTGAATATCGACGCAGCTTGCAAGATTATAAAGCAGCTGAGGTAGCATGTCTGACACGTCAAGATCCAGGGGCCATTCGACATGTGGAACAAGACTGGCAGCCGCGAGAAATACTTCGGGATCCGTAGATGTCTCGAGCAGCCACTTGATGCCACGTGCTTCCAGACCGGCAGTAGGTATGTAAGGGAGGTCAAGAGCGAGTGTGTCTTGATTCTCCGCCAAAATGTCCAAGTTTTGGTCGAGCGGTTGACTTTCCGAGTCCATCACCTTCCTCGAAGAGCGCAGCGCTAAAGAACGCAGCCCCTTATGAAGCGTGGTGAATACCTGCAGAAGAGAACTCCATGCCAATGCGCCGACCGCACGTATAGGGCCTGAGGAATGAGATTAGCACTGGGTGTCCAGTGTAATAGTAGATAAAAACGTCACCTCTCAATGCTTCAGACAATCGGGTCCATCTCGATCTGACGGTGCCAAACAATTGCCGCAGCACACCTGACAAAATATGGTTAAACCCTGTGGAGACATAAGACAACATGGCTCACCACGCGCTGACATCATGAGCTGCTGGATATACCTGGAGGCTGGTGTGAATATTAAGAGTAAAACTCCTGCAATGCTGATTCAGACAAGAAACGACCATCAGAATTCACAAGATGATCTTACTGTCGATGCGCAACATCCGCAATATCGTCGATATCGGCGTTTGAAATGGACAGGAGGGAGATATCAAACATGCCATCACGGTCAGCGAATAGAACAGAAATCCGAAGATCGTTGTAGCAATGATGACCCAGGCGATGCTCAACTGCTGGGTCCACAAATTGGCCCCGAGCGCGATCCCAAACAGAAGAAGGGAAATCTGAAGTAAGACCGGAAAGGATTGTACGACAGCATCAAAATACCATGTGATGATGCCGTCAAACGTCTCTTGCCTGCGCTTTCCTCGTTCCTCTTGCGAGCCGCGGCCATATCTGTTCGACTTGTAGTACCCGAGCCACTGTTTGCCCAGTACGGCCCCGAAAGCAGCGAGCAAGCTCATGGACAAGCTTGCGTATGCTATCATTTGGATCCATACAGTCGTCGGCGACGGCAACCACGTAGATCCTGGTGCTGCGGCCGCAGTACCCGCTGCAGTGAGGTTCCCGAGTCCGATTTGTACGAGTTGTGTGAGAAGAGCATTCGTCGTGTCGCTGGGGTTAGGATTGAGATTGGACTCCATTGCCACAATAAAAGACGTGCTGACAGCAGAGAAAAGACCAGACTGATCAAATGTCAATAAGTGAGTTGAAAATGAGTATGCGACACTTACGAAAACCAAGACAATGTCCATATCGCTAGTGTATCGCTCAAGGAACTCGCCGTCGTGTTCCTCTGCGACTCTCTTGTACACCCCCCAGAAACGAGAGCGGTGGTCCTTGCCACTCTTCGACGCAATCGTCGAGTCCTGGAGAACAACCAATACTTGTTTCATGACACTTGCTCTGCGCGTAGGATGTTATCAGCTACGATCGCTTGGCCGATTTTTCGCTCACAGTTCGCTTAGAGTTGGCTGGTCTTTCTCCACCTTCTCCACCACGTCCTCCTCCACGGCCTTCTCTACCATGTCCTTCTCCACGTCCTTCTCAACCACGTCCTTCTCCACCATGTTCTTCTCTACTACGTCCTCCCCCTCGCTGAGACAACGCATAAGCTTATTTGACATCAACACTGATAGGGACTTACAGAGCTAAATCGCCGTCTGGTACAACATTCAAATTGGGCGTACTTTCCTGCATGTGAAGTTCTGATGGCTGGGAACGCCCAGTGTTCGAGCTGTGGTTCTGGTGAGTGGGGACACAGAAGCATCAAGGCGAAAACACTTACATCCCTGATGGCAGCACCACAGAAGGTTCGCCATTCATCGCATCCCTGTTTTGCTGTTAGGTGGGTGGCAGATTCCATAAAGTCACAACTTACTCGTTCGTAGGTCCTACGGTGTCATTTTGCGGGGGAGGCTGTTCATCGTTGTGAGCGCGTTGATCCTCGGCGTCGTCGGTGCCTGATACTTTTGACATGAGGAAATATACTTATATTTGATCCCGAGTAAACCCAGTGAGATTTGGGAAGAGTATGAGGTGAGTGGGCAGGGAAGAGTGGTGGTACACAGCAAGCGACTTGGGCGGTGCAACCATGAGTCCATGACGAACACGTGCTTGACAGCGTTGACGGTGGGTGACCCTGCTCCCTTCGGTAGACTGCAAGATCAATTCTGCATATATATAGTCAGACTGAAAGAAGCAAGAAAGTTAAGCTTGCGCAACATTCACTTGATACCTCACGTAAGCTGCGTCTTGCCAACTACCCCCTTTTGGCATTATTCCCGCTACCTTGAGTAGTCTTTTGGGTGTAGATTCTTCAGATCTTGTCGTGGCAGTGTTTTTACTTGGAATAGACAGAGGCAATGCTGATCGATCGGTCGAGACCCTTTTTTTCTCTCTCTCTTTTGGTTGTTTTAGGGGGTTTTTTTTTCCGCGCCCCTAGCATTATCTGCAACTGTGCGCTCCTCGTTCTTTCAATGTACCACCATGACTTCGTTTGTGGCTCATCTTCCTGTATCGGTTGTCTTCGACCTTGCATCTCAACGTTCGGTAGTATCTTCTGCAATAGCTCGCTCACTCGGTCATATCCGTCCTCGAACGTCATTTACCGACATTCTCACCGCCTCTTACGAAGGTCGTTCGCTGACCACCGACGTCGAGTTTGATGTTGCGCGAACTCTGGATACGGATGTTATCATCGGGATGGATTGGATTGGAGCGTGGCGTGCCGTTGGGCAGGACGGCAGAGTTCCATTCAGTAATCCCTATGCGAGTTCTTCACCCTTCACTCAAGGTGATTTATTCAAAATTTTGTATAATTTTTTGGGGGCTTATAAACTAATGTGATTTTGTCTTTTCAGAATCATCACCATGCATAGTCGATCACAGCGAAAATTTAGATTTACCCGCCAGTGGTGGAGATCCATCGAGGTCATCGTCCCTTGTTGGGGCAGCTTCAATGTCTCGTAGACATTCACAGTCTATTGTCCGCGACGTTTTCTTGGGGTCGGGTCATTCTGGAGTTCGAATTTGTATTTTTTCTGTGGACATTAGACTTCTAAAGCGCGCATGTGCCATGCATAGTCTCAATGCACAGAATATTGATCAAGTTGCTGATGTGCGTAATCTGTTGCTGAGACATTTTCTGTATGGGGAGTGTGTACAGTTAGAGCAACGCTCCAAGCATCACGATTTCACCGCTTGTCGTGAGGTCGGAGCTGGGTTCATGCACTCTTTGGATTTAGTTGACTTTACCCTTCGAGAGTTGACATCTGCATCAGTATCAGCTATCTCAGGATCAGCTTTATGGATTGTGGCGCAGAGCATTTGCAGCGATTTAGTTTGTTGTCCTGGCGAAGAAGAGCATAGTAGGCGAAAGGCTATTGGCGTGCTGAATATCTTCCGTCGTCGTGGCGTGTACAACGACTTCTCTAAATCATCACGGTTGTTGTTCACCGACACTGAATATATGTCTAAGGGTTCACTAGAAGCAGTAGCTTCTTGGCATGGATTGTGTTTTATCGGAACCAAGGATGAATTGTTGGATAGAATTATTCTTCATATGTCGCAGGGTATGTGTGCTTCTGATGGGCAGGATCATCGATTTGGGTGTGTCAACGTGACTGATGAATTTCGGTCAGACGGATCCGATCATGATGTTGATGATACAAGAATTGAGCTGCAGATTCGACTTTTAAACTCTGTGCGTAAGAATGTGGCGAGGAAACCTTTAGTACGTATTCTGAAGTGCTGCGAGATCTCTTATGATGATGCTTGTACATTATCTCAGTTGCGCAGGTCTCTCAAAACATATCTATCATCACTCACCAAGGGTAAAAGGGTACGGGAGCGATTAGTGTGCAAACAACGTGAATATGATTTGCGAACTGCTGAAGAACAATGTTCACGTTCAAAATGGCCTCAATTGGTGTCTGAGGAGAGGAAAGCCAGTGTTCTCAAAATTTTCCGGCAGCAAACGAGTTCAGAGTCTCTTGCCACATTCATATGTTTTTCTTGTGCTGGAGAATACAATCGTTCACAACGTCAAACCCTAATTCTGAAAGATGTTGATCTTTCACCTTTGACACGACCTGATTTGCGCACTCACAATGGTCAGATCGTCGATCCCGGATGGATGAGTGGAGAATTTGATTGCCACCAAACATCAGATGCCAGTGAATTGGTTATGCAACATTATGGTGCACTGTTGGACAATGTTATCTATGATGCTGCAGGTTTGTGTTTAGATTCCAGTGGAGAGGCGCCCTGTTCTGCCCAATTTTGCAAGGAGTGTTGCTCTGCAGTGCGAAAAGGGAAGACACCACCGTTGGCTCTAGCCAATCATAATTATGTTGGTGCAGTCCCTTCTGTATTGCAAGGACTGACGATAGCTGAGGAGATGATGATTTCAAAGTGTCGAGCTAAATGCTTCATTTTGCACTTACGAGAGGAGGCGGTCAACATTCCAAACGCACAACGTGGCCTTAAAGGTAACATCATTATATTTCCACAGCGAACATCATCCATTCTGGATATCCTTCCTCCTGCTTTGGAGGATGTTGTGACCCCCATTTGTGTGTTGTTTGTAGGTTCTTGTCCACCAACACAGGAGTGGTTGAGGAAAAATGCTCGACCTCTTATTGTGAGAAGAGAGAAAATTAGGAGTGCCCTGATGTGGTTGCAGGAACATAATGACCTGTATCGTGATGTCAATATTGATTCGCAGAGATTGGCTTCTCTGAGCGAAGAGGATGTTCTTCCTGTTCACATAGAGACTATCAGTGAAACAAGTGACAAAGGTCAGGATGTTCTCACTTCTCGTTATGATGCGTTGAATTCCGATCAACCCACAGGCCCTGTGGATCATAATGTAGATGTTGAAAATGAATCGATGAATCCATCTTCCCATATCCCTACGCCAATTTTCGAGCATGTTGTAGTCACCAATGTCGATGTCAATGCACCCGCTTAGTATAACCGCAGTTCGGCTACGGCCCGCTCCGGCTTGGCGTTCACCGGTTTGCCAGTGTTTGGGTTATCCTAGTGAGCTAGGCCACCTATGTATAGTTTGGTTCGGTTCATTAGCTGCACAGATTGCCACGAACCAACTGTAAGCCAAAATTCATGAACGGCGGCTCAAGCTGATGGAATCACAACTTATTTTTAAGTCTCCTTCCCGGTTGGATTCCCTGTTGAATTTTTGTACTCCTCAAGGCTCAGGTTATCACGTACTACCATGAATCATAAGGTCCTGATACGAGTTGATGGTAGATTCAGACTCGGAGATGTTGTGGGATCTGGTTCATACGGTGCGTTGTCCACTAGCTGATTACAATTGCAAAACTCAACATGAACCCTGGGTCTGCTTAGCTGTTGTATACCACGCACAGAACATCATCAAAGATGATGCAGTTGCGATCAAACTCGAACCTATCGCCAGCCACTCGTCTTCCGTACAGCGCGAATACACCATTTTGAAACGACTCGAGGGTGGAGTTGGGATACCTCGCGCCCTCTGGTTTGGTAGAGAGTCAACATATCACGCATTGGTTCTTGACCTCCTTGGGCCATCACTTCACGATCTTTTCCTCACGCACAATCAAAAATTCAGCCTTCATGCTGTGGTGAATTTGGGGGACCAGCTGGTCAGTTGATTTGTGCTGGGTTTTTGCAAGTAGGCTAACCTGTTTCTCAGCTCTCACGTCTTGAGTACATCCACTCACACAATTACGTTCACGGTGATATCAAACCGCAGAATGTCTTGGTGGGTCTTGGCCATTTGAGGCACACTGCATTCATTATCGATTTTGGTATCGCGAAAGAATACTGGAACACCGCAACCAGAGTCCACATCCCATTTCGTCAGAATCAACGTCTCACTGGCACTCCTGCGTTCGCTTCAATCAACAACCACTTAGGAGTTGACCCAGGTCGTCGTGATGACCTCGAGTCGCTTACATACATGTTGATTTATTTGTTGCGCAGCTCCCTTCCATGGTTGACTAGTGATGAGAAGCTTTCCAGCTCTTCTATTCTCGAGCGCAAGGTCAACACCACTATTGAAGACTTATGCGATGGAATTCCTGTTGAGTTCGCAAGTATTCTCATCTACACGCGCTCTCTTGCGTTCTCAGAGGACCCTGACTATGGGCATCTTCGTTCGTTGCTTCACGGTCTTCAAGCCACATTGTCCCCGCCAGTTATGGGCCCGCTGGATTTCAGCCAACCTGATCATCACAATCACATGGCACATCCCCCTCCAATCTCCAATGAACGCTGGGTGGCGGAGGCAGTGCCCCCATGTCCACCGGATGCAACACCGCTTTGCAGATCGACTCGTGTGTGAGTAATCTATTTCATTTTTTCATTCGCAATCTGAAGCTCAAGTGATTTCCAAGTTTACGCCCACGTAATGGCTCTCCGATGCACCCAAGTGACCCAAAGACTTCAGCTCCGCGCCCGAAAAAAACAGTCGTTGCAAGATCACGCTATTGATTATGTATCTCTTTTCTGTACATAATATGTACATATGATATAGTGTACGAGCCTATAGGCTACTAGCCTACAATGTTTCTGGTCAGACGTGGCCAAATACATGTCAATGAATCATCGTGGCTCCCACGCAGCTCTTAGTGAGCTTCTATCTTTTTCACACTTGCCCGTCTCCTTGCCCATCCTCCTTGCAACTTACCAGTGTCATTTTTCTGCAGATCGGTTGACCTGCGACAGGAGCGAGCTTATCCTGGATACTTATTTATGAAGCCTGAGTCCCGATATCTACTGGACTCACCTAATCGAATCCAATCAGCACCATGGCCAGCTCAGCCTACTGGATGACGCATGGGGGATTTTTAAGAAATGCCCCGCTTCCCTTTCGCTGTATCACTATCTAGATTAGTCGTTAGTACTGGGTAGGAATTCTCACATTTTGCAGGCAATATTGACCAACACTTGTCAAAGGCGCCGGGGCCTGAGTAGAGGCTGGTGTTCATAAAACTACCGATCGTACACCTACTGGATGGCGCATGGGGAACCTTTTGCAAATACGTCATGTTCCTTTTACTGGATGGCGTCGCTGTATGCGATCTGGGATCTGAACTCGATTGATCAGTAAATTGACTGTGAGGATGCAGGTAAGGTTTACTTCACGTGATATATCCAACTGATTGCGAGATTTAGTGTCCATCAGAACGCTCATGAAAGTTATGGTACCCCTCTAGTCGGGTAAGCTCTATGGGTCGCGGGCATCAGGGAAACCCCACTCACTTGTTGTGTAGGACCACTGAAGTGAAGATCTCATGGTATGTACCCTGAGTGTTTGTTCAGTTGTCCCCCTTGCGTCGTATCACTATTAATGATGTTCTGTTTAGACCCGTTACTTCGCGTGTGCGACGCACTGGACTTATCATTAGTCGACTCAGGAGTCAGGACTGGGGTTTCCCCATTGTTTCCCCAGGACGAAGGTTTATAAAGACTCTGTCTTTGAATCTTTGCCATTACAATCATTCAAACATGGCTCCTCGTCGACGAGGGCAGAAGCCCCAGGTTGCCCCCATGCCTACTCCTGCTGCTGTACCTCTCCTCGTCCCCGCTGCTGCTGCCCCCATCGCTGCTGTCCCCATTGTTGCCCCCATCACTGCTGCTGTTGCATTGAATGCAACTGCGCTTCAACACCCCCAGAGACAACGACAAATGCCTCTGAGGTTCCGCGACGACAACACAGCTCACACTGGCACCAATCATACGGCAGATGTCGGAGAATATATTGAGATCGGCCAAGTCTCTGGGGATGAGGAGGATGACTTGCCTGCACCAGCAGTCAGGGCTCCTCCAGTCCTCGGCCCACTGCAAACGGCTACTAGTACGGTTTACTCCACCCAAACCGGTCCCTTGGCCACGGGTATCCAGGGAACGCAGCCCAAAAGCACGGCTGATGTCCGTTTTTTCTTTAGGTTGGATTCAGCCACTAATCGCAAGATCTGCCAACCCTGCGAGTGAGTACATTTCTGCGGTTCTTTCGTTCTTTCTCTCATCCTTGTCCAGGGAGTTGCACAAGGTGGACGATTCACACCGAATTACCACATACAAGCACACAACCGGCACTTCTGCCCATCGTAACCATGCTTTCTACTCCCATACCGACCTTTGCCTACGAGAGGCAGAGCGCCTGCGCTGGCCGATTCTTGTAAAATCACTGAAGGGCCATTTAAATGAAGGGTGGACTTTTGCAGCCATCCGTGAAAGACTTCAGGATCCTGCTTACCATATCGACTCGCTTGGTACCATGCCTAATCTTGGATCTAACAATTCGCTGCCCGAAACCGGCTTGTCTCCGGATGATTGCATTCCGGATTTCAGCATCAATGAGATGCATCGCCAATTAGTGAAGTTCATAGTCGCAGATGACCAGGTGAGTGGTATTCACTTTTGATGTGCCCTTGTTAATTGATCATCTGCAGGCAATAAACATAATCGAGTGCGTGGAGTTCTGGCGCCTGATACGTCTTCTGCGGAGGGATGTCAATGAGTCAGACATTCCCCACCGCACGAAACTTCGTGAACTGGTCATTGTCGCATGGCACGAGTATTTCCAGGCGTTGAAAGGTGATCTTGCAGTAAGTGTCTAGTTGTCTTGTCGAGAGTCCCGTCAAATGTCTTATGTATTCTTACAGAGGGCGCAAGGAAAAATCTCTTTTACGTCTGACCTCTGGTCGGATCAGAAACTCCGCCCATTCATGGCGCTCACCGCCCATTGGATCGCCAAGGAAGAGAAGACGTCGGTGCTTGTCTTGAAGGCCGCCTTGATTGCCTTCCACCACGTTCCCGGAAGCCACACTGGCAAATCTCTTGGTTCAATATTACTGCATCTCCTCGATCATGCTAATGTCGCAAATGATGTCAGTGTTTAACTGTACTATATGACGCACTCTGACTTTGTTTAGCCTGGCCATTTCACGCTGGACAACGCAGGGAACAACAAGACTTCAATGCAGGAGCTCTCTCGTTTGCTCGAGGAACACCAGATTCATTACGATCCGATTGAAAACAGAATTCCCTGTTTTCCGCATGTTATCAACATATGCGTGAAGCATATTGTCGACGACTACGCCACGGCGGACTTTTCTTGTGTGGCGGAGAAATGGGACGTTTGCGGCACACCTATCGACAAGAAGGAATATATCGGCGCTATCACCGGTAAAGCTCTCGAATGGGCGAGAAATGTTGTGCGCTCGATTCGTGCATCAGACCAACGACGCGGGAATTTAAGGGATACCATTACGATAGGTAACGAGAAGGCATGGTTTCAAGGAGACAATGGCGAGCCGATAAAGCTCCCTACAGTCGAACTCCTGCTCGACGAACCAACACGCTGGGACTCAGTTTACGCCATGCTTAACCGTCTACGAACTCTACGTCAGGTAAGGCCTTATCTCACTTGACATTTGTCATAGACTAATGGTTGCCCAGGCGGTTGATTTGTTCTTTGAGTCCGCCAATCAACGCTCCATACGCGAGAAAAAGCTGAGTCCAATGGAATGGCATTTCCTTCAGGACTTTGAAGTAATTCTGGAGGTCCGTATCAATGTCTTTGAAATGTATGTTGCAATTAACTGTGTTATGTCAGTCCCCGCACAGAGCTCAGCAATCTATGTCGAGCGAGAGCACTCCCATGTTGGGTAGTGCAGTTCCAACCTTTGAAAGGTTACTCGAGGATTGGAAGCAGTTGGCTATTGGCGCCCCGCACTGTGCGCCACTCATCAACATTGGTTTGACTTGGGCGGAGAAGTATGACGGCCGGATGGCCTGCACGAATGCATACGCAGTTGCAATGTGTCAGTCCCTCTCATTTTCACAGAGGCTAATTTCTGATGATTGTTTTATAGTCGTTGATCCAACCTGCCGAATGTCATGGGCTACAGATCACTGGGACAATGATCGAGTTGATTCGGCGAGAGCGTTCATTCTGAATCTAGTACGTTTATTTAACTAATAACAGCATGCACTAACATGTCCTGCAGATGCATGCCAAGCGAGCGCAGAGGCTCCCTGACGTACCAGTTCCAACCCACCCAGTCTCAAGGCTACAAGCACGCACACTAGGCTCGCGTATCTACGGACTTCCTGAGAGGGATGTACCATTGCATAGCCACGATATTTTCCAGACGGTCGAACAGGAGTTTGGGGCTTATACCACAGCTAACCTTAGTCCTGAGAGAACGAACATACTCTCTTTCTGGCAGGTGAGCATCTTGTTTTCCGTCAAGTCACATCTTTTGTCGTTGACTACGACATTTTGACTAGATGTCCGAGGCAATGTTCCCGACAGTCTACGCCATCGCTATGGACTACCTCCCCATCCAGGCATCCGCTGTCCCCTGTGAGCGGGTGTTCTCGTCAAGCAGCGAAACGTACACCAAGAAACGCAATCGCATCAGCCCAGTCCTCATGGAGGCGCTACAGATGATAAAGTTCTCCGTCAAAAAGGAGTGACTTGACTTTACCAAGGGTTGGGCGGCGTCACAATGGGACATGGAAGGTGCGATGGTATCCGACAATGGTTCTGACGAGCTTCTGGCACCCGTATCTAGCGAAACTACAAGTGACGGTCGTGCATATGACGCGGTCCTCAAAGCCATTGCAGAGCATGAGTGCGATGACGTTGACGACGAGGTCACCATTTATGATACTTGACATTTTTGATATATCTTTTGCCGCACATTTCTTACTCCTTGCTTACCATCATGCACTTTATCATTCTTCGTGTTTGTATATTTAATTTCATTTGTTGCTTCAAACCGCATCTGACAGTCTCCTGGTCAGATAATTGCATCCTCAGGATCTATTGAGCTGGAGTCATGCTAATCAGCGTGCGAGAGCGCCATCTCCCACAGGTTCACTCATTTTCCTCCACTCTCTGTCGCAATGTCCCCAGCGCTCCCCACCATCGACGGCATTTTGCTGCACGCGAAACGATGTTTTCAGACGTCGGAGAACCTGCATGCCTCTCACCATCTACGAATCCTGCACCACAAACACTTTCGGTGCATCAAATCGCCGTTAATCCCTGAAGAAAGTCGCCGCGGATCCAATCAACAAGGTGATTGTAAGTACTGTGTCCTGGTAGTTTCCCTGAAGAAACTCACCGCCGAACCCATTAACTTTAGGGTATAGAGTCCTTTCCCTGAAGAAAGTCGCCGCGGACCCGATCAACAAGGTGATTGTAAGTACTGTGTCCTGGTAGTTTCCCTGAAGAAAGTCGCCGCGGATCCAATCAACAATGATCCAATAAACGGGTGAGTTTTTTTTTTTCAATTATCTGTTGTGACGGCTCACTTTCCTTCTCGATATACAGTATACAATGTGACCTCAATTCTCGACGATCCCCGACGACTTTGCTTCCAACCCAACCTGCATCACTCAATACTCCCGCCCCCAACACAATCTCCTCAAAATTGCGCGCCACTCCACTCAATCCTCCCGCCCTCTCCTACCCAATCTCCTCAAAACTGCACACCACTTCGTCATGAGCCGTTCACGGACGTTTGCTGCCGCCCCCACCCGGGCCACCTCCACTAATCCGCCGGTACGTGAAGGCCTTGCTGCCTGATCTACCCTCACCCTCTCCATTTCCGCCCTTGCTGCCCGTTCTTTCCTCACCCTCTCCATTTTCTCCCTTTCCAGTATCTTGCGGGCATGAGTGAGACTGCAATATTGCTAATCCAATTTAGCTTTCCAAATATCGGAGAAGTCAGCTGTCAGTCGGTCACTTACATCCGCCTGGGGGCCCATTGCGATCGTGTGCGTTGATTTGCGATCGTGTGCTTTGGTTTGCGATAGAGTATTTCAGATGTAGTACTACGTAGTGTTATCGACTTGTCGTTGTAGAATCAAATCTGATGATTGATCGATTGCGCACAGGCTGCACAGCGCACAATGTTTCTATTTCGGGTCCACCCTATTAATACACGTATCTCTAAATTCTAATTAAGTCTTATATGTTACACGTGAGTTTGGGTCCTACTTCTTAACTCAACCATCATGTCCATTGTCCATCGCCCACAGAATCAAGTAAGTTCGTATCCGCCCTCCACGCCAACGTCCTAGTCCTCCTCCACGCCAACATCCCAGTCCTCCTCCACACCAATGTCCCAGTCCTCCTCCACGCCAACGTTCCAGTCCTCCTCCACAACAAATCTGCACAAAACGTGTGAGTTCGTGGCTACGAATACGTCTTTGATTAGTATCACAAAGATTGCAGGGGCCGTTATTCCTGAAGGGGCGTCTGCAGCGGGGGAAGTGGGGAAGGTGGTATCTGGGAGGGTAACCGGTGAGTGTTCGTTTGGGATGGTGTGGGTGTGCTGATGCTGCGAATGCCAGAAACTCGTGGAGCTCATCTGCGGTGCAAACGTCGTGTCCCACCATTGGTCCGCAGCCAAAGGTTCTCACATCGCTGAAGCCAAAAATTCCTATTCTCGGTCTCCAGCCAGCCATGTCCACACTGTCTCCAGCCATGATTTCACATTCTCGACCAGGCCGTAATCTTCATTGGCCTCGTTCTCCAGCCAGTCATGCCCGTACGCTGTCTCCAGCCATGCACACCCGTCCAGGGTCTCTGCGCGATCTCCCCAAAGCCACAGCAGACCTGAAAGAACTTGCAGTGGCTCCAGCAGCTGAACAACGAACACCAATGACTCCCATAAATCTCGGGGGTCCTTAGATGGCATTGTGCTTGCTGGGATCTTGTCCGTTAGACCGCTCACGCTCTGTTCAGCGGCTGCTACGTTGCAGGACATGCCTGGGTTCGTTGTCAAACGTGCTGCTCATGCCGTTCATCAATGAGGTGAGTACTGCTGTCTCTTGCTCATATTTCGTGTGTTTAATTTCACCGCAGGCGACTGTGCGTTCAGAGAAGGTGATGATCCGACACTATTTACTGATTGGCGGGGTTCCCAATGCCTGTATTGTGTCCAGGGTGTTGCGACTCGTGATGACATTGACAAGACGCTCAGGTTGGGCATGGCGCATCCTACGGGCTGTTACAATTGGGTGAGTTGCTGTTCCACGACGCATTTCTTTGTGATGATAATGTACGATCTACCATAGCTAATTTGATGCCTGCCTCTCTATTCAGCAGAGGCTCTACAAGGGTACCTCAGATTCCAAGCATCGCCCTTCGGTGTTACTCGAGCGCATGGCGGACGCTCAGTATCTTGAAAAGAAGAACTATCATTTGTTGTACTTGTAAAATCCCCGGCCGCTCTCTACCATTTGTATTTATTTAAATTTTAAATTTATTCTAAATTTAAACTTAGTTTGAGCTGGCTTGAAGCCTGGAAACACGGCTTACTGACTGGACCGGGCCGTGTATTATGTAATATATAACTAGATACATGGCTTGGCTAACTACCGCTCCGGCCACGGCTAAAGCCGGAGATAAACTCAAACTGCGGCAACACTACACCCGCTCATCAACTCAGGGCTGCCGCTCTTTGTCATGTGAAAGATAAAGCAGGTGGATTTATCCAGCTGCCCCATTGCTCACAGCCTGTTAATGAGTTTGTTAATCCCGAGCTCTTTCCACTGATGTATCCCACCTTGTTCCCGTACGGTGTAGGTGGATTTGAACACCCGCGTCGAAGTTCTAAATTGTCTTTGAAACGTCAAGTTAAGCATTTTTTTAACTTGTCTGACCGGCGCTTTCAAGAACATCATTCTTTCTTATTCATCGTGTTCAATATGCTCCAACGTCGCACATCTCTCCTTCATACCAGTCTGAAGGCTAAATGATCCTCGTTTGGTGATATCGCCAATGGATTTGCGTCAGTTTCATCACAGACAGTGCATGCTGTTGCTGAGCGTGTCGCCAAGGGTGATCTCTCTACTGCGTTTACTCCCGAAGAACAGAAGGTTCGGGCATTGCTTAAGCAAGTCAATAGTGTCACATCGCATGTCCCTGGTTCCAGTTCCTCAAAGACCGTCATGCGCAACCAAATACGCGGCCTTATGATTGATAAAGGTCTACCAAATTTTTACATCACAATTAATCCCGCCGATGTATACAATCCTGTTGTCAAATTTCTCGCGGGAAATGACATTAACGTCGATGACTTGTTACCTGCGGATGTACCACAATATTGGAACCAATCAATATTGGTCGCCCGGAATCCGGTTGTGGCTGCGAAGTTTTTTGACTTGTATATGAAATCTTTCTTCTCTGCATTGTTAGGTTTCGACGCTGCTAATGGCCAGGCTTCCGAGGGTATTTTGGGGACCGTGAAAGCATATTTTGGGTGTGTAGAGGCACAGGGTCGGGGTACGTTGCATTGCCATTTGATGGTATGGCTTGAGGGTGGGCTCGATCCTAATGAGATCAAGGCTCGCATCCATGATATGAATGACATCAAATTTAGAGATCGTCTGTTAGCCTTGCTAGATGATAGTATATGCAATGAGATCCCACCTGATCCAGGGCCTGAATATGTTGTACCTTCTTCAATTCATCATCCTTGTGCAGTGAGAGGAATAGCAGTCAATTCAGATCACAAAACATCTGATAACAGCCTAAGTCGTCAGAAGGATTTGCATAATGTTGTCAAGGCATGCCAGATTCACAAGCACAATGCAACATGTTTCAAATATTGGAAAGGTCCACCTGCGCCGCGGGAATGTAGATTTGATTTGAGTGAGGATCATTTTTGTCCTGCCAGTTATTTCAACACTGAGTCCGGAGAGATTTGTCTGAAATGTCTTGATGGTATGGTCAACAATTTCAACAAGACAATGATGGAAGCCGTGCGATGTAATATGGATATAAAGTTCATTGGTTCAGGTGCGTCCGCTAAAGCGATCTTGTACTACATCACAGATTACATCACAAAGTCCCAACTAAAGGCACACGTTGCCTATGCAGCATTGGATCTAGCACAGCGTAAATTGAGTGAGTATGATCCGGCTGATGATGAGCTTGTGCAGCGCGCCAAAGAATTGATCAGAAAAAGTGCGCATGCGATGATCTCACATCAGGAGCTTTCTGCACAGCAAGTTTCAGCTTATCTGATGGACCAAGGTGATCATTACACGAGCCATGAGTTTCAGAATTTGTTCTGGACATCGTTTGAAAGGCATTTCGAGGACACACTGCCAAAATTCACATGTATTGTGAAACAGAACTCATCTGATACTGGGAGTGACACGGTTAATGACCCATCAACCGACAGTACCAATGGTGAAGAACAGGACATTGGGTTCTCTGCTGATGATGTGCAGGATGAGGATGCAATTCCAAATCTGGGCGACGACACTTTAGACGCTGACGAAGTTGGAATCACAACAAACGAAGAGGGATTGTTGATTCCGAAAGCGAACCAAGTACAGGATTCCCAGTTGAGATCGAAGGAATTGCATGGAATGTGTCTTTGGGATTTCATAGCACATGTTGACAAGAGGAAGATCAGCAAACACAGTGTACAACACTTGGAAGACAGTGGACTTTCCAATGAGGCAGATTTTAATGGGCACGACATGGCATTTAATGATGATGAAATGGATGCAAGTGTTCCTCTTGCATTTCCGAATAAGGAATACAAGGATGAGACAGATCCAAGTTCTTTCATTGCGAAACTCACTAATAGTGTATCTCTGATGCGACCGACTTTTTCGATACAATCCAGTCATATTGAAAGCAGAACTCATCATTTGGTGATACGACACCCAAGAAATCGTCGTGTACCTGTTCCCATTGGACCTTCATTGCCACGCCGAGACCGTCCGGATGTGAAACAACGCTATTGTCGACTCATGCTAATATTGTTTATGCCGTGGAATGCGCCATGTGATTTACTGAGAAACTGCTCTTCGTGGTCAGAGGCATTTGAAGAGTTTCTCCACGTATGCTCACCTAGGTTTCACTATGTTATGAAAAACATGCAGATTTTGCATGAATGTAGAGACAGTCGGGATGACCATTACGCGCAGCGTCATAAACGACCTTCAAATCGTTGTAATCGTGTTTGTGGGGAAGTTCTCGAACGTACCTCCACATCAGAAGAGTTCTTGGATGACGGATCAATGGAGGAGGACATTCTTGATCATATGAAGAGGATTGAGGAGTCTACATCGATCAGACGAGCGCATCAGCAGGATGGAGTGTTAGATTGCTTGCACTATATGGAAGACGCCGGTCGCTTTGATCTCAAACAGTGTGATCCAGAAAATATACGAAATGGAACCATAGCAGATGCCCAAGGAGAAGCTCAACGTGTCGAGAATGATGACACATCTCTTGAAAACGAATGGCAACACGCGTATGAATCGAGAAAGCAAGAATGGAAAAAACTCACCATTGAACTGGCGCAAAAAACCATTGCTGTCAATCCGTCCATGTTGGGTGAATCATCTATGGTCACTGATGGCCAGTCATTTCGAGAGGCATTCCAAAGTACATCTGATGACAACATCAATATGCCGATCATTGTTCAGGATGGTAAACAAACAGAAGTGCCATCACCCATGGTAGATATCACTGCGATGATTAAAGAATTCAGTCTGAACACTGAGCAAGCTAGGGCGTTCTCACTGATAGCCAACCACTCCATTGAAAATAATGGTGAACCTCTGCGCATGTTTTTAGGAGGACCAGGAGGCACTGGTAAATCGCGTGTCATTACAGCTGTGCAAGAATTTTTCAAACGGCGTAACCAATGCAGTCGTTTTCGATTGTCGTCCTATATGGGTGTGGCTGCACGGAACATATCTGGAATGACTTTACATTCTGCTCTTCTTCTCAATCAGCGTAGAATGAAGGGGAGCAAAGGAAAAACCAAGCGTGATCTTGTTGCGATGTGGCAGAACGTGGACTATCTGTTGGTTGATGAAGTTTCCATGATAGGATGCAACTTTTTGCTGCAAATAAGTGAAGCACTGTGTGAGGCAAAAGAATCATCGGATATTTTTGGAGGCATCAGTATAGTTTTCGTGGGGGATTTCGCACAGTTGCCTCCTGTAGGTCAGCGTGGCTTGCATAGAAAAACTTCAACACATGCCGTTGGTACGATCCAGGGCCAAAATGCATTGTTTGGTAAACTGTTGTGGTTATCAGTGTCAACCGTGGTCATGTTGACAGAAATGATGCGCCAACGAGGGCCTGAAAACTTACGTTTTGTTGAACTTCTAAGTCGTTTACGTCGTGGGGCATGTACGAGTGATGATTTCGAAACTTTGAACACCCGTTTACTGTCCAATGTGCGTCCGGATTGGAATATGTTGGGATGGTTAGATGCACCCGTCATAGTTCCTACGAATGAAGTCAAAGACGCCATTAATGAACGAGCGACTCTGGCTTATGCGATACACACCGGACGGACGATGCATTGGTATGACTGCTTGGATAAACACAGAGGTCAATTAATCAGTAAACAGGAATTGCGAGATCACTTGAAAGAAATTCACTCGGGAATGACATCTCAGCGTCTTGGCAAGATCCCACTAGTGATCGGGATGCCTATCATCATTACTCAAAACTTTGATGTTGCAGCAGGTATCATGAATGGTTGTATGGGCACGTTGAAAAGTGTGCGATTTACGGAAGATGCGGATGGTGTACGACATGCCATTTCATGTGTTGTACAGACTCCGTCTACAACAGCTGATTTGTTGCCTCACCTTGCACCCCATGAATCGGTTGTATTGCAGGATACGGTTGACTTATCATTTGTGAATCCTTTCAGTGGCAAAAGATGTTCAATTAGACGCACTCAGCTACCTATAATGCCAGGATTCGCGATGACAACTCATAAAGCACAAGGCCAGACACTGCAACATATTGTTGTAGACCTTGCAGGGTGCATTGGCACAGAATCACCGTATGTCATGCTATCTCGTGTCACGTCCTTGGAAGGCCTGTTAATACTACGACCTTTCAATCAAAAGAAAATAACTTGCCGTAGAAGTGAGGACTGTCGTCAGGAGGAGAAGCGTCATCAGATATTAGCTTTACAAACCATAATGGATACAAGCTCAGAGTCTAGCGAACGTAACGCTGCACACCATCAGATCAAAAGGATGCTCGGTACCACCGATGTCAAATCATTGACTTACCATGAGTTCACGATTGCAGATGGTCATCTACAAGCTCATGGTCAAAGTCCATCACCTCCCAACATCGCTCGTCAGGTCGAACAGATTCAAAGTGCAAATGACAAAGTATCTTCCCATTCAGATCACGTGAGTAACAACAAACGCAAACATGCCCAGATGGAAGAGGACCGCACAGACGGCCAACAGATATCAAATCTAACCCTGACACGATCTTTGGCTGCAGATCGTCCACGGAGACGAAAGCAGCGGATCTCATGACCAAGGTATGTCTGGAATAAAGTATTATGACTTGATCGGATAATGACATGTCACACAGTTGAAGGGGATGAGAGAAATCCTGGGCTTGGTGTCTCTTGCCATCACACGTTTAATGCCCAATGTACTAGTACGTGATGATATAACTGTTCATTTTTATGTCTCCTTATTCTTGGCAAATTGTGACAACCAGGTTGTTGTGCTATCAACATCAGCTTTGTTGATGACGTCTGTATTTTCAAGCAACACATTCAAAAGCAAATTGGCTTCAAGTTCCACCTCCCCGACTCACAGTGTATTCTCTATGCTGCTGTTTCACAACACTAAATAGTGTTCATGTCGCAAATGGGTATGGTTGACATACATCCCTCTGCATTTGATGTGCTGACCGACCATTAGTACTACCCCTTGACCGCACAGTCCATGTCTGCCAGTTGGCTGTTTCCGTCTACCCCTCTATATGCCTCCCAGAGCCATCAACAGGGGACCTCTTTTCACATCAGGAGTCGGAACCCATCTATTCAATTGAATCCTTGGCATGCGTGCCCTTCGCATAATTTACGTCACTCTGTTCCTTGTGAGTTCCATTTGTTTCTGTTTAGTCAATGATCATACATTCATGACTCTCAGTCAGCTTTGTATTAAAATTATGATCGGTATCGCCTCATTCATAGGAGTACAGTTTGAAACATTGTGCCGAGGATCACCATCCAAAACTCCACACAAACTGAAAACAAGTGCGTAAACCATGTCGAACCCGACCAATTTCATTGACTTGTATGTAGAGGTCAGAGAAAATGTGATGGATTCTCTGGATCTCGCCGAACTATCCCTCTTCGCAAGCGCCAATAGCGTTTTGCACAGCGCAGTGGAGAAATATATTCAACGACGAAGACTCATCATATTTGCTCTATTCATCAACAACCCGCAAGAGTTCATTGGCATATTGCAGATCACGGACAGCGTCATTTCAGGGTCAGCAGCTCTCAATATCGTGCAAGCCAGGCAAGGTGCTGTTGAAATCAACGACTTGGACGTTTACACTACTCTTGCCAACTTTGGAGATCTCATTCGTTTCTTCACGGACAAAGAACACTACAAAATAGTCGGGGACTTTCATCGACCGCCCCCTGGTCCTTACAACAACACTGGGATAGCCAAAGTTTTCAGGCTGAAGAAGAAAGAAAGAAAGATAGACATCATTGTAACCCACTTGACCGCGGCGGCATCCCTCATCTTTCAATTCCACAACACAATCGTGATGAACTTCATTTCTGCAGAAGCTGTTTTCTGTGCTTACCCAGGATGGACGCTCAATATGCTCGGACTTGTGCACCCAAGAATGTACAAACAAAACGGAACCAACCTATCCACAATCAAAGCGCTTGCAAAGTACATGAAAAGGGGCTTTAGCCTATACTCCGATATTGCTGAACTTGGACCACACGACTCGCAATGCATCAAAACATATTATTGTCCACAGATCACACGAAGCACGAACGACAAAGGCAAAGTCGCGTGGGTGTTTAACCGCACAGGAAGGGAAAGTGGAACTGTGGGGAGCGTGATGCACATTGATAAAAGTGCGATCGTGTGGTGTTTAGGAGGAGACCAGTGTGCAGATGAAACATATGCCGGCTCCCCTTCATTTGTTTTTGCGACATGACAAAGGTAAGAATCATTTGGTAAATGATTGAGACACGAAGCTGATTGCAGAAAACCAGGAGAAACAAAGAAAGTGATGTATGTAGACTGACGAAGTAACCATGTAACAACATATTGAGTGAGCAGCGAAACGAATCACAGAATTGAGCAGTGTGAAAGTATGTGACACCAGACCGTAAATATTAAGAACATCAGATACAATGAGCTGCAGCAGATGATGCATCAAGTCCAGATGCAAGCATGAATGGAGTTTACTAGTACGGTGTTTACTTCAAAGCAGAAAGTAAGTCCCTAGGTGGGAATTTTGTCATTCTGAGCCGAAAATGCTACGGCAATGTCGCTGGGAGGAATAACACGCAAAACCCTAACATTAACAGTGTAAGCAAACTGAGGGGAAAAAAGTATGACGAGAAACATACTCTTCGATGGCGACAACGACAGCAATGTAATCACGCCTCATCAAATTGACCACATGACCTTCTCCGTCAACCTTAAACACAAGATAAGGGCAGAGAAGGGATCCATTGCGATGGAGATTGCGGTCAAAAAGTACCAAGAACTTCAACCTCTCAAAATCCTCGTCATCGCTGGTTATCAAGACTTTATGTTCACCAACATCTGCATGAATGTTGAAGTACCTCTGAGTAAACATCAGGGCGACTCCGCCTTCCGGAATATCCCTAATAGGAACTTCAATTAAACCCGAATGACGACCCCATGAGCAAAAGCATCCCATGACCTGTCTTTCAAGAGACATAGATAGAAGTGTTGTGAGGAATTAATATGGGTGTATAGTGAGACCGAAAGGACGTGAATCAATTTCGATACTGAAATGTGACATCACATATTGTTAGGGTGCGTACCACTGTAGTGAATGACTAATAGCCAGCACCTTGCCAATGATTCAAATGACATCTGAAAAGGAATGTATGATCAATGACCAAACAGAAACGAGTGGAAACTCACAGCGGATAGAGTGACATAGATTATGCGAAGGGCACGCATGCCAAGGATTCAATTGAATAGATGGGTTTCGACTCCTGATGAGAGAAGAAGCCCCTGTTGACGACTCTGAGAGGCATATAGAGGGGTAGACGGAAACAAAAATTCGCACCAAAAGCAACAATCACTGCACTCAGAACCCTGCTCAAACCACATTGTTATAATGGACGTCGACCCCACTACCAACAACAAACGAGTTGAAGGTGGACTTTATGATGACGTCGTCCGTCAGCTGATGGCGTTACCAAAGGGAATGTCTTTAGGAGATGCCACGTACCAAAAAGATTTCGTGCGAGAGACCAGCCTCTATTCTGGAGGCTTCGCATACAAATGCAAAGAAAACGGTGGGGAGTATGAGACAGTTCTGGTGGGCGAAATCTTGCCACGTCCATGTGGAACGAAATTTAGCGCGATGGGTAATCATTATGTCGGAACTGCAGACACTGTAAGCATCTTTGCATCATACATTGCCATTTCACTCACAAAAAATGGTCAGCCGAACGTCATTGATGATAAAGCGAGAGTGAAAGGTGTATTTGCGCTAGGTCAACCAACTCAGGCGACGGAGATGATGTACATCACTTTTGGAAACCAAATCGCAACGTTGGACGACATCATCCAAAGTGACATCGAGGAACTTAAGAAGAAAAACAAAGATATCAATATAAAGGAATGGACTGCGCATGCAGGAACTGACCAATCCGGGGCGCCTGATTTCATTCTAGTGAACACCGAGCCATTGTATGCGGTAAGAGTGAATTCCTGATGAATGTCAACACTCTGACAAATTCACAGGTACCGAAAGCTGCGCAACAAGCGATGCAAGGAAAACGAGCAAGAGTGGAGAAGAAAGCGCTCAACAGTAACAACGATATTCCGGAAGGCAAATGTGCTGAGGGAGGATCGTCTTCTGACAGAGGAACCAAAGAACAGAACCCCGAAACTGCAATCAGCATTAACACCTTTCACGATCCGACTACTCTCCCGGATTACGGAGGAGATCTGTTCCAACACGTCAATGCTAAGCTTCGTCAACTAGATATCAGAAATGTGGATAATGAACTCATCGCTCCTCAAGATTGGTACTCTTCACTGAGGCGAGGAACTCTGGTCATGATAAGGGCCACATTACACGCTTTCAATTGGAAAGAGCGACGGGTGAGAAAATCTTGATCACTCCACTGTTCAACAGATGCTGATCAATAGAAAGGTTTATCAGCTGAACGCACACACCATTCGTGTGATGGACCCATCCAAGTTGGAAATAGAGCCGTTGAATGCACAACCGAATGGTTTTGATAACAACGGAAATGCGTTGGCATCTACCTCGCGTGCATCTGATGCAATGGCGAACATGAGTTTGGGAAAAAGGGTGAGGAAAGATTGACGGATGAGGAATGGATGAAGTTTGGAGTTCCGATCGATGGAGTAAACAATTTGTACAACTATACGACAGATGGTGGCATCAGAATGAACAAAAATTGATTGGGTATACAGATTGGAGGAAAAAAGACGAGAAAGAAGATACCGATGCCATGGAATGAAGCTGACAAACACTTTGACGACCAACTTCGTAGGCATCACTTTGTCTTGCTTGACATACAACTCCTCTGCATCTTGATGGGGAGTATCCTGATAGTGTCTCATGAACTAACTTCTTACCAGCATCTTTCTCCTGCTCACCATCATTTATCGCACAGGAACTGAGTAAAGGGTTTCAAACGTTTGGGGTTTATGAATAATTATGGTATATCGAGAAGACGTTGACTGTGGTATCAAAGTTGCTTAGTATAAGGAGAGGAAGACCTCCAGTGTCAGTTGCAGAGAGGGTGGGGTTGAAGGAGATGCCTTATTTTATATTCACGCCGGTTGGACTGCAACCGCTCAAAGCCACAAAGGCTCTTTTACTACACTACCCATAAGTATGGTCTCCTCTCCATTTCCTGTGCATTAAATGACTCCCTTGTAGTGATTTTATACACGCAGATATTTGTTTCAAGTCATTCATCGGTCCTGGGCCTGAAGCCTTGGCTCCGCGGTGCCTCTTGACAGTTTTGACTAGGTCATGCGTGTCAATCACAAGGATACGTTGATGTTGTCTCCCAAGCACCGACTCATTCCTTAAACGGTGACCTCTCCCGCCGCCCTTCCCCACCTCGGTGAACCTATTACGATGTACACTATCCCTAGCCTCGTACCTTATGGAGGGGCCTCGACGTCTTACTCCACTCCCTTTTCTGCGGGCCCTGATGCAGTTTAGCAGCACCACCAAAGATACGGTTGTAAATGTTGTCTCACTTCTTGTGTCAGCCTGCTTGCCCCGCAAGGTTACTACTCATAGGACGCGGAAGATGCTCCAGTACCCTGGCCAATTTGGGGGAGACTCCTGATGCAGACCATGCATAGTCCTATCAGCTTCATGACGACATCACAATTACAAAGGCATAGCATGAATCGTATGACCAACGGCAAAATGGTCCATCGTGGGCAGATCAGGCCCAGGAAATCTCGTTCAGCCCCCATCGAGAAGAACAGGATACAAAAGGACTAGACAACCATGAGATCTTTTCAAATCGGATGTCGAATGGAGGGAGTTGAATTGTCTCTTACCTTTCATCATTGACATTTTTCTGTAACCGCGAACTCACTAGGTTAAACTTAGCCGGACAGAAAACCAATCAGAGTCAATCGATGACTCACCATTAATAGGGTGAATAGCCTCTCCGAGGATATCAGTTTTTCACATATGCTGCCTCTCGTTGCAGAACAACACAGCTCAGGCAAATGACATCACTACCTGCCAATGCAGAGGATCGACCCATCACCGCTCCACAATGCGATTCCCTGTCATCGAGGGGATCACCCATTGTGTAGGAGTTTTTCAACTCCGATGGCAGCGCATCGCGTGGACTCCGTCTTTGAACTAGATTGTGGTAATCTTATACTACTATTTGCCAGGATGGGGAATACATGTGTTATAATAATGTCCTCCAGAAAAGCTCTCTTTCGTTGAGGAGGCATAGGAAGACGCGTAATGTCGGACCTTTTTGCCCGCCTGCACTTGACTGCGTTGAAAATCACTTGCTCGCTGCGAACATGTTTGTCGATCTCTGAAATTTTGTTTTATGCAGATATTACACGCGAGATGGTGATTGTGTGATGCCGGTGATAAGCACTGATCTTCCAACCAAGTATGAAGTTCGATCAGCCAGTGGGCAATCATGCCGCTATATAAGGAGACTGCAGAGGGGAAGCCCTGGAGCAGTATGATTACACGAGTACAGCAACAGCAAGCAATCAGTAATATTAATCTTCTCACTTGTAAACAGACCAGGGTATCCCAGTAAACGAAACAACATATTCTCATAGATATACTGATAGCATGGCGGATATATCGTTCCATTCAACCGCCGTTCACCTACATAATTTTTCGATGTTCCTGCACACCGCAACTGAGTTATTAAAAACGATGAATTTGAAATATTACTTACGGGAGCATGAGTTGTTTCATGATCGACGTGCACAAAGGCACGCTCGACATTTGGAAGCACCTCAATCTTATCCTGCAGTTGCTGGCTAATATCGTGTGCCTTCCATAACGGGGTAGTAGCGTCCATGACGATGTCCACCTCGACGACGTAATCCTAAATGATAGTGTCAGTGAACGAAACACATCTGATTATAAGCCCAATGGCACGCACGGGTCCGCTCTGCGTCATTGAATTAAGTCAATACGCAATCATACACAATGGAATTGAATACTCACGTGATATGCCCGTACAGTATCGATTTTCTCAATTTCATCGCTGAAGGTCATGGCTTTGTAGATGATGAGTTGCAGGAAGTCGTGTGGCGCAGACTTCCCGGCCAAGAAGCCAAATTGCTCATAGATAGTGTGGCTCCAAGCAAAGATGACCCCAGCACCAATCTGTCGGAGCAATCATATGAGCTGACAATACAGGAGATACATGATGAATGAAGCGCACGAGGATAGCGCCAGTAGGGTCCAGCCCTGTTTGACATATAAGTTTGCAAAGAAACCAAGAGCTTAAGTTACGAACACCATCACAATCTACTTCCTCCAGCAGACATCAGAATACCTGGCGAGCATGATCACTTCAGGTTACCAAACTGCTTGAAACAGAGAGTTTTCCTACCGAATCCATTGATGAAGAGATCATTTCGATGATCCTCCCATAGGACCTGCACTTGGCTTGACTTTGACTGGAGGGTATAACAATACAAGAAAAGGGCAAACTTGACGCCTGTTTGATTGAGAGATTATTAGATGATCACAAAGGGCCTCGCAAACTACGTACCGAGCGCAGCTGCAACTGAGATGATGGCCTGAGTGTGAAAGCCATTGTCCTTTTCTTGACTCATAATTGCGCGGACGGATTCAACAATAACAACCAAGTTGACCGAAGCCATGCTGCGAGAATGTCAATCAGGCGCTAAAGAGCTGAGAGCTAGACAAACAGAGTGAGACTGACGAAGTTGGTTTTGAACCAACTACAGTGTGCGGAGAGGCTGAATTGGGCTCAGAATTGGTATCCACAGTAGCGTCCTGAGGCGACTGAGTGTGCTGTGCGGTCCTTTATCTGTTGATCACCTCAATAACCTGCGAAAATGTGCCTTTCCACAGCAGAACTTGTGCGTTTTCCAACCGATAAGCTGATCAACCCGCCCACCTTTAGCTTGTCATTCTCTTGTCCTTTCGACCACATCTTCCCCGGTCAGATCTATAGATAGAGCAGGACGTGGAGTCGGGGGGTGCACTGTGCACATTGGGGTGTATATCGAAAGGCACGAGTGACGCTGATGTAGCTTGATAGCCAGTTTGCGACCTGTGGGTAAGCGTATGGGTGTAGAGCGGTTGCGGAGGGCATTTAAAATTTACTCGGGCTGAAAGAGGAGGGATGTGTGTTGCGGAGCGTGCGTGCGTGTGGGCGTGGTGAAGAAAAGATCTACGCGACAAAAGAGAACGCGTTGTTTGGTTGTGTTGTTGCACAAGTGTGTTCCGTTCAGTCCTTGAAATTACACGCCGGTATAGCCTACTTGAACGGGTTGACGCCACATATCCCGCCAGTGCTTTAACGCGTCCACGACAGTTTTACGATTCTAACTTTGTAACTCTACCTTTTTTCGTTTCTTGGTTTGCCGTATTACTGGCCCGGGCTGGTCTTGCTTCTCCTCCTCTCCGGCGTTCATACCTTTTGGCGGCTCTATCGGTCTGTTCATTCTAATTCGCTCTGTTCCTTCATCTTGGTTAGTTTTGCTTCCACCCTGAGCCTATCTTTCTTGTTGGTATCAAAACGCCTGGCGCAACCTTGGTCCTGTGAGCGATCTCAATCGTTTAGCAGAAGGCGCTCGGATTGTCGTGCGAGTGAGCTGACATTTCTGTGCGTGTTCTTTCTTATTCCTTGTTCGTGGATCCATGTCAGTGACCTTGCAGTTTATGACTATCAGCCATACATCACCCGCAACTGTTGCAGCTACTAGGACCACGCGGTGATAATATCTTGCCCACAAATTTACTGGTTACCCTCAGCCACCCCGAGCGTCGGCCCGCAAAAGACATGCCTACAGCTCATCTTCACATAAATACAGACGTCGCCCGTGATACGAGCAATTTGTAAAGACCAAATGATACCTCCGCTCCAAATCTGATGAACTTAAATATGTCCATTACCCGGATGAGGAGTGGGTCCACCGCGTCAACTTCATCCTCCATATCTGTTGACTCCCCCGGTCCATCATCTTCCTCTGCTTCCTCATCTTCGCTCAACCTGCCTGATTCCGAGAAGTCACACCGCACCCTTCCCTATCCCTTGGCAAGCCAGTCAGATGAGACTGTTCGCATCTCTCCTTCTCCGGAATTCGTTCTTGCATTACATGACTTTCACCCTCAACACCAGAATGCAACTTCTCTTTCGTTCCGAGCTGGGCAGGTGATTCGCGTCCTAAATCGGGATTCGAGTGGATAATGGGATGGTGAGATCAACGGTCAGAGGGGATGGTGAGATCAACGGTCAGAGGGGATGGTTCCCCAGCAATTACGTCAGTGCTGATGAAAGAGTAATTTCACTGACGGAGGAAGACCTACCTCAATCACCTGTATGTTGTTATAAAAGCATGCACTTTAAAATTATTAACAACATTGTCTCGGTTGCATCAGGCATCTCGCCTCACAGAACGGTACTATCCCGGTCGAAGAAGGATCAATATCTCGTCTATGAGCGTGTCGTTGGAAAGCATAAAGCCGACATGCCATCCATCAGTAGCATTTCATCGTCCTCGTCATTTTCATCTGCCGAGTCGCCAAAACCACCTGCAATGCCTCTTTTCCCATCAGGACCCTCGACATCTTCGGAGGTGATGGAGGCTCTGAAATTTACCCATGATCAGTATCTATCCACTATTGCCACCTTCATCGGCCATGCACACTCTCATTCACGATCATCACATGCTTCCAGCACGGGTCAGATGTATGATCTCGTGCGAGAAGTGGTGGAGATGGTGTGCAAGTTGCTCACTATCGTCAAAGCTATCATGCGGCATCCGGAAATCCCATCTCACAAGATTGGGAACTTGAAATCCGCAAAAGAGAGGTTGTATACTGTCTCTAGCTCCCTTGCCGAATCTGTGCGGTTACTCACGGTGCCCCTTCCTCCCGACTTCACAGAGGAATCCGAAAAGGCATTTCTGATACGATCCGCTACAGCGGCATGTAAAGCGGGCGCTGATTGCGTTTCGGCTGTCAAAATCTGCCTGAATAGGGTTTCCAACGACCACGACATATCAACAAGGCAATCAACGCCTTCTAACATAAAGACGCCCACTTCGACAAGCGATACTCATATAGAGCAGCTGCTCTCGAGAGAGGTATCTGCCTTTCAACGTGAGCTCGAGGTCATGCGAAGTCTCAAGGCGTTCAAGCTCAAGTACGTCGCAACCTGTTGTGTTTGATCAGTCATTATGACAGTGGAATGTATGTATCACGCAGCAGCTCGTAACTTACGCACCACCAAACATACGCGTACTTTCTTCCACCACCACGAAAACGCGATCTTTGCTGACAAGGAAACGGGTGAAATTGAAAACAGTACGTTCCACAACCTCGTTTGGTTTACATCTAATCTCCTGGCTAGTTGATGGCCGTACAATCCTTCATACCATTCTTCATTCTCTTCAACACATCACGTTTGACGAGGACACACTCAGGTCGCTTCTACTTCAGATGACCAACCAGTCATTCATCTCGCTATTATATATGCTTGATTCCTTGCTAGCCTTCTTACCAGGCACAGAAAGGGTGGAGGTGCTGTTGGTGGGCGTCTTTAACGTGTTCCACCTCAAAGCCAGGTTTCTCGTCATCCCGGGTCTCATGGCTTCGCTTCGCAACCTTTGTTTTCATCTTCAGGAACTAACTTACGCTCAGACAGTACAAACGCAAACCAAAACAAAATTAGTATTTTCTTGTCCCCTCGAGCCTTTTCCAAATGGATCATTCCACTCCGCACTCTATGTAGTTCAAGAGATTCTCAGAGGCATTACATGCAGCTGCGACGTCCATACTCATGTCAGGAGTCCAGTTCGAGAACGCCGTATCCCTGGACCCCCGTGTAAAGTCATAGCAAATTGAAGTTGTTTAGGGTTAGGGTTAGAACATTCTTGCTTCCGCACAGCACATGTCTGAGTGTGTGTGAGTCTGCGTGTGATCCCCAATGTTTGTGCCTCTCGATGCTGCGACCGGAGCGTTGTGCTCGGATGTCCACAACCTGAGTTGGTAGGGTGATACATCCACGGTAGACGTGAATTGTGATGGGTGAGTCGAGTCTTCAGTGCAAGTGCGAAGACCTCCGTCGCATCTTACTCCTCGTCACCCATCACAACATTTGAACATAAGTTTTATGCCGGGTTCATCAATGTAAGTGCGAAGACCTCCGTCGCGTCTTACATCTCGCCCAACATAAGAAGAAGAGCCACGTCACGAAGCGAGAACTTGTAAACAATGGATGACTAAGCTTATTTCAAACTCATATTTCAAATCTTAAAAATTTGGGACAACGTATCGACGACTCACAACTTCATTCCACCAATGGGGCACGGACCACGTAGTTCTGCCAAACAAGCCCAGCTATACGAAAGATGGGGCGAGAAGCGGGATCTGGAAAGAGTCAAAGAAGCTGTAAAACGAGATCTCCGTGAGTGTTGATCGATCTCCTGTGATCAAAGACCTCACCTGCTATTTTTAGACATCCACAAGATTGCAGCCTTCCCGTCGGACTTTCTCGTTGGCAAAAGGAGCGGTGAGAGGGTCCGACAGGTCGTGCGAACTAAATTCCACGGAACATGCTTACCGGAGCAGATGAAAACCCTACCCACTCAGGGCAAGATTCTTTTGCCCCTCGACCACCTTCCTCCCGACACCGTCCCATCGGAAATGCCACCGTATCTAATGGCCCGTCTCGAACATTTCCTGACTGATGCACAGCAAGCCGGTCTCCTTTCCCGATGGAACAAGCTCATCGCCACCGACCCCAAACATCTGCTGAAGCACGATGCCAATCGTTCCAATAGTGAAGGCTATCATTTTGGCCTTTGGGAGGTCACTGCTTCCACCCCTCGCATCACACGCGAATCTCGTGACCAATCCGATGACGCCAAAGAAGCCATCGATAACCTCCTACGATTCCTTAAAAGCTATATTGCTAACAAGATCGGCACAGCATTTGAGGAACTCGCTCCCGATCAGTGGAAGGCTATGTTAAAGTACGTCTACTATTATTATCATATGAAAATAAAATGCTGACACGTTTGATCGTTCTAGAGCCAACGCACGTGTAATGGACCTTTTGGCTCGTGAACACAGCGCTCGGCCCAGTTTATTCATGGGCGGCCCCTTTTTTGCTGTTGCAGCCAAAGAAGCGGGATCAGGTGTGACCCATATAGACTGGAACGACGATAAGGCGGTTTATGCCTTTATTTTCGCTGTTGGAGATTGGGAGGGCGGGGAATTTTGTGTGCCCCAACTCGGCATCAAGATACCTGTGCGGCCTGGGCAGGTACTGTGTGTCCTAGCCCGTGTTCTAGCTCACTTTAGTGCGCCGGTGACTAGCGGGCGACGAGTGGTATTTACATGTTTCACAGACCGGAACATTTTTCGGCATGGAAACCCAGAAGTTGTTGAATTGGCGTAGTACTACACAAGTAGTCTAAATAGGTACAGCTACATGTCCATGGCAAAGAGTGCATCGTGATGGGCGAGTTCAAACTGTACCACCTTGCAGTCGGCAAGTACCATAGAATACCACGCCCCACATGAGGCTCGATGACAACCCTGGCCTATTGTACCACAACGGATTGCCACATCACGCGCGAACGAGAGACAGCAAACTCCGCAGAACGAAGTAGGCGAAAGATCAGAGGTGATTGTGGCGGACACGATTGAAGATGATGGCGACGAGCGTGCACGAGTTCATTCACAGCCTTCTCTACCTTTACTGTTCACAGATCGCATGTTGTAGGAGTAAGCGCTAAAAAAAACGTAGATATGAGAAAAGTACGCACGTTATTGGCGGATACCGTTTCAAGGATGTCTGCATAGTATTTTAAGGCGGTTTCTGGTGGCTCTGTCGCTTCCGTTCGAATGCCTACCAAGCAGTCAACGCGCGGCGAGTTGGAGAATTTGTCGACAATGAGATGGAGGCATTGCTTGAAAAAAATGAAGTTGAACTGGCGTGCAAAGTACTTAAAATAAAGACAAATGACGTACGTTTGATGCGTTCCATTGGAGTGTGGTTCGTAGGAACTGGATTGGAGCGAGGTGTGGGGCCCTGTTCTCCATCAATGTTAACGCATAGAAAATTTGAAAATAACCCACTTTACAATTCGCAAATAACGGGTCTCCGGTCAACCCACTGCATACGAGATAGGACTGCCATGCCTGAACCAATAATTGTAGGGTGGGACCATGGACGCACAACAAACGAAAGTAAGAGTGCAATGGAGCGCAAAGGGGAAGAGGGGGGGGGGGAAGAAATCCTATTTGCGCAGGCCGCGAACGTGAAAGCAGCATCAATATTGTGAGTACCGCCTGGAAGTGGAATTGGAATATCGAGACTAGCAGTCATGAGTGCACGAGAGAAAAACCAAGGAATAAAAAAAAGGCTTACTCGGCAAAGTTGAAAGCGCCAAAAAATAACAGCACAAGTCGAACGCAGGATACCCTTCGCGACACACTAGCTCCAAAGCCACACAACGACCGCAACAACGATCGCCCAGTTCACCCATCGTCGCAAATGCCCTTCTAGAGTCCCATTGGGTTTAAAGACATCACCAATAAAAACGAGTCGGAAGATCAGGGTAATGAATGGTATAGATGCTGTCTGGCATGGCGAGAAGCATCACGGGAGAGAGAGCGAGAACGATAGGATTTGTAATGAGAAGGGGTGTGGTAAGGTCAGGGATAGAGGAAGATAAACGGATATCTTCGAAAACTGAATAAGGTGATGAGCTTGCGTAGTCAAAATAACGAGAGAGAGACTACCAACAAATACCCAGAAAGCAAGATATAAAATGCAAAAAGAGGCATATAGAAACAGCCGTACACCAAAATATGGTCCAGTTCGACTCATTAAACTCGAGTGATATCCCGTGGATCTGGTAAAGAGATCAAGTCGATCGCACGTGCAATGCCATCCCTCGGTAGTAGTGACTCGGTTAGAGATAAGGAGAGTGGATCGTGATCTCATGGAGGTGCAAACATTTAACGTATGCATATGGTGAGTGTCAACAGTTACATCTACGCTCTAAGCATTGAGATTTCACCAATGGTCGTGAGAAAAGGCAGCTTGCCAAAGCGGGTAGCGGGCTTTGCCACTTTAGCTGGCGCTATCGCTTATATGTAGAAGGCAACGAGGTTATAAAGCAGTGAGCATTTTGGAATCAAGCCAGACGTCGTGTAGCAAGTCAAGTTCGAGGCGTAGCACGTTGGATAAGGTCAATGTTCAAACCGCCAAGGTTGCAAGCTGATTTGGATTCACTGCGTTCAAATAATACTACAATTCGTACATGGCAGGGATCAATTTTAACTAAAGAACTTCCACCAATGGCTTCATCCAACGCCTTGTCATCCCTCTCCATCAGCGTCTGCAAGATCGTGCTCGTAATCTCCCCGTTTTCACTGCCCACGAACACGAATCCCAGAGCGAGAGTGCTGAGAGCAGCGATCTCCATCGAAACGCCGTCGTCCGCGACCGCAGGAAGGAGGAGAACGAGTAAGTCCTTGCGATGCGAGCCTGCGTATGCTACCCCGAGCCCAATTATTGCAGATGTTTTGAGCGGGACAAGTTTATTGTCTATGTGTTCTGCTAGCAGAGCGAGGGCGGCGTCTGCTTCTGTGCGTACACCTGCGTTCAGCAAGCCTGTAGCGAAAAATGCGCCGGCCTAGATAATTAATAGGGATATGTGGTGACATGGTTTAAATAAATACCTTGATCCACTCTTCAGGGGTGTATGTATATCTGTCAATGTGGCTGAAACCAACATGCGCTCATCATGCCTAGAAAAGGCCGTCAATAAACCAGCTTCACGAACTGGTAAGATGCTCGCCATGATCTTTGTTCTTGTACACCCAGCTGTTACCCTCGTCCGCTTCCACCATCAATTTATCGTTACCAAACCCAGCTTTAACGAACGCATTGGCAAATGTGCCTGCAAGGTTAGCGCGAGCCGAGTCGACATTGGCGGACAGCCCTGATCCTGAACGTGGTTCAGAAGGAAAGTAAGAGCTTTAAGAAGCAGGACGCACTTGTGGTCTCCAGATGACTTTTGTAGACGTCCTCAAGTTCACCTCTTTTACAAACTCCTTGAAATGTCTACTGAGCTGCGTGTTGCTTAGGCAGTCTAAGAATGTCTGTCGGTAGTTCATTTTTCAAGTCTGCATCTGCGTCCTCTGAAGTTAACGCTTTCAGCCATTTGATGGGAATCTGTGCGCGTGCAAGAAGGAAAGCAAGCTGCTTCTTCACCATCCTGAGCAGAAATGAATGAATGTCAATGCGCGTGTGATACGACTTACGGGTTGCCCGAGGCGTTGAAGTCTTGTCGGATGCGTGCGGCATCATCGCGACACCGAGAGCTTCGGGGAATTTCGAGAATTGGAGGCAGATCGTGTGTATCGTGCGCAAGAAAGTCACATCGTCAGGTGGAGGAAGGAGCACGACACATCTGAACATCGAAGGTAAGACATGAGAGTAAGAACGAGAAGGCAAACGCACCTGTCCATGTACGCACATACACGACCGAACGTGTTTGCGTCCACGAGACTTGCTATCTGGTCAACAATCTCGAGACTCGAGCTCCACGAACAAGTCAACGGCCTCTGGCTCCGCGTTGTGTCCCAGGAAGAATGCCGACTTGGACGGCAGCGATGGGATGCACTTCTTGAGCGCGGTGCAAGGTGTCTAGACAGTGCATTCTTATAGGTCGAGATAAGTACGTCATGTCGAGCAATGAGCTTGAGGGATGAATGCAAGAGTTGTTCGCTTAAAGAGACGCTGATCACATATAGCCGACGTGATGGACGAATATCTTCTCCAACTTACTAGGTTTGAACTCGCATGCATCACTATGCACAACCCACTGTGTGTGTTGCAATCCTTCGACGAGGACGGCGACGCGATACTAGCACAGGGTCAAGTTTCAACTTCGCAACCACTTAGCTCAGGTTACCTTTGCACGACGCGTCCTTCCAGAAGACCGACACATACTCCTCGAAGATTCGGTCCAAAACGTTGCTTCAGTCTACAGCCGAGGTAACTGCGAACTGCATGGTGCAGATCTACGAAATGGATGTAGGACTGGCACAAATAGCTCGACGCGTGTCTCGAGGCAGACATAATGGACATCATAGTTGTTGGGGCCAAAATCGGTCAAGACGAATGAGAAATACCGAAGACCAACCTCCACGGCGAACTGCTGTCCCACCGCAAGCTCGGCCTACTCCAACTCACCCCAAAGAGACGAATATAATACGATTGCCTGAAGGAAGTTGCATGCCAGTGGGAATCTCAGAAATAACAAGTAGAAGTAAAAATGCTGCTTAACATCAAAGGTAAGACATGAGAGTATGAAAGAGAGGGCAAACGCACCTGTCCATGTACGCACATACACGACCGAATGTGTTTGCGTCCACGAGACTTGCTATCCGGTCAACAACCTCAAGCTCTACGAACAAGTCGACAGCATCTGGCTCCGCTTTGTGTCCCAGGAAGAATGTGGTGCATTCCAAACCGAGGTTGTGTAAGTCTTCGATGGTGCCAGGGACCGGAGCAGGCTTTGATTTAGGTGCGTCTGAATCAGCCTCTGGTGCAGCTGGGGGACCTGCTTCTTCACCCTCCTGGCGGATGGTATACTCCTCTCCTAGCTCGGCAGCAATATGACGAACGTACTCGTGTCCCCAAGAACCGGGTTCAGAGATTTTGGATGTAAGGGGTAGGAAAGATGCAGACAGCAGGCGGTAGCGCAACGTTCCTCGTGGTTCAGTATCGGAGTAGGTCATTTCGAGAACAGAGCATATCGACGAACAGACTCTGCATGGTGATAAGTCAAAGTCGTGCAAAAAGACTTTCCTCGTACCTTGTTTTCATATGTAGGCCATGTCCTGAACAGCTCCTGCAGATAATGTGGACGTAGAAACTTGAGTGGTTTGGGAATGGAAGTCATGGACGAAGTGGATGTTCTTATGAGTGTCTGGAGCGTTTCAAGAGCAGGACGGTAGAGATCCGTGTTTAATTCCTGCTGCCAGTTCAGTTACATGTTCTACCTTGATCGTCAGTTTACACGCACCTTTAACCATTCATCGAGCATCTCCAGCTCGGATTTGAGCTGCGCATCCTCTTCCAACTAGGAAAGTCAAGCTAATGCTGGTGTTGCTGATGTGATTGGCACTCACCAGTTCCTCATCCTCATCCTTTGTACCATTCGTTTTGGTATCTAGTTTGTTCTCCTCTTCTTTCTTCTTCTCATTTGTATCCTGTGAGGTAACTGCAATCTCTGCTGGACGTTCTGCCATGGCTCGTGAATTTTTCAAGAACAGTAAAGCTAAAACGGCACATTGATAGCACCGAGATTCTCCTCGAGATACTGTACAAGTAAAAACTATGAATACCTGAGGTTGTATGCAGTGGTGTGACTACTGACCTTGATCTTCTTTGTACCCGGAGTGGGGATAACATCGTCACCTTGGTCAAGAAGCCATGCGAAAGCCACTTGGCCAGCTGTTTGCGGCGGATTGCTCGACTACTTTCACCAGGTTATTCAAGAAGTTCTCCTTCGAGTATCTAACCAAGTGCAATTCATGTGAGTCCCTACTAGTTACTGACACGACGCATACCTAGGAATCATCCTCGTGAAATCATTGGATTCGAAGTCATGTGGAGATTTCTGTTTATGCGGTGAGCGTTCAAATAAGTTCTACCAGTCTGCGGCACTTACATACCGTCCCGTGATCAAATCACGCCCAAGGGGCAAGCGGGCAATGATTTTTATTCCAAGCTCACGGGCCGTGTTTAGGATGTTAAGCTTTGACTCCTCGATGTTGAGTGTGAAAGGTGAATACTCGACTTGGATGGCAGATGGGGTGCACTTTCTGAGCGCGGTGCAAGGTGTCTGCAGTGCATTCTAATAGGTCGAGATGAGTACTTCATGTCGAGTAATGAGCTTGAGGGATGAATGCAAGAGTTGTTCGCTCAAAGAGACGCTGATCACATATAGCTGACGTGATGGACGAATATTTCCTCGGACTAGTTTGGAACCCGCATGCATCATATATAGTCTATGCACGACGCACCGTGTGTGTTCACTTGGATCACACTAACTATGACATCTCCTCAGGCGCCCTTTGAAGAAAATCTGGACGAGGCCGGCAACGCGATACTAGCACAGGGTCAAGCGTCAACTTCGCAACCACTTAGCTCAGGTTACCTTTGCACGACGCGTCCTCCCTGAAATACTCCTCGAAGATTCGGTCCACGACGTTGCTTCAGTCTACAGTCTAGGCCACTGCGAACTGCATGGCGCAGATCTGCAAAATGGCTGTGGGACTGGTACGAATAGCTCGAGGCGTGTCTCGCAGTAGACATAAAGGACATCGTGGCTGTTGAGGCTGGTGAGCACGTATGTGTTCATCAGACACCTGTATTGACCACCAGCCAGCTGAAAACAAGCACATGTCCTACATGGGCCCTTCCTCTCCCTTGTCAAACCTGAGAAGCTCTCCCTCATCAACTTGAATATTCACGAGATCATGCCTTCCGAGGCAGCAGCGTCAGATGGCATGAAAACCACAGATTGGTATGGATGTAATGCGGAGTTGACTCGCCTCTCATAATGTACATACACTGCCTGTTATCAAAAATTTCAGCCGTATGAAACGAGGACAGAACCTGACCCTAGGGTTAGGTCTCAGCCACGTCAGCGCCTTCGTTGGACACCGGCGTCGACATGGCGGTTTTATCGCATTCCCTCCATGTAGCAGTCAAGGTTTCGCCCTCTCGTCAACACTAGCTGAAACCATGGCCTGTCCTCGATAGGGCAACCTCGCGAGGTTTAATATTTGTATCACCTGTTAGTGGGGGCAGGATGTATCTAACTGGCTTATTACCCAAAAACCCCCATACATCTTTCTGTTTAGCTATCCATGCATAGATACATCATTCCTGTGCAATTATCCATTGGAGGCTGTGCCCGGTGAACATTTCTCTATCGGAGGCAGCACCGGGCGAGGTAAGTATTTGTCTGCCCCATCAATAATCACCATAAATCGCCGAGTAGATCTAAGGTACTCGGCACTGCGTCAAACAAAGGTCAAGATAACTCAGGTACCAACGAAAGAAGTTGTATTAGTAGTCTACCAACAAAATTAATAATGATCATCGTGTACTAAATCTTCTTGAGGGATGTCAAGGCACGGATGTTCATCCTCGTCGTTGCCCGTCAAATCGATACCCATCCCAGAGGCCACCAACGCTGGAACATCCTTCCACTTCTCTCTGAATGATGCCGACAGCCTGCGTCGAATAAATGCCTGCCGCTTCGCGTATGCAATTAAGCCCTCGGTCACCTCCAACCTAGTCAGTGTTCGCAAACTGATACGGTCCTCCCACCATTGCACCTGCCAGTTGAAAAAAGCAAGAACTCGCCGCATCTCTTCCAACAAAAGTCGAACTTCCTCGGACCAACGGTGTTGACGTGCCCTAGTCTTGCACCACTCAACACGAAGCGCTGTAGTCCCAAATTAGATACGAGCATATTTAAATGACAGCAAACTTACCGTCTTGCAAACTCTCAGCGTCGTCGTTAGATATTCCGTGCGTCAGCCAGATCCAGGACATGATGGTCCTGCCTTGTGTTTGCCCTGCGAAGTCACCCATAGGACGGAGGTGAGATCTCGTGAGCGGCTGTAGTTTTCGTTCCCAACCAACGCGGTCGAGGTGATTGGATAGAGCGACGAGTGCCTTTTGTGCACATGAGTATTTTGCGTGGCTCATAACCAGACGTTCTTCCACGGCATCGAGTGTCCTCCTTGCACGGGTGTTGGGATTCTGACCACGTATGTGCTGTTTCTTGAATTGCGCTAGCTGCCGACGAAGGCAAATATGTGTGCGACACTCATTAAGAGCATTGTGAGCTTGTGTGAGCCGAAGAGACCATTCGATTTCGAGGAGTTTGCGATCACATGGTACATGATCACAGATCTCGGAGGGCAGGAGAAGTTGCGAGTCTTCGGCCTTTCCGGAGTTGGGATTTGGCTTGGGACAGCCACTGTCGTCATCGTCACTCGACAAATCAATCAACCTATCATCAGGAAAAATGTCAGCCATCAGTTGCACTAAGCAAGAATATGTAGCACTATGTAGGCCACATAGCTCAACAGACCATCCTCGTATGATACATAGCGCAATAGAGCGCCCTCGTATGATACATAGCACTATGTACAATCCTGTAGCACACTTGAATGCCAATGTAAGCTATGTAATCCCACCTCACACATGATAGCCAATGTTGTGCTATATACCCAATATCATTGCTCCTCAAGCTCCCCACTACATCAAGCACTCAAATAATTCTAAATCAATATACCTGTTGAGGTAAAACTCTTCTGCCGCCTCTCAACTGAACGGGGGCGCGAGGTGAACTGGACGAAGCACTCGATCAACCGGTAGAACGGCTGCATGGGGTCGATGTTGACGCGAAGACTTGGTGAGTCGAAAACTCTGTAGGTTTTCGTCGAAAGTCTGAAGCGGGCGGAACCAGTGAATATACACCAGGGGGCACGCAAAATGACCCAGACGTGGTGGGAGGCTGAACACGATCTTTACTTCACCCACGCGAAGCCCTATTAAATAATTAGAATCCGCCGATAAATGCAAAATATAACGACTCACCCAAGATACCCTTGCCAGTGTACTGCTCGCAATCCTCGATCACGAGGACGGTATCAAAGCGCGCGGGAGACGGTAATTTCCTGGTGTCCTTGGGTGCAATCTCTGGTGATGCCCGGACCTTGAACACGCATTTGGCGCTGTTGAAATGTGGTCGTGCGGGTGAGACCACCTTGATGTACTTGTACACGTCAACACAGGTCTTGCAGCGTGAGTTTTCGGTGGGGTTGAGTATGCGGGTTGTTGCGGAGAAACTGTTCAAGAGCGGGAATGACCTGGGAAGCGGCAGTGGTTATTGAGTAAGTGCTGAAACGTCGTGTTGGGGAATGGGCACGTCCTAGGGACAAAATATCCTGCGAGATGCTGTGAACATCGTGAAATGATGTATCTGAGGTAGGTGGTGGTGGTCAACTGGCGAAGGTGACTCGCGATCAGAACCAGAGTCGATACTGGAGTCCGAGTCCTGCTGAGTGTGAATCTTCGTTAGTTGAATTTCGCGAGGCCTGCCAACGCAGATAGGCATCTTGAAGGTAGATAGATTCTTGACGACGTAGCCACATAGTCATTTGAATAACGTAGTCACGGCGATTGGAAGCACGATACGCACGCTTGGCGAAATCTATGTGGAGGCGTTCAGGGAGCTCGGTGTTGAAACCGTCGGCACTCCCAAACAAACGGATCGAATCGGCGTAGTGTACCATGGAATGGATTTTCGGGATGTTGAAGTGCTCCCGCACACCGTGCTCGACAAAAACGCTCTTGTTGGCGTGGAACAATGCCAGTGCAGCTTGCATGCGAGAGAGGGTTTCTTCGGTGTGGGACTGGTACTGGGCGTAGTAGGTAAAATCCAACACTCCACGCACAGCCGCTATTACTCTGTTGTCAACCACACCTGCAATGACACACAGGAACACGCGCTCCAATTCTCGGTAGTCGGCTCCCGTCCATTGCTTGCGTTTCGAGATTCCTTTTTGAAGTGCCGTAATCCTGCGTAGGAACTCATTGTCTTGAAACGTAAGTCGAGTTCGTCCTCGCCAATTATTTTCGTGCACCAGCTAACGAGATGGTCCTTGAACACACCCTTGTGCAGCTGGTGCAGGATGTCGGGTGTCATGCAGAGAAAGATGTCGTTGTGCGGGAGAGCGGCCCAAAAAGGTGAGTAAATTGCACGTAGCCCCAGCTCACTCTCGAACTGATCACTACTTATTTCACCCTCAGAGTGACGCCGTAAGTCTGCCATTGTCGTCTCTCGTCTCCGTGGCGCTGACTCTTTCAGATCTCCGCGGTTGTCACGCCCGACAGTGCATTTCGGGCACCTGTTTTCCATACAGCAGGCAATGAGGCATTGCTCCGGAAAGTCGGCGATGTACGCGGCTACAATTGGATGCATCCGCCTCACTTGATGGTCGGGGCAAGTCACATCCACTCCGTTCTCACCCGCACTCACCAAAGGCTCTAGCACCTGGGCCATGCAGTAGTGGAATAGCCGGTAACGTTCGACTGAACGAACGTCTCGCGTGAAGCATTCCAACTTGGATATCGGTAAGTACGCGATTAGGATGGCTGCGTGCTTCGAGGGCTGACGGCGAATGTCTTTAGATATGTTGCCCAGTGTCAAGTACACGGGCCATACCTCCTGATCGCCACGGAACTGCGATAGGGAGGTTTTATCAGAGGCCAGGATCACCGGCGCTACCACCGCCCCTTTGGGTAATCTATGCTGGGAGAATGGACTTAGTGCGTTTTTTCCCCTTGTTTATACTACACCTCAACTTACCTGCATTTCCCACCACCAGTCCCCAGTCCACATGTCATCAAAGACGCGTGTCTTTCCCTCCTCGTCTGCAAAAACCTTCTCTGGTGCGTACGAGACGCAACGATCGAAATCTGGATTGCTCATCAACTCACGAATGCAGTCCACCGGGTCGCGTAACCACAATTCGAGGTCTTCCGTCTCCCGCTGCCCATCATTGGCAGTTCTATTTCCCACCACGCTGATCTTCTTCAGTTTCCATTCGGTCGCACGAGGGAGTTTGTCGATCACTTTCAGCAGCGAATATTTGCTCGTAAATGATGTGTTCATGTGGCTAGTCTATGTCCCAGTCCATAATTTGTGAGTGTCTTATCAGTTTGAAGCGATAGCGTGAATCTGACTTACAATTGGCAGTTTCAGAAATTCATCTATCGCAGTGTGGCCAACCCGCGAGACCAGCCACTTTACCAACCCCCACTCCTCCTCATCTGCAAATGGTGCCCAAGGGTCCAGGCCCTGAGCCTCTTGCTGGGCTCGGATGTCCTGGAACATGATTTCCGCTTGGCCAAGTGTTTGTGCGACTTGTCCAGGGTACGACTGGATGAAGCGCATCCATGTACGTTCTTCGTCTTCCACCTCTTCAACCCCAACATACTGATCTGGTCTTTGCGGGGGTCTTTCATCAACAGGTACTCCGTCATCAATGTCCCAAACTCCATCAACGTCCATAGGATCAACATCCATAGGATTTCCAGGTTCGTCCGAGTCACCTCCGGGCGTGGCCTCTTTTCTTATTTGCTCACACTCACGGAGTCGTTCCATCTGGTCCTTACAGGCTGTTGTTTTGGTGATATGGAGGCTAACGGCGCCTGCGCTCTTGAAGTTGCCTTTGAGGCAGAAGTTACAATGGTACATGATGGTTGTGCACTAGGCCTACAAGCCGAAAATTCCGACACAACAAATCCCGACGTGAGTGACAGCGACAGCTCGATCAAGTGGCACCCAGCTGACTTAGCAAATCCAGGTGCACAATCGGGACATGAAAATTTTCGTTGATCCCTCCAAGATCACTGGTGTGTACCAATCACACTTTGTCGTCTGTTCTACTTTGGCCGTCATCTTAGTTGATTGGATCAGCGGCGCCTGACCCTGATCTAAAGTTGATTGGATCAGCGGTGTCTGATCAGATGAAGGTGCGTACTCTGTTGATTTGATAACGGTTAGAATCTGAGTAGAATCCCTCCAGTGATCCCTCATCATACTGATTCACACTGATAAAGGCGCGTACTCTGTTGATTAGACACGTACTCTGTTGATTCAATTCGAGCATGTTGTTGGCGCGTTCTGTTGATTTGTTTGTAGCATGACCACACGCGATGCTATAAAGGTGAGGCCTATAAAATATCCCTTACCTCACAACGACTCATCACTCCTACGTCCAGAATGTCTTCTGCTCCCCCCACTCGTCAAGCCCTGACCCAACTGATCAACAATGGCCCGGATCTAGCGCCTTCACAGCGTCAACGTCGCGACCGCCGTCCCTCAGAGAGGGCACTTTATCAAGGTCTGTGCTCATTGAGTATGTGCTACTAGATATACTGCTCACTATGTCACATCTAGCTGAGGAAGAACAAGATCGCAATGTCCGTCGGCAAAACGTACCACGCAAAATCAAGGCGACACGTAAAAAGTCCATGGATGAAGGTATATTGTTTACTTCACGTCATCATTGATCTACTAACTAGTTATATGTCCAGTTCATGATGGCGCGCAGGTCATAGCTTTTTGTTTCCCCAGTGCGATTTAATACTGACCATCTGATAGTTTTCATCTCAAACTATCAGCCTATCAAATGCCAGTGTCCCGGCTCATGGCCTGCTGGATTTGAGGCCCCGGTTTAACAGGGTCCCCCCACCAGACAAGCACAAGCGAGACCAATCCTCAAGCACGCTGGTTCAAAGCTCGAGACCCTCAAGCACGCACACGCCAGACCAATCTTCCCAGTCTGGTGGCTGGCGGGAGGATGCTCTAACAAAGGTGAGTTGGTTGTGCCGTACTTAACTTAATCTCTAGTGGATGCGCACTGATGCATGATTCATAAGGATTCTGGATTTATCAATCGTGGACACGTGTCCAATGATAACAGTGTAAGTAACATCAATGTCGTCTTGTTTCGTGCACTGACCATCGAGTTCAAGGTCCCATCGGCACCTCGCAAGTTGACGGTAGCTCGTGCAAAAGAGCTCATGCAACTTCGGCAGGCGCAGTCCGCCGTTACTACTCGAGGTGACTCGGACGATGACTTGGACCAGTCCGACGGCGAACAGAATCCCAGCAACAATTACGAAGATTACAACAACGAAGATTACATGGATTGTGATGACGTGTTCATGGATAGAGATGGGGAGGACAATGCTCACTGTAATGGTGAGTGATACTATCTTACTTGAACGCTCGCGCTGAATGATTTATCAGGTTTGCATAAGCGTCCACGATCACCCTCAGATAACGAGGGTGATAGCACTCTACAAAGAGATGCGCAAGTCCGAGGACTCACCCTCCCCACAGCAACAGCGTCTCCCACAGAAAATCCAGAAGAGTAAAGGCCGAGTTGCAGCGCGCGATTACGAGGTAGCTGTGCAGCAGCTAATCAAATTTTCCATTAGCTCGTTTTGCGCGCGGCTTGCTTCTGAGTATGCGTACCCAGACCGCATGACTCAAGTCTTGTGGGCGAAGGAGGCATGGAAGGAGGGATGTGCCGCTTATGAGATTGAGATGGGCTTCAATAGTGAGATCATTCAAATTGTAAGTGATTTATATATATATTAATTCACCTGCTGATCTCGTGCTTGAGATTACCCGTCGCACGTCACATCTGACCAGTCAGGTGAAAGGGAAGGTTCGCTCACTTGTCGAGAACATTTACGGCTTCGAGCATGGCAGTCGGGAGTCCGTCAAGTCCAGGAATCGCAGACTTGCCCGTCAGCTCAAGAGTAAATTTGGTCTGTGTTACCGGGTGAGTTCTTAGTGTCTTCGTTTATATAGTGTGCTTATACTTGGTTTTAAGAACCTCGGAGATGAGAAACACAAGGTCCCTCGCAGCGGGCTATTTAGGACGAAGTTGAATCAAAAAGCGGCCAATTTGCTCTGGTACAGTAACAAGAAGGACGAAGGGGTGATGTTCGACAAGCTATTTACTCTGTTTCCCATTCCTGCCTTGGCGTTGGTGTACACAGCGGTGAGTCACTTTTAGTTTTTTCGTTCCGGTATTAACAACCATTTTAGGCAGAATGTTGTGTCGACGAATGGGTTGACGGCGAGCGGATAGATATTAGTTTTTCGTGTGGCGAGTACAAGGAGGCTTATGACAAGCACCTTGCTAACCTCAAGAAATTCCATGTACGAACGAAGGACCACGGCATTCTCGATGGTATCCTGAAGGAGATCAACGACAATGGGAGGTAAGTGTTTTTTCATTATTAAAATCTCACAGATTTGCTGACGACGGTACAGAATCCACGCTAAGGTAGATCCGGCTGATGTCGGAGATGCAGACTGTCTCTCCGATGACGAAATTCACAATGCCATTCGCGAATACCAGCAGGGGAGTGGTGTGAATGAGACTGATGACGAGGATGAGGATTATGGTAGTCATTCTGAGCAGAACTGGATGCGAAGACGAGTAGAATAATAATAAATTATAAATGCATATCATTGATTCATTGTTCTCATTGGTTTGAGTGGTATGAACTAAGTTGCTTACTATTGGAGGCTATGTGGCACTACATAGCAGGGCTACATAGCTGATGCACGAGATACTGGATACAATGTAGCACAAATAATGATATAGCCTGAGGTATATAGCGCTATGTAGGGGGGGGGACCTGCAATGAGCCTACGAGCAGTATGTAGCCTATATAGCGCTATGTAGCACTTCGGTTTTTTCCTGATGTTATATGACGTTACAGCGACGATCCTTGTGTGGCATGTCATTACTTTGCTTATTCTACTGTCAGTGGTTGTTCCTCGTCCTCCATTTGTTCAGAAGCTGGTGTTCTTAATGATTCAGAAACCAGTATAGGCTGGCAAATGTGCGGAGACTTGTCAGGAAGAACTGGAACGCGTAGTAGATGAAGCGGCACCAACTCTTTTCTGAGCAGAGGAAGTGAGGCTCGCAACCGAGCGCAGATGGTTTCACGGTGTTCGTCCCGAGTGCCGCCCTTCCGATCAAGATATTCTTCGGATGCGGGCCCACCATGGTTATAGCCCGAACTTCATTCACCTTGCAGTTGTTGGTTCTGCTGGAGGTAGGAAGCCATTCTTCATCAATGCCGCCCATGATCCTGCTGCTGCTCGTACGCGATCCACGCCCAAACTTCTGGACAATTTGGTATGACAATCCTGGAGCCGGTACTCCAAACGTGCCTGATTCAAGTTGGCAGTATTTCAATGACATGGGCCTCTACATCTTCGATTGCATCCTCATCCACATTGACAATCGTGTATTGGACTCCAACCTTACCATCATCAGCGCCTGCGAGCAGTTCAATACTGTTGAGGCGTTAATTATTTACTCCAAGTCAGACCAACACATCAATAACATGGTGTACGACAGGATGCCAAGAGTTTTTGACCCTTTTGAATCCGACATCGATGAAGAGACACGTTCTCGTTTTCTGCAAATCAAATCAAATCTGAAGAATGGGGGGAAGTTCGTCGACGAATCACGCCAGAATGTGCGAATGAATCTCGAGGGCACTGGCAGGAACCTCTCCTAGGAATGTCTATATCATTTACAAGGACACCGTGCTTGCGGCACTGAGTAACTCACGCTCCTCAAAGACAATTGTTCGAGAATGTGAGCGTAAGCGTTTGCAGTCTGGGCGTTAAAAGTAAGTCAGATCGTCTTGCTCAATTGTCGATCAGATCGTTTAGTTTCTGCCCTAGGCCCGTCCTGAGCCCCCATTGACCACCCAAGTCTTGTATTAGTGCCAGATAATTACAGGGTTTCTCTTTTGTTTGCTTGTTTTGATCTGTGTTCTCATGTGTCGTCAGAACTTCTGCCCCCCCCCACCCCCAGTCTGGAGTTGTACATGATATCACATACTTATTTATTTTCGGTCTCGAATATCGGAAAGTGTCAATTTTTTTGTTACTTTGTAAACACATAGCTCCTACATCATTTTGAGTCGAAGGCACCACAATCAGAGGGGAGACTGATATATCATCTCTGGTATTAAAGATGAGGAAAGTAGCGTGAGGAATCTAATGAACAGTATTGTGAAACTGCACTTCCATTCCAGCCTTAAGGAGAAGTGTCAATCGTGTCAATCTGGTGTTCGGTGATTAACAACAGTCTCTTCTAATGACACGCATGGGAGTGGTGTCATTGTTCTCTCAGATTAGAAGTGGGAAAGAATGGAGTATGCAATACGGTATGACCTACACCTTTGAGTCATGGAAGTCGAGATCTTGGAACGTACAAGGATCGGAGGGGACCCTGGAGATAACAAGGTGATAAAATTACGAACATGACCCAAGTGTTTCACAGGCTGGTTTGTGTTCTAGAACTTCCAGTAATGCCCAACGACGAATGCAGTGAAGAGAAGAGCACACTGGCACTTGATTTGAACTCCTGATGCGGCAGTGATGGTCCGTCGGCTTGCATCCGACTTGAATGAAGCGGCACCAAGAATTTACGAGACCGTGACACGCATGGGGAAAATCGACTTGGAAGGTTGATTTTGAACGGGTACCTAACAGTCGCTACTTGGCTAGGAATGTGTCCTTGCGGAACAAGATCATCATCTGCATTTATCCGAGATATTATGTAATTAACTGTTCGCAGCGCGCAAATCGTCGGAGTCTTTCAGAAATCATCTTACCAGTGATGGGCGTTAGTGTCATGGTGTGGCGCGAACATGGCAGAATAGTGCAGACTCAGCATGCGCGAAGGCGGCAAACTTCGACTTAAGAATGACCAGGAAATGTACTTAACAAGCGATGGTCGAGCTCGTCTTTGCCACTCATGTAATTGGGACTTGCATTTCTCACGCCATAGAGAGCTGATCTACTTCGGAATGGTGACAGCATACTCGATCTTTGAATATGTAATCAAATCACCCAGCGGGCGGACCCCTAGTGACACAAGAACCCCATGGATGGGAGGCACCCGAGCAGCGAGGAATGATTGTGTCAATGCCTCAGCTCATTGACCCACCCCTAAGTTTAATGGTTTAGCTTCTTTAAGTCTAGTGTATTTCGGAATGGTAACATCACTCGTATAGAGAGCCGAAGTATTTCGGAATGGTAACAGGTCACACATCACTCACACAAGAACCATGGATGGGAGGAACCCGAGCAGCGAGGAATGATTGTGTCAATGCCTCAGCTCACACCGCTAAGTTTAATGGTTTAGCTTCTTCAAGTCTAGTCTTCATGATGATGTGTCATAGACACAGGGGAAAGAGGGGAGATGCAGTGGCATCCAATCTTCTAAGTGCCATTCAATTCCGCACAACAACGTCCCTGAAGATTTCTGGACTCTGAAGATCTGATAACAGCTGACTCGTATGATGGCATATGCCCGAAGCCGAGTGACTCGAGTCAAACCACTACAATGGTGATAGACCAACTCCGGCGCATCTGAATCATTATGGCACTTCAGGCAGGTATAAAGGTCGTAGCATTTCTTGTTATTCTATCAACAACTCTCTCTCACACCTAGCCACTCAATAACTCAGACCTCACTGCACCATCATGAGCGAGTCCGCCGACTTCACTGACTTCAACGGCCCAAGGGCGGGCGGTTACAAGATCCAGAATGTCTTTTACAGTACCCAGTATGCCGACTTGGCACGCGGTAGCCCTATTGTTGGCACTCCCATCACTGGATATCATGACGATACCTCGGTAGAAGGGCAGCAGAACTGCACCGTATGTGTCCATCATTACGATGCATTCTATACTTACCATCACCATAGTTCATGATATCATACACGGGCGGAACCAATGACCTTGTGACATTCATGAATCCAAAGAGCCAGAGTTATGCCACGGCCAATGCACTGGTTGGTCTGTCTGGCGTTTGATAAATGCAGATCGCTAACAGCATGAAATAATAGAAAAAGAAGCTTGAAGGCAATGGCAATCCCGAGGTGTTCAAATTGATCGAGTCCCCATCGTCCAGGGGCGAATACATGTGAGTAGTGATGGTCTTCTGTCCACAGGTACTGAAAACTCGTTCGTCTCCTATTTCTACAGCATATGCATGGAAAACTCTGACTATGTGTGGTACCTTGATAGCAACGAGGACAGCACCCAGGTATGATTTCATCAGCGATTCTTTTGTTTGTTGGCTTTAATAGCAACATCACTCTAGATTAGGCTTGCTGCGTCTCCTTCTGAGACGGACAAGAGGCAATTCTGGAAATTTATGTAGCGGGAATAAGTCGTTCAGGCAGGGGGAGAACTCGTTGCTTTTCAAGTTGGTCGCCTGTGAAATATTGTACTCGTTAGCCAGATCCCAGGAATAAATGTTTTGTTACGTGCTGTCTGAATACCCTGGAGTCCTGGTGCATACTGACACCGACACTTCACAGAAATCCGCGAAAGTAGCACAACCAAGGTTGGGGGATGCATGCGAGGTTCAGAGCGTCCTCCATAACTCGCAGGCAACCGAAGTTACCTTTCACGCCCCGGAAGGCGCCGAGTTGTGATACCCACTAAAACCCTGTCTCGGTGGAAGATCGACAGCACAAAATTGTTGGTCCGTATGGTACTGTCCCTAAGGAAGACTGTGTTTAGTGTATTACCACTACTCAACTAGGCTTTGACCCAGCTTCTTGAACCAATCTCTCCCAGCCTCCCACGAAACCCTCGCCGCCTCCACCCCATCAAGCGAATGTGATTCCCCCTTAAACCACATCTCCACGCTCCTCTCCCTGCCCTTAAGTGCATGATAAAACCTCAACCCCTGCGCCGGTACCACACACAAATCGTCTTCTCCAATCAACAACAACACAGGCACGCGTACATAATCCACGTGCGCAATGGGCGACGCTTCGAATAGTGTTTGGAACGTAGCGGGTGTCATCAGTGAGTCTGGTGTGAACTGGAGCCCTAATTCGGCGCAGGCCCAGTCAGGGATGTCAGATGCTGCTAGTTCGCCCGCGCTAATCACGGGGTTGCGCATCACTGCTGCATTGAATAAGGTTGGGTATTGGCCTATCACTGTGTGTGAGTGTCAGTGTGAAAAGGGTGTTGTTTATATTTTTTGGAGGAGTCTTACGGTGCGTGGCGAGGGATACCGCCGTGACTTCCACCTTGGACGACTTGTCGTCCATGCTCTGAGATACCGAGTCGGATGAGCTCGTTGACGATCTCTAAGACGTCTTGTACGTCCATTGTTCCGCAGTTCCCGAGGAGTTTTTGGATGGATTTCTCGCCGAATCCCATGGAGCCGGTATAGTTGGGAAGGGAGAGGGTATCTGCGAGTATGTAAGTGATCGGTAGTCCCGAAGTTGGCCTTTTTTTTTTTCTTTTTTGAGTCTAATTTATGTCTTGTTGGGGTAAGCTACCATATGTAAGACATTGCTAACTAGGAGAGGGGAACACCTGTGTTCCCCACCGCGTTGGCAGGGACTTACATCCTTCTAGGGCTAGTGCAGCAGTAGCTGGAGAGAATGCTGTTGTCGATGATGCATGGGGTCCTCCATGTGGAATGGTAACGCAAATGGGTTTCGGGCCAGATGTCGTGGAAGCTTTCTTCGACTGAATAACAAGAGTCTCTGTTGGAGGACATGCACCGATGGGTATGGCCGACGCAGTGAGATCGCTGAGCGCTTTCTCGGCTGAGGGACATGATTAGAGTTGGCAAGAGCCCAAACTGACTTGAACGTACTTGCGAAAGATATCGTTGGCTTATCTAGGACTTTCCAATTGAGGTTGTCATGTTGATCAAAGTATCCTGGTAATACCTCGGATGGGGTAGTAGGCGTGCTCCTTGAACAGATGAACCGCGTCTTGTCGTCTGTAGCATGTAAGCTCCAACTATACAAAGGTTCATCATCGTGTATTTTTGTCTCGTCTGAAATTGCTCCAGATTCTGTATTAATAAAGATGATGGTTGCACGAGAGCGCCATAAAGATTGGAGCACGATGTAGATACGGCCTCCATGATGCAAAAACGGGCTGGAGGACATGTTATACTCAGGATATAGACCTGGAAAGTCATTTTCGGGGGTAGGCTCCATTATGGTGTCCACAAGGACCTTGTTGGTACCTGTGGTTAGGTCGCAAGATTCCAGAGAAACGCAAGATGCATGAGGACCGCCGACGGGATTTGAGAACCAGAAGAGTTTAATGGGCGTCTGATTGTCATCGTATAACACACGAGGTGAACAGCAAGACTGTTCTGGTGGAGTCAGCTTCAATGAATTGCAAGAGATTTTAGTGCCAAAAGGTGTCCCTTGCACGGTTGCTGACTCGGAAAGTTTGATCTCCCATATGCCCATAGGACGATTGAAACACCACTTGACCCCCAGTAGTCGGCCGTCTTTGGTGTGTTCGTGTCCACTGGCGTAGATGACATCTTCCGTCGCAAAAGTAGCTTGGCCGAATAGGACGGGTACTCAATTGGGTACTAGGTTGTGCCAATGAAAGGGGCCAGGGCAAAGAGCAACATGTTTTGCTTAGCAGCCTTGGTGAAAGCTGTGGACCTTGTCCAGCGAAATAGGAAAATGGTGGATCTTTTCTTTGTGCGAGATCTTTCACCAAAGTGCGGGGTGTATCTATATTTGGGGTAAGGATCATCTGAACGATCATCATCGCTGTTGACGTTTGCTTCGGCCGTATATAGAAGGAGCTCTCCCAGCTCGTCCCCCCTCCGACACATCACGTGACTTACCCGCCGGCATCCAAAAAAGGCTATGATGGTTTATTTTCTCGTCCTCAAGTCCCTCTCAGTCGAAGACAATCATGATTGTCCTAATGGACTTTGTACAATTCAGAAGACACGCATTTACCAAAGGTATAGCCAAGAACGGCTCCTTGATAGATTGAGGAGTCCAACTCGTCAAGGGAGACCTGGTCTACCTGTCGACAGTGAATCTATCCCTGCCCAAAGGCCGAGCACGCAAACTTGCTCCCAAATTCGTGGGCCCCTTCAATATTTTACAGGACTACAAGAATAATGCCTTCCTGTTGGATCTTCCCCCCGAGTTGAAACAACGGGGAATCCACCCGGCTTTTCATGCCAGCCTCCTGCGGCTGCACGTTCCCAACGACGATCGTCGCTTCCCAGGCCGGCAGCTCAATCAACTCGCGGACATCGGTACTCCCGAGGAATGGTTGGTGGCTCGTGTCACTGACCATCATGGCCAGGGTGGCAGTGCCCTCTTCAAAGTGGAGTACACCACTGGTGACTTCGTGTGGCTTCCCTACCACTCCGTCTCCCGTCTTGAGGCCGTGGGCCAGTACTTAGAGGCCCTGGGAGTGCCTGGTATCCTCCACCTCCCCAGAAAGATCTCGCCGGTCCCACCCAATATTGGGGTTGCCGCAGTGAGTAATCCATCTGAAACTAGTGATATTGTCTTCACTATGGTTGACAGGTTATTGGCCGAACTACCCGGTATCCCCTGCCCCTTAAAAACCAAGGATAGCAGGTCGCACTCCCCATCCTGTCCTTCACTCCCTTGCCCTATGGTTGCCCCCCATACCATTCCCCCCTCGTCTGACGCTATGAACGTCGACGGACCCACCCCCCCTGGCTCTGAACCAGGGGAAATCCCCCACCAGGACGTCTCACACCCCCCGCGCTCTCCACATTCCCGTGGAGGGCGGGGCAGGCGACGCAGGGGGCGGAGTGGGCCTCAATACCACCCTCCGTGTCGTGAGTCTAACTCCGACGCGATGAACGCATTCTCCCGCTTCTTCCGCGCTGAAGCTCTCGCCAAAGAGCTTGCCATCAGGAAGGACGCGTATGCCTTTGACGCGTTGGTCAAGGCTGATAGGGAGGCGGAACGCACGGAGCATCGTCAGCGCGTTCGACACCTGACCCTGGACAACAGAGGGCCACGACGCCAACCACAGCACACTCACTTTCACCCATCCCCACCAAGGCACCAGCCCACGCAGCTCACTGCTCCCCAGATCATCGCGGCTGCATCTGCATCTACGCCCAGCACCCTTCCCCTGATCCCCAGTCCCCCTGCCCAGCCTGTTGACCCAGGCCGTGATGTCCTGGACATCATAGCCGCGTCTGAGCAATTGGACCTGGAGCGCGATGACTGCCTCCATGGTGAGGTGAATGAAGTCTTCTTCAGTAGAGTCCTCGTTGTTAGCTTACTCCTGACAAATGTCCTAACACTAGCATTTTCGCTAGCTATGGTGAATCGACTCCAGATGCATTTGTTACACTACCTGTATTTATTGTAAACTAACATAAGGTACAAATAGGTACAAAAATGATCGTATGTAAGTGCGCGACATTGCGACGTATGGTACCTGACTGCGCTCGAAATGACTATGAAACAAATAAATCCAACACTAGCGGCCATGAACTCCATGGCCCATGGGCATCGCCTCCTCCTCCTAGGAGCTCTCGCATACTAAAATTGTGGGTCTCCACGTGGAGGCCCGGAGGGCGTATGTAACGCTCGACTTTCCACAAAAGCCAATAGTACGGATATCGTACCTAACGTCCAATATCCGTACCCGGCACCTCCCCTTCCCACTTAGCCCCTAGTCACCTAGTCTCATTAGCACTTTCTTTATTCACTTTTGTTCCTACTTCACCCGAGCCTCTCCTCCCCTATATAAGCTAGTTTACATAGTACAGGAGAGGTAGTTGATCCTTCTACCCCCCTTTGAGAAACAGAGGTTTAGTTCTGACAGTTTACTCAGACTCTCTTAAGTTCTCGCCTCGAAATTCAACTCGTCTCGTGTGAACGTTTTACAAACGCCACACCTTTATACCTTGCTGAAAGCTCCATTAGGTTCCAGATGCCGAAGTCAGCATCGCGCTTCGTCCGAGTCTCAGTCCTGGGTGACGACTGACTTGGCTTCGGGAACATCGCACGCCGGATTCCACTGGAGCCTTCTTCATTACAGTTCGTCATGTGCTTCTATTAGTCGTTGGGCCTATTCATCTTTCTTTGACACTCCGATATCTCCACACGACTTGGCCGCTACGTTACGTAGAGAATATCTAACTCTCCACCATCCCCATTTCAAACGAGGGTACAAGTCAGGCAATCACAGAAGCAGCTTATCGGGGGTGATAACACCTTCCATGCATGCTGTCATTGACCAGAGATCCAATCACGAAACTTGAACAATTGCTCGACATTTGTCAAGAGGTTTTGTCCGCATCACCCCATCTGTGCTTGTGTCACATCAGTCAGGGTCGCCATTGTATTTCCGTTCAAGCCATTATGCGAGGCGAAGCCACGACCGGGATAGACAATCATGGTTCGAAAAATTGTTCTGTTTTGGAGGTCAATGGCGGCCTGTGTTGTGCCAACAAGGAAAAACCATAGGTCTGACCGTCTGGTTAAGGTGGACTACCAGGACCGTCAGGCCCCACTGGCCACCCCAATCATTGTGATCTGAGAGTGCGATTGAGTTGGTCCTGTAAGGGGATGCAGATTCTGACATCTTACGTACAGACTTGATCATAACTCCCGAGGTCGTTTCCGAGAAACAGCAAGAATTTATGGAAAAGGCACGGCGATCAATATGCAAGATCAATTTCTTTCTTTCTTTTTTTTTTTTTTGGGGGGGGCACTGGTAAGGTTGTTTTCGACTGTGGTACATCCATTTCTGTGGTTCTTGTGCCACCGCTCAGCGAGTCATTTTGAAATGCTCCAAGATGCCCGAAATTTCTCTGGAGAGAAGGCGCAGGATCTGGATGACCCCCTTTACTACTGTGGTACATACATTTCTGTGGTTCCAGATCCAAACCATGTCTGCTTCCGCCTGGTCCTGGACTCCCTCCCACTGACCCCCTCGCGAGTCGCACCTTTCCAGCTCTGAAAGAGCTTGTCTCGCCCTCCGACACCCTACAACATTTTCCCTGCACCTCCCCGCACGATTCTCGACTCCTCTCGCACCTCCTCTATCCTCTCGCATCTTCCCCTACATATTTACTTCTTCTTGCGCCCTTCAATAGTACTGCACCACCACCATTATCTCTGTAGCCACATGCAGCTACTACCGATGACTACCCAAAGCATACCTCACTGTGCCATCAACCAGATGGCCCACATCAAACCATTTATTTGACAGTTACACCTAACTTATAGGCGGCGGAGTCTTGCGGGTCTATACAGGTTTCCACTATGAATTGTAGATACATGAACCACTTGATGTTTTCGAAACGCCAGAAACCCATGGGAGCGTAGTACTATTCTCGACCTCTCCCTCTCAAATTAATTGCATTTAATTGGTTTGATTTCTGAGTGAAACCATTCATCTATAACTCGACCGTCCTTCGAACTTCTTCAACTTTGAGCGTTCAACACAGTCACAGTCATCAGTTCAGACCGTTAGTTAACTTAGTCCGACCTGTCTGGCTTTTTGTTTTGGATGTGACTATTTTTGCAACTACCTTACTTATGAAAAGGTTCAATTTCGGTATTGTCCATAGGCTACAGTCTAAAATGCGACCTTACCAGGCACCCAAAAGGAAAGTCAGAAATTAATCTTCCATGTTGATCGCCGTGCCTTTTCCGTAAATTCTTGCTGTTGCTCGGACGCGACCTCGGGAGTTATGATTAAGCCTGCATGGAAGATGTCAGAATCTACTACTCATCCCCTTACAGGACCAACTCAATTGCACTTTCAGATCAGAATGGTGGGGATGGCCAATGGTGTAAGAGTGGGTCTCATGGACCACGTTCGCCGCATGATATCTGACGCGACTGAGTGCTCTGAGTCTTGACGGTCCTGCCTTTCTCCCCTAGCAAGACGGTAGGACATATAGTCGTTCCTTGCTGTGACCACGCGGGCTGCTATTGATCTACAACAGAACAATTGTTCGAATCGTGATGGGCTATCTCTGTCGTGGCTTCCCCCCGATCGATGACTCAGATGCCCCACCGGTAGGACGTGATTGCGACCCTGTCTGATGTGACACAAAACACATGAATGGGGTGATGCGGACAGAATACCTTGACAAATACCAAATCGTTCTCAAGTTGCTTATAGGATCTCTGGTCTATGACAGCCTGCATGGAAGACGTCATCACCCCTGATAGGCTGATTCGGTGATTGCCTCACTTGTATTCTCTGCATAACGTAGCGGCCAAGTCATGTGGAGATATCGGAGTGTCAAAGAAAGATGAATAGGAGGCGGCCCAACGACTAATAGAAGCACATGACGAACTGTAATGAAGAAGGCTCCAGTGGAATCCGGCGTGCGATGTTCCCGAAGCCAAGTCAGTCGTCACCCAGGACTGAGACTCGGACGAAGCGCGATGCTGACTTCGGCATCTGGAACCTAATGGAGCTTTCAGCAAGGTATAAAAGTCGCAGCATGTCCCGCCATTAGTTCCCACCAACCAACCAACTTCAACAATCCTCTCTCACTCAATACTCAGCAGAATCAATCATGAGTAACATGATCCCCAGCGGCAATTACGTGATCCAAAACGTGTTGTACAGCGAAAGGTATACTGCCATGGCAGGACCTGACAACAACTCCGAGGTTGTAGGCCATGATGTTCCCAATACCGTACGCGCACACCGCAACAGCGACATGCTTTCCGTGCTAATCAATGCCCGTAGATCAAGGTTGATGTCCTGGACTTGATTTCTCATCTTGCGACCCTCTATGATACGAACAAAGGGAAGTATATTACCATTGAAAACGTGAGTCTATCTGGTGTTGAGATATGCGAGATTACTCACAGCATCAAATGATAGGGCCTAGTCGTAGGCAGGGACGAGCCTCAGGTGCTCCAGTTGTCCTCGGAGGACGGTGAAAACTTTACGTGAGTATGATCTTCGGTTCCAACGGCACCGAGAATTGATTCGTCCCGCAGCATCCATGAGCAAGACATCAACTTGGTGGGCCAACTCCCAGATGGCGGAAACTGGACCCCGGTTTGTTTTTCATCAGTGACCTTTGATCGATGTATGACCGATATTACTCCAGGTCATTGCTGCTCCAGCCCCTCACCCGGGCGTTGAGGGCTCCACGAGGAAGTACTGGAAGTTCGTGCCGGCGTAATAAGATGTCTTGGAATGCAAGGATACCTACTGGTAGTTTCTGTTGCTTTAACTCGTCTCAGTCGGAGAATGCTTGTACTACTGATTAGCTCACGGTCGCGATGTACTATGCAAAGACATGTTTGTGACTTTCCTTGGCTGGATGACGAGGTATCCGATGGTAGCGCGAGGTTATAAACTTCAAGCCACGAAACATATTGAGTCCGCTACTGGTATGCTCTGCAGTCGCGAGTGCTTTCGTGGCTCCTCAGAACCTGGCTGGACGGTCGAACTGTTTGATGAGGCCGAACTAGAGCTGACAGCATGAGGTCGTGAAAGGATGCATGATAGCAGTGCGGAATAACACACTGGGCATAGCGGCCGTGAAAACTTTGTTCGACCATTGCGAGATTGTGATGCAAATCTGCTGCTGATAGCACATCCCAGCAATCACTTGCGAGGTAAAGATGAAATATCAGCAATGTTCAACTGACGTGGAGACGGAGAAATGGTGGTATGAATATATACTTGAACACGGAGATGAGGAGAAGAGCTTATCGATATTGTGAGTGATCTTGGGACAAAATAGTCAGTGCCAGATAGGACAGGGGCTGTAGCGTACCGAACAACCAAAAAGTTCTGGGACGCATCTACTCTTGCAATGGAGACAAGGTCAGTCTGATCAACCGTGTACCAGTCGCATTAGGCCTGGGGTTTGATGACAGGATTCCGCGCTCATACCAGACGCATGCTTCCCCAGAGAGTGCCAGTGACTGTTCGTGGGTAAAACGTATCGCCACTGCAAGCGAGGACCAAGCACAAGACACATGGTGTTGTATCCTCCATTCTTCTATTCGCAATCTGTGTCAGCGCTCAGGTCTGAGGTTGCATCTATTTTAGGGTATTTATCTCCCTGCAACATACACCCCGAACTTGGCTATTGCGGTGGTTCGGAGACCCTCACCCCCTCTAACATGGTAGTACTATCCTCCTTCACAACTTCTCATCTATGCGCGCGTCTGTGACTGGAAAGTCGCTGTATCCTTTGGGTGTGAGATCACCGACCATGTAGAATGTTGCATGATCGGGTTTTTCCAGCGGGAGATCGTACTTGATGCGGATCGGGAGGTCAGGCTGTTGGAAGGTTTAGGATACGAGGACAGAATCAGACGCAAGAGGAGGTAGATGTCAGCAAGACAGCACACACGCAAGGAAAATGTACAACTTGAAGAAGAACGAACACGGATCTTCACAAGAATGGAACAAGCTCAAAGGACTCACGTTCGGGATAAACAACCTTCCAAACGCCACCAAACCCCCCTTCTCCTGCGCGGTGTCGATTGCGGTCTGTCGTGTGTGCCCACCTGCACTGATAAACACTCGGTTCTTGCCCTCCTCGCACCATATCTCGCGCAAGAAATCGATGTCACTGTCCGGTGGTATATCCGCATCCACAATCCCACCGATGCCTGGCTCGCAGACATGGAGGTAGGCGAGGTCGTACTTCCGAAGCTGGCTTACGAGGTAAGAGAATTGTGGCTTAGGGTCGGGGAGACCCATGTCTAATAAGGGTGAGTCCAGCGCGAAATAGGGACGGAAAAAGCATGCACCTTGAAACGGACTCCATGGACTCAGCCTCAGGCTGACCCTCTCAGCCCCAAGCTCTTTCACCAGAGCATCCACAACCTCGATCATGAACCTCGCTCTCTTCTCGATACTTCCACCCCACCCGTCCTCCCGGATATTACTCACCTCTTGCAAGAACTGGTCGGGAAGGTATCCGTTTGCGCCATGAAGTTCAACACCATCGAAGCCTGCTGCGACGGCGTTCCTGGCGGCGGTGACATAAGTTTCGATGAATTCCTTTATTTCCGGCTCTGTGAGGGCGTGCGGGACAGGTGTAGGCCTTCTGGAGAGTGGGATAGGTGAGGCAGAGACAAGCGGAGCACCACACTCCTTGGCGAGGACATCTGGATATGCTGCCCTCCCAAGTGCCCATAACTGACAAAAGATAAAGCTCCCCTTCTCATGTACGGCATCTGTGACCTCCTTCCATCCTGCGACTTGTTCCTCCGTACAGATGCCAGGGACGAAGTCACACCCGCCAGCAGCCGGGGAGATGAAGGTGGCCTCTGTGATGACGAGGGTTCCGGGGACGGATGCGCGTTGGGAATAATAAGCGGCTGCGTAGGGTCCGGGGACATGGTTAGGATAGGTGCGACAACGGGTGAGGGGGGAGAGGACGATGCGGTGGCTGAGGTCCATGTGCCCCACCTTGATGGGGTTGAAGAGTGCGACTGTCATCGTGGGCTAGTGTGTTTGGGTAGTTTGACCATGAGCTCGACAGGTGCATTTTATACTAAGTGATTGTGAGATATATCCACCGTCCTAGTGAGCTGGCATTAAGTGAACTGATCGACTGAAACTTTGGTGGCGACGTTGATCGGAGCACGTGATGCTACTGAACCCGATTTCTTCCTCCTCCAATGAACTTAATTTTCAGCTTAAAAGCTAGATACTCCGGATCTGAATCATGGCCCATCTGTTGTCAATACATCGTATTTTTTTAACCAGCGCCCTCAGTCATAACGCTTGGCCAGGTGCACATGCTAGTTGCCAATATCACTTGCTTTGCCAATCATCCTCCCTTATCACCCACGGTGTGATTCAAGGCTCTAGTCATGATTGTATATACCGTGGGAAGTAATATTTTTTCCCCTACTGCCAGCAATCTCATGAGCAATATTTGAGCTGCAATCTGAAAGTGATATGAATCCAAAGTCGTAATAATTTTGATTGTACTCCAGCAGTAGTTGTCCCTGCCCACGCTTCAAAGGGTTCATTCAATGGACACGAGGCTGCCTCCCTGATTCGCACGACGTGACTAAAAATCGTCCTAAAACTTTATTCAATACCCCATCATGGATTGGTGACCGAGGGGGAGTCGTGGGAGGTTGCTGTAAATCAGTTCTGGTGGATTTAGAATTCACACCTCATCTATAGACAAAGAAATGAGTTATATATGTACATGTACACACAACACAAAATACATTCCGCACTACGCTCAAGAAATCCGTGGATCCTACTAGTCAGCAAAGTGTGTACAGGCATGATTCTCAACCACACCCCAATTGAAAAATCTAGTCCATCTCACTCGGACAGGAGCGTGGTACCCAACCATTAACGGAAGTGCAGTACGACTCGGTAATAGCGTCGGACTGGGCTGCGGACTGGTACCCAACCCTGATCCGTCCCATTTGCGTGCGCTTGTGCATACAGGCCTGATACTGTCCTTAACCACTGCATTACACACATCGGTCTAATTGCCGCCAGAGGACCGCCTAAGCTGTGGACTTGTTTGTAAAGTAGTACACGCGTATCTGCACATTTACGAAAATATCGCTCAGGAAAGCATTCAGAGACACACTTGTCTGATCGAGGTCGCTCCAGGCAAATACCTGCAACAGGGGAGGTAGAGGAAGCTGTCGGTCCGATGGTAATATTGTGGTCCGTTGTAGTTGAGAGAGTTTGCATCTGACATGGAGAGTTGGCGAAATCTGGTTGTCGGGATTATAGTGCACGAAAGTGTGCCATTGAGGATTGTTCTCGCAGATGACTGGAGCCATATAGGGAGCTCCGAGGGCAAAAAATTGTTGAACATCTTTAGGCTCTGTATCAAACGAGTTGAACTCCACGGGTATGGTCTCACTCGAAGTGTCCTGACCTTGGTTGTATCACGTGGGGGCAATACTGGAAAACCAGCAGACTTTTATGTGCTATCGAGAAGATCGTGTCAAATCCACCCAAAAACAGGGGTAAGTATGAACACCCCAAGAAACTATCTTGAACGAAGAAATCATCATAACCAGAAGTCCTGTAAAATAGACTTAGCATCGTATGAGATATGATCAAAGAACAAAGAACTACCTCGATCTCACTCATGCAATGGGCTTCAGCTGAAATGTGCGACGTCAGCCTGTCCATTGACCGACGCTATCAGCGCGAAATTCAGGACAAACGGATGTCGGCGAGGATAGTAATGTTACTCTCAAAAATCCGATTAAGAACATCATATTAGTGGAGAAACAAGTCAGAGAATGAATAAAAACAACTTGAAGTTGTTATGCGATACGAGCACTGGAACCACTGAATTTCACGAGCTGAAATTAGCTGGTGCCGGTTCATAGGGAACGAATTGGGGCGAGCACCGATGGAGGTTCGCGGGTTACACAGCCAAAAAAAGGCTGACACTAATATGCTTGAAGCTAAGACACTGTATGTGAGCGCCGTCAGTCTGTGGGACTTGAAAATTTATAATCATGCCTCAGTTCGGATCGAAGAACACCAGGTTGCGACATGTGCGAAGACCAGGGTCGGACGGCTTTAGGTTTGATCTCATAGACCCGATTCTGTGCTGGTGGCAGAGAACAAAGAACAACATGAAGTTACGCAGAGAGTCGCCGGAATCACCAGACCTCGCTAAATTTCGCGAAGTGGAATTAACTGGCGCCAATTCCTAGGGGGAAGTTATAAGCGCCGATGGAGATTCGCAGACAAATTACGGATTGTACCGGTAAAAGAGTTGACGCTGGTATGCCTTCTCCAGAGCTAATGTTAGTACCAGCCCCACATCAATTTGACTTTCGTTCGTTGATCTCAGACTGATCATACCTGAGTCCGCGTTTGCCCAGATCCTGTCTGCCAACATCATGACATCGACTGCGACTCTACGGCTGCCAATTTTTAAGAGTTCCGTCGATCGGACTTGTGGTTGATTGCATTGTCTGCGGTGTTGTTGTCTCGCTCACGATCTGTCAGAGTGATGACAACAGCGATGCAGGCAAGCCGATGCGGCGAAGGTAAGTGCCCTGTGGTGTCGTACTGCAGGGTGTTGATATCTGTGCAGGAATTTTGACTGGCCTGAACTTTCCTGCCGGACCCTGCAAGGACCCTGAGTCATTGAGTCAGAAGGGTTGACGTTGTGGCTTTCCTCCTCGGCGAACGCCAGAGGATGTCCGACTCCTCCCGTCCGGCTCTATCCGGCTCACTGTGATTTTTGCAGCTTCTAATGTCCTACCGCCGTGAAGGTGCCAACCGCCCACGACTTTGCAAATTACTAGATTCAGTGGTACGTCTTCCTACGTCTTCTCACTATTACTACTTGGTCTGATGGACTTCTCGGATTCTACAGCCATGTTACTCACTTAAAATTGAAACTTATACACACGCCATCGAAGGATGACAATCATTGGGTTCGTTTTTGTAATATGATTCCCGCAGTGTAGGTATTGCTTCTGTTGCCACGGAGTTCGGGACAAATGTTTTTCCGTCATCGAGTATGAAGGAGGATGAATGACTTATGCGATACAAAGCGGATACCGCGTCGTTACAATGGTTCCAACTTCAAGGTTGCTTGCAGCCGCTCGTCAACGTGAATTAAAATGCATGGGATTGAATCATTGTCCTTTCAGGGCCCTAGTAGGCCACATCGGTGAGTCAGACGTCGAACTCGGGGTTTTACATTCCCTGACTTTGTGGCTAGTCTCTCGTAGGCGGGCCATAAAAGCAAGAAGACAGCTGTTCCTTCTGTATTAGCACAATAGGGGATAGTCCCGATTTCGAAGACATATGCCTTTTTCTCTGGATGCCTCCATGATCTTCTAGTCGTCAATTGCAATCTCACATTCTAGCCCTAGAGGTCACTAGGCCGCCTCCTTTCCTCAAGGGTACCCAGCTGTTCGAGTGACTCCGGCGGAGCAGGTAGCAGCCGGAATGAACAATGTCAACTCGGATCTCTCGCATCATACATTTCAGTAATTTATGATTCTTCTTTTGGGACTGATTTCTTAGCGCCCAGCACTCGGCTCTCATCTTATGGTAAACCCCATTACCGGAATCTGACGCGTTCAATTCCCATGGAGTACGTGGCTAGCCTAGAGCGGCATAAGAAATCAAACAAAACCAGTGCGTGATTGTTGATAATAACCTTCTTATAAGACACAGGTGCGCGAAGGCGGGCATGTTACGTTCATGTCTATCCCAAAAGGCATCGCATTGATAACTGGGTCTGCGCAGGGAATAGGCCGTGGCATCGCCCTGCGGCTTGCACGGGATGGTTTCGACGTCGCTCTCAACGACTTACCCAACAAGGATGCTAAGTTGGATTTGGTAGCGACTGAAATTAAAAGTTTAGGGAGACGAGTCTGCGTCATTCCCGCTGACGTGAGGGTCGACAGAGAAGTCAAAGAGATGGTCGACAATGCTGTTACCAAGCTTGGTGGATTGGACGTCGTTAGTCACCCTTCTCATCTCACTGCTCAATACGTGTGTTCACTGAATATTAATGTGTGCAGATGGTTGCTAATGCCGGAGTACTGACGTTTGCCTCGCTTCTATCAAGTACGATTTCAGCCGAGTCGACAATTGACGATTTCTCAACGTCATCCACTAGCAACTGTTGAGACATGGGACCGGATTTTCTCAGTAAACGCCCGTGGAACTTTTCTGTGCTACAAGTATGCTGCCATGCAGATGATTGAACAGGGTCGTGGTGGTCGAATCATTGGTGCGAGCTCGCTCGGGGGCAAAATCGGTGCGTCATGAATATGAGTTTGCACGAGTATTTTTATCCAGACAACTGGACAGGCTTTCCCTACAATTCCTCGTATGGAGCGAGCAAATTTGCAATTCGAGGGCTTACTCAAGTTGCAGGTAAATGTTAAGATACTCGCATGGGCAGCCTTTGATAAAGGCCGCTTGACAGCTCTTGAGCTTGGCCAACATGGTATTACTGTAAATGCATATGCTCCTGGCGGGATAGAGACTCCAATGGGTAAGTTTGAACCAATTTCCGCTTTCGTAGCTGATTCCTAGCCAGCCGAGAGTATGATGGATGAGTCTGGGAACGTGGATTTGGCAAAAATTTTCGACGATCCTGTCTCAAGGAAGTGGGTGGTAGCGGTAAGTATAGCCAGATATGAATACCTGCTTTCCTCACAACCTCGATAAGTTACTTGAGAATGTTCCTATCAAGCACGCGGGACAGCCCGAAGATATAGCTAGCATTGTAAGCTACCTCGCATCGAAGGAAGCGCACTTCATTACCGGTAAACTCATAGCTTCATTGAGCCTGTCTTTTGCTCACGTACCATATAATTTTTCCAGGTCAATGTGTAGGTCAAGTTGGTCCGTTGCACACAGCTAATCTGATTTTCTTCCCAGATTTCTGTCGATGGAGGAATCAGCATGAACTGAGAAGGCCAAGTAAATGATTATGTTCTTACTTCTCGCAGATCCTATGATGTGATTACAATATTAACTCCAGTATTTCCCTCCGCTTCGAGTATTGGCAAGTGGCGTTGTTTGCCCATGTCCCCAGTGCTAGCCAAATGGAACCAAGTCTAAGAATCTTCGAGTGGAGTCCCTATGAACATACATCTATTTGGACGAGCCTATGTAACATGGCCAGTGCCCCATCCAGACAGAATGGCATGCGCAGTAATGTGATTTTGTGATTCCAAATGTCCGAACTCACCCTCAGTGCGATCCATGAGAGAACAAAGGGAGCGATGGGTAGCTGGGCGGTGGCGTGATCCTGGTTTGATTCAACGAGTAAGGCGTGAATTGACTGTACGGAGTTATATATTCCCATAGTTCGTCGCATCAGGTGCAGACAGCAGTTGGGTACGAGGGTACTCCAGACGATATCGCAAGTATTGTTCCTACCTCGCGTCAGAGGATGCCAACTTTATAACTGGAAAGTTTCCGAGTCCAAGCCCATGTAGAAGTTTAGTGCTTATAGGATACCTAATGTTATTAGGGAAGAGCATAGGTGCACCAGCACTAGATTGGAATCTGGTCAATCCTTGGGTTTATTCTATTGACACAGATTTCTGCGGATGAAGGAATCTTCTTCGATTAGAAAGTTTGAGGCGATATGGTGGGAGACAAGTTGTAGTACTTCAAGTTGTACTGGTTTAAGGCTGAGTCACAGTGTGATCCCGTGACTCATCCGAAATCTATTGATCGTATGATCTCGTCGTATGATCGGCTTTAGCGTCGGACTCTCGATAAAGATTAGATATGGACTAGCCCGTACTGCCAACGCCGCTGTTCTCCTCTGCTCGACACCGTCGTCTCTGAATCTTGATCTTCTCTTTTCCACCTTATATCTCGACTTCCATTCGATATGCCTCGCCAGTTCTTCGTCGGTGGAAATTTCAAGATGAACCCTACCTCGCAGGGTCAATTGGATTCTATCATCAGTGTCCTTAACTCTGCTGATCTGGACAGCACGACTGGCGCGTATTTTTTTTTGTATTTACGAGACCTTCAGCTCACAGACTACTGTAGAGATCGTCGTTGCGCCTCCGTCGCTTTATCTCATCCCACTTAAACAGACGGTGCGACAGGAAATACAGCTCTCTGCTCAAAACTGCTTCTACAAAGAGTCGGGAGCATTTACTGGTGAAATCAGGTAAGTTGACAGAACGTCTGAGTTGGTTTAATCTTGAACTATTATCATTAGTCCTGCGCAACTTGTCGACTCCAATATCCCCTACGTGATTCTAGGTGAGTGGTTTATCAACTTGATAGATCTCAGTTAAATGCTTTCAGGCCACTCTGAACGCCGGTCCATTTTCCATGAAACGTCTGAAATCGTCGCCAAGAAGACTGTGGCTGCCTTGACTGCGACGTTGAAGGTCATCTTTTGCGTCGGCGAAACCCTTGAGGAGCGTGAAGCAGGCCTGACTACAGAAGTCGTTCAGAACCAGTTGCAGGCCGCTGTCAGTCATTTGCAGGTGACCGACTGGAGGTGCGAACTTGTATAATCGTGCTGTGCCGTGCTGATTGATAACGTTTCAGCTGTGTTGTGATCGCATACGAACCCGTGTGGGCGATTGGCACAGGCAAAGTTGCCACATCCGCTCAAGCACAGGAGGCTCACTTGAACATCCGCGCATTCCTCTCTCAGGCAGTGTCCCCTGCTGTAGCAGAGAATACCAGGATTATCTATGGAGGCAGTGTTACTGCTGCAAACTGCCAAGAGCTTTGTACGTCTACGGCAGAAGACCAAGAAGGAGATACTGACTCTCAGTTCCAGCTACTCAACCCGACGTAGATGGTTTCCTTGTCGGAGGAGCTTCATTGAAGCCAGAGTTTGTCAATATCATCAATGCGAGGAGGATTCAGGGGTGATGAGTCTCTCCAGTGTGCTTCTGTTTGATATACCAGGCAGAAATAGGCAATTATGCTACCTAGACTTTGCAAGGAAATAAGATCACATAGTGTATGAGTATTCGATAGGTTCGAGTCCGTCTCGAAACTTGTATTTGATGAATCGATCATGCATATATATGACGTAATGTCATTTTCCCAGCAAATTCGGCTCTCGCATGTACGTACTTGCACTATTCAACATACCCCCATCGTGATTCTCTAGGTTGTGTTCTACTGATTGGGACTTTGAACACAGTTCCCGTCGAGATGTTTCGGTCACTTCTTGCACCATGGCAAAGTCACGAGGAACACGCGCCCACTGCGCCTGCAATTAATATCACTAGCGGCAATACCCCAGATTCCAGCAACGGAAGTGAAAATGCGGCGCAACAATCCATGCGGGATATGGTGGAGGAACTGAAAGTAACAGAGAAAGTAGTCGCGAAGACGACTGTGAGCCCTGTGTCAATCTATGTTGTGGGACACCCATAATCGCATCTTGCAGCTCCTGCAACGGATTGCAGACCTCGTTCGTGAAGTACCTGAAACGAAAAACGCGTTTCGCAGTTCAGACGGATTTCTCTTACTCGTTCACGTGCTTTCTACACTGTCAACGAGGATCGGACGACGAGGATCCCAACAGACGCGTGATGTCATAACTTGTATCAAGTTGGCGTTCACGTTGGCCTCTGAGGCTTTGAAGGGACATGCAGCGAATCTTAAGTTCTTCGAGGTGCGTTTCTTGGCACCTGATGATAATGCTATCGTGACCTCGAAAACCAAGGAATTCATAGGCTACTCTTCGCTTTCTGATGCTGTGGACCTGCTGGTCTGCAATGTGTTGACTGCGGATGTGACCCTCGGGTGCTTGTTAGCTCTTTCTTTTGGTGATCTCTTCCTTGTGGAATTTTTCAGCTCATTACGAACAAATTTACCTGATACCGAGGCGATGCACATCCACTTCCTGGAATTCGCACCTGGTCTAGCCAGTATCAACCTTCCCGGAGCATTCAGTGTTCTTTGGAGCTTCGTTCTGCGAACCATCAACACGGACCCCGCCTTGAGGCTCATCGTTTACCGGCTTCTAGAACACTTGACACACAGCACGCATAGAAACCTCGCCGTCTTGAGCACGCAAAATGTCCTGCCGCACCTTTTCAGATCGTGGAAGGCTAATATGAGTAGCGCAGGAGATGACGATAAAGAGCACCGTATCCTAGCAAAGATTCTTCGCCATCTTTTCGAAATGGGTGCTAGTACCCAGGACTCGAGGGATTTACTGCAGTGCATTGGGAAGCAAGATGGATCTGTGGATATAGACATGTTGGAACTTCTGCGCTCAAGTGCGAAGTCGAGGTGGCCACAGCACTTCTCACTCAAAGGTTGTTCTGCACTTGCAATTTCGTCTACAGAAATGAAGGCTCTCCCTGCCCATGGGTTCACATTCATGGTGAGCTATCTGGTCTGCGGGATCGAAATCGTGTCTAAATCGTAGACAGGCTTGGATTTGGCTCGAAAGGATGCCTTCGGAGCCACACAAGTTGTTCAGCATATCTTTTGGGTCCAATGATGCCGTGGCTCTCTCTGTCGGTAGCAACGGGGCATTAGCCTTGCGATCACGCGCAGTTCAAAAAGTTGTAATGCTTCCAAAGTCGAAAGTGACAACTTCTCGATGGACTCACGTCACCCTTGTGCATCATCCACATAAATCATCACATCCTTCTGTTTGTACGTGGCTTAGATATGCTCCTGCAATCTTTTGACCGTCCGTGATGCAGGCTTGTTCATTGATGGCGTTTTAAGCGACTCATTCCAATGGTCATATCCAAAGTTCGATGAGGCGTCGCCTGCGACTTTCATGGTAGGAGATGACGTTGCCGCAGTTGAATCTAGCTGGTGTGTGGCTTCTGCCTACTTGCTTTCGATCGCGCTCGGTATGTTTTTTTCTACCAGCAAATAACATTAATTTCTTCAATACATGTAGATGACGACTTTCCGAGGTTTATACACCACCTGGGCCCCCGATATTCCGAGTCATTCCAAGATCAGACTCTCATCAGGTTCCTGACGTACGAAGCGTCGACGTCTTTGAACATGCATATCATAGCTCAAGGCGCAGCACTATCTGAGAATTCGCAACTCAAGAAGGCCATTCGCGGAGACTCGATCATTAGCGATTCATCGATTATATTTCGTGTCGTACCTCAACCGCACGATAAAAAGGACCAAATTGTAACTCGAGGCGATGTATTTACGGTATGCTGTCAGCCGCTGGACCTTGCTGTGTGGAGCATTGGCGGGGCGGCTCTCTTGCTGCGCCTAGTAGCACTTGCTCAAACGCCGCATGAGCTTTCCAAAGCATTGAATGTCTTTTCCGACTGTCTTCGCAACAGTTGGCAAAATTCTTATGACATGGAAAGCTTACGTGAGTACAGAATATGCGAGATCTTGACTGTAGTTGATTTTCGTATAGATGGTTATGATGTTCTTGCAAGCACGCTGAAAGCTCGGAGTCATCTCATAAATATGACCAGCTTTGAAATATTGTTTGAATTCCTCGGTTTAAATTTCCGCTCTCCAGAGTATACCTCCCTTCTGTCTTATTACGCAAGGCACTGACGCTTCATCAGTTTATCCACTGTTGTCAACACCATTGCTTACAGAGCTGTGGCACTCGACTTTGAGCTGTGGTCAAAAACCAGTGCCGACATCCAACGGGCTCATCTCGAACATTTCGCCTTCCTGTTGCGTGCCAGCAGATATAGAAAGTTCAACATCAAGATGCGATTGTCGAAGCTAGGCATCGTACGCAAGTTGTTGTTCGCCATCCAGTCAACTTGGTACCCACAAGAGTCTATACCGCTTGTTGTCAACGCGCTGGTACTTGTTGCGCAATCGTCTTTTACAGCGGAGGAAGCTATCAAACCAATTGTTTCTTACATAGCTGCCGCCCTTGCTGAAGGTGGGCTATCTTATATTCAAACCCTCTTCGTCTAATTGAATGTTCCCAGAATCTCGATCATCGTATTCATCGTCACCTAGATCATCAATGTCCCGTGGAGACTTGCTACGGTCTAGTACCAGAGATAAAGCCGATCAAGTCCTTGAAGCGCTTGTTTCCATGATGCGCATCCCTTCACTTCACTCTAAGCTTGCTGATACGCTTCCTATGCACCGAATTTGTTTACTGCTGCTTGGGAGTCATCCATCCTCACATACTGCCTGCCAGGTGCTTGGCATGCTCGGCCTCAGACTTAAGGCCTCTTCATCATCTGGCAAAAACTTCGAGTTGGCTAGTGGTTGGGATATTCTAAAGACTGTGTTACCTCCAGTCTGGGATCGAAATGTACATGATGCAGCTTTAGACATCCTGCCTGGGCGCCCTGGGGGCAATTCTAGCAATGACTCAGGATCCCCTCAGATGGTATCCGTATTTCTCTTTGCGTTGTATCAAGGACTGTCAGCCGGGAACAATAATGCTGAACCAGGTGAAGGTGGGCAATCTGTCTACTGCGTCGATGTTCCATTTCACTCTTCGTACAGCTCCCTCAAAAGATGCGATCATCTGGATTCTCGATGACTTGGCAAAGCTTCACGAGTCAAGCTCATCGTTCCGTCGCGTCTTCAGGTCCCAGAGCACTGTCCAGCTACTTCTTGACGGTCTCAATATATTCTCTCCTACGAGGCAGCCTCCCGGGGCCCTAGATGCCAAAATATCTGACAAGCTAACGCACTTCGGATTACTTGTAGCGATGGACAAGCACATCTCTACGTCTCAAAAACAACAGGTATTCCACCCGTTTGCCATATGATAACACCTCTCATATTGTCTGCACAGATACTTGATATTGTTCGCCCTGACACTCAGCCAAAAGGACGAACTGATCCTGTGGACACGTCTGTGTCACGACTCGGTCTTGTTCAAGCAGACACGGTCCGTAAAGCGTCTGCACGTCTTGAAGAATGGCGAAAGACGATTCTTGGTTCGGAGCGCAAACGTTTCAGGCAGACTTTATTAGACTTGTGCCTAAATGTCCATGTTATAGCACCCTTGGATATACTGACTGTTGATATAGGCAAGAAAAGCGACGTAGAATCACATCTTTCGAAGAAAGTGTGTCTGCATCAACAACCGAACGCGATATCTGGCCCCATACAGCTCGGAAACGCGTGTGGAAATTGGACGAGACTGAAGGACCGCACAGAGTTAGGTCAGTGAGCTTCTTGATGTCAAAGGCAAAACCAATGACATCGACCAGGAAAAAGATGGAAAACATCCTGGAGTTGCTTGTGCAGGAGTCGAACCACGAGGAAGTTTCATCAGCTTTCGATATGTCGTCGCCGTCCCAGTCAGAGCTTGCTTCTCCGAATACCGTGGTCGTTCCATCCTGGACAGACGAAGATGGTTCTTCGTTACTTTCGACGTTTTATCAACTTTGACTAACATTGTTTCCAGGCGATCATCAGCTCACTGAAGAGCTTACTGAGGACAAACTCAGGAGAGTGAGGTACCAACTCGAGCCTGGAGATGTCATTGAGGCTGTTAGCACTGTCTGCCGAATAGCCGGCGTTGACTCTTTTCGTAAGCAGTTAAATTGCTTCTATGCTCACTGGCTGTCTCAGTTGTCGATTCCCAGTTGGCATGTTGATCTTCGGGCGTACTCACGTGTATATGTTGGAGGGTCTCGTAGAGAACGGTGATGGTGAAGTTATTGACGCAGGTGATGCGCCAGAAGGATTGTTCCTTATATCCGGAAGTGCGGTAGACGTTCGGAACTTGCAGCGGGCTCAACGATGGTAGACAATGCTTGTCTGTTCTAGCTTTAGCGACACTGAATATCTTCTGTGACAGGTCACTGGAACAAGTATCAGGGTTCTCTGATAGGATGTTCCTTTTCCGGGACGTAGGGTGAGATCTGTCACTCACCACATGTCACTTTACTAACCCGGTCAGGCTCGAGATCTTCTTCAAAGATAGTCGCACACTGCTGGTTATTTTCCTTGATAGATCACGTCGCCAAACGGCTTCCCAGTTGCTCTCATCGATAGCCTTGAAAATGAGGGTGTTAGACCCAAGCCCAACACCTGGATCTATTTTACACAAATCGCTTTTGAGAAGCAGATCATCCACCAGTGCAGTGGAGAAAGAACTCCAAATGGCGCAACAGCAGTGGCAGAATAGAGAGCTAAGCAATGTGTGTGATGTCCCCATCTCTTATTCCAATACTTACTTTGAGCTAGTTTGGATATTTGAGCATTCTCAATCAACTGTCAGGACGTACCCCAAACGATGCAACTCAATACCCTGTTTTCCGTCAGTGATTGTCAACTCCTTTTTCACAAGGAAACTCATGGCGACTTTTAGCTTGGGTTCTCAATGATTACGTTTCAGAGGTGCTGGATCTTTCATCTCCTAATGTGTTTAGAGAGTGCGTTCGCATAACTCCTGAGTTCGTAGACTCCATGTTAACACAATGGTGCAGCCTCACTAAGCCTATGGGAGCTTTAACGGCTGAGCGTCGTGAGGCTGCGATAACTCGTTATTCTAACCTGAGCAGTGTTGACGAAAAACCATTCCACTACGGAACACACTTCAGCTCGTAAGTCTTTTATTTGCCCATATCCTTCTTCTTGACGCCGAGCACAGGTCGATGATCGTTTGCCACTTCAATATTCGCATACAGCCGTTTACCAATATGTTCAAGACGCTACAGGTATGTTCCGTTTGGTGCGGAGAAACACTCACTTATCCCCGCAGGGAGGAGACTGGGATTTGCCCGATAGGCTTTTCACGTGAGTCTTCAGTTTCAAGCGGGATGCTGGGGCATCGTGTGATCACTCGGATGTATACCTTAGCGATATAAGGAGAGCATATTCTTCGGCATCGCATGACGTCCGAGGGGATGTGCGTGAATTGATACCCGAGTTCTTTACTTGTCCAGAGTAAGCCCTCCGATTGCTCTGTATCCCGTTCAATTTGACAATAGACACCGTGTTCTGATTCAGATTCCTCGAGAATTCGTCAAATCTTGACTTCGGCATTTCTCAAACTACCGGAGAACGGGTTCACAATGTTAAACTGCCCGCGTGGGCGAAAGGAGACCCGCTCCTGTTTACTGTAATACATCGCCGTGTAAGTTTTACGATGGAAGATACATGTTTGATTAACGATCTATTTTGGCGCGTAAATAGGTCCTTGAGAGCCACTACGTCAGCGAGAATCTTCCTGCTTGGATAGACCTCATATGGGGATGCAAACAACGAGACGTGGATTCTGCGAACGTTTTTCACCCTCTCAGTTACGAAGGCGCAATTGGTAGGTTTATCTGCCGGAAATTACTCCCGATTGACAGGCATGTACAGATCTGGACAAGATTACCGATGATCTTGAGCGACAAGCTACTGTTGGAATCATCCATAATTGTGCGTTGATCCCAGTCACCTGAAGCAGAGTCACATAGTCGCATTACAGTCGGGCAGACCCCCAAGAAGCTTTTCACCTTGCCACATCCACCACGAAATCTTCAAGGGCTCCTGAGCCTTCCTGTCACTGCAGTTTGTGGTGTGCCCGAGGACGCACTTGCGTTAGCAAGAGATCCACAGCCTTTCAAGGGCAAGTTTTCTTTATTTCGATATCGACTCAAAAGTTTTAACTGTTTGACGCAGTCGTGCTGAATAGTGCTGTGTCGAATATTTCCGTCGACCTGTCTGATGGAAAAGATCATGGTGTGCGTCCATTGCCTTGTGGAGTGATCGATCTCCTTTCGCCTGGTCATGAACAAGTCGAATGGAGTCAGGATGCGAGCGATCGCTCACTGCGGTTGGTATCCCACGGAAGAGTACTCAATGTTTTTTGTTGACGAGAATGGTCTAAACTAATGTGGTCCCCGCAGGTTACACAAACCATTGAGCAGGTAGCACCCTTGTGTGCTGCCTTTGCAGACCAGGACACTTTAGTAACGGGTTCTGGTGATAACATCGTGCGTGTTTGGCGCGTCAATCAAGGTCAAGCGGCGCCTGCGGGGTTTGTTGGAGCGTCAGGACGGTATCGCAAGCATGGATCTTCAACACTGTCGATGACGCACCTCCTCAGAGGACATAGTCAACGTGTGGCGTGTATTGCAACATCGCGTACATGGTCCGTTATTGTTAGTGGCAGCGAGGACGGGAGTGCCATCATTTGGGACTTGAATAGAGGGTCTTACCGGCATTCAATCTGGCATTGCAATGAAAACCTGAGAGCAGAAGTATATCTATCTGCCATCAACGAGTCTACGGTACGTAGTCTATTCAGGAACCTGACCCAACTGACAAGTTGATAGGGATACATCGCCACTTGTTCCGCTTCCCATTTAATGCTGCACACAATCAACGCGAAACCAATTACCAGACTCAACACTGTGCGCGCGCCAATTACGTCTCTCGCGTTCCATGAACGTGAATACTCGCATTTGGATATCCTTGCCACGGGCCACAATGATGGTTCAATCACACTATGGACATGGAACGCAGACGGGACTTCAGCCGGGATGCAAGCGCAATGGGAGTTTGTTGAAGTTCGTCGGATGGATTCTGGGGAGGGAGCATCTAATATTGCTTTGGGATCTGTTACTGCGCTTAAGTTCATTGGGTATGCGGACAGTTTACACTTGAGAGAGTTTACTGACGGAGGTTTTTCTACTAGTGAACGCCTTTGTGCTGGTTATGCTTCTGGGTTGACCTATATGTGGACCATTTCTAGTAAATAACAATTGTATCCGCTTTGCAGACTGGATCCAGAGATGATAAATTATGACACTGCGTATCTGAAAGATCAGGGATAAATACTGACATTAATATTGTTACCGCACCACAGTTCCCGATTTTCTGCTTATGTAATCACCAATTGCTTTCTTGAGCTTTCACCGACACCCTCTTCAACAATTTTGATGGTTTTGTACCGTGCTTGAATCATGTCTACTGAAGGGGAATCCCCAACAGGGGAGTTGTCCGAGTTCGAGACGCAATTTGAGCCTCGGTCTAATGATGACGATGCTCTGTGGGAAGTCCTAGAAATTGTTGCTGAGCGGGGTAAGAAGTATCGGGTTAGGTGGGCAGGTAATGATCCCAAGACCGGGAGACCGTGGCCGTTGGACTGGGTACCCAAGCACGACTGCACGGATCACCTGGTAGAAGAGTGGAAGAGGAAAAAGGCAGAGAAGGGACGTCGATCGAGGAAGAATCGTGAGTTCTATCGTAGCAGCAATTCTGGCACGTATCATTCCTTCTGCTAGGTGGTCAGAAAACTGCTACACGCGCCTCGACGACTTCGAAGGTTTCTACGAATTCTACCTCCCGAAAATCGCGCTCTCTGGCGGAAGAAAGTGTCCCTATCTCAACAGACTATGATGACCCTCCCCGTGCTCAACCGTCAACCTCGAAAGCCCAGTCCTCAAAGCGTAAACACGCAGATATTGCTAAGGACTTATCAGATCCAAGTGACTCAGCGGACCCTTCAGAACCGGAACATCCAAGGAAGAAGAAGAAGAAACTTGCTATTGTTGAACGAACAACGAAGTTGAAGCGCAAGGTCGCGCATCATACCCCCGCTGGCCTTGATCAATTTATCGAATCAGATGCAGATGATGCATCACGGGGAGTAGGTGAAGGAATTCCAGTCACCAAAGTTGGCCCATCTACTAGAAAACGTCCCATGCCCAAGCCCAAGGGCGACCCCCTCTCATCTGCACCTGATCATCGTCGGATCATAACCACCACGAATCCCCCAAAGCCCGAACAATCCAGTGGCCAAAGCCGAAATGGGCAATCTGTTTTGAAGAACCAACACGATGTCATTGACTTGTTATCTACAGACGAGTCTGACTTTATACCCAAATCGAAAAAGCCACCTATCTCTCGCTTCGCTGACGGGAAGACAAGCTCAAAGACTGTGCCACAAGAAACTGCCGTCAAACATGTCAAGGCTCAATCCTCACTCAGGCCGCTCATTTCTTCTCCCACAATACTTCATCCCAGAAAACCACCTTCAGTTTCTCCCCCTCCTTTGCGACGCCAACCATCATTATCTCCTGGTGCCCGAGCTCGGTTAGAGATATTCGACTGCATGATGGGCATCGACTCGGATAAAGGCGGCGTAGATCCTTATGCGAATATGGGCGAGAACGCAGACTACGGTGCTGCAGACCCTCATGACCCACGTCTTAGTCCGCCTCCCAAGTTTCCAACAACCCCACCCACGACTACTACTATGGCAGGTCGCAATAAACCTTCCGGAGACTCACCGTTTTCTGGGATTGTCCCGGAGACAGAGTCATCGCAGTCCCAGCCTTCACTTCCCAACGCCATTGCAAATGGGAAGCATACTGATGAGCCTCCGCCACCCAAGCAACCCTCTCGCCCGGGATCTACTTCAGGGAGGCCCCAGTCAGCATTAGCCTTGCCTACCACTGCTGTTTTGCGTTCGTCCAAGTCACACCCGCACGTTGGTCACATTGCTTCAAGTAATGAAGTACCACTTCGTCCACGGAAATCGCCCACAGCACCTATTCCACGCATTTCTCCTCATACCTTCCGTAAGGCGGTTCAATCGCTCACTATCAAACCCGATAACGAGCCTCCGACGAGCTCTATTGAAAGCTTCCCATCTCCGCGGAAAGATAAGGGAAAGCAACGATACTCTGGTGCTGACGAACGTTCAAGCGATGAAGAGCTTGTCTCAGGCGTCACAGATACGCAATTGAAAGCCAGAGGGAAGGCACTGTATGAGCAAGCTCTGAGGAAGAAGGAGCTTCTCCAAGTTACCGATAAACCACCCAAGAAAACTATCAATGGCCTCGCACGATCACGGACCATGACAAGCAACGGTAAACAGTCGGGACCGGACGCTCACCCATTGACGTCTGGCAAGGGGGCTCATGAAGGAGACTTGGAAAGCGTCCAGGAGATGGAGGACGCGTACGTTGACCTCAACGGAGGGAATAGCACGACTATCGACACTTTCACACAAAGTGGGCCCCAAGACAAAGAGGCTCAACGTGTCCTTCTTCGCGAGGAGGACGAAGAATGTACGCAGGAGGCCTTGCTCAGTGGGAATCCAGCGCTTCTGGAGGCAGATGTTGTGGAGAAATCTGAAGCCGGACGGCAGGCGCTAGTAATGGGTGATACAGAGATGGGCAATCAGAATGACGATGTTGAGGTTTGTCGCTAATCTATTTTGTTACCTCGCGCCTCATTTCATTTAGCCTTCCCTTATACCTGCCGAGCCAAGCGGAAGTAACCACGGATCAAACCAGCCTTCCCAACATATAGATGACTTACAAGTCGACAGTATGATCGTCAACCCGAGTCAGGATCAACGGCCAGGCAGGGATGATGAAGACTTCGATACGTCAAATATTGACTTAAACAGTTCACCAACACGGAGCGTACCGCAGCATGATGTGCGTACTCCATTACAGCTCGACTTTATCAATAGACTAACTAATCTATTTACCTTTTTACACAGAGTGACGTGACTATGGGACGGCTCAATCATGCACTCTCCGCCTTGCACAAGAAGTCCGATGAGATTCAAGCGTTGCAAAGTGCATTGACACTCGAGCGCGAGAAAACTTCAAAGCTCGAAGCCGAGGTCAAGGCTGCCAGGCAGTCTCCAAGCATGACTACTCGGGAAGTAATTGCATCAAGCGCAGAACCCGTAGGGGCAATGCAGGCCAAATCGGCCATTTCCGAGCTTGCCGACGTGAGCGCAAAGTGGAACCAAGAGCGCAAAGTTTGGGAAGCCGAGCGTCGTAAATTGGAAGAGAAAATCGCAACGTGGACCACTGAGCGAGATCGCTTTGAAGCCAACGCGCTCGCGGCTGACGAGCTTAGAGCGTCTTGGGATGCGGACCGGGCAACTTTTCGGCAAGAACGCGAGCTATGGGAAAATGAACGCAAGAAATTAGATCTCCAAGTGACCGAAACGCTTAGGGAGCGAATCAAATGGTCAGAGGAGCGTGATCATCTTGCAGCCCAGATCAAATCATTGACGGAGACTGGCGGCACCTTCGAAGCGGAGCGAGCTCAATGGGAAGAAGAAAAAACAGTTATCATGGCGGAGCGTGTTGCATGGGTGTCAGAACGGGAGAGCTGGGCACAGCAACAAACAGCAAGTGCCCGAGAACGCGCTTTGTGGGATGTTCATCGTGAAGCCATGGAGCTGCAAAGTGCCAAATGGGAAGCCGATCGTGCTGAATGGGTATGTGAGAAGAAACTTTGGGAATCTGAGCGGGAAAAGTGGTCTACAGAGTGCGCTACCATGGTCGAGGCGCGCGAGGCACTTGTTACAGACGTGACGAGACTAAATACCTCTTTGGACGCCATGACTCGCTCCAAGGGTCTGGCTGAGAAGGACCGCGACTTTTTCCGTGATCAATATGCACAGGCTTCTGGTTTCGTGAACGACACTAGAGCAGAGAATGCTGAGCTGGAGCAGAAGGCCAAGATTGCAGAAGGTCAGGCTCGCGATGGAGTTGCTCTGATCAAGAGCATGTTCGAGGTAATTTCATATTGTTGTGTTTGGTCGCTCTCCTCACAGCTTTTTGATCTGTTATGACACAGAATCAAATCAAGGCGCTGCAAGAAGATGTCGATCGATGGAGGGGTGTTTCCGCCCTTCTTCAGGAGAAAGACCGGCGAACAAATGATCTTATCAGACGCCGTGCTGCCGAGCAACCCGAGCTTGCAGAACGATGCCGGCAACTGGAGCGTCAAGTCGCTTCGTTGCATGCTAACCTCATCGAGCTTGAACGTGTTCATCAGAAGTCTTCCGTGGAGCGCGACCAGATTCAAGATCTGAAAGAATCCGAACTGCGAAAGCAAAATCAGATGCCGGATCTCCAATCGGTGCAACTATCATATGCCGAGCTTGAACCAGGTGAAATCATAGAGCTAAACGGTCTTTCGGATCCAGATACCAGCTCCTTGAGCCAGGAGGATGTTTTAGGAGCTGATGTCAGCCTGGAGGAAGCCGAGGAGGATGAGTGTGGGCTGTATCCCTGTAGATGGAAAACCGGCGCCGATATAATCGATCAATGCCAGCAGTCCTTCGACTGCAGAGAGGTAGGTTCAGCTCTCTACATCTATTTGCTAGGTACTCAATGCCAGTATAGGATCTGGATAGGCACATGCATGATCACCATTATCGCCTTCAACTCGGAGGAGGCGGTCATGTTTGAGTAATGTCCGGATCTTATTTTTCACTGGCTGTCATGCGGATCTGCATTCTGATCTTAACTGCAACACATTGATGTTTTGGGACTCTTGGCAAGTCACGGGTGATACTTCGCGTGACTTCTCATTACGCCCGGACCAAGGAGCTGATTCACTTACTTAACTCAGAAGTGATCATAACATTTATAACTGTCCCGCACTGTACCCACTACCACCCCACTCTCTTATCATATGGCGTCTAAGATTTTACTGCTCGGCTCGCTCTTTCTGACATTTGCGTTCTCGGTTGTGGGGTGGTCGGTTGTGATCAATGCTCTTGTGAAGTGAGTGAAGACTGTAACTTCCACAAGATTTGACTGAATTGAAGTGTACCGATGAAGATCCAACCAAGAAAGCTCATATGTTAAGAGCGTAGTACCTGATGGCACTATCGTGGATATCAACTATCATGGTAAGGTGCTTGTTAGCCACATAGTGGGCTTCTTTAACACTCGTCTCGAGATATCTACTCGGTTTGCTCTGTCATCGCGGCAGCCTGTGCACTTCTGACAACCCTCTCCCTCGTCTCAACAATCTCTCAATTATTATCGATTGGGAGAAAACGGAGGCTTTTGTACCTCCAAGCATATCTCATGTTGTTTGGTGCCTTATGGCTTCTGGCTACTGTCATCGCGTGTGATGTTCTCTTCGCCACTCGGTCAACCAAGATCACAGCAACTCTTGATGGATTCGCGCTACCCCAAAGCGACATTCAGCAGATGGAGCAAGAGATTGGTGTTTCACCTGAATACAGAAAGAAGTGGTACCGTGCGTATAGTCTAGGTATGATATCAAGTTTCCTTGCTAACTAATTTCAAAGTGAGACTCTGCGCGATCCTTCCCTGGTTCGCCGTCCTTTTCGCAACACTCAGTGGACTATTGATTCACAAGGCCGCTCGGAACACCGATGACTATGGGGGCATGGAGGCAACAGAGTCAGAGAAGATTGCACGAACCTCGGATGTGCAATAGGTCTGGATGGCCATTCATTTGAAATTGACTGCCTATCGTCCGTTGAAATATAACTGTTGTACTATACTAGCGCTTCACGACGCACGAATGACTCATTCATCCGCTACTGACACAGAGAGTTCTGTATCACGATTTTCCTTCCTCTCCAATATCAAACCCTCATTTGTATATCCACTTTTGATGGCGGGTGCGAGGTTGGATACAGGTCCGTTGAACCAGTGCACACCTCCAAATACCGGGCAGTAATACCAGAAAACGGCAAGCGACATATACCCTCCAAGGACCACGACTGTATAGTTCATCTCCTGCGCATTCGTTTGCGGAGTGGAAGGGAAGAAGAAAACGATGATCATGAGGACCATCCAAGATACAGCAATGGCAGCGACGGGAAAGCTCTGCGCGGGAAATTAAGCTCATGAATACCGTGTCATCACTACAGATAGACTGACCAGTCTCCCAAGATTAAATGGGCCGGGTTTAAAATTGTTCTTGAAAACGAAGCGGGTCGCGATCGGCGTGATGTAGGAAACGTATGATGCGGTGACAGCGATAGTGAATACCGCATCAATAGCCTGAGTGCTCACGAACGCCAGCAATCCGATTGCCAGAACAAGGACGGCGTCAAACCAGACTGTATTGACCGGTGTTCCTGTATAGCTATTGATGCGGTACAAGTATTGTGAGAATGGGAGGGCTCCATCACGAGCAAACGCAAAGGTCTGGCGAGAGCCGACTAGGAGACAGCTCGATCCCATCATGTACCTGTTTTGTGATCAGGCTGTGAACGCGTTGCATACCAGTAGACCTACTGCGCTAGAATAACGAGACACCAGAGAGCCAGGGCCCCCCTCTGGCCGAGCGAATTGTACAAGATCTGCGCCATGGGCTGGCCTATGGGACTATTCAAGATGCTGCTGAGATCGGCGCCCATGCAAAAGGCAAGGGAAATGTTGATTCCTAGATGTTAAAACAACTTCAAGATCGGAGTGGTATTTGTGCATCATTCCACATACCCCAACCCAGAATGGCCGACATGGCAATGGAACTGATCTAGCTGGGGTAAGCTGAACAATTACTCACTTTAAGTGTTACTTACAATTGCCCATGGTATCGCAGTGGCGGCATTTGAGGCCTCCTCGCTCATATGCACACTAGAATCATAACCCCCTGGTGGGTTGGGAACGTGAGCTGACATTCAGGAGATGATGATCTAACCTATTGTATAAAGGGGAGCCATTAAGCTCAAAATGAATGCGAAAACAGATGGCCAGCCGTCCACTACAACTCGTCATGAGCTTTGATTGCAACTGGCAGACAATACATACAGTTCGTGAAGTCCCCTAGCACAAAACTCGCACTGTTTCGGTATTTCGATGGTGTTACGATCGGAAGCGCAATGATGACTATGAAGCAGAGGCTATATGAAGGATTTGAATCAACGATCAGGGAGGAATATTTAATACTCACCATACATTCAGGAAGATGTATAGTCTCTGCAGTCTTGCCAAGAATTTGGTACCAAGGCTAACCAGGACGGCATGTGACAACACCAAAGCTGCGTACACACCGCTGGCGACAAAATTATAAGGAATGTGAGGTTGGGAAGAGGACTGACTCACTAGAGCTGTTCGTTGGTGGTCGTATACGCCTGGTCGGAGGCGATACTGAGTGCTGCCATAATTTGAATTGCGCAAGCCCAGTCTACAGAAGCTAGCCTCACGCCATCAGAAGCAGACTGTCAAAGAATGAAAATCATGTTACCAACTACCGTGATAGACTGTATGGTATTCGAATCTACGGGTGTCAGCACGGGTTGCATATCATATCAAAACACAAACGAGAGACTTACAGCCAACCATCCATGCCAGAAAATTGCGACACCGTGGAGAAGCAAGTGAGAAAGTCCAATAATATAGCTGTAATGTGTTGAGTGAAATCTGAAACAATGACATTTGTTTATAACATACACCGCCGGAAGTAGGCGCTGCCGATGCGAGCTCTGCTATCGCCAACCCAATGCACATGATAAAAACGCTGGCAATCGCCCACTGCACAGAGAGAGTAAGTAATTTACGAAACAGTACTCCTTGCAGATGGATGCTTACACCCCAGACCATCGCGAGAGGCCCACCATTTGGGACGGTATAAAAGAGCACAGAACTGAATAGCAGTTTTATCAATAAACAAGTTATGCTTGGGTCACAGCGGCAGCTTACGCTATAGATGGGAGCAGTCCTATATAGCTGAATGCAACTCCAAACACCTGTACAGCTGTTTGATTATGCGTATACTTGAGTGAGTCTGGTGCCAAGCCCACCTCTAGTGGAGTAAATGCCCTGCGAAACTCCTGCTTGTATCCTAACCTGGCAAGAATTGCCTCGTCCGAGCTCGGTTGCAAGTGCAACTTGGAAGTTGCATGAGTCCTCGTGGCCATACGTTGTAAGTTGCCAAGGAGAATTTTTGAATGAGCCGAAGTGGGGTTTACCTATCAACTTGTAAGTTATACGTAACGCCGGGTATGATGGCATGAAACCTATGCGGCATAAGTATGGATGCTGTTCGGCTCAGATCGAGTTGTATTACTGTACAACAATGACCTGAAGTGCTGATCAGCGGTTACCAACCTCTGCGCAAAATACCGACCGACGACAGAAGTGTCGCATAAAGGAGATGGCAGACCTGCCATTAGCCTAAGTGACTCAATTGCAGTACGCACTGGCAGTACAAAATCTCTAAGAGTGTGTCATGCAGTGGCTGTGTTTTTGCGATTTAGGGGCTTTACCGATTTGGCGACAAGTACTATACGTACTACGTATGGACGTGAAACGATTTTGGGTACAAACTAAAACCAACGCCTGTTCAACGTTGCGCACCCTCATGATATCTCGAGACTTTTGGCGAGTCGACCAACTTTCGGAAAACTTCTTCGCCACAATCTGGTTTCCACATTGTCGTCGTCAAGTCCTAGTAAGGTCAAAATATTTGACAAGGCTTGTCAGCTGAAGTACTGGTGTAGTACCACCGTGTGCGCCGTGGACCGCTCGTGCCTTCTCTGTACGAATTGACGGATCTATTCCATGCTCTTCCGTAAAGTCACCACGACTCCTCGGTCCAGTGCACCTCCAATGGTTCAACTATCCCCAGCCCGTCCACAAATCCATGGACAGTGCTTGATCACCTTGTGGTCGTCTGAATAGATACCACCATCAGAATTCGTCCCCACTTTCAGCTTCGCAACCCTTCGATGTTCGAACGCCAAACCAAAGGTGAACCGACAGTCCCGAACGGCGTCTCAGAGAACACGTTCGGTTTGGCGTTTAACAAAATCGCTGAACCGAAGGCGATGTCCGGTCGTATTTGCTGATATTTCTGGTGAACCGGACTGAACCGGATTTTGACAACACAGTCCTACTTTGTGCCCTGCGGGCATGATACTGCATTTCCCGATGCGGCCCATTGAAGGTGTTTCTTGTGCACAGAGGTCAGATTGTCTGACACAGTCATACCGGCGAAAATTCATCCATAGACTTCAGCATTGGCCTACGAAATTTGGACCCTGTTGCCGTTCGTTAATAAGTCAGCGAAGAACACAGGAACTATGCCAGCAGGTACGTACTTGCCTGGCGTTGAAAATGAGAGGCGAGATTGATAGTAGCGTGTATTTCTAGCCACATATCAAAATAACGCATGATGTTGGCTGTAAGTAGTTGACATAATTTGCCCTCAAATAGTCTGCAGTGCTTATTACTTTTGGTAGGGTAGCACTTAAACTCTTACCGGCATACTGGCACTTCCTGCCAGTGCGACTGGTCTTGTCCCGCAGTGGAGACGCGGCCTGGTCTCAGTTTAAGCGAAGTTAGACATAATTTCAGGTACGAAAAATCTTCCGCTCACCACCGATAACTACAATCCAGTACCCGAGTGGCGCCACTACGCGAAATCATAGCCGCCTAGACCTCCCACACAGGGTCTAGGCTACGCATGCCAATTCCGGTAGATTTCACTTGATCAAAACCCATTCGAGGCTATCCTGGACAACCTTATCAGCATCTGAATCAATCCATCAATTGCGTTTGAACGCTTGGTGCAGCTTATTGGCAAACCTCGAGTGGAGAAGGACAGCGAAGACTAGCCTGTAGGCGACTCGCAACTCAAAGTAACGTATTGCAGCCCCTGCGGGAGAGCAAGTTTGATACGAATGACAGCTTTTTGCACCTCCAGGCCAGACGGCTATTTACTGTCTCCAATCATATGACAGCGACAGTCTGCTATAATGCAAACGTGAACTACGATGCTCGGCCAAACTGTTTACTATGATTTGATTCCTGTGCCTCTCCTTTGATATGATCAGCTGCAAATCAGCTGCAAATATCTCCTCATTTGTACTTGGAGCGCAATTGGGCAATTACACCAGTGCTTATCGGCTTACAACCCACATGTGCGTAGGTTTAATTCGGGAATCCTCTCGTATTGCCGGAAGATGTGCATATTGGGTTCGCAGGGCCGCCATAGAATGAATATTGTGCCGATTGGTGGACCTCCTTGAGTGTATGCCGTAACAGCTACTTCGTTCCATCACATCCCGCGCTATTTAATCGCGAGCTACTGGCTCGAAAATAAGCAAACAATCAGATCATGTTGTCCCAAGCCCTAGATAGCGGTCGCCGTATCAGCGGGCACATCAAGACATTATTTTTGTTCACGAAGTCCGACGTCGTTGCGGTTCTGATACCTATCGTGCGTGCCCCTACATGCTGCCTGTATGTTGCTCAACAAGACTTTGAGCATTAGACTTTGGCTTCTTTCGCAGCTGCTCGCCATCCCGACGTAACTCGCATTCCAGACATCATCATATGGATATGGCTACACGTCCTAAAACATGATATATATAACCAGATGCAGGATCCAGAGGAGGACAAGAAAAACAAGCCTCATCGCCCTCTCGCTGCTGGTCGTATAAGTGCTCAAAATGCGGCAGATGTGCGCTGGCTGCTAGTGCCAATTTGTCTGATCTTGTCTGCAATGCATGGCAGCCAGGCTCTCGCCTGTAGCGTTTGTGCGGAAGTCCTCAGCATCTGGTATAACGAGTTTGGTGGCGATAAGACTGCACTTTCGAAGAGCCTATTGACGGCTATGGCATACACAATTCTTGATCTAGGCGCAACGGTCGTGGGAGGTACGTAGGTTGTGCCAGAGGCTCTAAGCAAGCTTTGTCGTTGACTGGGATTTTTATTTTTATAATCAGGGTCCAGCATTGATAGCGTCGGGGCACGTGCACATGTCTTCAGTTTTGTGGTGTTTGCTACGACGATTCATGCACAAGATTTCAAGGATGAAGAGGGAGATCGCTTGACAGGAAGACGCACTCTTGTCACTCTGTTCCCTACCTTTGCACGCATGTCCATGATGATTGGCATCCCCCTTTGGTCACTCTGCCTGAGCAGACTCTGGAAGGTGGATTTCATCTGTTCTGTTGCATTTATAGCGTACGGAGCCGTTGTCGGGGTGAGATTCATGGTTTGTAGGACTGCGAGTGCTCATAAACAATCGTGCAAATTGTACAGCGTCAGTGATTTCTTTGAGACTCGAAAATTCTACACACTGACGCATACCTGTAGCTCTGGTTTACCCTTGTGCACTTACTCCCTGGCTACTGGCGATTTTTCTACAGCACTTGAACTGGAAGCCCCAGTGTGTTAGGCGTAACAAGCGCCTCGCTGTGACTCGTTATTCGTTTCCTTTCGCGATCACTTACTGCGCATAGTAGGCTACGGAGAAGTTACCACCACATTCCGAAATATCCAGGGACAAATTCTCGAGACTAGAGATTGACAAGAGGGGACAAATTTTGCTGTGTTATTGATATCGATTCAGTATGATAAATATTACGTAATGGTACAGTATGCTATAATGAATTTATACAGTCACGTGAATGAATCAGCCCGACGCGTCTATTGCCAGCCTCCAGGTGCTCGCCCAATGCCCGTTGAATTGACTGGATCTTTGACAACAGCTCTTCCAAGTCAGGCCCCAACAGCTGTCTCAACCTCCAGTTTCCAGCTGAGAATTTCATGGGTGAGCTTACTACTTCATCCATGAGGTCATCCTCTCCACTCACCCTATGAAGCGCGTACTAGTACAGGCTCTCACAGCTCGGGTTCCCAGAGACGAACATCGTCTCCTTACGCATTACAGCATCGACATAGAAATGAGAAGAGGGATAGTCAGCGTTGTCATCGCCAGGCTGCTACCGACGAGACTCAGGTTCATGGGAGCTACGAAGCTCCGTATCACAAGGGGAAGGGGTATACAGCAAGCCTGAACGAAGAGGAGCACGGGAAGGATCAAGAGCTAATTCCTAGTGTCTATATGCAACAGGAAGTAGCAGAGAACACGGAAGGTCTCGGTCAGTTCTCGGATATATTTGACCCTATGGGACTTGATGTCCCCAAAGCATTGATGGAGGACACAACCGTAAACCCACTCCATCAGCGACAGCCGGCGGTAAGTCCTGTGCAACCCTCCAGCGCTCTTGTTTTATATGCGGCGAGTCAGGAAACGCCAGTAAACCTCGCCAAGCTGCACCCATCTCTTCCTGACCGCCCAGTGGAACTACCTCCACGAACTCTTCTTGAACGCCCAGTGGAACTACCTACACGAACTCTTCTTGAACGCCCAATGGAACTGCCTCCACGAACTCTTCTTGAACGCCCAATGGAACTACCTCCACGAACTCTTCCTAAACGCCCAGTGAAACTACCTACACGAACTCTTCCTGAACGCCCAATGGAACTACCTCCACGAACTCTTCCTGAACGCCCAGTGGAACTACCTCCACGACCTCTTCCTGACCGCCCAGTGGAACTACCTCCACGAACTCTTTTGACTACCAAAGCATCAGCACTGCGCGCAACACCACTTTCAACCTCTGATAACGATGCAACGTGCCGACTCACGCGCCAACTTTGGGATACTCGGAGGGAACTGACTGCCTTACAAGCGCGCGAAACCGACCTCATAGCTTCATTGCGCCGCTTAGACGCTCCTCGTCATATCCTCGAATTTGGGCAAGCGCAAAGATCCTCAGGTGACTATTTTCAAGCTGCATTCTGCCTTCGTTTAATATGACAACGCAGAGCTTGAAGTGCGTCTCGCTGAAGTGGGAAATGAACTGCAGCGAGAAAGATATAAGCGCCTTCAAGCTGAGCGAGGTCTCAATGAGATTGAGATTGAGAATAGGGCTCCGTTTGTTGTTCCAGCTCTGTTTCAGGCGTTCCTAAAGATTTCCGAGATGAACAGATAAACTGCCAACGCTGCGTATTTCTGAAGGTTTAGGGTGACTGCAGACTAAAGCGGGCATGACCATGTTACAATAGATACCACAGCACTTGCCCAACAATAACATCGAATACCATCAGGGACTACACTTTTACATCCACAATCAATACATCTGCGCCTTGCTCTTTCCCCGTCTTCTCTGACGCCGAGTCCTCATCTTGCTTGTTGTCGGCTGATACTAGATTTGATACGGGTCCATTGAACCAGTGCACTCCTCCGTATACCGGGCAGTAATACCAGAAAACAGCGAGGGACATGAAACCACCTAGGACGACCACCGTGTAGTTCATCTCTTGCACAGTAGTATGCGGGGTTGCGGGAAAGAAGAAAACGATATTCATGAAGACCATCCACGACACAGCGATTGCTGCGACGGGAAAACTCTGCAAGAGACATGAGTATGAGACCACATCAATTGATTTCTGACCCACAAATTTCCCAAGATTAAATGGACCTGGCTTGAAATTATTCTTGAAAACGAATCGGGTTGTGATCGGTGTGATATAAGATATGTATGACGAAGTGACTGCGAGAGTGAACATCGCGTTGATAGCTTGTGAACTCGCGAACGCCAGAAGACCGATTGCAAGAGCGAGCAAGGCATCGAGCCAAACAGTATTGACCGGCGTTCTTGTATAGCTATTGATGCGGTAAAAGTATCGCGAGAACGGTAGGCCGCCGTCGCGAGCAAATGCGAACGTCTGGCGGGAACCGACAAGAAGACAGCTCGATCCCATCATGTACCTGTTTATCTTTTAGAGTACGGAGAGACTAATACCTGGAGAACGCACTGCGCCACAATAACGAGAGACCATAGGACTAACGCTCCTTTCTGCCCAAAAGAGTTGTAAAAGATCTGTGCCATAGGTTGACCAATCGGGCTGTTCAAGATGCCCTCGAGATCAGTGCCCATGCAAAATGCAAGGGAGACGTTGATGCCTAGAAGCTGTTAAATCCACAACATTGTGTTCGACAGCGTGACACCCACCCCAACCAAGGGCTGCAGATACTGCAATTGAGCCGACCTGCTTGCATTAGTTTAAGATCTACAGTGTTTCTAGTGCTACTCACAATAGCCCATGGTATGGCGGTAGTGGCATTGGATGCCTCCTCACTTATGTGGACGCTTGAATCATACCCTCCTAGTGTTGAATTGTCACATAAAATGCGAGCAGCAAGGGATAAGCCAAACCTATCGTCCAAAGAGGTGCCAATAGACTCAATATGAACGCAAATCCAGATGGCCAACCGTCCACTAACAGCATTTGTGAGATATAGATGGCAATGTCAGATGAAACATACAGTTAGTAAAGTCCCCAAGTGCAAAGCTAGCGCTGTTTCTGTATTCTGATGGCGTTGCGATTGGAAGCGCGATGATGACCACGAAGCAGAGGCTGCATCAGGTAGTGAGCTTAAGGCAACTATTGTGAAGACGGATATACAACACCCACCACACATTCAGGAAGATGTATAGTCTTTGAAGTCTTGCCAGGATTTGCGTCCCGAGGCTCACAAGGACAGCATGGGATAACACCAACGCTGCGAATATACCACTGCGGTGGATCAGGGTACCTACACTTTGACGGGGCCGAGCAACTCACTAGATCTGCCCATTGGTTGCCACGTATACCTGATTAGATGCGATGCTGACTGCGGCTGTGATTTGGATCGCGCATGCCCAATCCACTGAGGCTATTTTGTGAATAAATAAGCAGTTTTTTCACGATACAATGACATTATTCACCAAGTGCTGCGATAGATGTGATCGTATTAGCATCTGCATGATGGAACACGTCAGCGATGGGAGTTTGAAACAAAATAATCATACTCACATCCAACTATCCACGAGAGAAAATTCCGGCAACGAGGGGAGGCAAGCGAATGGGTCCAGTAATACAACTGGATATATGTGAGAGGTTGTGTCAACATCGGCAACATGATTAAGGACATACTCCGCCCGAGGTTGGTGCTGCAGACGCAAGTTCCGCCATGGCCAACCCGATACACATAATAAAGGCGCTGGCAAACAGCCACTGTATAATAGAATGGGTGCTACAGGATTTAAGATTCATTTGATATGTGAAGGCTTACACCCCAAACCATCGCAAGAGGACCGCCGTTCGGCATGGCATTGAAGAGTACCGACCTTGACAACATTGTATTAGTAAACAATTCGTCTCGATGAGATGGTGTAGCGTACGCAATAGAAGGAAGGAGCCCCACGATACTGAACGCGACACCAAAGACCTGTGTAAGGGTATTGTCAAGTGTGTCCGAGGCTCTGGTGAGGGAGAACCCACTTCTAATGGAGTAAATTCCCTCTGAAACTCCTGCTTGTATCCCAACCTGGCAAGAATTGTTTCATCCCTGGTGTGCCCTGAGTGCGAATCCGAACTTGCAAAAGCCATTATGAGTGTCACTTCTAATATGACTGGCAAGGACGCTCAAACCAGCGATACAGTCTAACCATAAAGCTGAATATAAATACTGGATCTGACCTTATCTGGCGCCAGTGAGATAAGCGTAAGAAGAAGGCTCTAGTAGCGGACATTACTTATCGCTCAAAGTTACACGACCTTAAAGAGGATGCAAGCCCATATGGGAGCAGGTAGTGGCGGACCTTTTTGGGCCCAGCGAATGTATGGATGAGGAGTGAGAGGGGGTACTGCTGACTACAATCTTCGGCCAGCATAGTCATATCAGGCAGGAGAGTGACGTAGGTTGAGTTCCTGGCTTGACCTGCAATTGTCTGAATTCTGATTGTGCGGAACAGAGAAGGATCTTGAACCCGCCATTGCCGTGGGAACTTGAAGCTTGTGTCCACCGTTGGGCTCGTAACCAAGGCCCCCCAAAAAATTGAAGCTTCTAGTGTTTGAATTTCAGTATGGCTTCTTTCATTCATGTCGTGAGGCTATGTGTGCGACTCACCTCATGTGACATCGCTGCAAAAGGGCGTGATCACTATTGATAGTTCTATACGCCATGTGACGCCGCTGTCAAGGTATGATTGAAAACATGTCAGAGATCCATTATTCCAGCTACAATATAGTCTAGCATCCTGACGTCCAAGGGGTTGTCCATGGCGAACGATTAACCTCGAGTCTCGCTAGTGTTGCGGAGACCCGGGCCCTAACTAATCATCGACAGCGGATCATCCTCTGCAAAGTCAGGCAGCCCGAGGTCTACGACGAACAAGCGGGAATATCTGCCAAGTAAGCCTTGCCGAAGAGAATTGAATCAACCTGTCTTCCATAGAGATGAGCAGGTCTTAAGCCCGCCCGCCTTGAATCATAGTTGGAATATATCTCCCGGTATTGACTACACCTCGGTCTGAATTCCAGATATTGAACGAAAGGCAACGAGTTCAAGTAAGAATGGACGCAAGGTGATCGATAGGATATCTTTGTGGGTGACCATTTCACCTTGCACGACAACAGGGCTGACTCGAATCCGAATTAGGTATTGGAGGGGCGCGTCCGCCCACACCGGTAGTAGTAGGTGAAATGAACTAGCCACCTCGTAAAACTGCTGCATGGTGCAGCGATTCAGGTCTGTCGCACAAAATAGGAATGAGACGCATATGTTGAAGGCCAAAACGTATTTGTGGATCGTCACGGTCCCGATTTAAGATATTGCTGCTAGAAGAATACCGCTACCAGCAACGTCGTCAAGGGAAGCATAATGATATTATGGATTGCTTGAATGAGTGAGTCACGATCCATATGTGCATGAGCAGGAAGAACGCGTCGCAAAAATTATAATTCAAACTCAGTTTGACCAGTGACTTATCTCACTTGCTGAATCATCATCGGGTGGACTTCGGCCCAGATGTCCATTGTCGGTGTGACACTGTTCTTCGAAGTTACATGTCATGCCTATATGCACACGAACCGGGCTCTGAGCGCTGAGCCTCAGGCAAATTGGCGCGACGGTCCATCAAAATCTCCTGTTACATTCAAACTTGATTCAAACCCCACATAATAATTTTGCGGGTGGCAGGGTGCATCGATAGGCATCGATATCCATAATTGTGTCACGGTGAGAAGAAGAAGGAACGACTATCTTCATTGTGTTTGGTCTGCCCACAGGAGGCTACCTGGTCATGTTCGGCCCTGGCTAGAAGACAACAAGGATCCCCGAAAAAACCTGAAGCTTTGAATGCTTAAATTTCGGTATGGCTTCTTTCATTCAAACCGTGTGTGGGGCCGCGTTTATGCCGTTTTGCTAATTGGACGCACTTGAGTTTGCGGGGTCCTAGTTGTGATACCACTTGGTACAGCCTTTCTTATACATGTTCGCACAGCATCGATGATAACGCAACGATATATATCCCCCAGATAGTACGCCCCTCGTCAACTTCAAATTTTGCTATTGACCATATAACTCTCTGTCTAGATCACTGCGACATGCCAAGGCCTAGGATGCTTGATGTAGCAAGAAACGCCTATCTCACTTTGAGAGGGAGGTTCACACCTGCGCAGACGCAAGAGCAAGTTGAGCAACTGGTGCCAGAACACTTGGCTGTGGTGGCGCTGGCGCACTTGACAATGCAAGGACACTCAAATAAAGTGTGGGCGGTGGCATTCTTCCAAGATAGTCGACGGGTCGTCACTGGCTCATGGGACCACACCTTGCGCATTTGGGATTTGCAGAAAGGTCGAAGAGTATCGGGAGGGATACTCGTGGGACATGAGGACTGGGTGCAATCAGTTGCCGTGTCCCCAGATGATAGGCTAATTGCGAGTTGTGGAAATGATGCCACCATCATCGTCTGGGACGTTAAGAGCAAGCAGATGGTGTTTGGTCCACTAGTGAAGCATACAAGCTGGGTGTACTCAGTGTGCTTCTCTGTTGATGGCAAGAGACTTGCAAGCGGTTCGGATGACTCCACAGTCGTTGTATGGGATGCGGAGACTGGCACTGTCCTTGCAACACTTGACCGTCATCGTTATTCGGTGCATAGTGTCGCATTCAGCCCCGATGGGCTCAAATTAGCCTCTGGATCAGCAGATCATACCATCCTAGTTTGGCGCACTGATAACGCTGAACTTCTTCTCGAAATTAACGCCCACCAACAGTTGGTTCGAAGCGTTGTGTGGTCGCCTGACGGCCAGCAACTTGTCTCTGCGTCATTCGACAAAACAATCAAGTTCTGGGACTCTTCTAATGGAGACCAGATTGGGCAACCTTGCATCGGTCACAGTGACTGCATCTACTCGCTCGCCATGTCTTCTGATGGCACTTTCATTGCTACTGCCTCCCTCGACCAGACTATACTGCTGTGGAGCGTAAAGTCACGCCAGCAGATAGGAAAGGTACTCCATCGCGCACACTTGCTTCGCTGCGTCGCAATTTCTCCTAATGAAGAACTGCTCGTGAGTGGAGATGACGATGGAAATGTTCGGCTCTGGTCTATCGAGAACATACTTTCCACAGCATTCGGGCTGGATTCCTCATACGACTTTTTCTTTGCACACCGCAGTCAAGGAAGGCTGGAACGACACCTCTATGCAGAGGCCCTTGAAGACGCAGAAAAGGTGCGGACGATATCTGTGGTAGTCTTGCACCTGTGCTGTTAACACCAATACATAGGTTATCGAACTCAACCCCTCGAGCCACCTAGGGTACAAATTGAAGCACGCAGCACTCCATGGGGTGCAATTATATGATGAAGCAATCGAGGCATATAACACCATGCTTTCCAAGTTAAATCATACGCTCAACCCATAGATTTGCCGTAGACACAAAGTAGCTCTGCAGGAAGAAATCACGTTCCAAACTTGAACATGCTTAAGTCTTTCTCCTGCGTCGGTTGCGTGCCAGTCGATCTGAAGTCCTAGAAGTCGTCATTTGGAAAGTGATTCAGGTTCAACTGGAAAACACCCCACTTCATTTACTCAACACCCCCTTCTGGTTACGTAACTTCTCAGGTTCGCCAATTTGATCTTGGCCCTCATGATATCAAAATTTCTTTGCTCCAACCTCCGCAACGTACATCCACCCCCTTCTGCCGTGTCACCTCTTCTGCCTGCACAATCTCAGCAAACTCTTCTTATTTATACTTCTTTTTCCTCGGAGCCTGTTCGTTCGCTGTCCTGGCGGTGTCAGTTTCTTTCCGTTTGGTAGACGACCCATTCCCGGCCCGAACACCATCAATGTATTTTCCGTCTTCGGAGGGCACCAACCCAACATCAAACTTCACGAAATATTTTGCGGGTTGCGGGATGCGGGATGCAAGTTAATAGACATGGTCGCATCAACATCCACATTTGTGTCACGGTGAGAAGGCTTCCTTATGGCGGCCGACTAATGAAGAAGGAACAACTATCTTCATTATATTTGGTCTGCCTACGGGAGACTACCTGTTATGGGGCCTGAAGCCTGAGTGCCAGCATGTATATCTCCCATGGCTTAAGATCGCCCTTATGCACCTTGCTCACTGGGCCCATGATGACGCCCGCCCTCTTCACGCCCATCCAAGTGGGCCGCATGAATGTCAGCCACCGTATCGTCCTCGCCCCCCTCACTCGTGTTCGCGCCTACCCCACCCACGTTCCCAGTCCCCATGCAGCTACCTACTATGCGCAGCGTGCATCCGTCCCCGGAACACTCCTCGTCTCAGAGGCCACCTTCATATCTCGGGCTGCTGGCGGGAGGGAATTCGTCCCAGGCATCTACACGCAGGAACAGATAGACGGATGGGAAAAGGTCACGGATGCCGTGCATGAGAAGGGCAGCTTCATTTTTTGCCAGCTGTGGGCACTTGGGAGGGCAGCAGTCCCGGATGCCCTCCTCAAGGAGAATAACTCCCCACTTGTATCTGCCTCTCCCATCCCACTTTCCATCCGCCCTAACTCAGTCCCGCATGCCCTCACAGAGCCAGAGATAAAAACTTATATCGACGCTTATGTTACTGGTGCCAGGAACGCTATCGCAGCAGGCTTCGATGGCGTCGAAATCCATGGTGCAAACGGATACCTCATCGATCAGTTCTTGCAAGAGGTGAGCAATACCCGAGAGGATGAGTGGGGTGGGAGTATCGAGAAGCGAGCGAGGTTTGCGATTGAGGTTGTGGATGCGGTAGTCAAGGAGGTCGGCACTGAGAGGGTCAGTATTAGGTTGAGCCCATGGAGTCCATTTCAAGGTGCGTTTCAAATATCTTAAATCCATCGTTACAGTCGTACTTTACTAACTCTCGCACAGACATGGGATCTGCCAACCCAATCCCACAATTCTCCTACCTCGTACGCGAGCTCCGAAAGCACAACCTCGCCTACCTCCACATCACAGAACCACGCGTCGGCGGCAACATAGACGTGGACGCACCACCGCAGAGTAGCAACGACTTTCTGCGACAAATATGGTGCAAGGAGGGAAAGAATGGCGTGTTTATTAGTGCAGGTGGGTACACACGACAGACTGCGATAGAGACAGCACAAGAGAAGGGGGACATGATAGCATTTGGCAGGTTGTATATTCCGAATGTAAGTCCTTCTGTTCCTGAGTTTGTTTTATCCTTTCAATGTGCTCTTTCGTTATTCTTCGTCCATTTTCATTGCCCATGTGTGCTGTCATATTTCTTCCTGCACCTGTGGTCGATCTTTTTCGTATTTCACCTCTATCGGTACCTAATTTCCATGCTTTTCCAACAGCCTGACCTCCCTGCCCGACTCATGTACGACCTGCCGCTTGCTAAACCCGACCGCGCAACATTTTACCTCGCTGGCGATCTCACTGAGAAGGGATACGTTGATTTTCCAGCTGCAGATATACCAACAGAACGGAAGGTGTGAAGGCCAAGATTGCGAAGGTGAACGTTTCTGAACAGCCAAGATCGGGAGGTGTGTTTCAGGGGAGATGAAGACTTTCATAGACCTGCCGCTTAGATGCAGTGCTGACGTCGGCCGCAAATAGAATGTAGGCTACGACACCATACCCCGTGCGCAAGTTGTGAGCCATTTTCGCCTCCTGAGGTACGTATGGGGTATGTGCATCTGCGCCAACGACTGGGGTCTATCAATGGTAAGTGTGTTAATTGGTTTGTATGATTGTTCGCTTGATGGTAGTATACATGCTCGCTGATGTGGTCTACCAGCAAAATCACACGGATGACATGAGTGCAGCAACTTTGATGTTACCACTTTGACGTGAGGTCCATGTGTGGTTTGGGCTGTAAAAGAGGTGTTTATCATCTTGCGATCCCATGGAGGAGACATGTAAATTTGTTTGTCTCACAGGCCAAATTTCAAATATTTTGCGGGGAACATGGCATCGGTGCGGGCGGCTCGGTACTAAGCTATGGGTAAACACCGCCTACTTAGGCCGCCTATGACGTGTTCCAACTGGAGAGCGAAGGATCATCGGGTGGACTTCATATCTACCAGCAGTCCAAGTCTTCAATGTGGTATCGGTGCGAGAGCGACTCCTTCTTCAAAGTCACATGCCGTGCGTGCATGCTCACGCGAACTGGGTTCTGACAGAGTCCCAGATACATCGTGCAAGACAGTCTATGGGTTATCGAAATCCCACTGGGAGTCACATTCAAGCTTCACGTAATATTTCACGGATGGCAGAGTGCATCGATCGACGTATCGTTGTGTGGGAAGGTTTCCTCATGGGCCATGGCGGCCGACCCATGACTGTGCATTATGCGCAAAGGCCTGAGTACTTATATCTCCCATGGCACAAGACAGTCCTTACGCACCTTACTCACCTGGCCCACGATGACATCCACCCTCTTCACGCCCATCCAAGTAGGGCACATGGACCTTAGCCACCGCATCGTCCTCGCCCCCCTCACCCGGTTTCGTGGCTACTCCAGCCACGTCCCTGGGCCCCATGCAGCAACCTACTATGCACAACGTGGCTCCGTCACTGGAACACTCCTAGTCTCTGAGGCCACCTTCATCTCCCAAGCTGCTGGCGGGATGGACTTCGTCCCCGGCATCTATACACAAGAGCAGGTTGAAGGATGGAAAAAAGTCACGGATGCCGTGCATGAGAAGGGTAGCTTTATTTTTTGCCAGCTGTGGGCGCTTGGGAGGGCAGCAATCCCGGATGTCCTCTCCAAGGAGAATAACTCCCCGTTTGTATCTGCTTCCCCTATCCCACTTTCCACCGACCCTGTTCCTGTCCCACATGCCCTCACGGAGCCGGAGATAAAAACTTATATCGACGCTTATGTTACTGCCACCAGGAATGCCGTAGCAGCAGGCTTCGATGGCGTTGAAATCCATGGTGCAAATGGATATCTCATTGACCAGTTCTTGCAAGAGGCGAGTAATACCCGAGAGGATGGATGGGGCGGGAGTATCGAGAAGCGAGCAAGGTTTGCGATTGAGATTGCGGATGCGCTAGTCAAGGAGGTCGGCGCTGAGAGGGTCGGCATCAGGTTGAGTCCATGGAGTCCCTTTCAAGGTGTGTTCTATCTCTTCTCAATCAGTCGTTACAGTCGTACTTTACTGACTCTCGTACAGACATGGGATCTGCCAACCCAATCCCACAATTCTCCTACCTCGTACGCGAGCTCCGAAAACGCAACCTCGCCTACCTCCACGTCACAGAGCCACGCGTCGGCGGCAACATAGACGTGGACGCACCACCGCAGAGTAGCAACGATTTTCTGCGTCAAATATGGTGTGAGGAGGGAAAGAGCGGCGTATTTATTAGCGCAGGCGGGTACACACGACAGACTGCGATCGAGACAGCGCAGGACAAGGGGGGCATGGTAGCATTTGGCAGGTTGTATATTCCGAATGTAAGTGCTTCGCTGTTTCTAAATTTGTTTGTTTTATCCTTCCAATATTCCACGTTCGTTCTTCTCTCAGTTGTCCATTTTCTTTGAGCAAGTGCTGACATCTCTCTCTTCTTGTGCTGCTTCTGTCCTGCACGGCGCCTTTATATTCCACCTCTATTTCTACCTCACCCTCACGCGCGTGCAACAGCCTGACCTCCCCACCCGCCTCATGTGCGACCTGCCGCTTACCAAGGCGGACCGTGCAACATTCTACCTCCCCGGGGATCACACTGGGAAAGGATACATCGATTTTCCAGCGGCCGATGTACAAACAGAAGGGAATTTGTGAAGGGAATTTGTGTACCACCGAGGTAGTGGAGGGGAGGTGAGCTTTCTGAACTGGGATGAATATCCAAGACCGTGGATGTGTGTTGCAACAATTTTTCGAGGGATGCCGTAGACTCGCCGCCCAGCTGCAGTTCTGATGTCGACCGCAAATAGAATGACGACACCATACCCCGTGCGTAGATTGTGTGCCATTTCCGCCCTCCGAGGTACGCATGTGGTATGCATGTCTACTGAAGTATGGTATTGGTCAGTATGTGTTGGTTTGCCCAAATCGTGATGGCCATTTTGCCTGTGCGTATACCTCCTACATCAGATGGCTAACATGAGTGCAACAATTGACGTTGCTGCTTCCATGCGAGGCCACTTGTGAGTGGTTTCTCCTTGTACTTATCATCCTGTGATTCCATGGCGGAGACGTGTTGAACAAGGATACTGCATCGCTGGCCTGTTTCTGAATATTTATCGGCGAATGCTTTGATGTGTTTCGGTGCCGGTGGCTACGCAATGGCAAGTATATGCCACCAAGGACGCGATGCGGCCAACATCCAAACAGCTGTCCTCACTACCTTGCTCCATCGTAGGTATGGTCCGACTGTGATGGAACACTGCTACAGTTGGATCGAAGCGTATATTGCAGCCCACGCAGGGGTAATCACTCCACAACGCCACTTGAGATACTGGGTATCTTCTCTAGACGGATCACGATTGCCAAGGTCAAACGCGATAACGATGTGTGAGAATGTGAACAAGTAGTCCAGAATTCCGCAAGACACCGGTCTAGCCTCGGTGAACACGAATCAGATCGCAAACCGGTGACGACAGATAGTGAGTGAAGGTCCAGGCTCGGTGGGTGTATGATAATATTAGGGTTACTAACGGACGTACTTGGGTTTCAATGATGGCGCTCCACAGGCTTGGTTCTTTCTCTCCTGCCTCCATGAACGTTGCTGGCCCTTTACGACCACACCCTGTCCCTGGTCCAAGAGAAATGGATAACTATGATGAGGATCTTGCCTATATGGTCGCTCAACTCGGTCTTTCTGACATCGAGAGGTTGCAAACTTCATATGATATCAGGGAGCGTCATGGAGTGGGGCTCTCTGACCATGAAGTTGCTTTCGCATTGTTGATGCAGAACGCTCGAGAACTTGCAGAGTTCAATGCTGATCAGGAACTGGCCCAACGGCTTGCTGTTGACAGAGGTGGGGAGGCTGGTCCTGCACATAGGCAAGGAAGCATATTTATTGCGGAATCCACCAAAGCTAACACTGATAAGCAGGCCGGCAACAGTTGTGCAGCAAGCTCATGCTGTGGAAGGAGGTGAACCGGAACCTGTGCCTGGAAGGCCCCATGCGGAATCCACCATGACAAAGGTACAAACACAGGTAAACAAGCCGGCAACAAAGTACGCTTGCGATTTTAATGCTTCCCTCGACTTTCTGACGTGAATTTTAGCATCACATCAAGGATACATACATTGCTTGATTCCTTTCATCTGACGTCCATATGGCGTGGTCAGACTAGACCAAATCCAGTTCAAGCGCCAACTATCACGACCAGTCGGACTAGAGTTCCTCCTCGGTGAGACATGTTATGATTCTAGTGTACTGTTACTGAAACCACCATAACCAGGGCTACAGGTCACGCCTGTGTGATCTGTCGGGATCCCATCTTTGGAGAGGAGGTTCAAACACCATGTGGTCACTTTTATGACATCGGCTGCATCATCAACCTATTCCAGTCAGCACTGCGCGACGAGCTCCTGTATCCTCCTCGATGTTGTCATCTGAACATTCCACTCTTACGAGTTCGACCTCACTTGACGCAGGTAGTCCTCGCAGAGTTTGAACTCAAAGCTCAAGAATTTGGGACCCTGAAGCGCGTGTATTGTGTTGAATCCACTTGCAGCCGTTTTCTCGGGCCCTTACACGAGGGGAATTCGAGCAAGGCGTTTAAGTGCCCGTCCCCTAAATGCACGACAACGACATGTGGGAAATGCCGCGGGAGATACAGAAGATTCACCCACTTCTGCAATCTCGATGCAGAGACTGAAGGAGTACTCACGCTAAGCCGCGCCTCAGGATGGTCACGCTGTCCAGGCTGTGCTCAGGTAGTCGAGCTTAGCACGGGGTGTTACCACATGACCTGCCGATGTAAGACAGAGTTCTGCTATCTGTGCAGAGCACGGTGGAAGACCTGCAAGTGCCGACGCAGTTGATTATGCAAGAGAATTGTTCCATATAGGTGCTGTTAAGGTATGAATGAAAACTAAAGAGTTCCCCGTTTTTTGAAATGGACACAACCAGAACATCTTTAGCGTCCTGACGTCTATCATATTATGAACATAACCCATGTCCTTGACCCCTGCCAGGTCTAACCTATCGTATGATCATCAAGTGGACGTGAATCCAGATGCGGCCACTCGTCGACTATAACATCGCAAGCTGTGTTTGACATCGGGGATGGATAAGCGAATACAGGCAGAGGTTTACGGTCGAGTAAGGTACCCTAGCCCTACAAGAACATGCTGAAGATGAAGGACTTGACGAGATTTTGAACAGCGTATTTGGTTTGAGCGCAGACTCGCAAACAACGGATATCTGGGTATATGATATCATTAGGGGCTACTAATGGTCCTGGACAAAATAATTACAGATTTAGTTCTCTCTCTCTTGCCACCATGAACGTTGCCGGTCCCTCACGACCACGACCGCTCCCTAGTTCAAGAGAAATAGACAACCATGAGGAAGATCTTACTCGTATGATCGCTGAACTGGGTCTTTCGGACGTCGAGAGACTGCAGGCATTATATGATAATAGAAGGCATCGAAGAAAGGGGCTCTCAGATCGTGAAGTTGCTTTCACATTGTTGATACAGAATGCTCGAGAACTTGCGGAGTTCAATGCTGATCAGGCACTTGCCCAGCGACTTGCTATTGGGGAGCCTGATCCTGTGCCTAGGTGAGACTGTATATTGCGGAATTCACCGAGGCTAACACTATCAGCAGGGCAGCAACAGTCGTGGAGCAAGCTGTTGCCCCTAAATCCGCCATCAGAAAGTACGCTTGCGAGTATAATACTGCCCTCGACTCCCTGACGAGAATTCTAGCAGTACTACATCAAAGACACAAACATGGAGTGAATTGCTTGACTCCTTTCTTTCGACGCCCGTATCGAGCGGCCAGAACACACCAAATCCAGGTCGGGCGCCAACTATTACAGTCAGAGCTACTCCTCGGTTAGACATGTTACGATACTGGTGTACTGTTTATACTGACCTTACCATAACAAGCAGAGCTACTGGTCACAAATGTGTGATCTGTCAGGATCCCATCTTCGGAGAGGAAGTTCGGGCACCGTGTAATCACTTTTTCGATATCGGCTGCATCACCGACCTATTCCGGTCAGCAATGCGCGATGAGCGCCTCTATCCTCCTCGATGTTGTCATCAAAACGTTCCGCTCCCCCAAGTTCGGCCTCACTTGACGCAGGCAGTCCTCACCGAGTTTGAACTCAAGGCTCAGGAATTTGGGACGCTGAAGCGTGTGTACTGTGTTGAATCCACGTGCAGCCGTTTCCTCGGACCCTTACACGAGGGGGATTCGGCGGTTAAGGTCTTTACATGCCCATCCCCTAAATGTACAACGATGACATGTGCAAAATGTCGCGGGAGGTACTACAGAAGATTAACCCACTCCTGCATTCCCGATGCAGAGAATGAGGGAGTGCTCAAGCTAAGCCGTGCCTCAGGATGGTCACGCTGCCCAGGCTGCGCTCAGATGATCGAGCTTAGCATGGGGTGTTACCATATGACCTGCCGATGCAAGACAGAGTTTTGCTATTTGTGCAGAGCACCATGGAAGACTTGCAAGTGTCCAAAATGGGACGAGTCTAGGCTGCTTGCTCCCCCACAGTGAGAGCGTGGTGAGTGCTCAGTTACTGCTGCGTAGCCTGCTCATTTTCTCCAAGAGGCACCTGCAATGGAACGAGTGCCCGTTTCTGGCACTGCCAATGTCCCCTGGCCCCCGTAAAGCATTGCTTTTGGTTTCGCGGGATTGAACGTTCTTACATATGTTAGATAAAAAGGTCCAGGGGGTATCATTCCGTGCATGTATCGTCAATGTATAAGTGACAACGCGTCAAAGAATGCAGTTATAATATCTCTAGCGTCCTGACATCCATCATATCATGAACAGCAGCCATGTCCTTCACTTGTGCGTTGATATTGTGATCTGACGCGATCCTCTTGTACTCCCCACCGCGCTGCTGCACTAGCAAAAGTGCGCCAAAAGGTTGTCCAAGTCGGACGACCAACCTCAACGCTCGCAAGTGAGATTCTGAATCAACTGGCTCATTGTCTCCAGGAGACCCATTGTACGATCCGTCTGACAGAGATTCCGAATCTGACAAATCGTCCACGTTCTGCGGATCGTCCGCAAGGTCAGGCAGCTCGAGGTCATAACGATTCCATGGACGGACGAGCAAATATCGCTGCCGAGGAGATCTTGTCCGCGAGAACTGAGTCAACCTGTCTTCTGTGGTGATTAACATGTCTTGAAGCCCTTCTGCTTTGATTTCATAAGTGAGATGTGTCTCACGGTCTTGACCTCGTCCCCCTCTGACTTCTGTGACAGGAAATGCAATGCAATGCAAGTGCAGTCTACGTGTCATGAAACGAGGGGCGGTTAGGTCGCCAAGCCTGGCATACAGTGTTGAAGCAAGCTTCACAACAATTGCATTTTGCAGCGACGAGACCGATGTCTGTATCTGGTCTTCAGATAGAAATGGCGGTGTGGATGTGGGAGGGTTGTATGCGGACATGTCGGCTGGTAGACAACTGTGGAACTCGGATGCTTTTCCGACCCAATCCAGGGCAGTGATGTCTCCCGACTGAGCGACGATTTCCTGTAAGAGCCGACCAAGCGCATGTTGTTTCCCCTCGCCGTAGATTACAGGTAGGTGGAGGCCGAAAATGCCAAATAATGAGTACGCGATGTCTTCCTGCAACGTGGTGGCACGCGTAGACGCCCATCGCAGTTTCTCTCGCGCGCCTGTCATGCCCGGGCTGAAGGCGACGAGAGTCTGTGCATCTATCCCTGTCGAATCCTCCAACTCCTGCATGATAGCAACAGACTCCTTATGGTTGGGAGAGTGGTCATTGAGATATAACGTCCAATCTGCTTGGTAGAAGAGAACGACTGCAGGAGCCAGAAATTCCTGAACAGTCCATCCTCGCGTGTTCCAAGTGCTGGCTGCGAGTGCCCCAGACGTCGACAAAGGCGGGACGTCCGACAGGTAGATGATCGTAAGAGCCGAGCGGCGATACCAAACGAACATGGAGTTGACTGATCGTTGGAGTTCAACATTGTTGTTCTGATCTATACAGCACGTATCACTCCAGGCCCAGAGATACCCCGCGTTACGAGCGAGTTTGCAGAATGTCTGCAACTTCACCACGGTCCCAATTGGATCCAAATCATACACGACCTTGTCCTCGATGTCGGGTAACCGTGGCTCCTCGTTTTCCCACCTGTGTGATAGCATGACCCAACGGAAGTACATCTCCACTGCTTCCTCGATGGACTCCATTTGAAGGTGCGGATGCTTTATTGATGACGACAAGAGCTTTTTGTACTCTGTGCTCGTCTTGAAGGTATTTGTCTGTGCCTGTCGATCGCATAACCGCCCAGTGGAAGTGTTGACTAGACGAAGTGGGGCACTTTCCAGGTGAGAGTGGACAGTTTTTCGAACAGCATCTTCGACTTCAGGCGGACTGACATACTGCTGACGCAGCTCTGGAGAAATACTTCATCATTTTCACGCTGACACGAGTTATTCAGTGCTTACTTTGTGTCTGCGGGTCAGATGCATTTTCCAACTTGGAGAGCATGGTTTTGAAGGCTATGACTGCTTCATCATAGCGTTGTGCTTCATGAAGCGCTGCATGTTGTAATTTATACCCAACATGAGACGAAGGGTCGAGTTCGATGACCTGTGATTCAGCACAATCAGTACAATTGCTTGATAAATGATATTGTCAGCACCTTTTCCGCGTCGTGAAGGGCATCCGCATATAAGCCTAGTCCCAACTTTGCTCGACTGCGGTGTGTAAAGAGGTAGTGACTCGAGGAATCCATCTCAATCGCTGCCGAATAGAGTTTGACGGCCATCTCATGATTGCTCGCAGAAACATCCATGTGTGCCTTCGCAACACAGCGTGCAGTGCAGTCTTGTTTGAAGGCTAATTGGCATCACTATGAGTATCAATGTTCGGTTATTCGACACCTTAAATTATTTACTGGTAGACCATTCAAGGCAGCTGTCCTTCGCAGCGTCGCTAATCCTGCTCATCATGTATTGATGAGATTCGACCGCTTCGGTCAGTCGACCAGCGCGGAGTAACGAGTCACACCGTCTTTGGTTGACAGTTTGCCACAACGAGTCAAAGTCCCAGCCGAAGAGCTACCCAGCGCACATAATCAATTAGTAAAAGTGACCTCTCCCGCTTCGTAAGGACGCACCAGTGTGAAAATCTTCCATCTAGGTTCCAAAAGTGCTGCGTGCAAGAACAAGCGGGTTATGGTGTTAATGTTTGCTGTGAATTGATCCGCGGCTTCGTTGTACTGTCCACTCTGGAAGTCGATTGTTGCAAGCTGCACGAGTAGATATGCCTAGGGAGGGTATGTTAAAATGAGAGCTCTCGCGAGGTTTAACAAGAAGCTCACCTCAACGACCCTACAAGAAAGTGTATCTAATTGTTGACAAGCGGTTGCGAGGTCTTGAACTCGCCGCATTGCCTCATCATGGCGACCTGCATTGAAAAGCGCAACAGCCTTGACCACATTAGATTGAAGTCTTAGTATGAAAGACCGTCTATTAAAGATAGTGCTGAGAGTGGCATACCTTGATCAATAGTAAAAGATCGATATTCATTGGATCACGATTCGAAAATACGAACGCGAGATCAAAAGCTTCCATGGCATCTAAAACCTGGTCGTTGCCGCATAGAGCAATGCCCTTAGAGATGTAGCCCATTAACGAGGGTTGAATGGAAATTGACTATGTCATCAAGGAGTCAGTCAACCTGTGTTCAACGAGTCGAGATATGTACAACGCCCTACCTTGACTGCGTCTTGAAGCGCATTGTCCCAGTCGAAAATTCGCGCCCTTACAATTGAGCGATTGGCGTAGGAGTCAGAATTGTTGTTATCGGCATCGATCTCTTGGACTAGCAGCTCTTCAGGTGTATGAAAGTATCCTGCATCGCGAATGGTCGTATTTATAGCGAGGAACTGCGTGAATCATGGTCAAGTTCAGTGATAAAAAAGAGCATTGAAGGCAAACAGCTCACGTCGAATTCTGAGGATCTAGATTGAGTGCTAGAGATTTCGGGAGTGTCTGACGAACTTTTGATTATGCTGTCGCGATCGCTAGGCTAAACGCCGAACGATGTCAGTGACTAGACAGGCGGATGAATAATGGGTGAGGGCATACCTGAATGTCACTGTGAGCATGATCGTTCATGTATTGTAATTAGCAGTAAGAAGACTTACTTGGATGAGATGTGTTGACAGAGTTTTCTGATAACTCGAGTGAGACTCGCAGGCCCATGAGAGAGAAGTGGAAATAAGCCCACAGAAGTCCGATTAGTAAGTTGTCTCTGTTGCTCTACCTCTGCCTCGTATTGCTTGAGTATGTTCTTCAAGAACCAGAACCAAACCCTCCCTTCGTTATCTCCGCTGACGAGCCATTTCCCATCAGGAGAAATTGCAACACATAAGAGACCAGCGAGGTGTTCGAGTGCCTGTCCTATATTTCTGTGGGTCTTTGTACTCCACAGTCGGACAGTCTTGTCGTCCGAGGCGGCGGCAATGAAGGAGTTATCAGAAGAGATATCGAGCGAGCGGATCCAGTCAGTGTGACCGGTGCAAGTGAGACCATTCTGGTCTCCATTAGATGAATTCCAGAACATGACTGATCCATATGATGCAGAGACAAGTTGCTGGCCGTCGGACGACCACACAACACTTCGAACTGGATTTTTGTGAGCGTCAATCTCGAAGAGAAGCTCGGGGTTGACGGCATTCCAAACTCGGATGCTACAGTCCGATGAACCGGAGGCTAATTTTAGGCCATCTGGGCTAAACGCCACACTCCATACCGATCCACGATGACTGTCGAGCGTCGTGATGACTGCACCAGTCTCAGCGTTCCATACAACAACTGTGAAGTCTTGCGACCCGCTGGCGAATCTCTTTCCATCGGGGGAGAAGCACACAGACTCTACCCAGTGGGTATGCTTCACCAGCGGTTCGAATACCATCTGCTTGCTCTCGACGTCCCACATGATGATCCTCTTATCCCTTCCCCCACTGACCATTCGCCTGTCGTCCGGGGATACGGCGACTGATCGCACCCAGTCCTTGTGTCCTTCAAATGACCCTCCTATCAATGCTCCTTTCTGCACGTCCCAAATTCGCAGAGTTGTGTCTTTTGAACAAGTGACGACCCGCTGACTGTCTTTGAAGAATGCAACTGCCTCCACTTCGCTTTTGTGCCCTCGTATCGTCCGCCTTGACGCAGGTCGCCCTCTCACAGTCAGAAACACATTTTTTGCTGCATCAACCACCGTTGACATGCCTTGTTGGCCTAGACAAAGAGACAGATTCAGACGGTAAGCGGCATTTTTTTTAGGGATGACGATGGTTACCTTGCAGGTATGATATATGGGTGGGTTTTACCCGTGTAGACCAACCTGAAGGCGGCTGTTCGGGTTCTAGCAATTTTTAGCTTCCTACCATGCTGTAGTGCTAATTACAGCATGAACTCATTGTCACTGCCACTCTTCATAGCTTCACATGTCACGGCGAAGCGCTCGTCGCACGTTGATTCTTCAAACAATGAACTCGCTCGAAAGAGCATGTGCCTGGTTGTTCGGCGCACTACAGCCCATCCTGTAATCAGATATCATTATCATCTGTAAGGCACTACATGCCCCGAGGTCAAAGAAGGCTGACGGGCGATGACCAGGCGTTCATATTCCCTGCTCTCACTTGCACGTTAAAATGTGAAAGTATACTGCAAAGACGAACGCGCAATGGATTATCATGTCACGTCACCGAAAGTTTTTTGTTCCAAACACTGGGACAGCCGAGGGTAACCTGGCAGATGATCTTTCAATGCGACATATCAGGGCATGGGTGTCTGGAGCGGCGATTAAGTACAAGGCGACTATGCATGTGACCGGTGTGTGCCTGCCTGCTAGCCAGCATCCGAACATACTTATACTTAGGACATGTGAAAGTTTCCCATGACACCAAATTCCCGGTGTGGATAAGTTTCCAGATAATTATGAAACAGAGGCTGGGGATTTGAAGCAAAATATTGGGGAGAAATATCACACCTACTACTTACGATATATTCCAAATGATGTGATCTTAAATGTGTCGCGGAGGTTGTCGAGTTGATTTCTGGTACCGTGTTGCGTCATGGTTAAAATCACGTATGGATGACGTGCTAGTGTGCGGCAGGAGCTGCATGTGACCTGTGGTACTTTTGCAAGGATGTGTTGCAGTGTTGCAGTGCGGCGAGAACTGAATCAGTTTGTTAGCTGTGGTGATTGGCAGGTCTTGAAGACCATCTGCCTTGACATCATAAGTGAAACATTTGTCCTCGTCTTGACCAGGCCTCCGTCTGACCTCTGTGACGGAAAATGCGATGCAAGGCAGTTGCAGTCTGGAGTTTGCGAGTCGAAAGAAGTTGAGGTTGTCAAGGAGGGTATACAGTTTCGAAGCCGACTCCACAGCGACCGCATTTCGCAGCCTAGAGACACACATCTGCATCTCGTCTTCAGGTAGAGATGTCAGCATGCACGGTGGAGTGTTGTACGCGATAATGTCGCCCGACCGACCATTGATCTCCTGTAAGAGTCGTCCGAGCGCATTTTTGCTCCAAGTTCACCTGACTGCACTGCGCAAAAAAGGAGGGATCCGGCCCAAACTCTGCGGGAAGTATCTTCTCGATCGACCAAATATGGAGCTTCCGCTCGGGATGTCCACTTACAAGCAGTTCTCCGCTGGGAGAGATCGCGACACATTCAACCCCGTCGATATGTTCGAGTGCCTGTCCTATATGCTGGTGTGTCTTCGTGTTCCACAGTCACACATTCTTGTCTTTGGAAGCGGTGGAAACGAAGGACCCATCAAAAGATATGGCGATTGATTTGATATTCTAAGGCTCAGTGTGACCGGTGCTGGGTTGACCGACTTGGCTCCCGTTAGACGAGTTCCAGAACTTGAGTGTCTTGTCATCTTGATGCGCAGACAAGTTGCTAGCCGTCAGGCGACCACACAACGCTTCTAAAGACATCTTGGTTAGCGATCTCGAGAAGAAGTTTTCGATGCACCAAACCCGGATGAAATCGTTCAATAACCCGGATGTGTCGTCTGAATCGACGTCAGCTGGTGAATATATAGCCTTGCAACAGACTTACACCAGAGCGACAGACAATTGCAAAAGGTAATCAGAGGAGAAGAGAGTTTTGGAAAAGCAAAATATATAGCCAAGAAATGACGATATTGTGAGGCGATGATGCAATCAATTTTTGGCAAAAGGAAGATCAGTCCTATAGGTGGTTGGAAACAAAAAGCGACACCAGCAGGATTTGAACCTGCGCACGGAAACCGTAAGAGATATCTATGATTCGAATCTCTCGCCTTAACCACTCGGCCATAGTGCCATGATAGACCTTGTCAGTTTTTTTCATCAAGGACGCGTTTGCCCGTGGGAAGAACGCGAGAACTAGATGCCGTAACTCGTTGCTGAGACGTCGACGCGTTCACTTTGTCACTTTGTCGTTGTCGCGCACAACATCATATCGGGTGCAAAGTATGGCGTACTTCGGGGTATGAGAAGACCGACACCAGCGTATTTCAGCAAACACCTCAACCGAAAAGACACTGATGCTAGAAGATAAATTGAGACCCGGCCGGCTTACGTGCATGAACCAGCGTGAGTTGCCTCTATGTTCAGATCTATATATCCTGAAGCTTCTCTTCATGGACTGTTTAACGTCTGTCGAAGTGCCACCCGAAACCCGCAACCCAGTCGCTCGCGAAAGGGGAAGAAAGAGAAACCAAAGTTTATCGCTGATACCGTCCTCCGTGGAGCGTCTCGAGTCCTTCATGGACAAACTTTCGATGTGGCAGCTGGTGTCCCTCATCGATACATAACTCGCCATAAGAACGAGCGCGACTGAATGCAAAATTTTTGCGAGTTGAACCTCTGTAAATGTTGACCTCAATCCTGCGCAGCACAATCGATCACCCTGGTCGGCGCTACGCCCATAAAGGCACTACCTCCCCATGCAATGTCAGATACATCAATTTGGAGTTTGACCTTATACATGAATTGAAAATAACTTGCCGAGGGTGCTGGAAGTGCTGGAGGTCTGGACCTCTTCGATGAGTCAGGTAATTTCTCGAGACTTGGGAGCCGAAGTACTTCGGACCGGTACTAACGGGGCCCCTTGCAGCAATCTGGAACAGGGCTGGTGGCATGTTCTCTCTTCCGCTTTGTTGCCGGTAAGTTTTCATTATGAAATTTATCTAAGAGGGGACTCCTCTTATCATTCCTGTCCTTCACCGGCAGTGAAAATACCAAATACCCGTATGCTCCTCGCGCCGATTCTGGTTTAGCTGAACCTCTCGCAGACGTATAAATGCAGCTCATGTATATGCCTACTAATTAGAGAACTCAGACGTTGATTCCCGCTCCAAAGCACGACAGAAAGGCTCTAAGTTCTTCTCCCAATACTTCTAGTCCTTCCAAACTTCACGCTATCGCAAACACGTCTGATTTTCGCCGTTCTCGAAACCATTCCCCTTCGTACTCGTTATCAGCCTTACACCACAACTCCGCTCTCGAGTTGCTTTTCCTCTGATAGTAGACCATGTTGACACCCATCAATGTTACTTGGCTGAACCTAGTATGCATTTCCAGTGTTGCAGTCTATCTGGTAAAGCAGGTGTTCGCCAAGAATAATAATCGTACACCATATCCACCTGGCCCCCGGGGGTGGCCTCTCCTTGGTAACATCTTAGACATGCCTCACATCAAGCCTTGGCTCACATTTGCTGAGTGGGGCAAGAAGTATGGTGAGTGCCTCCTGTTTCTTCAAAAATTTGCATTTTCGACAATCTTGTCTGCAGGTGATGTCTCGCATATCGAGGTTCTGGGGCGGCACATCATTGTGCTGAACTCTGTCAAGACTGCAATGGAAATGCTGGACAAAAAAAGCACTTTGTACTCTGACCGTCCTGTTCTTCCTATGGCTGGCGAACTTGTTGGCTGGAAGGACTCTTTGCCTTTCCTCCCTTATGGTGACCGTTGGCGCCGGTACCGCAAGAACTTTCATCGCGTCATTGGTAGCCGCGTTGCAGCGGACGTATACAACCAGATTGAGGAGGTCGAGACTCACCGATTCATGAAGCGTGTCCTTGCCAAACCCGACCAACTGCAAGAGCATATCCGACAGCATGTACTATTTATCCTTGCATTAACATCATCTTGAATTTTCACTGTAGCACTGTTGGCACTGTTATTCTGCGCATTTCTCATGGTTACGAAGTGAAAGAGAACAATGATCCCTTCATTGACCTTGCAGACCGCGCTTTGGCCAATGTATCGCAGGCCACAGCTCCCGGTGCCTTTATGGTTGACATTTTACCATTCTGTAAGTTATATATTCCGATGTTTGCTTCTGATGACCTTACTATTTTAGTGGCAAAGGTCCCTGCGTGGTTCCCCGGTGCTGGCTTCAAGCGCCTAGCACGTGAATGGCGCGAGACCCTCGAAGAGATGGTTTCTGCACCCCACAAGTTCGTCAAGGATCAAATGGTGACCAATGTTCAGATTTGTGATCATGTGTTGAAGTTCGAATTTTACAGGCTGATGGCATCGCCCCTATGTCTTTCACCTCGAATCTCTTGGAAGGCTGCGCTTTATCTGTGGAAGAGGACGATATCGTGAAATGGTCTGTTTTTTCCCTATACAGTGGTGGTTCCGACACGGTTGGTCCCTCCCTATATATTTTACAATCATCAAATTTTCTTAGTACTATACCTATTTCCTCAGGCCGTTTCTGCGATATACGCACTTTTTCTAGCTATGACACTTTTCCCTGATGTGCAGAAGAAAGCTCAGGATGAAATTGACGCTGTCGTCGGTCCTGATCGTCTTCCCTCCTTTGCAGACCGGGACTCCCTCCCCTACACTGAGGCGCTTTTCAAAGAAGTTCTCCGCTGGCATGCTGTCACTCCTACTGGTACGTAGATCTCATTCATAACATTATTTATTTGATAACATGATATCTCAATCACAGGTTTCCCCCACTGCGTGGCTGAGGACGATATCCACGACGGGTATTATATTCCAAAAGGTTCGCTAGTCTTCCCTAATATCTGGTTGGTACCCCCTTTTTTTCCATGTTACATTGATGAACAGAATGCAATACATTTAATTGCGACAGGTTCATGCTCCACGATCCGCGGACATATGCTAATCCCTTACAATTCAACCCTGAACGCTTCTTGGCTAAGGATGGAAAGGAACCTGAGACAGAGCCTCGCACGATCTGCTTCGGCTTTGGTAGACGGTGAGCATAAAGTTGGTTTTGGAGCGGAATGCTAACTTTCTGCTCGGCAGTATTTGCCCAGGTGCGCCTATCTCACGTAAATTTAAAAGTAGTTCTCTGAGTCGCTTGCTTTTCATTGGACAGGCCTCCATCTTGCTGAAGCATCCATCTGGATATCTACTGCAATGTCACTGGCCGTGTTTGATATTTCTAAGGTTGTCGAGAACGGTGTTGAGATCACCCCTGAGTTTGACCCTTCATCAGGTGCAGCCAGGTGTGTCGCATATCTTATCACCTCCGATGCTGGTCTGGATAGACACACTCCCAGCCACCTTAAACCCTTCAAGTGCTCTATAAAGCCTCGCTCTGCAACAGCCCTTGGGCTCATTCAGCAAGATGCTGACTACTAAGCGTACGATGATGAGATTAGAGAAACACGCAGGGATAACACACTTGGCATGTATTGTAATTTTTATGTTGCACTTAGAAGTTGTGCAAAATGATTGATTGTCGCTCATATATATGTCATCTTGGAGTTCGCACACAGGAAATCAATTGCTTCCGCTGAGCTTTTTTATGGACGCAACAAGACTGGTACTTAAAATGAACCTTGGTATTCCGTGTCAGCTCGCCCTCCAGCCGCAAATCTTTGCACGCACACGCTCCGACGAGTCCATGCCCTCCTGCAGAATATTCCAAGCGGGAACGACTGAATGAATGTGAGTCAATTGAAGTTACACAATGTACCACAGGCAACATTATTAATTCACCTGCTTTCACGCAGAATCATAGAACCCAGCAGTGGGGAGCTTGTAGTCACTGCCGAGCTCGATACTTTTTTTTTTTTTTTTTTTTTGCATCAGATTGAGTCCTTTGGGGTCGTAGACCCTATGTTGGACATTTTTCGTCATTTGCACCTTTTTCGTATGTATATTAATGATATCCTCTGATGTGGCGTGATTCGGACTCGTACTCCCCGTATCGTCTGGTGGGACAACACAGTAAGCACAAAAGGAAAGCTGCGATGAGAAGGGTCAGTAGATGTAGGTTGAAATATATGGACTCGCGGGGTTTTATCTGTTTGTTTGATGTTTTCGTGGGTTTTCGTGTTGTGTTGGGTGCTTCTACTGATTCTTCTAGGATATCGACAGCGCCGGCGTGGGTACGGCTCTCCTTTCGTCATGGAGTGTTCTAGTGGTATTATGTTGTACAGTGGGTGTTTGGTGGTTGGCGAGGGCGAGGGCGGATTTTATGTTCGAGCACAACATCCTGGGCATATAATATATCAGTTGTTGTCATTAGCGAGAGGTCATGTTATATCAGCGCCGTTGGCTTAACGTGCGCCGTTGGCTTGACGTGGTGATATATCACTGCATACTTGGCTTGACGTGGTGATACATCACCGCATACTGCACGCTACACCACTGTCCACTTACAGATACTATGATCGGCGATCACGATCTTTCTCAGGCTGAGGGAGACGGTCTTCGTTTGATGACAGGAACAGTTTGAGGCTTCGTTTGACAGGAACAGTTCGATCTGACAATTTGAGATCTTGTATGAATAAGTACCTCACCGATCTTCATTCCCAATTCAGATATGTTTGAAAACAAACGCAACTAGTGATGTGCAAAGCCCGGCTTCAGGCCGTGGGCCGAGCCAAGCCGAGCCCATTTAGGCCGGGCCAAGCCGAGCCTTGAGGACGGCCCATAAGGGCTCAAGGCCCGGCTTGAGGTATCTGTAAGCCTGAGCCGGGCCCTCGAGCCACGGCTTTCAATGGGAGTAACACTGGCAGATCATAGATGAGTATTTGAGTACTTCTGCTCGTTTGCGTGCATCTGCATTTGTTCGTATGTAATTCTGCGTGTTCTCACTTACACATACTCATTTATAAATCGTTGCACGTGACACTTTGTTTGTTCGGAACGGGTCATTCATGCTTGTATCCTGTTCATTCACCTATGGCGCTGGATTCGTTCAACTATTCCACACAAAATATGCACACACACACAAAGGATTTACACCCACAGAGTCGCGTACCGTTGCCGAGATGTATCAGGATGCTTTGGGATTAGCGTGACTTCCCGTTTTGGTAACACCGCACGACGACAAAATGCTCGAGCTCGCTGTCCTCAACAGCGAGCTCAAATAGTTACCTAATCCTTCACCCTTTTCACTAGTTCTTTTGAGGGAAAAAAATCACCTGTAGCTTAACTATGCTTACTCTTGGACAACACAACCCTCCTTCCCCACCTCCTCCTCCCCCCACCCTGACCGCTTTTCTGGTATTTTCTGGACTCTAATTGCATACTTCTGGCTTTGTAGAAGTTCTAATATATTTATACAATAAATACATCATTAATTGAGCCCATAATAAGCCCCTCAGAGCGCCCAGTTTAAAATATGACAGGAATGGGTGAATATTGGAAGTATGGAAGATTTATGGTCAAAATAGCATTGTTACTTAGCTACAGTTGATTTTTTTCCCTCAAAAGAACTAGTGAAAAGGGTGAAGGATTAGGCAACTATTTGAGCTCGCTGTCCACAACAGCGAGCTCGAGCATTTTGTCGTCGTGCGGTGTTACCAAAACGGGAAGTCACGCTAATCCCAAAGCATCCTGATACATCTCGGCAACGGTACGCGACTCTGTGGGTGTAAATCCTTTGTGTGTGTGTGTGCATATTTTGTGTGGAATAGTTGAACGGATCCAGCACCATATTCACCACTCGTATCTTCACACTCGTGCTCATATTGCACTCATTCCAGCTTGTGTACACCTGTTCTGACTTGTCCCTCGTCGTTCTCATTCATCTGGGCTTGCCTGGCCTCATTTTGGTTCATTATGGCTTGTCCCTCGGCATTCTCATGCATCTAGACTTACCTGCACTCGTCTGGACTCTTCTGCATTCGTCTGCATTCGTCTGGACTTGCCTGAATTGACTTGCCTCTATTCATCTGGGCCTGCCTGCACTTGTTTGGACTCGTCTGCATTCGCTTGTACTTGCCTGCACTCATTCTGCATTCGTTTGGACTCATCTGCATTCGCTTGGACTTGCCTGAACTCATTTGGACTTGACTTGGCTTGTCTGTATTCGTCTGGGCTTGTCTGCAAACGTTTGGACTTGACTTGGCTTGTCTGCATTCATCTGGACTCGCCTGCAATCGTTTGGACTTGCCTGCATTCATTTGCGCTTGCCTGCACTCATTTGGACTCGTCTGCATTCATCTGCATTCGTCTGGACTTGTCTGCGTTCGTTTGGACTTGCCCTGGCTTGTCTGTATTCGTCTGGGCTTGTCTGCACTCGTTTGCACTTGCATGCATTCATCTGGACTTGCATGCACTCGTTTGGACTCATTTTCATGTACGTTGGTGCCCGTGCATTTTCGACAGCCGTTAATGATATCACACAATTTTTTGCATAGCAAGCCGCGGCCTAAGCCTAGGCCGAGCCGAGCCTAGCCTGAGCCGTCAAGGAAGGCTCGGCCTGCAATCTCAGTGAGCCTGAGCCCCATCAAGCCGAGCCGTGGCCCCGGCTTTTGAGCCGGGCCGGGCCGTGCACATCACTAAACGCAACAAGTAGTATTTGGGTGAGAAAAAACATATAATGGGACGTTAAGACGATGGAATAGCCCCCCATATAGACCTGAAATGAAAAGCCAGGCTCCGTCGCAGTGAAGCCTGCCGATGCGCATATGCGACTGCACCTTCTGCACTCTCTGGTGACCCGAAAGTGCGACGTGAACCCTGCGTGTCCCACCAAACAGCCTGCCACTCGAAGAAAGCAAGCACACGCCTCATTTCTTCACGCAGTAGCTGCACCTCTTCTTCCCATCGATGTGCTCGAGCTCTGGCCCTGCACCACTCAACACGCAAGGCTGTAACAGATTCAATAACCGAGAAAAAAACATATTACGTGTACTCACAGTCCTGTAAGCCATACTCCGTGTTATCCGACACTCCACGTGTCTTCCAGATCCAGGACACTGTTTGCTGGCCGACCGTTGCCCCATTGTCTTGTCTCAGCGGGACAGCATCTTTTGCACGATCGAGCGGCTTGAAAGTGAGTAGCCAGTTGTCGTCCTTGTGCAACCTTGGCGCTAGCTTGACAAGCGCATTCCGCGCTGCGTTGTATTTGGCAGCGAGGGCATCAATCCGATTGTCCGCGTTGTTGATTACTCCGTTTGCGCGAGTGTTGGCACGTTGACCGCGAATAAAAGCGTCTTTGTACTTATATAGGTGATATTTCATGTTGAGGACACAGCGAATGTCGTTCAGCGCATCGTTGGCCTGCGCCTCGCGTAACTCCCATTCGTAATTCAACAAGCGCTCCTCGCAGGGTAAACTAGAGGGTATCGCAGATGGGAGGAATAGAATGATTTTGTGAACCTTCTGTTCGGTAGCAATGTCGTCAGATGAACGAAGTCGTGACACACACGGCATGTACAATAGTTGTACACGCGACCATGTGTCAATGCGTCGACGAAGGGAGTTGATGCGTTGCAACAGGGTTACTTGTTGAGCATTGGTGGGATGTTGTCCGATCTTCCCGGCCTCAAACGCAAGACGTCGCCTAAGAAAAGTTTAGAATAATCTTCGCAACAATGAATAAATGACGTACTGCTGGTCTTCGAGATCTAGCCCGGACGAAATGAGCATCGAAGGTGATATATCATCATGGAGAGACATGCTCGTGCCACGTTCTATATCGTCTGCCTCAGCCTTTGACAATGCTAATCGAACCGATGCTTGGCTCACGGCTTATGATACTCAATTAGATAGGTACAATCACACGTGCAGGAATAGACTCACCGGTGACCTTTAGTTCGAAGGGATTCGGTTTGGAACGGTCAGCTTCCCAAGCCACGACGTCCTCCTTCCAGCAAGCTAACTGGCTGGAATCGAGTGCGGCCTCAAAGTCGTTTAAGTCACACCTGCGCTCGAGAACCTCCGGTAAGGCAGCCTTGAGCTTACGGGCAAGAGTTTTACCTAAACCAAATGAAACGCCAGAATTATCATTCTAGTTAACATGACTTACCCATCAAGCACACTTTCTTCCAGTTCCAGTCATTGAAATGGTCGTCGAGGGTGTCGCGCCTTGAATCAGGACCCATCTCACGAGTGCTAGTTGCAATGGGATTAATGTCGGCCCATCCGCGTTCCGGGGCTTCACCATCGGTTCTTCCGACCCCCTTGATGAAATTGAATGAGTAGGTAGTCTGACAACTCAAGATGTGAGCGGGAAGATGGAACTTTGGTACTAGAAACGTTATGGTTTTCGTGTCGTGATCCAGGTGATACTGCTGAGGGAATGCGGACATGCGAGTCCAGAGGTTCTTGCTCCATTGGCATGCAATGTCGTAGGATATGTTGATCACCTGGAGCGTTGATGCTGTCTGCATGCTCGAAAAGAACATGTAATCCATATTAATATACCTGTGAATATGTTAAAAGCAAATACAACACGGACAATCTGAATACTTACCTTTCGCCTTTTTGTAAGTCACCAACTGAGTTTGGGCGCTTGAAATTGTGTCGTGCACAATCTATTGTGCCAGCGCCAGTTGCTGCGAGACCACATGACGCCTTGGTATCGGCCAGATCGACTGCGCTGTGACTTGAACACGTACTTTTCTAAAATAAAACAAGTTAACAGTCATCTCACGTCGATGGTTCTGACTCACCTCTTGAGGTGTTCCTCCGCGTGAATTTAAAAAAGATTTGTACGCCGTCTCCTCGACAAAAAATGAATAGCCTTGGTTGAGTCCAGGATCAGCAGCGTCCGAGGAGACATTCCGCCGAGCAAGTCGAAAATTTGCGTCAATCGCAAGGAAGAGCGCATACAAGAACCTTGACTCAGGTGGAGCATTTTCCCATCCATCCGGTAAGTTTTTTCCGGGATGGGGGCAAGCAGGACATGTAACCGCACAGGAACCAGGTTCCGTAGCAGCGATGGATCCGGGATGATGGCCCTGGCCGGACCGTTTGACTTGCTTCAAAAATCGCCATTCTCGTATCATGCGGAGGAAAGCGTCATAACGGTCCTGGATCACCTCAGGCAGCACTTCTCGGTGTCTATAAAGGGTCTAAGAGACCCGGTTTCTATGTTATGGGAAACTAGTCTCTGAGACCCACCCTCCCGCCATCTAATTATAGTTCATGCTCTGGCATTCCCTCGCGGGCCTCCAGCACCTCCCTATGAGCCTCCAACGCCCCTCCCATGCCTCCAGCTTTCCCTCTAGTAATACCTCCAGCGCTGCCCATATTGCTCACCATCAACCATTCAAGGCCTCCTGCAAGACTCTCCTGCATTGTATATGCCCAACTCTTGGAACCTGCTGCCATGGACTTATCTCTGGATTCAAATGAGGACCGGTGCCGCTCCGAGGTGAGTTGAATGAGTTTCTTTATTCACGCACCTCCATCCCATCCTCTCGAACCGCTCTCGCACCTCTGTTTCACCCTCTTGCATCCCCCTTGCATTTCTGTCCTATCCCCCTGCACCTCCGTCCCATCCTCTTGCACCTCTGGCCCATCCTCTCGCATCCCTCTTGCACCTCCGTTCGATCCTCTCTCACCTCCGTTCGATCCTCTCGCGCCTCCATTTGATCCTCTCTCACCTCTGTTCGATCCTCTCGCACCTCCATTTGATCCTCTCTCACCTCCGTTCGATCCTCTCGCACCTCCATTCGATCCTCTTGCACCCCTCGCACACCTCCATTTGATCCTATCGCACCCTCTTGCACCCTCTTGCACCTCCGTCCCATCCTCTTGCACCTCCATTTGATCCTCCATCCGATCCTCTTGCACCCTCTTGCACCCTCTTGCACCCTTTCGCACCCTCTTGCACCCTCTTCCACCTCCGTCCCATCCTCTCGTGCGCAGCTGGGTCACCAATGTTTTCGAGGTCGAATATATTCTTTATAGTCTCTGATAGGAACTCTCGTATATAGTACCTGGTAATAATATAGCAGGAGGTTCAAACCTCCAAGTCAATACTAAAATGGGGCAGAACTAAGGAAGGAAGTGGCAGTACGAGATGGCAGGATGTGGCATTGGAAGGCACAGAGAGTATATAGATACAGTGGAGGCATAGATGTAGATAGCAGCTAGTATTTGAATAATGTCCCGCCGGGTACTACATACCCTGGTTGACGGGGCACTCGACAAGGTATCGCTCGAAGATGGCATCATATGCATGGTGTGTGATAAGGTGGGAGACAAGTACATTGAGGAAGATGGGTGCGCCTGACGGGGGTCGAGACATCCTGCTATCCAACACATCAGTCTTCCCAAGTTCGATCCTGAATCCATGGATCTTCACCTGTTATCTTCGTGTCACACGCATCCAACATGCCCATCAGGCCAACAACAACAATGTCAGCGACCTATAGCGGTTGACAACAAGTCATCTTACCGCCTGCTGCAGAGCCTTCCACCGTGAATCCCACCTCCTCCGTCTCTTTTCGATGTTGTTGATGTAGTTGGGGTGATACTCAATGAACACAGCTCTGGGCTCGTATCACACGGCTGCATGCTGTCCACACGAGGCGTCTCCGCTTCGTACTTTGGATCCGTAGATCCGAGGAATGTCATCCAGTTTCTCTTGCTAGACGGGAGGGGTAGTCCTTGGTGTCTGAGTCTGAACTCGACCTGAGTAGCTGAGCATAGGACGAGTCTTCGTTCTCATTCGGAACATAGAAACTTTTCGGCTGGAAATCCCGTAAGAAAGCAGCATTATTCCCGTGCAACGATTGGAAGATCAGGACGGGTTGGAAGAAGTTGACGTCATCACAGTCACTGCATGTTGACCGCGACTGTGAACGTGCACGGGAGGTGGCAGTGGTAATAAGGGTATTGTCTTTCCTGACGGTATCTCGCAGCAGATGCTCAGAAGTAGGTTGTGAGTGGGAAGAGGTGGTTAGCTTATTCGGTGTGCAAATGTGACTTCGTGGCGAATGGGTCCGAGATGCATGAGATGCCCATGGGTTTTATCCAGGGCCAGGGAAATGCGTTGACGATGGGTGAGAATGTGGAGTCGGATAATGATGTGTGGTTGTTCGGGGCGAACATCTGCATCTGGAGAGCGAGTTGCTCTTCGATCACTGAGGGACAGTTGGTCGTAGTTGGAGGGTGTAGTGTGGATGTGATGACCAGAGTAGGTGTTGTTGCGCCGAACCGTGAACGTACGAGAATGGGTAGGGATATGGCGAGCCTACTGGTGGTGCTGGGACGGTGCAAGCTTGCTGAATAGATCTGGTGTGAAGTTAATATGATAAGTGAAACTTCAAACCATGCAAGCCACAGGCACAGCTAGCACCTCACGACATGTGCACCCAAGTGCGTCTTGAAGGACGCGACATCACAGCACCTAAGACAGTGCGGAGCATGGAAGAACACACAGATATGCCTGATGTGCGAAGTTCAGCAAGATCAGCATCACATGAACAATGAACATGGGGCTGATGAAGGACTCACTTCTACGATGTGACATGTAACATGCAGTATCGTTATTCAGACTCGGACAAGCTGCAGCTAGCTCTCGCAAAAGTATAAGAGAGGTGGTTGTGGTAGGTTATCAAGTGTGATGAGTTTTGGTCTAGCACTAGGTAGGACTACTATAGTAGTATTAGCTGAGCGGTGGCTGTTGACAGTAAAGTCAATAACCCACGACACTGCACTGTGCATGAAAAGTGCCATGTCCCAGGCCATTTCCCTTACAAGAGTACTTCATGGTGTCTTGCAATATGTAGGGACTGCCATGCTGCCATTTCTGACCAGTCAAACTGCTGCTGTCGTCGGTGTTCAGTCCACAATCAGTGTTTTATGTTTTAGTTAGAGTTTTATTCATCATTTGATTGGCTATTGAGCCATCCACCCTTGCGAATTTCAATGTCAACCTTCACGATAGTGTAGGCCAGTTTAACAAATCAATCCTATGTATAGATCTATCTCGAGGTTGTCGCTACACCGTTGTCACTTCCCTGTGGCCAGCAAATCAGATTATATACAGCGATAGAATGATAACACTAAGTAGACAACAAGTAAGATAACACTATGATTCATGCTCCACCACGGTACCAACGTCAGATCCCGCGTAAGTCTCTCCGTCATCTGAGAGCACCGATGTATGTCTCCTCCGGAAATCTGAGGGAGCGATGGATGTCGTCGCAATGGATTCTAGCACCAAAGAGCTGGGATCTGGAACAGCTTAAAAAAGATCCCGAAGGCGTTGTATCTCGTCCTGAGCTGCGATATACTTTGCTTCCAACTCTTGGTTGATCGAGGCCACCCGTGCAACTGGAGGAGAGGGTGGTGGTGAAGGTAAATGCATGTTGACGTCGACAGCGCCGACTCCGCCACTGGTAGATCTCTGGAATTCGAGTTCCTCCCGATAAGAACCAGCCTCGTGAGAACTGTTTACCTCTCGTTCTGGTGCAGATGGTGTGGCAGAGCGCTGGGGTTGCACAAGCGGTGCATCTTGAATTGTGTCGTCGAAAGTGAATTCTGGCATAGTGGAGGAGGGCGCAACTCTGTGTTCTTAAGAGTTGCATGATTCTGCAAATTCAGTCATTCGAATCCTCCAAAGTAGTCAAAACACTCACAGATGGACCACCGGCGTGCTCTGCAGGAAGGACAGGAGGAATAAGGGGCTCCACATGTCCCTCATCCTCCTCTTCAAGAGTTTGTCCTTCGGGTGGGAGGTATAACGACAAAGGTGGTTCGTCTTTCATCAGTTGTAGCATTACTGTAATACTACAGTTACTGTTGGACATGTAAGCAAAGTCGACACATAGACATAACATGAGGCACATACCGGAGACATAGACACTTTCACCAGGCTCTACCCTGCCACCCACGGACGCAAGCGATAATTTTTGATGAGGCGGAGGCCGTGATGGCATGGAAGTAGTAGATTCTGTGTCTACAGATGTAACGTCAAATTCCCATCACGTCGCGTCGTGTCACGTCACGTCACATGACTTTGTGTACTGTGTCTGTTCACCTACTAAGTTACTCCTCCATCTTCCAACCGAGGGTATCGTCAAAATTTCAGCAATGCCCCAACATCCAACTGCAAATGTAAGTGACTGGTTGTTCGCGTGTGCTCCTACGCTACTTGCAACGGCTCCAGCAGGTGAATGAGAAGACCTTGGCGAGTTCCCTGACAACCTACAATGGGAAGCGCTTGTTGATGTATTGCGCGGGCATGTCAAGGTATTTTCTGTTGTGTATGTCAACCTCCACACTTACCTATGCCGTGTCAAGGCTCACTTGCACGCTGCAGCAGTGCCGGCCCAAACAAGTTGTGCCGCATCAATGCCTGTGGTTTATTATGTGAGTGCCATTGTATTCTCTGTTCGGGTGTCACGCTCACTTAAGGTCTGGCAAGTGACTCGACGAATGAAGATCTGTAGGCATCAATGCGCTGCCAAGTTCAGGTGCACTGGAGAAGCTCATGAGCGCTCCATTCATGCTTATGGGTACGCACCGTCTCTGTCTGGCCTTTGAGACTCAATGAAGGCTGGTCCTTCATCATCCCTGCACCAGGTACCGATGTAGGGCATCCTGCACCAGGCATGGTTAGCTAGCCCTCTGTGGCCTCTCTCGTCTATTCGTTGGATCGGTATGCTGTACAGTATGAGGTGCCCTCGCTGGTTTATGTGAGTTCATTCCTTCTCTGCACCAAGCACTCGCTTGATCGTCGAGATTCATCCCTCAACATCAGGCTTCTTAGCTCTATTCAAGCCAGGAATGACTTGTATCATATCGTTTCTCCGTCTCCGGGTGCAAGCTCTTCTGAGGGCTTGAACATAGTTGTGGACTCAAACGCTCGGCTTGAAGACCCACCAGAGGAATACTGCTAGTACAAGGGTATGTTTTTGTTGGTATTTGCAGACTGGTTCACATATTCTGTAGCTGAGGCTTCTGCTGCCGCTCGCATTCAGGCCTTAAATCATCAACACTTACAGCCTCCGCACAAGCCTCTCATTCACCATCACGAGCCTCAAGTTCAACCCTCGCGAGCCTCCTTTCAACCCTCACAAGCCCTCATCCACCTTCACGATCCTTACGGAAAACCTCACCGACCTCTCATTCACCCTCGCGAGCCTCGATGTCAATCAGACCTTCATGTGCCCGCCGCCCAGCAAGAACGGATGATGCGGAAGTGGAAATCCTACGCCCGAGAGCATCTCACCATGTTCTCGCTACCCGTCTTCGAGAAGCTGGATGATCAGCTCACTCGCCATCAAGAATGGTTAGAAGATCTGCCGTGGTATTGTCCGCAGCATGAATGCGCTCATGGCCGTGAGATCCTGAATGATGTTGAAGAGTCAACGAGACAGGAGGATGACCAACCCCCCATTGACGAGTACTTCACCTGCATCTGCACCACTCCCGTTCGCCCCCCTCCACCCGGAACTCACTCCGACGCAGTTCAGTGCGACCATTGCTTTGCAAGGTTCCATGGTGTTTGCGCAGCTAACGGTGGTTCATGCCCTTTCTGCGATCATCATCACTGGAATGGTGCCATCCATAAGGAATGCAGTTGGCATTTCTGTTTCCTGCCGACCATCCTCCTTAAAGCACCTTCAATAACCAAAAAATTACTCGGATGCCTGGCAGCAGCTGGAGATCATTGTCCGTCGGATAGATCGTCTGTGCTTTGCACCAGAGTGAGCCACTGAGCCTGGTATACTCGATGCGGTGCATGGGATTGCGCGGCGCGGGCCACAGACGAACGGCTGACACGTCCCAGAGATGATCTACTCACCCGGTTTTAGAGGTCAGACCACCCTCTCGTATCCCCTCGTACATCCAGCACACCCTCTCGTACATCCAGCGCACCCTCTTATACATCCAGCGTACCCTCTCGCATCCTCCCTCGTACCCTCTCGCATCCTCCTTCGTACCCTCTCATATATCCACCGCACCCTCCCGCACCCTCTCGCACCCTCTCTCGCACCCTCTCGCACCTACAATGCACCCTTCAGGGATGTATTAAATCCATAGTCACGACTCACAACCCTCCTCATGCCTATCCTCATTGTCTAGTTGCTCTGTCATGACCACCCTACCCACTTACATTGGTAGCTACTATGCTTTGTAATTTGCTATGTCAATACTAGTATAGCAATTGCATAGCCTGCTTGTCTCATCCAGGACATCTCAGAACACTGATGTCTTCGCGCATCAGAAAACTTGAATCTGTGGAGATCTCACCAAACATAAGTAACTGATTGAATAAAATAACATAACCAGTAACAGAAACGGTGGGAGGCTATGAGAGGGTCACTATACTAGCAATATTAATGACGGGAGAAGCTACTAAGACTGGCAGGGCTACCCTCTTGATGATAACGGACGAGTCCGTGAGGTGGTTCGCGAGGGTACCGTTGTGCCTCTTGAGGCGAGGGGAGGGATACTGACGAGGTGCGCAAACGGATGCAGGGCGGGAGGGTCGCCCCTCGTGGAGGTGTGCGAGAGGGTTGCATAAACCTGTTAGGGAATTTGGTGAGAACCTCCTGGGGAGGGGGGGTCTCAGAGACCAGTTGCGCTCTACAAGGAAACCGGGTCTCTTAGACCGTGGGAACGGGAGGAAAGTGCTGCCAAGGGTGTCCTGGATTTGCTTGTTAGTAGTTGTCTAGCAGGCAAGAATAGAAAAAACATGCCTTTGTGATGTGAATGCCTGTGTTGTCAGTCAATCGCACCACCGTCTGATAAAACTCGAAGGCAGACACTTTTGATTTGAAGGACAGGATCTGAAAGTGTTCAAGTGCGCGAAATGTTGCGGTGGTCTTAGGTTTGACTGTTGTTGCAGGGAATAGATGGACTTGGAGAAGTTGAGTGACATGGACTTGAGCAGTTTGGCAACCACAAAAATCAAGCCCGACGGCATGAACACCATTGACGTCGACAATGACAAAATCATCATTCGACGCCGGAGTTGGTTTGTTGCATCTGAGACCAATGCGGTGTCCAAGCTGAATGCGTAGCCCAAGGGATTTAAGTGATATCTTTTGAAAGAAACTTCCGTTCCAATGCTGCAACAAATCTTGTGAGTAAGTAGAGATTTTGAAACGACAAAAATTGTACTTCGATACGGTGACACGGTTGCCACTGATGGGTGTATAGGACACACTGGCGGCACACCAGTTCAACACCATGACAGTCCTTGCATCTATACAGGGACGGTTCATCGCTACCACAGAAGCAGGTATCTTGTGTGTGGCTTCCGCGGCCCTCAAGGCGAATGAGCTCTTCAAGAAATAGTTCAGCATCAGATTGCCACATGCGGAGAGGATCATCCTATGGAAAAAGATCAAAATGAAACCAGATCTATGTCAGAATATGGGAATCATACCCCTGCTGTCCGTTTCCGTGTGATCGGTTCCTCAGAATTGTCACCGAAATAGTGATCATCAGCTTGGATATCTGAAAAATCAAACTCCTCGATCAAAGTGTCGTCTACTATGTCTCCTTCCTGGGGTTGTTTGGATGGATCGGACACCGTGTAATATGCAGTGGACACTGAAAGGCGACCGTTCAAGTTCTGCTCAAAGCTAGCATGTCTACACTGGCGCTCGTCACGATTCTCTTGCGGGGTATCATTTTCCAGATGACGTGCTGCCCGCGCAGCAGCCTTGTTGTGAGCGTAAAATGCCTGGCGGTATCGCTGGAGCTCAGTTCGTCGTTTGTTGGTTTTGGCCATGTACTCGGCAAAATTGTGAAGCGGCAAGGTGAGGCGGTGTGCTAGGTGGTGTGCTAGTGGCTTACTAATGACTGGTCCAAAAACCGCCAACATTGATGAAGCAATAAATTTTCATGGCTATGTAACAAGACGTGCAATGAAGTTGTAGATATACATTAGTTCAAAAATCAAATCCGGACACCTTTCTGGTACATCAGTTCCCCCAACGCGTGAGCTTCAGTGAGCCCACAAACGCCTTCATAAACTGCCAGACATAGCAAGTCCTCTAAATAAGCAAGCACGGTCTTCAAGAAACGCACAACAGAGTCAGCAGCGTGCCACTCAGGCGAGATACCACAAAAGTTGAGTATCTGATCTTGCGCGTGAATTGTATCGTCGAGTGGTTTTTGAACCTTGGCCATTGCAGATTCGATGATGGAGATATCACCGCTGGTGGAGCAATCATCCACTGTCAGGCTCTGGACATAGACCTGTAAGATGCCCTGGGCGAATGCGCAAGGGTCATTGCCAATCATTTTCAACATGTCGTCCTTGATGTTTTTAATGACCAGTAAGCATTCCGGAAGATCGTATCTGTAGAACATTAATTTCATGTGTGATCTTACGTCTATTTATAAACAAAACATACAGCTTATTTTCGTTCTCATCTGATGAGTCGTCGGATTCATCGTCGGACTCGGAGTCAGTGTCACTAACACGCAAAGCTTTTGCAAGAGCTTTGCAGATTTCCTTTGATTGTGTTGCCTCTGCACATGCTTCCTTGCTTCTGGAGCTACGGAGCTCCCGGCGTCTCTTGAGAATGATATCTCTGTGACTTTACCGTCATTTGTCAGGAACCATCACCATCAGAAATTAATGAAAAGGCTAAACATACTTGGCATAGTAGCGGGCTCGCTTTTCACGTGCGGCGACTATTTTTGCCTGGGATGTTTTATGAATAAGGGGTCGAGCCATTTTGACTAGAGAGTAGTAATTGTGGCAGCAGTAGTGTTGGTTGAAAACTGAAAAGAAGCAATGAACGTTAATGAATCTTTGCATCGAGCGTGGCAAAACTACAATGTTGGCATTTTGGTAGGACCAAAACTCCTATAGGTCGAATTGATATATAGTATAGATGTCATAGCCCTGCGATAAATGGATCACCCGTTCAAACAAACAAGTCAAGGCCATTTTTCACATTGAAAATATGAATGTACACTATATCTACTTGAGATACATTGAATTAAATAAAAGTCCTACCACCACATTCAGCCATCGAGCACTGAATTAGTCCCTTGTTGTAACACACTTGCAGTCGGACCAAAACACACACCTATTGATATCAAAACACTGCAATAAACGGATCACCCATTCAAAGGCCACTTGTTATATTGAAGGTACAGTCTTTCTACATGATTTACATCGAGTTTAAATAAAAGTCCTACCACCATTCAGCGCTCAGCGCTTCAACCATTGATCGAGCACTGAATTAGTCCAAGGCTTGTTGCAACACACTTGTAGTCGGTCCAAAAAAGCAATACAAATTTCAACTTGAACACATTGACGGTATATACAACACAAAGGTACCAAGAAATGACATCCGGAACACTGATTAATTATTGTCCATCTCACGTCCAGGAGCCTCTTCAACATCGCAGTCAGGTGCTTCCTCACCAGTCTCCAGAATGCCTTCTTCGCAAGGAGCAGAAGCTTCATCATCACTACTATCGTCATAGTAAGTGCGAATTTGGCGGGGCTGTGAGTAGCTGATGTTGTCACTCCCCGATGACTGATTGTTCGCTTCATCGGCAGGTACGTCTTCATCAGATGTTACTGGTGATCCGGCATCACGAGGTCGTTGGGCTGTGCGCATGCTCATGAGTCCGTGATATCAAATCTAAATTTAAATTACTGACCGTAGATGCAGCACCTACAATGAAACGCGTGGACCAAACAATCAGCATTATCAGGGTTGCGTTGGCTGCGTACCCAGCCGATAGGTTGCGGTGAATCCATTGGTCCAACTGTTGAAGTCTGTTTTTAATGAGCGCTACAACAATCTGCTAAACTAAACTTACCTTGTCCGCTTTGCACAAGGTAAACAGCCCGTAGAAACTGCTCGACTGTAAAGCATGGGTGTGGCAGCATTTGCACGCAGCGCCCATGACATTCACATTTGATGGAGCCGTCGTCTTGGTTCATGTCTGGGAAAAAGGGCTATAGTACTAGCGTTAGGAAGTAAAGGGTGGGGAGAAACTGGGAAAATTTAGCTGGTCTAGACGCTTCGGAAACATCCGCTAAAATTTTGATTGGCTAGAGAAATGAATGGCCTCGGTTGAATATTAGTTCGCTCCCAATAACTCACCAATTGACCGAAAGGAACGAACTCAATCATAAAAATATCTAGTGCGTCATTTTTCATATCAAACGGGTTGTCGGGTTAATGGGTATTAGTCGTAGATGGCGCCTCCTCGATGGACCACACCAGAAGAGCTGGAGTGGCTTCAAAATGAGCTACCTGAGTTTCTTAAAATGCAGAAAGACCAAAGATTAACTCGTTTCTACGAGCTCCTGTATCCGAGGTGGTTTAGTCAATTTCCAGAATGCCTCAGATATTGGGGACCAACTGGGAAACCTCCGCGCGAAAATGTTCGTCAGGATGACGACAGCGGTGACGAGATCAGCCCGCTGGCACTTACACCAGAACAAGAAGCTGAGCTTGAAGAGGCAAATGAAATCCGACGGAAAGTAAGTTCATTTGTCAGTTGTCCTGAAAGAGTAGTTGCTAAAGACATGCATCAGAAATTGAGAGAATGGTTCCGGAATAATGGAAAAAGTAAAACAACACCAGGCACCACATCAACAGGCAAAGCTCTTGCTCGGCTTCTAGGCCAGCGTGCTCGTGGTGTTCATGACCTGAAGGAAATTGAGGTCTACTCAAAATCGCACTACAAAACCAAGATTCAACCACTGGTAGAGGACAACGTCAACGAAAATCACCTCGATCCCAAGAAAAGAATCGCTGTCGTCCAGAAGTACACAAACCGTTGTTTTGCCGCTGAGCCAGAATATGTGAAGGCGGAGATTCGTGAGGAGACCACACGGATCAACACTGCCAGGAGATTAGCAAGTGTTGTGTCTCAAACACGTACCAAAGAGGAAATTTACCAGTTTGTTTTTTTTGTTGTGTTTCGCCTTTGCGGTAAATATTGATCCGTGTTGATATAGTGCCATTCAAGAACTGCCCCTTGTCTTGGGACAGATTTGTGAAGACCTGGCGGTGCTGACTGGCGGCTGGCATTATACCCTTGTCATGGGGGGTCCTGACCCCATGTGCGAAGGGGATATCATGACTCTAAGGTAAATGGATGTTATTATTATTTCCAAACTGGATCTCATTTTATCCTTACAGTTTTCACCACGGCAAAGGTCGAGACGGCCTCAGCTTCAAGGCTTCCAACCCGGACTTTCATGAACAATATCTAGCGCCATTTGAAAAGCACTTAAGAAGTGTTTTTGGTCATCAAGTTTCCGAGTCATCCGAGTCTTCATCGAGTGCCAATCCGTCTCCTCCAGCGACTTCTGACCTCGCACTGCCAAACGCCCAGAACGACTCAGGCCCCAAAGTTCCTGGAACGCACGTCTTCCCTCACGACTCTGTCATGGACCCCAATGTTCCAGTCTCTGACGCTGACATTGATGCATTCATCTCTTCCCTTCGTCCACTGACGGCTGATGGCCTAAATGGTCAATGGTGGCCTAATCAAGGCCAGGACATGCAAATGGCTGCTCCGCCACTCATAAACCCTCCTTTGACTATTACTGAATCACTTATAGACTCACCCATGCGGGCTGCTCCGCCATTCACAAGCCCTCCTCCTTTGACTATCGCTGAATCATTTATAGACTCACCCATGCGGGCTGCTCCGCCATTCACTCCGCCATTCACAAGCCCTCCTCCGGCTATTTCTGAATCACTTATCGAGCCACCTGTGCAGGGCCTGGACAGCTCGATCGGTGTATTCGCCCCACCGCGTATTTTGGACAGCTCAATCGGTGTAGTCACCTTGAATCCAGTCCCGTCGTCACCCTCCAGGTCTGCAACCACTCCAGCTGCCACCGACTCGTATTCTTTTCCACCTGTTTCTAGCGCACCTGCGCTTCTTACAGACACCACTTCCAAGTCGATTCCCACTGCACCGGACACTCTGCTTCCTGCAGCAAGTGTTCCACCAGTTTCTAGTGCTCCTCCCACTGCACCGGACACTCTGCTTCCTGCAGCATGTGTTCCACCAGTTTCTAGTGCTCCTGGAAGACGCTCAGCGCGCATGACACGACCATCAACAAGAGTGCAAGATGCCAACAAGATTGGCGATGACGCCAAAGCAGTCACTTCCAAACGCAAGCGCAAAGGCACAGCAGAAGCAACCACTGGGAAAAAGTACGTCTTCCACCAATTTTCAGTACTGTTTCATCCCGCTAAACATTGATGTGTAGGTCTAAAAAATGATATTTCACATTCCTTGCAGTATATTGGACTACGCCTTGATACTGATATCATACTCTGTCCTATTTGATACTCTGTCCTATTTGTAACCTAGAACTTGTAGTTATTGTGACGACAATTGTTTTCTTAATGTCAGTTAACGTGACCCATCAAAATCTTGTCATCTATCTACAAGCATCGCAATGAACAAACACTTCTTATCATTCTGAAATTTGTATGTCAGAAACTATCGAACATAAGATTGCGTCCAACAGCGCGCAAGGTAGACAAAGTCGAACTTAAGATCACGTGAGTCGATTGCGTCCAACAACGCGCAAGGTAGACAAAGTCGAACTTAAGATCACGTGAGTCGATTGCGTCCAACAACGCGCAAGGTAGACAAAGTCAAACTTAGGATCACGTGAGTCGAACATCACACGAAAAAAAAATCGAACAAGTCAGGCTAGTGAGCAGCTGTGAGCTACTACACTTGAGAAATGCTGCCTGGGTTGGCTGAGACGTTTTGTTATATAACAATTGACTTCACGCGGACACGATGAGACTGAAAATTCGTCACCGGAAGAACTTTCCATTGACAAAGCTGGACATGAAAACAGGCGCAGGGCGGGAAAGACGTGTTGTTGTATTCATTGTGGTGGCATGATATAGCAATTGACTTCGCGCGGACACGATGAGACTGACAAACGAGGCTGACGTGTCTACATACGGTCAGAACTTTTAAGGACATCTCCAAGTATATGACCAAGCGGATAATGCCATAGTTCTCGGCTAAAACCGGTTGGCCATAGAAGTGGTGTGGCTATGCAGAGACAAGTGGAGATCTAGAGATCTAGATCCCTGATTTTCCAAACCGAAGCCACCCGAAACCCGAAACCCAAATCAGACTGTGACTAGGCACATGCTAAGAATAGCCCACCCCAAATGTGCACCGAGACCCAAATCGGACTGTGACCAGGCACATGCTAAGAATAGCGCACCCAAATGTGCAGGGCATACAGTGATATATCATCTGTGTTGAATGATATATCATTTACCCTGTGTGTTAGTCCAAAGGCAGGGATATATCACGGACTTACTCTAATGAAAGTAAAATGATATATTATATTGACAACATCGCCTGGTTCGAGTATGTTCGTTCTGATGATATGTGCGCGTCGAGTTCTTTATGTGCTGTATGTACTGATTCGATGATACTGGTGTTCATAGTACGCCGAATGTTGGTTTGAATCTTCCTGTGCTGTTGATGAACCGGCTAAGGTGCGGGATGGCCTTTTCAGACGTGAGAAGGTATGCTAATGAAGTCGCATCGCGTCGAAGAGCATTCACGAGTATATGCCGTTCGTGTTGGTATTGAGGGCAGTCGAAGAGTAGATGATGGATGGTTTCGTTGATTCCAGGGCATATAGGGCAATGAGGCGTGTCACTTCGATTGATGCGGTGCAAGTGCTGGTTCAATGGGACGTGACGGGTTCGGAGTTGGACGTATAGGCTTGAGGTGCGTTTCGGCAATCCGTTGCAGGCTATAATGTCATTTTAATGCACAGGAATAGGCTAATTAGCAGAGTTTTGTAATGCAACAGCGTTGCTAGACGCGTATGCATTAACCACCATCCTAATGCAGAATGTAATGCATTACTGATGCATCACTTTAGTTGGTGATGCATCACCTCCTACTACCCT